ACGCCACCATCGAGAAGGAATGCCTGGCAGTGGTGTGGGCACTCAAAAAACTGCAGCCCTACCTCTACGAACAACAGTTTACCTTACTCACGCATCACAGCCCATTGGTGTGGCTTAACCGGGTTGCTGGAGACAATGCCTGTTATGGTGGAGCCATACAACCGTATGACTTCACTATTCACTATAGACCCTGTAAGTAAAATGGGAATGCTGATGGGTTATGAAGTCAGACGGACCTGGAGACGTGATCCCTGAGTACTCCCCCGGACATCCCCAAGCCGATCCGTTGGGATCAGAATGTTTATGCCGGCTTGTGGTTAAGGGAGAGCTGTGTGGCAAAACCGCTTCCTGTTCATGTGTTTTCCCTGTACTTTCACGTTTTGTGCCAGCACCCCATTCAGGAGTGCATCCAAGAAGGGAAGCCATTCAACTCCCGAACGGGGATCACCCCAATACCAAATTTAGAACGCTGGGTTAGAACGTTCACACCTCACAACATAAGTGTCAAACCGCAAGGGAAACAATTAATGAGTGCTTCCCTGGGTGGCCGCCATTTGTACAGGCGAATGCCCACCATGGGGAGCATTTGTGGGTTGTTTCACGACTCGTTCATCTCCCGAATGACGACATCCTGATGCCGCATTAGAACGTTCACACCAATTACTCAGAACGTTCACACTCGCAACATAAGTGTGAAACCGCAAAGGAAGTAATGAATGAGTGATCCCCTGGGTGGCCGCTGTTTTGTATAGACGAACTCCGTCCAGGGGGAGCATTTGTATCACGGGTTTCACACATGGACCTCGCGATTGGGGACTGGTCGAGGAAGGTATCGCTGTGAGGGTCCCTGAGGTTGGTGTGGACACGTCTGGGGCACTGGCGAGCTTGTTGGGCTCCCACCGGCGGGCTTTCCTGTGCCTGGGAGACAAAGTGATGGTCCCTTTTTCCCACACCTGGACTCCCAGGCACAGAGGCTCCTGGGAAGAAGACCCCTGGTGGTTGGTGTGGGGAATCCTGTGGATTTAGTGGCGGGCTATGACCCCAGGGAGGAGAAGGATTCAAGGATGGGACGCAGTATGTTTGTGTGGTAAACAACTTGCATGGGGTTATGCATAAAAGCCATGTGTGGCCAATAAAATTGTGTTGTACCTCCAGAACTAGGTCTTGTCCAGTTACTGGGGGGGGTGGGGGGAAATGGGTTTCTTTGTACTTTATGTTGTTCCAGAGTGGCGAAAGGAAGGCAATAGCAGAGGTAACCAGTCGTGTTACCCGGAGTCCGCTACAAAGAGTATATTCAATACACTTAACAAGTTTCACCTATAATTAGGTTCTCAAAAGTGTTTACTATTAGAGGTCTTCTTTTTTCTTCCACCCCAAAAAAAGGCCAAATAAAAGTCCATATTGTCGAGTCACAGCTATTAAACTAAAAAAATGCAGATCACAAAAAAATAAAAAAAATTGGCATTGACTGAACTGGCAGGGCAATTTTAGTCAGAGTTCTCTAACAGGTATATCTTGGGATATACCTGGCAATCTCGAGATTTACCTGTCAGAGCACTCTGATTGGTTGGTTTAGCTAACTAGTCCTTTTTATGACTGTGGTGGGTAGGGGCAGGAAGGATCATACTGATCCCCACAGGGTGAATGGGGCATGGGGAGATTCAAGAAGCAGCAGGGAACACAGCTTCCGGTTTCTTCCATTTTTTTTCCCCCAATAACTTTATTGGTGTGCCTCTTCCATTTTAAGTATTACAAGGAGGGAGTTGTGAGTCGGTAGCTCCCTCCTTGTCATAAACAAAAATGAATGAACAAAGAACAAATTGCATAGACAAAATTTCATCCAACAAGCAATTCATTCTCTGTTTCATTTGTTGTCATTTGTGTTCCTCTATTCATCTTTCGGATGAATGGACGAAAATTCGGATGAAAACGTATTTGTTCGAAAAGGAATGCCCTAGTCTAGCAAATGCAGCAAGTTCAAAGAAACAGATCTTTAAAAAAAAAAAAATTTGTTGTGATTTGTTAATGCTTTAGTTCATGCATTAAATATGGGTGGATAACCTCAATTTGATTTCCACTTGCAAAACTATGAGTGCAATCATTTGGCAATGTGACTTGGTGAAACGGTTACATAATTCAATTGGTCTGATGTTCACGCTACAAGTATTTGCTTTTCTGTCTAGACTATTTCTGCCAGAGGTTATCCATGTATATTCATTTATCTGCATGTATAATCACCTTGAAAAAGTGCTGGAGGCTTTTTTTTGTGTATAGAATCCCTAATAAACTCCCATGAAGAAAATATATTATAAAAGAGATGCCCATAGAATTAAAGGGACACTATAGTCACCAAAACAACTTTAGCTTAATGAAGCAGTTTTGGTGTATAGATCATGCCCCTGCATTCTCACTGCTCCATTCTCTGCCATTTAGAAGTTAAATCATTTTGTTTATGAACCCTAGTCAAACCTCCCTGCATGTGACTTGCATAGCCTTCCTAAACACTTCCTGTAAAGAGTCATCTACTGTTTATCCTTCCTACTGCAAGTTCTGTTTAATTTAGATTTTTTATCCCCTGCTGTGTTAATAACTTGCTAGACCCTGCAAGAGACTTTTGTATGTGATTAAAGTTAAATTTACAGAGAAAGAGATACAATTGTTTAAAGGACCACTATAGTGCCAGGAAAACTTACTCCTTTTCCTGGCACTATAGTGCCCTGAGGGTGCCCCCACCCGCCCGGCTCTGGAAGGGGAAAAGGGGTTTAAACTTACCTTTTTCCAGCGCTGGGCGGGGAGCTCTCCTCCTTCTCTCCTCCTCCGTTCCGTCCCGTCCCCTGAATGCGCACGCGCGGCAAGAGCTGCGCGCGCATTCAGCCGGTCGCATAGGAAAAGCATTTACAATGCTTGAAAATCACAGTGAGAAGCACGCAAGCGCCTCTAGTGGCTGTCAATGAGACAGCCACTAGAGGCTTTGGGGGAAGGCTTAACCCATTAATAAATTCTCTGAAACTGCTATGTTTATTAAAAAATGGGTTAACCCTAGCTGGACCTGGCACCCAGACCACTTCATTAAGCTGAAGTGGTCTGGGTGCCTAGAGTGGTCCTTTAAGGTAAAGGACATCTGATTGAAAGTAAAACCATTTTTTTTTTCATGCAGGCTCTGTCAATCAGAGCCAGGGGAGGTGTGACAAGGGCTGCATAAACAGAAACAAAGTGAATTAACTCCTAAATGGCAGAAAATTGAGCAGTGAAACTTGAGAAGCATGATCTACACACAAAAACTGCTTCATTAAGCTAAAAGTTGTTTTATGACAAGGAACATTACTGGTGAACCCCATCAGCACTGAATGCTTACATTCATAGGCATGCACACAGGGTGTGCCAGATGTGCCTGGGCACACCTAAATCCCTGCTGCCCGCACTGTGTGCCTCCATGGGCCAGTGAGGGAGCTCAAAGATGCAGGAGAGGACCCGGGGGAGCTCTTGCCATCAGCTCCGCGGGGTTCCTCTCGTGAGGGCTGAGCGTTGCAGGCTCAAGCTCACTCACACTAGGACCACCAAGGATCAGGGATGGCAGCAAGTATTCCCTCTCCCAGGCAAAAGGTAAGAAGGGAGGGGGGCTATTTTCTAATCTGTGTGTGTGTGTATATATATATATATATATATATATATATATATATACACACACACACACACACACACAGGGTCTGAATTTGTGCTTTGGGGTGCACACCCTTATGCAATAGGCTGCGCACGCCTATGCTTACATACATTCTTCAATGTATAACAAGTAATATTACTTAAAGCCACCAAATAGAATGTGGAGATTGACATACCCATCTTTGTTTTGAACAGATGGCGAAGCACACATTAAATATTTAAATACTTCATACTTTTCTTGTACCATTTACAATAAACTTTTTTTTTAATCTAAAAAAGGGTGGGAAATAGGGGGAGAGGGAGGAATATAATAAAAACAATTTGATACTGATAAATAATATGAAACTGGAAGGCAGATCAGGAAGGCCATTCAACCATCTACTGGTTATAAATCAGTTTCCATCTTTGATAATTTTTATCAGAATACCCCTAGATCCAACACTCCAGACACATAAGACTGAATTGTTTTAGGTTATGAAGTCTGTCATATTTGTGTTTAAATGTACAGTTTTCAATAGAAATTGACATTTTTATCTTTGGGGGCAGAAACACCTCTTTGGCTCTCACACTGCTGAGCCAACAGAAGCAGCAGGCTCGCTGGTCTAGTACACATTTGCCTTCCCCCCTTATTAATAAGCCTTGCTGCAGCTCATCATTATTATTAAAGGAGCACTATAAGGCCAGGAACGCAAACATGTATTCCTGACCCTATAGTGTTAAAAGCACAATTTAGCTCCCCTGCCACCCCCACAACTTTAAATATAGTAAAACCTTACTTTTGTTCAAGTCTGCAGCTGCTGGCTCTGACCCTGATCTGCCTGCTTTGCTGACATCATCAGAAGTGTTGTTCTGAGTCAATCACAATGCTCTCCCTTAGGATTGTCTGAGACTCTCAAAGAGGCAGATCAGGGGCAGAGCCAGCATGATTCAAAGACCACCCTGGCCAATCAGCATCTCCTCATTGAATCAATGCCCCCCAAGTTCAGTTTCTCAATGCAGAGGGTGGAGACACTGAATGTCAGTGCTGTACAGTGTGCAGAACTGCCCTTGGAAACCCATCTAGTAGCCATCTGAGGAGTGGCCAGTGAAGTTATCACTAGGCTGTAATGTAAACACTGCATTCTTTCTGAAAAAACAGTTTTTACTGCAAAAAGCCTTAAGGGAATGATTATACTCAAATTAAATAATCTGTAGTTGTTCTGGTTTAGTAAAACGCCAACAGATTCCGCAGTGCTGCACAACATTACAGAGCCAAACCTGGGTGTGTGCAAAGAGGCAGGTCAGCAAAATGTGCAGTGCCAGGCCCCACCCCTCATGTTAGGTCCCACTTATTCTCATTAGGCCCTGCCTCCTCCTCAAACAGCTTCTCAGTTTATAATCTTTTCCTTCCAGCACTGCCACCTGGTGCCGATCTCAAAGGGGGAGGAACCTAATGAGAGGGTGGAGCCTAGCGCGGCACACCTTGATGATTCGTGCCTTTGCACCCACCCAGGATTGGCCTTGGCTCATTAAGAAGCATAGTAATACTGCATGCGCGTGTATTCCTCGGCACAGACTAAGTCTGTAACTCTTGCAAAGTGTGTTTCCATATACCTTCAACAAAGACATGCAGGAATAAAAATATATGAATGCTTTCTTTGGGGGTATATCTACTAAATTGTGAAAAATCAACAAAGTATTCATTTAAAGGCTGGAACTGCTTATTGAAAAATGGCAGAGTGGCCCTTATACTGGATTATAGATTTAATCAAAGACATGGAGCAAGACACAGTGCTCTTCCAATGGTATATTACCCCTCAACATGACATTGGCTAAAAGCTTATTATTTGCTGTGAGAGGCCCTCCACTGACTGTGAAAGTAGAAAATGTCTAGTAAAAGAGAAGGAACGGGCAAGTTCACCATATATAGTAATAAGATCCAACACAAATCCAAGTGCGGCTAATGCACATGGTAGAATTACGAGGGGATATCAACAAAACACAATCTTGTAAACTAGCTCATGAAAGGTGATCAAATGGGGATGGGATGTAAATTAATTAAAGACAAGACATGGTATGTTTAAAAAAAATGTTAAGGACTCCTCAGAGAGAAGGTCCTCAGGAGCTGCGCGCTTCGGAACCAATCATAAACAGGAGACAGGAAGAGTTACGGGGGGGAAAGAAACTTACATTATATGGGAAGAAGTATGTGGACACCTGACACCTATATGAGCTTGTTTCAGGTACAACAGCCGCCACTATTATGGATTGTATCTGTTGGAATCTGCCCATTCAGTCAAAAGAGCATTTGTGAGATCGGCCATTAATGTGCCACAAAGTTGAAAGCATTCAATTATTTTAAATGTCTTTGTATTGTGTAGCATTATGATCACCCGTCACTAGAACTAAAGAACTAGACCAAACTCTGAAAAACAGCCCCTCTTTCACCAAACTTTGCTGTATGCTTTCCTGTATGCAGTGTTCTCCTGTCATCCACATCCAGATTCTTCCAATTTTTTGACAATATTTATGTGAACATTTTTCACACATAAGAAAAAGAAAAAAAGGGATCTGGCCCAAAATACAAGACAATATTAAACATCACAAAGAGATTGCAGCTTAATTACAGTAAAGTCAAATAAAAGCATACCCTCCACCTATTCTGAAGTGTGAACCATATTAGTATGAAAAACAAAATACACCTCCGCATACAGTACTAGGTGCATTTTTTAGTTTGTTAAGTGAATAAAGAACCAATTAGACTGTTGACCAGAGGTAAGGAATAAAACGAGAAGTGTTAAAGAGGTAAGGCAAGGAGAGGGGAGAAAAAGAAGAAGATATATTGGGAGTTGGGAAGCACACTCAAGAACGAGGGATAATCTGTCGGGAAAGCCTCCCCATATCACAGACTTTAGCCAGGGATACCTTAATTCTATGCATTTAGCTTATCTATCACATTGAGCAGGAACAGAGTTGACTGGCTGCCCAAGTTACCTGTTCCTCTATATGGTATGTTCCTTCTCCAATACCAGGTACCCAAACAGCTAGGAGTCCGTGTTTCCTCCAAAGAGTCAGGGAAAACAGATTTAGAATCCTCAACTTGGTGGCTACATATAGCAGTCATAGCAATGATAAGAATTTCCATGTGGCAATGCACATGTTCAGGTGAGGCTTGTGTACAGATGCTTGGCCATGGAAAGTCGTCTGATGAAACTAATGCTGCATAGTTTACATGCTGATGTTGCTTCAAGAAGCAGTTTGGAACTCTGTAGTGGGTGATGCAACAAATGATTTGGTGTTTTTTCTGCATTTTGATGAGGGCATAGATTTGGAAGTATATTTTGAAATTCAAAAGTTGAGTTGTCTTTTGGATAGAACTCTGGCATTGAGCAAAGAGTGACTGTCTGCAAAAATCTGCATAAAGGGTGGTGGATGTAGAGGACCTGGATTTCCCCTCCTCATCTGGCAAAGGTAGAAAAAAACACTAGAAGGGCAACGGTTAACATACTAAACAATATTACTTTATAAAGGTTTAAAAACGTCTTGACAGACGTATAACAAGAGAGAAAAGAAAGGAAACGAGTGACCTTATGATTAAAATATAACTTTTAATGAATTCATTAAAAATAGTATGGATAGATATCCAAATATTAACTGTAAGGAGTCCTAAACAGAAGTTGATATATGATGAAAAGAATAATGTATCTATCCAATGGAAAATGCCCCACAAATATAATAATAGGGGCAAATATCCAGAGACAATATAAATGAAAATAAATAAAATGACTCAAAATTAAGAATAATAAATAGTATGGTTGGGAGGTTCTGTTCAAAAGTTTTCAGAGATCCAATCCCAAACTGAGTTTTGCAATCACAAAGAGTAAAAGTAATGTTGAAGCTGTAGAAATGTTACAAATAGAATTCCCTCCCCTCCCCTCTGATGAGTTGTGGGCGAAACGCGCGTCAGGGGCTCTCAGGGACTCTGAATTATTCTGACTTTTGAAACTACAGTATTATTATTTATTACCAAGACAATTTTTCTATCTCGGTCCCAGAATATATATTCTGCCGTTTGTGCACTGCTGAGCTAGTTTGGGGGTTCTTTATTATTAGGTGACGAGTAATCTTTTAGACCATCTTTCTTTACGATAGACTCCACTATTGGGACATAACACTCCTCTATTCGCTCTCAGTGCAATCATGGCTCTGTTCTCTCCCCACAGAGGCAGTTTATACATTTGAGCATCATCGATTGCTCGTAATGTTACATTGTATTTCGGAAGCAGCCTACTCATTGGAACACGATTAGTTGTTCTATAAAGTGTTACTGTATATCCCACTTATGAATTGTCTCTATGTATAATATAATAATTCTATTTGTAACATTTCTACAGCTTCAACATTACTTTTACTCTCTGTGATTGCAAAACTCAGTTTTGCTAATTCATTTTGGGATTGGATCTCTGAAAATTTTGAACAGAACCTCCCAACCATACCATTTATTATTCTTAATTTTGAGTCATTTTATTTATTTTCATTTATATTGTCTCTGGATATTTGCCCCTGTTATTATATTTGTGGGGCATTTTCCATTGGATAGATACATTATTCTTTTCATCATATATCAACTTCTGTTTAGGACTCCTTACAGTTAATATTTGGATATCTATCCATACTTTTTTTAATGAATTCATTAAAAGTTATATTTTAATCATTAGGTCACTCGTTTCCTTTCTTTTCAGTATTATCGCTTAGGCGAATGGGTTAACCCCTTTAAGAGTGATCCTGTAGCTTCCCTCTGCTCAGTTGTTTTGACGTATAACAAGAAACTTATCCAATGAAGAAATTATTGAGAAAGGGTGGGGATAGGCTGTATGTTTGATACAGCCTTGGTGAATCTACGGATTAGCTGAAGTTTTGATTATACAAAACTTCTAAAGCTACAAATTGGACTCTGGCAGTGGGTGGTCTTTTTTTTTTTTACTTTAGTCTGCAAAGAAAATTTAGAAGCTGATGAAGCGTGATTAATATGGGAGAATTTTTTGTTGAGTGCTCCATGAAAAAAACGTGTGCTAGGTGTTTCTACCTTTAAAAAACTGTTTCCGTAACTGGTGAGAAAACCCCCCAAAACTGTACATTCTTGAAATCAGATAACGTTTTTGTATAGTCTGATGATATATTGTTCTTTGTAATAGATGGTTACTTCTGTATGGGAGAGGTTATAGAAGAGCAGTCAAAGGGTCTCAAGTTTAACCCCTTAAGGACCAAACTTCTGGAATAAAAGGAAATCATGACATGTCACACGTCATGTGTCCTTAAGGGGCTAAAGAATAAAATGATTGGGGGTTAGGATGGAGCAATCATGATGACATCAGCACTTTTTTTTTCTATTCTGAACTTTTTTCCAATACTCTTATGATCAGAGGAAGAAGTATTAACCAACATTAACCCCCTAAAATGTCAATATAAGCACCATAATAACTATAGCACACTTAGCCAATAAATACTGTCTAAATCTGGCATGAGTTGGTTTTAATACAGAAGTATGACATTTGCTTTATCATAGCAATTCAGACTGAAAGGATCATGGGCACCCAACTCCATAACATAAGTTACAAACCATTTGTAAATTGGAGTGGATGAGTTGTTATGGTGCTTAGTGTCCTTTTAAAGGACCTATCACAGTCATAATGTCAATTTGTTATTTAATGCAGGGCTTGACACATTTGCTTTGAATCTAGTAGCCAGCTTAAAAAAAAAAAAAAAAAAGAGCCAGGTTTGTTTATTTAAAACAAACAACAAAAAATACAATTCTTAAAGGGACACTATAGTAACCAGAACCACTACAGCTTAATATAGTGGTCCTGGAGTCTATAGCCTGTCGCGAACGGCTTTTCAATGTAAAACACTGCCGGCTAGTAACGACTAGAGGTGCTTGCCTATCTCCAGTGCTGCACAGTGTGTAGCATCTACTTTCACAGAATCCAAACTCTGAATGGAGGTGATGGACATTTCCCATAGATTCAATGCATCTCTATGAGGAGATGCTAATTGGCCCAGCATTTTGCTGTGCATGCGCAATAGCCTGCCAATGCTTTCCTATGTTAAAGTATTGGCTGAGATCTCTCTCTGCCATGGAGGCAGGGGCCATCAGCTGTGAGACCAACACAGCGTGAAAAAAAAAAAAAAAAGATTAAAAACACCATTCCCTAGAGATCAGAGGTGGCTAGGTCACCTAATCATACACACAGTTTGACAGACACATGCACACTCATTGTGACACACACACACTCAATGGCACAGTCTCTTATTATTTGTTTTAATTCAGTTTAATTCCACTCAGCCTCCCTACCTTTGGGAGAACTGGAATGGATCGGCTTTCCTTGGGGTCCAGTTGGACCTCTGGTCATCTTCAAGATCTTCATGCTCTGGTCTCTCAAGCAAAGTTTTGTGATTTTGTGGTGATGTCATATTCTGTCTCACAGCATCACTGCAGGTGGTGCGAGGAAGCGGAGCAAGAAGATTACAGCTCCCTTACCACCTCCATTCCATGCAGCCGGCTGTCCAATCACGTCGGAGGAAACGGCTAAATCTAAGGCACCAGGACAAAATTCCTAGTTGCCACGGTGTCCAGGAAGCTTAATTAGGGGCTGCATGAAGTTGTCATAGATATATAGAGAGAACTTTCCATTCTTCTGTAAGTTACCCCTGAACAAAGTCGTTAAAGGGTTCCTCCAGGTTTTTGTTTTTTTTAAATGTTGCATTATTTCCCCTTGTTAGAGTTCCAGGCTACCTAATCAGGTGGGCGAGGGGACCTAGCCTACAGCACATAAGTGCACATATTTCTGGATGTGCAGCATTTAAAGTTTAGGCACTGCAGATACAGATTGCCGCCACCATGACCACTTCAAAAAAAGGGTTTTACCAAAATAGCTTGAGTTCTAAATCTTGATACTATATTGCTCAGTGTAGCTTTTCAGTACCTGTGGCTGCGGTTTCTTTATGCAATGACCAAGGGATGTTCATCTACAGTGTATTAATCTACACTCAATACCTTGATATAAAAAATTAATTTAAAAAAAGCTAAAGTATTCAAACCCTTAACACAGCATTTTGTGTGAAGTACCTTTGGCAGCCTTAAGTCTTTTAGGGTATGATGCAACAAGCTTCACACACCTGGATTTGGGTAGTTTCTGCCATTCGCCTCTGTAAATCCTTTCAAGCACACTCTGGTTTGATGGAGACCATCGGTGGACAGACATTTTCTGCTCTCTTCAGAGATGCTCAATTGGGTTCAACATTCTTCGTGGTCTTAAGTGTGTGCATAGTGTAATTTTCCTGTTGGAATTGAACCTTTGGCCCGGTTCTAGGGTCCTGAGCGCTATGAACCAGGCTTTCATCAAGGAGATCTCTGTATTTTGTTGTGTTCAGCTTTCTCTCAAACCTTGACCGGTCTCCCAGTTCCTGCCACTGAAATACACCCCAAGGCATGATGCGACAACCACCATGCTTAAATGTTATAGTAAACAGGGGATGAGCATTGCCTGGCTTGCTCCAGACATGATGCTCTGATTTGATGCCAAACAATTCAACCTTTATTTTATCAGACCAGAGAATCTTGTTTCTCACAGTATAAGTCCTTGAGATACTTCCCAAATTTCAAGTGGGCTTTCGTGTCTCTTTCAGTGTGGAGAGGATTTAATCTGCCCAGTCTGCCCTAAAGGCCAGATATATTGAGTGTTGCAGTCATGGTTGGCCTTATGCTAGTTTCTCCCATTTTGCCACAACATCTGGAGTTCAAAAAGAATGACATCCATTACCAAAGCCTTCTCTCCAGACTGCTCAGATTAACTGGGTGGCAAACTATAGGAAGAGTCCTGGTTGTTTCTTCCATTTAGGAATTATGGAGGCCACTTGGCTTTTTTTGTAGCCTTCCTCAACTGAGTCTCCAGACAATCCTGTTTGAGCTGTGCAAGCATTTCCTTTGACCTAATGGCTTGTTTTTTATTTTAAGGATACACATTTACAACTGTAAGACCCTATATAGACAGGTATATGCCTTTCCAAATCATTTCCAATTAATATGAATTTGCCACAGGTGGACTCCATTAAGTAGCAACATCTCAAACATGATTCAGAGAAATGAGATGCACCTGAGAGTTTAAAGTATTTACACTGAACAAAATTATAAACGCTAAACTTTTTCTATGTACACAAAAGGCCTATTTCTCTCAAATCTGTGTTAGTGAGCACTTCTCCTCTGTTGAGATAATCCATCCACCTCACAGGTGTGGCATATCAAGATGCTGATTAGACAGCATGATTATTGCACAGGTGTGCCTTAGGCTGGCCACAATAAAAGGCAACTAAAATATGCAGTTTTATAACAGCATAATTCCACAGATGTCACACGTTTTGAGGGAGCGTGCAACTGGCATGCTGACTGCAGGAATGTCCACCAGAGCTGTTGCCCGTGAATTGAATGTTCATTTCTCTACCATAAGCCGCCTCCAAAAGGCGTTTCAGAGAATTTGGCAGTACATCCAACTGGCCTCACAACCGCAGACCACTTGTAACCACACCAGCAAAGGACCTCCACATCCAGCATCTTAACCTCCAAGATCGTCTGAGACCAGCCACCCGGACAGCTGCTGCAACAATCGGTTTGCATAACCAAAGAATTTCTGCACAAACTGTCAGAAACCGTCTCAGGGAAGCTCATCTGCATGCTAGTCGTCCTCATCGGGGTCTCGATCAGACTGCAGTTCGTTATCTTAACCGACTTGAGTGTGTAAATGCTCACATTCGTTGGCGGCTAGCACTTTAGAGAGGTGTTCTCTTCACGGATGAATTCTGTTTTTCACTGTACAGGACAGATGGCAGACAGCATGTATGGCGTTGTGTGGGCGAGCGGTTTGCTGATGTCAACGTTGTGGATCAAGTGGCCCATAGTGGCGGTGGGGTATGGTATGGGCAGGAGTAGGTTATGGACATTTTGAATGCACAGAGATTCAGTGACGAGAACCTGAGGCCCATTGTTGTTCCATTCATCGACGACCATCACCTCATGTTGCAGCGTGATAATGCATGTCCCCATGTTGCAAGGATCTTTACACAATTACTGGAAGCTGAAAATATCCCAGTTCTTGCATGGCCAGCATACTCACCAGACATGCCACCCATTGAGCATGTTTGGGATGTTCTGGATCCGCGTATACGACTGTGTTCCAGTTCCTGCCAATATCCAGCAACCTTGCACAGCCATTGAAGAGGAGTGGATCAACATTCCACAGGCCACAATCAAGAGCCTGATCAACTCTATGTGAAGGAGATGTGTTGCAATGCGTGGTCACACCAGATACTAACTGGTTTTTCGAACCTTATCTACCCCCCAATACAGTAAATCTGCACATTTAAGAGTGACCTTTTATTGTGGCCAGCCTAAGGCACTTGATATGCCACACCCGTGAGGTGGATGGATTATCTCGGCAAAGGAGAAGTGCTCACCAACACAGATATAGACAGATTTGTGAACAATATTTGAGAAAAATAGGAATAGGTCCATAGAAAAAAAAAAGTCTTAGATCTTTCAGTTCAGCTCATGAAAAATAGGGCAAAAACAATAAAAAGTGTTGCGTTTATAATTTTGTTCACTGTAATAAAAGGGTCTGAATACTTATGTAAATGTGTTATTTAGTAAGTTTACAAAAAGTTTTCTAAAATCTGGATTTTGCTTTGCCATTACGGGGTACTGGGAACAAAAAAATAAACAAACAAACAAAAAGCAACTGTGCATATGCAAATGTGAAAATAAATGAAGGGAGTCTCAATACTTAAGAAAGCACTGTATGATCAAAAATTAGGTATGGTAGATCTTTTATAACAAAAAATTGCTAAGAGAAAACCAGTAACGCAAAACCGCGTTCATAAAGCAGGATTATTAATGGAAAAGCAATGGTTTTTGAATATTATACTTTTGATATGCATGCAACCACTTACTCTTAAAACATTGGAGCAGATTATTTTAAGGTTTATACATCACACTCCCATTTAGGTGCAGCTTTTAATTCAATTAAACTACTCCATGAAACCAGCAATCCCAGGCCAACCCAAACAGTTAAAGAAGCCACAACCTTAATAAATTGAGCACTATGTTGTTCATACCATATATAGACTTTCAAATACTATGGTGTATTTATGAGAAATCAGGAGACAAAAATCAGACTGCAATTTTTAAATATTTTTTATAGAAATGTAATCAGGGAAATTAAGCAGTGGACAACATTAGTAAAAGTTTATTTCGGAACATAGAAATGCTTCAGTTAAACTGTTCCTCTATTGCATCTACTATGTACTGAACGCTTAACATTTTAGAACCCCATAGAAAAGAACAACAATCATTTCAAAAGGGTTATAAATAAAATATCTTGGCCACAAAGATTTTCAAATACATAAAAGAAAGGAATTCTCATGGAATTCTACCTATGCATCTGTCCAAAAATCAAGTACCGATTGTGGAGCAATAAGTTAAAAGAAGATCTAGTTTAGGACACCAGGTTGCAGGTACAAAAGAGTGTTCATATTAACAAATATGGTTTCATATTCCAAATGTGGAAAGCTAAGGCACTGGACTGTAACAACAGACTTATAAAACTGTTTGATGCCCTTAAAGAACTATTACTGGCTTTTGTTAATTTATAATATCTACATTTATATATAGCACTGAACTGTATACAATTGGTTCAGAAAGTCACAGTTTCTGTTAAAGTGAACATGATCATATTCTTAAATCCAACCAATATCTTAGAGGAGATTATATTGTGACACCAGATTTATATAAAAAGGTCTTCATTTCTAGATTATTAACAATTATTCCAGCAGTTTGATATAAATCAGAGTTATTCTCGGCACTTAGGAATTGCCCCCAACTTTACCACATTAACAATGCAGAATTTACTCTTCTGTCCAACCTGTACAGCATTGCCTAGTTAACCCAACCTTGTCATTCTCAGTCAATCAATGCCATTTAAGTTGGCCAAAACAGACATTGATAATGCGGACAAGTAAATTAATTGCATTATCAATGTGGCAAATATGAGCCCAGGTTTATAAAAAAAATATTTTTCTAAATGGTTTGAAACTAAACCAGGAGATGGCACAAGTGAACAAACTATAGCGAGTCAAAAAGAAAAACAAAACTATAGCGCGTTGTAGTGGTTATGTTGCTTTCATTAAGGGCTCAGAATCCACACATGATGGGATTTAAATATAGAAATATAGGGAGTATTGGCACTGCATTTACAGGTATAATGGAAAATATAGGTTACCAAATATTTAAATATTTCTACCCCAGTATAGGACTACCAGAACCATCCTGCATAGAAACAAATCTATATTACACAGTTTTTGTTTTCTTTCCTGTTATCTTTAGACAATATGGTAAAAATAAAAATTCTCGAAAAGAAAAATGTAATCCTGATGGGAACTTAAAAAAACAACAACAAAAAAAACACTAAAATCCAATTTATGCTTTGAATAGATATATCAGGTACCCACAGTAGATGCAAATAGGTAGGTAACAATACACATTTTCTGTCCAATCGTTTGTTTGTTTTTAAATCCTAAATTAACCCACTTTTACTGCACACCCCCATCTCAAACTTTAGAGTTTCCCTTTTCTTCTACGATTATATAGTTAGATTTTGTATCAGAAGGCAAAGTTGTTTGGGAGTTTGTGTATAACAGATTTTCTGGGTGTTTCTTTGTTCTTTTTCGATTGTAGAAAGCAAACAGTAGAACTAAAAACAAAGAATTACGGTGTAGGAGACTTACTGGTTAAAATCAGCACGGTCATAGACAGTTAAAGCAGAATATTGGTCTTATGAGAAAATTCCTGCCTGTTCAGAATTCACTGCAGAAGCTGAAAAGCCTGAGGATTTACATAAAATGCAGGAACTTCAAAAGTGTTTATTTTTCTTTTATCTATAGAACACTTGAAAAAAGGGTCAGCCCCAGTGTGGATTTCTTTTGAGTCAATGACAATAGAGTTGTATGAAAAACACAAACTGAAATAAAAAGGTATGCTTCAGGTTCCTCTATTCAATTCACAAATTCATTAATTTCTAGTTTTATACCTCTTAAGATACAAGGTAATTATGGTCACACCTAATGCATTTGAGGAGGAATATCATATACATTACCAAGTGCAAAATATATGAAAATGTACCAAATGTGGCTTAGAAAAGTTTATGAATTAATTTATTTTCCAAAAAGGAGTATGTTTACACACATTATATAAATATATATATATACATATATATTATATATAAAGTTTTGCAAACCTATTAAAAGTGTTATCTGAATGGATACCTCACCCCACTGCATAGCAAGACAGAACATCTCAAGCAAAGGATCTGACCTATTTATGGAAACTCATCGGCGTGCAAACATAAGTCCTGAAATCACTGAACCCTTTAAATTGATCCACAGGACTTGTTTGAGAACCAAAGTCCTGCTGTAAGTAACAAACGCACTACATTTCTCTGACTTTTGGGCACCTGCAATACTTCTAAAATACGGTTTTCCATCAACAGAATCAATAGATAAGAGACGGAAACATGAATATACAGATTATGTGGGATGACAAAGGTGTAAAAAAAAAACGAAACACTGTAATATTGCAATACTTGTGGTTAGATATATTCTAGCAACTGCCAAACAGAGACATTTACTTCACAGACAACCACAAAAATAGACCTGCAATATATCCAAATAATTTAAGAATAAAAAATAAACCCCCCACCCCTGCCCAAAAAAAAAACAAAAAAACAAAAAAAAACACAACCCAAAACAGACTATAAGCCCCTGATTTATCAATGAACAGATCAAAATCTTTGCCAAAATCACTCTTATCCCCAAAAGAGGTTTCTCCCTTGCATGTGGCAACTCGGAATTATTTATTACTTCTGATGGTCATCTTACTATGCAAATGAAGACCAGAAACAAAAGGTGTGAATATTCAAAATAATTACTGTATAAATCACTTCATATTATATTGCAGTACCCGCCATGAAGATTTTACCAATACCCTAAAACCATTTTCATGCAGTCTATAGAGGCAAAGCTCACACAAATCTTGAAGGAAAGAAAAAGCACCAAACTGAGCCAGGAGAATAACCACAAGTTTCACAACATGAGATTGTCACGTAAGTTCATAATATCCAATGTGCACATTACTTTTAGAAAACTTGACTAGAACAGACATCTGTCTGGATACTGGTTTTTAAAAAGGTTTAGATGGGGGAAAAATGGGGTGGGGAAGGAGGGGGGAAATACCGTGTTTTATTTGTAATGCCCACTTGGAAAAACGGGCATCTGTTTTAAAATCATACTATTACGGATTCTTCAACAGATTTTTTTAAAGGGTCGACCTCTTTGATTTTTTGGGGGACTTATTTACTGCATTGATTGGCAGCAAACTGGATTAAGTACAGTCTATGTGGTTGAGATATGTTTTTTCCCCCCACTGAACATAGGAGCGATTCATTCATTCCAATTCAGACAATTTACACGGCCTTCGGAATTCCTGACCTCGCTCATGGATCCATTTATTTGACACTGAAAAAAAAAAAAAAAAAAAGTTGAGTTAAAGATATATTTACTAGAATAACCCATTTGTTTTTATCAGCACAGTGCTGTACAGTTATATGTTCAGTACAGTAATAGGAATGGTTTAATTTTCACATACGCTGTCTCCCAGGCAGATGTTAACTTAGACAAACTGACCAAAAGTGTTCAAAATTAGAAACTGATATTTCAGTCTCTTCAATGGACATGAAGGATTATATATGTACCTTGGGAGTGAACACATTCTGTAAATTACAATTCAAAATGTTTGTTAACGTCACTTTAAACAGTATTGCTCTACAATAAGGATCCCAATACTCACCCCATTTATTTCCAACTAAGACTGGACAGGCTGCATGCCTTGTGCTATAGTCTCCTTCACCGCTTTCAAAAAGATTATACCAGAATACTGCAGTACCCTAGGGAACGGAAAAAAAAATAAAAAAAATAAATGATTGAAAAAGTCTTCTAGAGCAGTGATTTTCAATTGGTGTGTCTCAAACCACACCGACTTCAGGACTGCAATAGGTTGAAAGTATTTTTTTTTCTTTTTAATGTAAAAATGTGTGCCAGCATTATAAATGGTATTACAACAAAGTCAGTTTAGTTAGAAGTAGATATATATATCTAGGTAAAGTTAATGTTGAATGAATAGAGGAAATATAAAAATAATAATAGGTGTATAAAAAGTTTGGGAACCACTGCTCTAGAGCAATACTCCATGTATCCAGTTCAAAGAAAACCCATCAGTTCAAGATCATTTAACTCAATTTACTAGATCTCAACAATGAGGCAATTTTAGCCAAGGCTCTGGCTGCTCCATTTCCCACCTAATCCCCAAGGTGGAACTTCTTAAAGCATTTCACAGTGTTCAAATCTTTACGCAATACTTGGCCATACAGTAGTTTTCCAGCATGGCAGAAATGTACTATCTATTGCCAAAAGGGAAGTTTACCCAATATACAGTTGCTGGAAATCTGTGAGGCAACAGTGAGGGTATATTTCTTGGATCCCTTCCGCTAAAACATTTTCTTATCTTTTTTCTGTTCTATGCATTTACATTATCCCAGTATATGTATTTCCACCACTACAACCCAATGATACACTTACTCTTCTTCAGCATATTTCCCTCATTCACATAACTAATAAAAAATATTTTTTTAAATCCTACTCGCACAATATGCTTTTATAAGCTGCTGTTTTGACAGTTTCTCCCACTGTCATTCTTAAATTTAAAAAAAAATACATACCAATCAACAAACTCAACTGCCCTGATGCCTCCAGTCTGTTCTCTGTAACCTCCTCCTTCGGCCTCACACAGTGGTCTACTTCAGCAACTCATACAGCAGGAAATACTCTTGAACTCATCTTTATCAATCTCTGTATCACCTCCAATCTCTTCACTGTTCAATTTCCTTTATCTGACCCCCATCTGCTGACCTTTGACATCAGCATACCCCATACCCAAATTTCACCACCCTCAACTCTACAATCTTGCAGAAACCTCAACTGCCTTGATCTCCAGCATTTCTCCATCAAACTCCAAACTCTCCTTTTACCCATCTCAAATCTCACTTGCCTTAACTCTGCAACCTCACTCTACAACTCCACGCCCTCCTCTCAACTAGACATCATGGCACCTCCTACATTTAAATGCAGCAAGCGTTCCCAATTACAACCCTGACACACCAAGCTGACCCGATATCTCCAAAAATGTTCAAGAACTGCTGAACGCTGTTGGAGAAAGTCTCACTCAGCACCTGACTTCCTCCACTATAAAATGTATGCTGCGCTCCTACACTCTGGCTTTTTCCTCTGCAAAAGTAAATTACCTCAATACCCTCATAACCACAATCTCTTGCGTACCCAAACGACTATTTCACACTTTTAATGCTCTCCTTCGCCCTGTTGCTTCCCCTTTTGCTACCATCCTGTCCGCCTCAAACTTTGCAAAGTACTTCACTGAGAAGATTTCTACAATCAGGGAAGAGATCTCTAACCTCTCTCCATCCCCTTCCTGTACATCACCCAACCCCACTCCCTCCGCAGTTCTATGCTCATTCGCACCTACTACAATGGAAGAGGTTTCTGCTCTGGTCTTCCCACCCCACCACCTGTTTCCTCGTTCCTATTCCCTCATTTCTCATCCGCACTCTGTCTCCCTCTCACTAAAATTTTCAATCTCTCCCTTTGCTCTGGCTCATTTCCCTCACCCTTCAACCCCCTAAGCATGCAACCATAATGCTGATTCTGAAAAAGCCAAACAGTGACCTCAACACCCCATCCAACTACTGCCCTATATCACTACTTCCATTTGCCTCCAAGATCCTTGAGTGAGTTGTGCATGCGGGATTGACAGACTTCCTCGAATCCAACTCTCTGCTTGACCTGCTTCAGTCTGGATTCCACACTCGTCACTCTGTTGAAACAGCTGTGACCAAAGTATCCAACGATTTAAATCGCTGCTAAAGCTTGTGGCCATAATTCTATCCTAATTCTCCTTGATCTTACTGCTGCCTTTGACAATGTTGATCATCAACAGCTTCTTCTCATTCTTTGTAATCTCGGAGAGAGAGTTGATATTCCCACTGTCCTGTTGGCTCTGCAAGAAACGCTTTTATCTCCCAGAAGAATTACATAAGCGTACGACTCACTAGACCTTCTCGGTTCCAAACAATCAGAGGATAAAATAGAAAAATCGGTGGTGGATTATTTTTGCATGCAATCTTTGAGGATATTCTATACAGTCTATGTTATAGACTGCATTTCTAGTACAGCAACGTTAGGAAAGCCAATATGTATAAACCACCCTTTTAGATATATTTTACACAAAAATATTTCTTGTATTGTAATTTATGTTTTTGTTTTATAAACGTTTTGACTACTATGTGCTCTTGCACCATCCATTTCTCATAGCTAATGTTATACCTTTTTCGGATAGACAGCTGCTCCAACTTCTGGAAACACTGTAGCACCACCTGCTTCCACATCACTCATCTGCAAGTACAGGAAATTGAAAATGATTTAGCAATGTACTGTACTGAAACCTAGTGAGCCTTTATATCCACTGTGCTCATTTGGGATATATCCACCATTTACATCATATAGCAATACAATTTATAGAATGTAATTAATAATGCTTTAGATCTGTGCTTCTTCCCCCTCCAACAGCATGTTTATATTCCTAATGTTAGAATGTTCCTTTAAAAATAATCCCATGCAATGCAAACTTAACTTACTGTGATGTACCATAAGTTTGAAAATATATAAGAGAAAGGTTTCATCAATGCCCTCTCTTTCTCTCTGGTTGTGTACTTTTTTCAAGGAGAAAATTATGGCACTCAGCTGGCAATATAAGGACACAGTGGAACTAAAGTATGCAAAATATATCTGCACATTGTGTCATTAGGTCTATATGGTCCTTCACTAGTTCACTGAAGAAGAGCACTTTTCAGTGGCATGAATAAGATATTAGGAGTAAGCTAGCATGCTTGATAAAAATAATAAAGTCATATTAAACAAATTATACAAAAAGGGATAGGACATGAGAAAAAAAAAATAATGGGAAGGATATAAGTAAACAACACGGTGAAGGAGAACACTATCAGGTTATTCTCCAAAGTGAAAATTGTCAGGAATTGTCAGGAATTCAAATGGAATTTTAAATTTTAGGCCAAAACAGCTGAACTGTAAAAAAAAATTTTCAAATCAAATTAAAAAAAAGGAATAACCCTGTAAATATGTTATGGTCCTGTTAATGAGCTGATGAGTTAAATAAAGGCAACATAAAAAAGATACTTAACGGTGACATATGGGAAATATAAAAATATTTTGAAGCAGCAAAATGTGACCACTATGGTGGTGTCACGAAAGGCTGAAGATCAGCCACAACATTTAAGGCCACTGCTAGGTAAAGTGAAGAACATGGATTATATTGTTACAATGGCACCTGTCGAGGGGTGGGATATATTAGGCAGCAAGTGAACAGTCAGTTTTTCAACTTCATGTGTTGGAAGCAGAAAAAATGGGCAAGTCAAAAGATCTGAGAGACATTGCCAACAGTCAAATGGTAATGTCTTCACAACGGGGTCAGAGCCTCTACAAAACGGGAGGTCTTGTGAGGTGTTCCCGTTATGCAGTGATTAGTACCTTCCAAAAGTGGTGCGTAGAACGACAACCATTGTACCGACAACAGGATCATGGGGGCCCAAAATCATTGATGCACGTGGAGAGCGAAGACTAGCGAAGACTAGTCTAATACTGTAGCTCAAATTGCTGAAAAACGTAATGCTGGCCATGATGGAACGGTGTCAGAACACATAGTGCTTAGAATGCCCATGACGACCCGAATGTGTCTTCAAAATGGGAGTGTCAAAACTGGGCGATAAAGCAATAGAAGAAGGTTTCCTGGTCTAATAAATCACATTTTCTTTTAGATCAGGTGGATGGCCAGGTGCATGTGTGTCGTTTACCTTGGGAAGAAATGGCAGCAGGTTGCACTATGGGAAGAAGGCAGGCCAGTGGAGGCAGTGTTATGCTCTCGGGGATGTTCTGCTGGGAAACTTTAGGTCCTGACCTTCATGTGGATGTTACTTTGAAATGTACCAGCTACCTATAGACTGTTGCAGACCATGTATAGCCCTTTACTGCAATGGTGTTCCCTAATGGCAGTGCCCTTTTCCAGCAGGATAATGCACACTGCCACAATGCAAAAATTGCTCAGGAATGGTTTGAGGAACATGAACAAGTTCAATGTGTTGCCTTGGCATCCAAGTTCCCCAGTTCTCAATCTGATTGAGCATATGTGGGATGTGCCGAAACAAAAAATCCATTAAATATGTTGTTTGAGCTAGGCATTGGGATTTAACCCCTTCAGTGCGTTTGGACCGCTGACGGTCCTGAACCGTCATAGCGAAAAGCGGGCTGCGGGAAGCGATCAAAGATCGCTCCCGCCAGTATAACACTGTAACTATCTGCCAGACATCCAAGGCAGATATTAACAGCCAATTGCGGCGTGTGAGCGATCTGCGATCGCTCACAATTGGCTGCTGTCAAAGTGGGTGTTACAAACACTCACTTTGACAGTGATCTCTGCCCCTCGAGGCGAGAGAGAAAGAGATTGTGATAGTTTGTTGCAGCAGAAGTGTTCCAGAGCTTTATACAGTATCTAAAGTGAATAAAAAAATCCCTTTTAACCCCTTCCCTGCCAGATCTGTTACAGCAGTGCATTTGTTGTACAGCAGGGTTAATTTTGTTTTAAAAATCTGTGTCTTGGTCAGTCAGTTTCTTTCCCCCAAATCTCCATTAGATTTTTGTGACAGGAGTTAGTTTAGGGATTGCCGTTTAGTCTGTTTTAGTAAAAAAAAAAAAAAGTATAACATTTATTTTGTGTGTTTGTAATTTGTTTTAGTTGTGTGTAAAACATGCAGTGTATGCATAACTTGCAGGAGGCATATGCCTTCTTGGCGTCCGACTCTGACGCCACTGACACTGCGTCAGATTTTGACCCAGGTCAGTTTCTGTGTGTGAACCGGCTGAAGAAAGAAGCTGTGCTTCCTCTGCTACGCTGAATGTGGAGGAGGACTGGGTACCTCCAAAAGTTAGCCGAGCCCAACGTCCCCCCTTTTAGTGCCAACGCAGGCATTAATGTTAATGTGGATGGCTTCTCCCCAATGTAGTATGTATAACTATTTTTAGGGGATACCATCTGGGAGGAGATTGCTTCCCAGACTAACTTGTAAGCTACCCAATTTATTGATAACAATCCAGGTAGCTATACAGTCAGGGAGCATGACTGGCATCCCACAGATGTCCCAGAGCTTAAAAACTTCTGGGCTCTTACAATGCTCATGGGGATTATATAGAAGCCATCGATTCGTTCATACTGGAGCACTAACCCAATAATGTCTAGTCCAGTATTTTCCCAAACTATGCCTAGAGCCAGATACGAGTTACTGCTGAGATTTTTACATTTCAGTGACAATACCCTATGTCACCCTAGAGATCACCCCCAATACGATAGGCTTTATAAAATACGCCCACTGCTAGACCATTGTCAGGACAAATTTTCGGATGTTTATACCCCCCAACAAAATTTATCCATAGATGAATCTCTAATGAAATACAAAGGGAGATTAGGGTTCAGACAATACATCCCCTCAAAGCGCACTAGGTATGGCATAAACTGTACAAACTGTGCAAGAGTGAAAGTGGATACACGTTTGCCTTTCGTGTATATGAGGGGAAAGATGGTCAACTGGACCCTCCTGGCTGTCCTGACTCCCTGGGGACAAGTGGGAAACTTGTATGGGACCTACTAAACCCCTTGTTTAATAAAGGTTACCATCTTTATGTGGATAATTTTTATAGTAGTGTCCGTCTGTTTAAAACACTTTATGGTTTACAGACACTGGCATGCGGCACTGCCAGAAAAAATTCCAAAGACTTTCCACGATCTCTCATAGAGGCAAAATTAAAAAAAGGCGAACGTAAAGCACTTCGCAAAGCTGAAGTGCTTGCACTAAAATTTAGGGACAGGAAGGATGTCAACATGCTAACCACCATCCATGACGAACGCATGTCAGAAGTCTCTGTCCGGGGCAGAGTAGAGTCCAAACCGGTTTGCATCAGGGCGTATAATAAGTACATGGGGGGTGTTGATTTGGCTGATCAGCTGATGCAGCCATATCTTATTTTACAAAAAACCAAAGCATGGTATAAAAAGGTGGCTATCTATATGATGCAAATAGCAACCCACAACTCAATTTTGCTTTTTTTTTTTTTAAAAAAAATCCAGGGAAAACCACCTTTCTCCAATTTCAGTTGAAAATAATTTCTTTAACAATTTATGGAGATGGACAAGTTCCAACAATGGTGCAAGCTGAGTCCAGACATTTTATTTTTAAGTTACCGCCAACTGCTAGAAACCCCCCACAGAAACGTTGCCAGGTCTGTTTTAAAAACGGGAAAAGGAAAGACACCCCTTTTCACTGTCCTGATTGCCCTTCAAAACCAGGACTGTGTGTAGGAACATGTTTCAAGCTGTACCACACAGAACAGTTGTGAGAAGTGTTCCTGAATTTTTATTTTTATTTCTTTGGAAAGCAGCCATTTTTTGTTAGTCAGTTTCCTTCGCCCAAATCTCCAGTTAGATTGTATTTGCAGGAGTCAGTTTAAAGATTGCCGCTAAATGTACATTTGCTACCTGCACATTTGGTCTAACAAGTTTTCTGGCAGTAACACAACCAGCTGGCCAAAACCAGATGACGTGTGCATAAAAAAACAGAATTAACAAATTACTACTACACTTTCTTTGGGGGGCAAAATGGTTGGTGGAAAGAAGTCAAAACACCCCATCTTCTATAACCTTTGATGTCTACTTTATAAAAATATATACTATGTATACTGTCATGATGGTAACATTAACTGGGGGCTTCAAAATATGAAAGCTGAAGATAGACCAAGCATACCTATATATCAAGTTGAAAAACTGACATGTACAAGTTCTGATTGTTGCCTTTTGGCCCCCAAACAACCCAGCAACCCTATACATGGGGGGTAATCACTGTACTTGGGAGATGTTGCTGAACATATTGGGCAGTGTTTGGCAGTGACACATAACAGGATCTGTTAATTCATGCCTAAAGTACAATGTGTGTGACAAAGAAACAATAAAGATTACTACCCAAAAGTTTGACAAAGGCTGGTGGTAGAATTCAGTGTATGAAAAGTGTTAAAATAACACCATTTAAAATACCCTGGATTGTCTACTTTTCAAAAATATATGGTTTGATGGGGGTAAAATACATTGGCTCAAATGGGACATGGGCGCAGGTTGATTACATGTCAAAATTCCAAATTGGGAAACTGATAAGCACACCTGCCAAACGTGGCCTTTTAGCCCCCAAAGAACCCAACAAGCCTATGCATGGGTGGTATCACTGTATTCAGGAGATCTTACTGAACACATTTTGGGGTGTTGTTTGGCAGTGATACATAACAGGATCTGTTAATTCATGCCTACAGTACAATGTGTGTGAAAAAAAAACAGAAAAAAAAATTACTAACTCAATGTTTGACAAAGCCTGGTGGTAGAATTAGTGCATGGAAAGTGTTAAAATACCATGTGAAATACCCTAGGGTGTCTACTTTTCAAAAATATATGCTTTGATGGGGGTAAAATACATTGGCCGGCTTAAAAAATGTCCCAAATAGGACATGCATGCAGGTTGACTACATGTCAAAATTCCAAGCTGGGAAACTGATATGCGCACCTGCCTTTTAGCCCCCAAACAACCCAACACACCTATACATGGGGGGTATCCCTGTACTCGGGAGATGTTGCTGCACACATATTGCGGTGTTGTTTGGCAGTGATACATAACAGGATGATTACATAGTTACATAGCTGAAAAGAGACTTGCGTCCATCAAGTTCAGCCTACCTCACATTTGTTTTTTGCGGTTGATCCAAAAGAAGGCAAAAAAAAACCCAGTTTGAAGCACAATTTTGCAACAAGCTAGGAAAAAAAAATCCTTCTTGACCCCAGAATGGGAGTCAGATTTATCCTTGGATCAAGCAGTTATTACCCTACATTGAAAGATTATATCCTTGAATATTCTGTTCTTGCAAGTATGCATCTAGTAGCCGTTTGAACATCTGTATGGACTCTGATAAAACCACTTCTTTAGGCAGAGAATTCCACATCCTGATTGTTCTTACAGTAAAAAAACCTTTCCTTTGCCTTAGACGAAATCTTCTTTCTTCCAGTCTAAACGCATGGCCTTGTGTCCTATGTAAAGTCCGGTTTGTGAATAGATTTCCACACAATGGTTTGTATTGGCCCCGAATATATTTGTATAATGTTATCATATCCCCTCTCAGGCGACGTTTTTCTAAACTAAATAGATTTAAATTTGTTAACCTTTCTTCATAGCCGATATGTTCCATTCCTTTTATTAGTTTTGTAGCCCGCCTCTGCACTTTTTCTAGTGCCATAATATCCTTCTTTAGAACAGGTGCCCAAAACTGCACAGCATATTCAATATGGGGTCTTACCAGTGATTTATAAAGAGGCAAAATTATATTCTTGTCCCGAGAATGAATGCCCTTTTTCATGCATGACAATACCTTACTGGCCTTGGCCACTGCTGATTGACATTGCTGCATAGTTTGTTGTCTATAACAATCCCCAAGTCCTTTTCATGTGTTATCCCTAATTCGCTTCCATTAAGGGTATACGTTGCTTGTGTATTCTTTACGCCGATGTGCATAACTTTGCATTTTTCAACATTAAATTTAATCTGCCATTTGAGTGCCCAGTCCCCCAGTCTATCTAAGTCCCTCTGCAGCAAAGTAATATCTTGCTCACATTGTATTGTTTTACAAAGTTTGGTGTCATCTGCAAACACTGAAACATACTTTCAATGCGGTCTTCAAGATCATTTATAAACATGTTAAATAGAAGGGGTCCCAGAATAGACCCCTGAGGGACACCACTTGCCACCTCTGTCCAGCTTGAAAATTTACCATTAATGACAACTCTTTGTATTCTGTTTTTAAGCCAATGTTCTACCCAAGAACAAGCATTTTCATCTAGACCGATTTCCTTGAGTTTGAACACTAATCTATTCTGTGGAACTGTATCAAACGCCTTAGCAAAATCCAAATAGATCACATCCACGGCAACACCCTGATCTATACATCTATAGGATCTGTTAATTCATGCCTAAAGTACAATGTGTGTGAAAAAAACAGAGAAAAAAAATTACTAATTCGATGTTTGACAAAGCCTGGTGGTAGAATTAGTGCATCGAAGGTGTTAAAATACCACCACGTGAAATCCCCTAGGGTTTCTACTTTTCAAAAATATATGGTTTGATTGGGGTAAAATACATTGGCTGGCTTCAAAAATGTCCCAAATAGGACATGCATGCAGGTTGACTATATGTCAAAATTCCAAGCTGGGAAACTGATATGCGCACCTGCCAAATGTGGCCTTTTAGCCCCCAAACAACCCAACACACCTATACATGGGGGGTATGCCTGTACTCAGGAGATGTTGCTGAACACATATTGGGGTGGTGTTTGGTAGTGACACCTAACAGAATCTGTGAATTTATACCTGAATTGCAATGTATGTGAAAAAAATAAAAAAAATAAACTACCTATGCAAAGTTTGGCAGAGGTTTGTGGTAAAATGGCTGCATAGAAAGTATCAAAATATTCTTAGATGAATACCCTGGGTTATCTAGTTTAAGAAAAATATATACATGTGGGGTGTTTTTTGGAGATTTATGACATAACAGTGTTACAATGTCACTATTGATACATTTGAAAAATGTACATTTTGAAACAGCAATTTCCTACTTCTACTTATAGCCCTATAACTTGCAAATAAAAGCAAAAAAGCAGGTAAACACTGGGTGTTTTTAAACTCAGGACAAAATTTTGAATCTTTTAGCAGTTTGTTTCATTCGATTTTGTAGATCAGTAAAAGATTTTTTTAAGTAGAAGTCAAAAAACGTGTTTTTTTTCACCATGTTTTATTATTTTTTAAAAATTAAATTATATGACATGATAAAAATAATAGTATGTAAAGAAAGCCCTTTTTGTCCTGAAAAAACCCCAATATATAATTTGTATCGGTACAGTAAATGAGAGAGCGGAAAATTAACGCACAAACATCGCAAAAACAGTCCGGTCCTGAAGAGGTTAAAGCGGCTCGGTCACTTGGCAGATTTTGTTTTTATCCCTCTATTTTTCCTTCTTTGTATTACTATGTGTAACTGAAAACCTATGGTGAATTACATAAAAAAACAAAAAACAAAAAAAACACCACAAGCCGTAGGGACTACTTTTTCTTATGGTGAGCATGCTTTCTGTCAATAGGCCAAAGTTAAGCAACGTTCCATTTCAGTTTCTAAAGTAATTTGCCCACAATCCATCTGTCAAAAGAATCCCACACAACGACAAACTGTAGTCATTGTGGACAGAGGAAAACAAAATGGCAGCACCCAGGGTTCGCAGTCTGGCGCAAAAAAGAAAACAGAATAAATATAAAGGCAAATAGGAAGGGAGTATACTCATTAAGCTACAAAAGGATAAATAAAGAGAAGGGAAGTTCAAAAATAGTGACATGAGGTTAGTGGCATGATTATAGATTTTGAACAAGTATAATTTTATCCTCAATAAATAAAACACCAACTTGTGCAATTTGCTATGGCTTATATTATTATATATCTCGTGTATGATCAATAAAACCCTGCAATTCAAAAGTTTATCAGCAATGTGCAGATCAAGAAATGAGAATACCAGGAGCATGATGCCTCCATATGTGTAAGAATTTGGTAAATCCACCCTGAAACACTAACCAGGGGAAAACAATAGTTCATAAATCAATTATTAATAAAACATATTGTACAGTAATATCCAAACTTAACTTACATAAAATAACCAGGTAGCAATTCTGTTGCCTGTACCAAGCTCTTTAAAAGCATCAGGTTCATCTTTCTGTAAAGAATATAACAGCAGGTTAAATGAAAACACAAACGGCAAATGTAAACTAAAGTAAAAATATAACATAAAAATCTAAACACTCCAAACAAAAAAAAAAACACAAAAAACAAACAAGCACACGTGCAATCCCCTCTAGTTTCATCATCAGATAGTATATATATTAGTTTTAAAATTCAGTTTAGATCTGATTAAATAATACACAATTTCTATAAAACACGGCATGTGCTTCCACCCCCCCCCCACTAAGAGTACATGCTCAAATAATTACTCCCATATCAATTTGTAAAATTGACCAAATTCTATATACTCTGAAGCAGTAATTAAGGCTGGATCTCATTACAGAATCTGTTCCACAAACCATTAAACTATCATTTGATGCACCTATCTAAATAATTCAGGTTTTGCCATATTATTAAAAAGTATTAAAACAAACAAAAAAAATTCCTCAGCTTCTAAATCCTTTAAAATGTGTGCTCTTTAATACTTTAGTCCCTTACTGGTCAATCAGTTCTCAGCATAGAGGTCCATTCAGAGGATTTAGTGACCGGCAAGAGCAGCAGACTTTTTTCAAACCTGGTTCTCCTGCTTACGGTCACCAAGTTATTTCACTAGTAGGTAATCCCTGCCTGCTGGGGGAATATAGAAATATAGGGACTAATACTATACCAATCTAATACCAGTGTGCTGGCAATGAAGAAAAACTGCTGGCATCATTACAAACGATTGCCCTGCTTGGGAAAGTGTCCTCATGCAGCACATTTTGCTGGGCAAAATGGCTGGGATGGAGTTTAGATGTAACACCCATGGTTCTCTAGGAATGGTGTTGATGGCACACGGGACAGGAGATAACCAACATTAAGGAAATGGATATGTGGCAGAAAAATAAATAAAAAAAGATCAGGGTCTTTAGTCCAAGGGAAAATTGAATGGTTCCTTCCACATTCATGAAGAAGAATACAGGCATGAGAACCATTTGATTTACACAACTAGCAAGTATTTTCGTGGACAATTTGTGAGAAATGCCTATTTTTTATAAAGTTGGACAATCATCTTAGAGTGCTCCAAGACCCACCCACAAAACAAAAACAAAAAAAATCTATTCTTTTATAGATCTCTAATTTCTAAATAATATGGTGGCTAATAAATATCACTATCACGCCACTCATCAATACTTAACTTATTGAAAAGATGACCACTGAACACTGACAAGGTTCTACAGTTGGTGCATTACCAGAGTTATCTAATCAGCTTTGTGTTTTTCTTATTAAACTCACATTGTTATTTCTGCAACCCTAGATAAGAAATCCAAATTTCAGAGCAAGAAGACCCCACGTGCTTGCCTTATGTGCCCTGGTGGAACTTAGCTAAGACACTGCAAGTGAGAAGAAGGTCAGCCAATTTCCTTTCATTTATGGGGACATAAATCCACGATAAACCCAGAGCAAAATATATAGGTGAGGTGGGTTGCAAGATTAAGTATTTTACTTATAATTCCCAGCAAACATTGGAGAGTGGGTGATTTTGAAAAAAGGTATTCAGCAGATTTATAGATTATAGAAACTACAGGTTATATTAAAGAAATACTAAAGGGAAGCTATAGTTCCCAAATTACTTTTTTTCAGAACTATAGGTTCTCTTCTGTCCACCTCCTTTGACAGTGATAAAATAAAGTTATCCAACGATAGCTTAGCTCATGTCCTGCACGAGGACTCCTCCTTTGCATCGACCGCTGCACCTATGATGATGTCACCATTCCTGCTGTCGTCTTCCACAAACTCATACAATCCAATGCTTCTCATAGAGAAGCATGGGATGGAGATACTCATGCGTGGCCAAACACCACTCGCTTACAATCCAATTGATTCCAGTAAGACATCCACTGGTGGTGTATTTATCCATTCCAGACCACCCCACCCCACCCCAATGTAATGTTAAAAACAGCAATGTTTTGCACGGAACAGTTAAAATGACAGAATTGCACCAAGACCACTTCAGTGACATAGTGGTCCTTCAAGTATTTAGTTTACATTAAATGATGAAATTTATTTCTTCTTCCCTTATTAAGCAGCTGAGGTCAAATCTTTCCCTAGTCATGGGTCGTAGGTAACCAGATGTGCAGCCCCAAGGTGTATTGATTACAGGAGTTTAAGTTCAAAGCCACGATGCACAGGTAATAAATGAGAAGAAACAGATCTTTCTCCAAAATTTGGTTGTAACATACAGTGCATAAGTAGGTGATCAGATGCACAAAGATGAAGAATTTCTCAATTTAAATCTAAACATTTCTCATGATGGCTTAATGGTTCATTCAGCTATGGAAGACTAAAATAATAGCTAATTTAGACACACAAAAACAAAGGAAACATTAAAGCAGCAGTCCAATAAAGAAATGCTCAGTCTCTATTAATGCAGTCTCTTTTGTTGCACACAATGCATCACATTATAAGAACACGCACAACGTGCAGTTAATCTTTATTGATTCTAGGGTTACTTTTAAAACAGATGCAGGAAAGTGCTGCGTTAATGCTGCCCTCATGAACTTTACTTGCCCGTGCAAAATCAAAATGTGGTTCATATTGTCCTCCCATTCCATAATTTGCCACCTGAAAAGACAAAAAAAAAAACACATGGGAAATATTTGTTTCCTTTATACAAGGTGGACTTACCCTGCCAAAATCAAAATGGGGCTCATACTGGCCTCCAACACCATAGTTGGCCACCTACAAGAAGCAGAGCAAAGGATGGTAGTAAAAATGTCAGAGTCATTGATGTACCCCACAGAGGTAATCGGATGTGTATACTGCTCTGGCAGAGAATGTGTAAGGTCAAACTAAACAGGTAAAATAGCTAGATGGAGAATAATCCAAAAAAAAAAAAAAAGAAGTCAAAGCAAATTTATGGTCCTGATTCAGTCATTGCATTTTATTAGGTTAAAAAAAAAAAAAAAATTAGAAGGTGCCTGGGCTCACAAAGCAGATGCAAATCCATCACTAGAACACCAAGTAGGAACAAACCAGGAACAGAGGCTATAAAATAACTGTTTAGGGTTATTTGTCAGGCAGGAGGCATTTGTGGCACTCGCCTATCTTTAGCACTTACTTGAAGCTCCTCAGCTGTAGACACATCAAGCCCTGTTAGTGCTTGTATTCTCCGGTTGATTTTTTCTATCACAGGGTCTTCATAACCAGACAGCCAAGCACTGAGGCAAATGGAATGACAGGGTTTTAAAGCAACAAAAAGGTGGGGCACAGTTTTGAATGTTATTTATTAAAGAGACATGCATCACTCTGAGCCATTCAAAATGCTGAAAAAGGCAAGTAAAAATATGATTTAGTTTCATATTTACAGGTTTCCTTTTTCTTACGATTTCCACATGCACTGCAGGGGGAAAACTGATCTAACCAGTGTCCTATCCCTAGTACATTAGGCATGCCTGGCAGAGTCACAATATGTGTATTTGGAAGAGCTCTTCGAACCTGAGAGGGAGAGATGAGATGGAGTTTGGTTTACTGTACATAATTGCACAGCTTGTGCTATCAGAGGCTAGCCTGATCAGTGTGATTTCTGCTGATGACTGGTTTCTCTATCCCTTTGCAACCAGTCAACGAGGAGCCTGGTGCACAAGGATGTCCTGATTCTGTCATGTGTGAACTGGTCTGAAAGTGAGATGGATTAATTAGTAGGCGTGCCCAGCAATGCAATCTGACCAAGTTTATAAATGTTTATTACATACTTTGTTTTTGTTGTTGTATTTTGGTTTGTATATTTGTTTAAAAGTTTTTGACTGCTGGTTAAAAATAAATAAAATAAAAATTTCAAGTGATGCATGTCTCTTTAAGAGCTAACGTAAAATTCTAAAAGTAAGCAATTACTATAAAATTCCAATGGGATGTTTCTACTTATTGCAGATGTTTTACATATGATTATATCTTTACAGGCCACATGGATTTCAATCTCTCTAAACATATAATGATAGATAGATACACACACTAGGTCTGTCTGGAAAAAGTCCAGCCATTGTTAATATAATGAGAACCATTTGGGCGACATCAATGTAACCTGGCAGCCAAAGAGAGTGGACTGGAATGCGAATTCGTGATCAATGACAACTTTACTGTACTAGTCAGTGGGAGTGCAAGACCATTGAGTGAGTATGTGTACTGTGTGGCCATCGCATTTAAAATGACTGAGCCAGTATAGAAACAAATCTGCATCCAATTTTGCATTAAGCTTTAACATTCCTCCACAAAAACTATTTGGACGAATCAGAATACATTCGGGGACGATGCAATGACTGCAGCCTAAATAAAAATGTGGCCCAAATGCTTCAAAGATAGCTGAGAATCGGTTGAAAGATTTGGCGCCCTGCGACTTCTGGCTTTTCCCAAAACTAAAATCACATTTGAAAAGGAAGAGATTTCAGACTGTCGATATGATTCAGGGAATATGACAAGTCAGCTGATGGCAATTTTTACAAAGGATTTTGCAGAGTGTTTTTTTCACAGTGGAAGAGACTCTGAGAGAACTGTGTGAGGTCCCAAGTTGCCTACTTTGAAGGGGATTAAGGAGTCATTGGCCTATGTACAATGTTTCTTGTATTTCTTCAATAATTGTATATTTTTCATATTACATGGCTGGATGCTATATATCATGCACTGCCAACCACTACACAAGGCTTTCTAATCAGCACTCACAGACACTGACATATAATAAGGACAGAATACAATGCCAACAGAATTATCACATGAAGGGGCCAATCTAGGACAGTAATAGTGGGTTTTATAAGCAAGTGCCCTTGCTCCTTAAGCTACTTCACTATAAACCATTTATGTGGCTGCTTAAAGGTTTTCCATATTTACACAATTTTGTCCTTTTCGTGGTCACATCTGAATGTAATGGAGGTTTGCAGATTCAACAAAATGTAACCCGACTCTTGACAAAAGATTTCCTAGTAACCAATGCAGTGGTGTACGTATAACTAAGACAGCACAAGAAAATATTCACGTCCTTTTAAATTTATATTAACCGACTTTGCATCCTACATCAAGTATAGCAGGATGGGTCTCAAAAGGACACTTGAAGAGGATTATTAAATGGGCAAAAGCACGTGGCTGCCAGCAAACTAGGACCACTCTGGTTATCTCTGGATATGTGGGATGCAGGACCTGGAAAAGCAAAAGGCTAGAAACTGGTTTGGAAGTGTACAACAACCATACAACTACATCAATTTACTGCAATTTTAACTGGTGAGTATTTAGGAATACGAGTTTATCTGTAGGATAGTCTATAGCTATTCATAGCCTATAAGGAAGCCTTGCTTTGTCTATTGGTTGTGGCCTGGATTAAAATACAGCTTTGACGCACTATAGTTATTGCCTTAAAAGACTTGAGTTTGTTGCTAAAGTATTTATCATACACTAGAGATGTTTTTCACAACACTGTCCCGGAATAATATGGGTAGAACTTGGCTATGCACTGTAACTTGGGAAGAAGAATGCCATGGGCCTTAAGAAGTCACAACTGGACTAGTCGGGCTCAGACCGTTTCCCTAGATCATAAAGTAATAATTTGCTTCTAAAAGACATCCAGTTTGCATTGTATGATTACAGAAACATTTGCTTTCAGAAGTACACATTGGATTATACACAATGAAAGACAGCAGAAGGCTAAGTACATTTTAAAATACATCAAGTTATCCATTGGTTTAGCATGCACCCTCCCCCCTGAATGAAGCTGGGGTACACCTATACCATCTCCAAGGTGTAGAATAAAAGATTTTCCTAGGACATGGAGAATTGGGCATAATTCGTAAAGGCTCCCATATGGACACTGTAGCAACGGAATTCACCATGAATGGCTATTTTTTGCCATTATCCACAGGTTTTCTGTGTACTTTCTTTTTCTTTTGTAAATGAAAGGGGTCAAAATTAAACTTGAGCAGTTAGCCAATTATTTTGAGCCTTCACTTGCCAATTCGAATCTACAGTTTACAGAATTGTATTTGTTTTCTTTAATTCTGGAATCATTTTAAGAAAGCACTTAAGACATATACCAAAATGTCTAATTTTAGCAGATAATCTGTTTATTCAGTCACGATCCATTTAGTAACACAAATGGACTGTGTTGCTTTCCATTCCTCCAGAAAGAATTCACATAGCATGTCCAAGAAGACATTTCCCCTTACCTCTTAGAGACTCTGTATTGTGCTGTGGTCAATTGTCCTGTCACAGGATCATGCACTGTAGCCCTTCTCAGCTACAAAAAGAGAAAGGACTGTGGTTTTCATTTAGAACTTGGCTTTTTTTTTTATTTTTATTTTTTATGCCATGCCAAGGATTCAGATTGGTCTGGGTGGTATGCCACGCAAAGTCTTTTATAGTCTCCTTAAGGATAACAAAGAAATATATTTCGGTCCACAATGCAATGTCCTTTCACTTTTTTAGTAGAGACATCTATTGCATACCGGTGCAGAGTTTCGGCAAATCCTTTTTATCTTTGGAAGTTAAAGCTTAAGTATTGCAAATGCAAAAAAAGGTAAAGGTTATTATAATTTAATAAATAATAACCATCATGTAGACTTTTTTTGATGTTTCAAAAGGCATAAGTGGGCAGATTTTACTCTGATCGCGTTGTAAAACCATAACTAAAATCTTGTTAGTAACTCATGAATTGTGTTGCTAAATTGTGATAAATGTGTAAGCCTAAAATATCCGTGATAAAAATACTATGAAAAAAAATGAAGAACCCATGACATAACATTAAAGGACCACTATAGGCACCCAGACCACTTCAGCTTAATGAAGTGGTCTGGGTGCCTGGTCCAGCTAGGTTGAACCCTTTTTTCTATAAACATAGCAGTTTCAGAGAAACTGTTATGTTTATAATAGGGTTAATCCAGCCTCTAGTGGCTGTCTCGTTGACAGCCGCTAGAGGCGCTTTCGCGCTTCTCACTGTGATTTTCACAGTGAGAAGACGCCAGCGTCCATAGGAAAGCATTGTGAATGCTTTCCAATGAGACTGGCTGAATGCACGCGCGGCTCTTGCCGTGCATGCAGCCGAGGAGGAGAGAAGGCGGAGAGTCCCCCACCCGGCGCTGGAGAAAGAGGTAAGTTTAACCCCATCCTCCTATAGTGGTCCTTTAAGAGAAAAGAATATAGTCATTCATAGAACTATGTGCATTGTGCTCAAATGGGGTAGAAAATGAAGAATACGATTTTTTTCTTTTTTTTTAAATAAATCCGTGTCTTTTTTTTGTACCATAGTAAGAAAAATGGCTCACCCTACAATGATCTGAATAATTGACACATATGCCAATTGTAATATGAAACATCTAGACATGTTTCAATGTAAGTTATAAACTAAATGCACTTGTTTATGCCTGAAAAAACACCAAATAATTAAGAAAAAAAAAAAAAAAGGTTGTAAGAATGTAAATTGACAACTTCAGTTTGACAAGAAGTGATAAGGATACTCCACACCAGCAGTGACAAAGACAGGACCGATATACCAGGAACGCACTCCTGTTACCTCAGTTCCATCTAAGCTCCAGCACAAACCTATTACCCAAGCAATGCATTAAAAATGGTGTACGGAATCCTCTCTTCTTACCTTTTGCTAATTCTGTAGTGTGCAGTCTCCAGGACTCCTGTTATAGGGTTTGAAATGGTGGCTCGCCTCAGCTGTGAAGCCAACCAATCACAAAAGTTGTAACAAATCATAAGCTAGCATTCACCCAACCAATCAGAAACCTTTGATTTACAATTACAAAAAATGTTACATTGTAAAATTAAATCACACCTCTATATACAAAACCATTTAGGGAATAATTAAAGTATGGAAAATGCATGCAGAAAGTACAGATTTGTAATGCATTCTTAAAAACTCAATAACGAACTAGTGATGTTAATAGACAAAACACATCTGCATTGTCTTAAAGATACACTATAGTCACAAAAAAAAACCCAAAAAACCAAAACATTTAGCTTAATAAAGCAGTTTAGGTGTATATACTATGCCCCTGCAGTCCCACTGCTCAATTCTCCACCATTTAGAAATTAAATCACTTTGTTTATGCAGCCCTAGTCACACCTCCCTGCATGTAACATGCACAGCCTTCACAAACACTTTGTGTAAAGGGAGATCTAATGTTTACACTTCTTTATTGCACAGTCAAATTTATAATTTAGTATCTCCTACACCGTTCACAGTTTGCTAGACCTCGCAGGAGCCTCCTGTGTGTGATTAAAGATCAATATACAGAGCAGTAGATAAATACTTCTAAAGTAAGTCAACATCTGACTAAAATAAAGCTTTTTTTCTTGCAGGTTGCATGAGTCACAGCTAGGGGATGTGTTGCTAAGGTTGCATGGACTGAAACAAAAGTGATTTAACTCCTAAATGGCAGAGAATTGAAAAGTGAGACTGCAGATGCATTATCTATACACCAAAACTGCTTTACTAAGCTAAAGTTGGTTTAGTGACTATAGTGTCCCTTTAAATGTCTTAAAATTCTGCAATTTCCAATAAGTGTAAAAATCTGCATTTTTTTGGTTTTAAATATAACTAGTTTAATGCCACCAGCAAATACAGTAACAAAACACTCATGTCCGATTATGTTCTAGCACACACAATTTAATTGCTGCAACCAGGTGACTGACATCTGCCAAAATGCCAAAGCAGCAATTCAATTTCATCTTGAGCAATTAGATAATGTCACAGAGTTAGTTAATTGATTAATATTGTGCTGGCAAATGTAGAGAACTAGATAAAAAGTTAACACAAATCATTACATTCAGTAGTCTACGGAGTACAAGCTATGACAGAAACCTTCCAACAGTACCTATATTATATGAACATGGTATAAGTTAAGCACAGTCTGCATGATTGGTTCATTGACACACACACACACACACACACACACACACAAAACCTTCAAATAGTACTTACTCTTGGCTTTGCAATTGCTTGAACTTTTGCAATCTCGTCATCAGAAATAATGTCATGGTAACGCACAATACGGGGCTTGTCCCATTCGTCCTCTTGCTTTGTAGGAGACAAAACGAAAGTAGGGCTCCTATTCCCATCAACGTAACGACAGAAAAGTCTCTTTTGTCTGCGAGGAGTCTGAGAAAAGAAAGCGGGGAGAGTTAGGTGTACAGTAAGTTATTAAACTATAAGAAAGTATATTGTATCGGAGGTATTTGAATTTTATGTGTTAGGTAAAAAACAACTACAGTCTCTATTTTTTTCTGATAGAAAAACAAACATTTTACTCTGTATATATTTTTGTTGCTACACTTACATACAGGCCAGTCCCGCGTCCGTGTGCAATATTCTTCACACATGGCTAAAGCAGCAGGTTCCGCATAGCTAAACTAAGGTGCAACTGGATAAAACACGAGCTGACATGCTTACCATTTTTACACCTTCCCCACGGCACAACATCTCATATTTTTGCCTCTCTGGTAAGTGATCTCGAGGCCGGCCCTTTCTGGCCTTGGTTTCAGCTCCATCAGAAACACCGGTTTTGTTTCCTTCCTTTGCCATAATGTATTCAAAGTATTTTAAATTCCCATTTCCTCTTTGATGTTCAGGATCTAAACATTTAAATACAAAGAAACAGGTTTAGGCACAAGGTAGAGTGGGGATAAAGTTTTAATGAATAAAAAACAAAACAACAAACTGTAACGCTAGGGGCTTTATTCAGTAAATTGATAATAGAGAATTGGAAACAGAAGTGAGAATTTCAGGCAAAGGATCTAGAAAAAAATATCCTCATATGTAGGCACAACTGTATTGTTATAATTTTACCACCTCTTGCCTTTATTAATTTATTATGTTTTCTCCCTCTGAGTCTCAATATTTGGGAGCAGTCATTTTGTTCTTTTCTGCCTGTGTTTGCAGTTTGTCCTTTTGTGGGATCAGATTTTGTTGGTGGATTGTGAGCAAATTTGCTTAAAGTAACACACTAAGTACCATAAGCACTAAAGCCTCCTATAGTGGTTATGGCGCTTTGAGTTTAAGAACAGTATGACAACTTACTTGAATGCCTCCATCCGCATGCAGTCTCCTTTACTGCAAGGAACACCCAGTTAGCTTTACTAATAAAAGCCGTGCTGCGCAGGGTTTTGCTCACTGGCTAAGAATGTCAGCTAAGTGCTTTCTGCCCTTCACAGCAAGACATAGATTCTTGGCAGGAGCTGCTCGTAGCAGGCACCCTTGGGGCCCAGGTAAGTTGTCACACTGTTCTTAAATGGTTAGATCACGGAGTGTGTGAGAAAGCCAGGGCATTCTTGGCACAACATTACTGCTATACATAATGAAAAGTGGTGCCTACTTTTCCTCAACTATTTTATGAAAACTAGAGTGATCAGGAAGAAAATAAAAAGATTCAGAGACAGTTTGCTACGTAGAAGCAGATGAAGATAATTTTTGGTGTCAGACTAAGTTTTAAGTTTATGTGCATCTGGTTCCCCCTAGTGGCATAATTGATGGTATTATGGTGTAAAGAAAAGAGAGGTTTATAAAAAACAATAAAATGGTGAGAAGCTCACGTACAAGGGAAGCTATCACACAAATGTACTATACAAAAACCACTCGTTTGGTTTTGATTCGTTAGAACAAAAATTGACTGAAAAAAAAAAAAAAAAGACATTTAAAAATCCTCACTACACAACATTGATGTCACATCTTTCTCGCAAAAAAAAAAAGCCTTGGTTCAAAATTGGAACTCACTAAAAATACCATCTCTATATCAGGAGGGAACAATAATCAAATATGCCAAAAAGAAGCAACAGATATCACAGACCAAAATCCCATTCTGCCCACATTTCATTACATCTGGCCCAATTTGGTAGAAACATGCTACCTTCCTTAGCTAGATTAAGTACCTGTCCTGGAACAGCACTGGCAACTTTATAGTTTATTTCCTTATTTGAGTTTTTGTCTCTCTCTCTGTTCTTTTTTCCCTCTGTATCTCATATGTCCAAGTGTTACTAAGCACACTTGCTTTGGTTTTGACTCAATATGGTACTTTGTATTTAATTTTATTTTTTTACTGTATTCTAATAAAGTATGCTTGTACATATTATGCATTGCTATTTATACAGATTTTACAAACTGCTTTGTCTACAATTATTTTGTTGAAAGCAGTATAAAGAAATAAAATGTTTTCTGATACGCAAACAAGTAACCATTTTGAGTATACACCCTCAAAGCAAATATATCACATAATGCATTGTTTGCAAGGCACAGTGAGTATGAGCAAAGTAACACACAAGGATTAACATGTTTCAAAGCATACCATTTTACGGATTCTGGCTAACACTCAAAGAAAAAAATTCAACACAGTTCTGGTCTATCAAGCTACACATCTTTTGTTTGCAGAATTTGATCCCAGCATCACAATAGCAGTATATGCAAAAGTGAACTGGGCATTTAATGAGAATTCTACTTCCTTAGTTGTAATTTTCTTTACATGTTATCTGAGAAGGGCAACAAAATAAACTAATGGAACATATGCAATATAGGAATAATAAAAAAAAAAATCATTCTGTTAATGGTCCCCTGTTGCACAAGAGATATAGAACATAATGGGACATCATGCTACATATTAAAGTGCATGGTAAAATATAAAGGATTTTATTAAATCCTGGAATTAGTTTTCTGATATTCACATGCCAGCTTTTCTACACTGAAATACCAGCAAGGAGGGGAGAATCAAAAACAATGCTCAAAGTAACCAGTCTATGGTTTTGAGTAATGGTAGTATGATTATTATGAGGAGCAATCAAGGCAAAAAAAAAAAAAAAAAAATTTGATCCAGAGGGTTCAGATTTCATGAATTATGACCAGAGTACTATCAAGATGCTTTCGGTTCAAAGCACCAGTCTGTGCCAATTCATATATCAATGATAAAAGAAGCAGATGACACACGGTAAAGAAAAGTCTAGTGCAGGCATGTATACTTGAGCCCTTCCCCTAGAGGGACTAATACTGAATCCAAAAAACATGCAAAAACAGCACAGAAGCGTTTAGCGTAAAGTACTGTCTGGGACTTCTCTCAAACATCAAAAACCTAAAAATGAAGGGGATGAATCATAATTTTGTCTGTTTGTGTAACACAAATTCTGAGTCAGCATTTTGCTTAACTAAACCACATTGTGTTTGGCCACAGAATTGTCTAAAACCTATGTGAAACAAGGCTGATCAAGAACGGTTTATTTACTCGATATCACCTCAAACGCAAAAGCTACCATAAGGTACTGAATACCAATGTCTGATGTAAAAACAAACAAAAACAAAAAACTATTTATAAACCAAAGAAAAGCAAGGAAGCGGGTGTAGATAGGCTTCACTTTGTCTGGTGGAACTGGTGGTATTACCCAGGTTTTAAAAATCTTGTAATTTATGCAATTTTTAACTGCTACATTTTTATACAAAATTTAAACCAATAACCTTAAAAATAATTAAACTACATTGTTACTGAAACTGTATGAATAAGGTCTATCAAATGCAGGCTTGCAGATCTCATCCCAGCAAAAAATATTCCGTTATTTATTGACCTCATACCTAAGAATAAGAGTCTCTTTGTCAGCATGAGAGCTTTGTCCAGGTCCCCTTGTTGATATACTGCATAGCTAAGGTAATCTAGAACCAAGACTTTGTCAATAGAAGATTCTTCTCCATCATCCAGCTGCTTCAGAGCCTGCTCCATCCATAGCTCAGTATGGTAATAATCTGCATCCGTGTAGGCAACTTTACCCAAATCAAAACAGTCTTCAGCTGTTAATGAGGCTTTTTGCTTTACACCTATGAATGATGAATGGTTAATATTAAAAGTAATATTCTAAAAGCGTAATGTTACGAACAGTACTTTAGACAATAGGAAAAAACAAACAAAAAGACCTTCCACTCCCCCCACTCAAATTTATGGATTGCTGTATTGATTTAGCGCCGTGTTATGAAAAACAAAGAATACAAATCTTGAACAGAGGGGTCATTACTATGAAGTTTTCTGGACAGTAAAATAATCAATAGAGCTTGAATTACCTGGAAGGTTACCACTTGAGAACGTGTCTGGTGTGAGGTTGTACGTGTCCTGCAAACGAAGCAAGGCCTTAGCTGCACCCGTCTGGTCTTCATCATTAGGGAAATACTGTCGCTGGATAGTCAAATTGGAAATGAATCCTGTGAAGACAGCATGTGATTATTACAATATTTTGTAATGTACATTTTTAGCCAATATCATACATACATATCTGTATTTCTATTTCAATATCACCCTGTTGACACGGCTTCAAATGACACAGCAGCATTCCACAACTTCATGAGTGTTAAGCACACTAGAAATCAAGGGATGGTGCCTGAAATAATGTCAAGCCATATATATGAAAGGTAGAGATAGTGATCTTAAAGACAAGTGTTGGCTTTTAAACTCTGCTTTTGCTGGAGATTACAACCCATGATGTACTGATTAAATGTATGTTTATGCAACAAAATTTTTCACCCACTACGTTTGTGTGTTTTATGTTCACTTTAATAGACATTGTAGAATACACAAAATGTCTTACTACAGGAACATGGACAGCAGGTAGGATGGACAAAAACCTTGGGTATATTTTGTCCATCCTATTCTTTTAAAATATTTTTGTCAGCCTGACTAGTTTGAAACAAACCATGTTGGTTTTACCTTGAAAATTGACTAGGAATATGAAAAAGGATAAAGCGTTTACGCTAATTAGTAAATACCATCAGACATGTCCTTAAGAACCAGGTTTTCTAGTTCCAACCACTCTGTGTTGAGTCGCTTCATGAGCTTAAAAGCATTGACAGGGTGTCCCAAGAACCCCTCTGGGTCTTTTGTAGCGGTTTCGGTCACTTGATCCAATTTCTCTGCCCATCTGCAAGTTATACAATACAATATGATAACTAGCTCATAAGAACTAATGGGAAAACTATAAAACTCAAATCAGCTGTTTGGTTCAACACACTGCAGAAATGTGTGAATGCAGGCACAGATCTTTAAAACAGGAAATTGGCAACAGATGGCACATTTAATTTCCCTCATTTTAATGAAAGCAGATACACCTGTGAAGGTTGCACAACACTTGGCACACAATAGGAGCAGTGTTTAAAAAGGGAATGGCATTATTTGCCATAAGAATGAAACCAACAGAAAACATCCAAAACATGCATCACTTAGAAAGATAATATGACAATGATACTATAGAAGAAAACTATAGGAAATCATTAAGGAAAGTTGGTATTTTATTTTTTTGGAAAGACTTTAAAAGGGGAATAGTCACTTTTCTGCAAATAACCCAGGTTACCGGTGGTTTTATTTATTCTATTCAATTTTGGTAATTGCAGTTCTACAACATCTGGGGATCTACCCCTACTATAAGCCAATAAATTCCAAAGAAAACCTTCCTGGTAATTCCTGCAAGTTGCAAGGTGGGGCCTTCTTTGTTTAGAGATGCTCTTACCCAGTAGTCTAACCATCACTATTTGGTCCTTGTCAAAGTCACTCAGATTTTTTTCATTTGCTCATTTTTCCGGCTTCCAACAAGAACTGACTGTTCACTTTACAGGTGCAATTGTAACCATATAATCAGAGTTATTCACGCCACCGGTCAGTGGTTTTAATGTTGTGGCTGATCATAATATATATGTCCACTAATAATGGACATAATGTAGGATTGTCTTATTTAATGAAGAGGCTGAATACATGTGCACAATAATTTAATACCTTTGATCTAGCAACTGTGACTCCACACTTATCAACTGATTTGTGATCAGTTTAGAAAATGTATGATAGAAGAAACCTATTGCTTTTTAATTAACCACATCAATCATGTTATGCTAAAGCAAGTCTGGGTGCTTGGCCTTTTTCTTAACTTAGCCTTGCACTGTAAACATTGCAGTTTCTCTAAAACTGCAATGATTTACATTGCAGGGTTAAGGGGACAGGAACACTGCACCCAGACCACTTCGTTGAGATGAAGTGCTCTGGGTGCCCCTAATGTCCCTCTAATTACCTTATCCAATAACTACAGAATAAAAATGAATTATGAAAGTTACATGGATATTCACAAATTTACATCAGAAATGTTCACTTACTGCTTGATTTTTGTCAGTTTTAGCTCTTCTGCCATAATATAATCCTTCAGGGATGTTACAAGGTCTTTCTCAGTGTTTAACAAGTCTGTCATGTGACCTGGAATTCAAGTAAACAGAATGAAGAAAACAAAAAAGTTTTGTATAATGTACCAAATAAAGCAGACAGGGACAATTATCTATAGGACACATTACAAATTTAAAGGAACACTAGCCTCCCAATGATTCCCTACAATAATCAATCTCTATGATCTCAGCCAAAGAGGTAGAGAGGCACAAAATGAAATAAGATATTTTTATCCGTGGCAATGGGGGCCTGGTAACCTAAACACTCTGGGATTGCCATGGTAAGTGACTGATTTCACAGTTCAAGGGAAAAGTAGAGAGTGTAGGAGTTTGAAGGTTGGACGTCATATTACAGTGGGTTGTGTAGGAGGTTGAGTCAAACCAAAATTTGACTCTATATTTATCCCCTACCAAAACCAAAATTTGCTACTATATTTATCCCCTACAAAAACCACATTCTAATATGGGACATACCAATTGATGTGAAGAAGTCCGTGTGTGCAGAACATAAGGAAAGTAGTCCCAGGAGCAGCAAGACAAGAAACTTCATGGTGAATAAAGTGCAGATCTGAAAAACATTTTTTTATTTTAAAGTACAAAAACTTGTCTTATGGGTTTTATATACATTAAACAAAAGAAATAAAGTATTAGTTAATAGAAGCCACTGACAGCCCATTTAGCCAGAGAGGAGTTGTCAGGTACAAATTGGAGAGTTTCCAACTGTTAGTTGAATTCTTATAGGTGGTTGAGTATTACAGAAAAAAAGTCATATACATGTCAAAAAGGCAACAGACGAATATAGTTTCTTAATCTTTCTCCCTCATAGTAGCCAGCCAGATATTTTAAACTCTACGATGAATGCAAAAAATCTATCCACCCCCACAAGCTTACAGTATTCAAGAGAGAGTAAAATTGGCTTATTTACAAAAATGCCTACACACTCAAGATTCCAAGAGGTATGCAAAATAGTCACGTTGTCCAACTGATACTAAAATAGCTTTTTATTGGAAATATAAAAAATTATAATAAAAATAAAAATAACAGTTCCTTCAAATTCATTGTAAGCTGACCAACATTTAAAGGAAAAATCATACAGGACCTCATTGACCTCAATTACTCGGTGTGGCATCCCACAATGCCTAGCATGAGGCCACAAGTAGGAAATTGTGAATATTACACACTCTGGATTAGGAGAGGAAATTGATGAATCCATCTTGGAAGCCTGAGTTTTGTAATTATTACACCAAAGCCAACAAAAAGCTGAAAGCTAGACTATAAATAGCAATTGACTGAGTTGTGTGCATGTGGCACGGTGGAAAAGGAGAACCAAAAGTATACAGTTGTGGCAAGTTTACATTTAAAACACAATGCAATTTTCAGTAGTTGCTGCAATATATTTGTTTTGTTTTTTTACATATAATATATAGAAAGTTTAAAACTATCAGAGTTAGCATTCAGAGAATCTGTTTAGGGAACACAAATGACCGAGTGGTAAGCAGAGCTGCAGGACACACTCGTTTTAAAGTGAAATGGTCACTTCAAATTACACAACTGAATAAAATATTTGAAATGTAAAGAGACACCAAACCTCAAACACCTTTAACTAAATGAGGGGTTTATGGTGTATAGATCATCTACATCACACCTGGCTGTATCCCCAATAGTCCTTTTTCAGGAACAGTATTGAGGTTTTTTTATAATGGTACTTCGATATACCTTTTGTTATGGTGCCCGAAGTCCCTGGCGCCTGCTTACCTTCAGGGCTTAAACCGTTATGGGCCACATTTGTAAAAATGACTACCAAGCAGCTAAGATAGGGGTGTGCATCTCTACCATTAAGTTTTAGCCCTCAAAAAATATATCTACTAAACATAAGGCATAAGTAAACAGAGTATTGAAAATCTGCAGAAATGACAGTTACCAGAAATCAGAAAGGGATATATACCATGGCAACCTGTGTAAACCCTACAAGTTTATTAAAAATAAATTAAAAAAATTAAATAATTAAAAAAGTTAAAAAAAAAAAAAAAGTTAAAAATAAATAAATAAACATCGCCCCCTATAATATACACGCCTCATGGAAATAAAAATTGTAAAGACTGAAAATTTTTTTTGCTGTAGTAATAAAACTAGATAAATACCCTAGATTGCACCAGTTGCCTACTACTGTATTACATACTTTCTTGTATTTGATTCCCATAATGTTAATATTGTGTGACAAGAGAGGGAATAAAAAGAGAAAAAATATAAAAAAATACTTCTGCCAACTAATGTTTCTGAAATTAAATTTACAAATTAGCAGGAATGTACTTATTCCTATATAAATGGAGTTTGATCTAAATATGTCTGTCTCACAAAATCCACAAACATTTGTCAACCCCTATACATTTTTCTTTTTCTCCGATCTACGGATTTATTCCTGCACACGGATTTCCCTCAGCAACCAAGTCCAACGTTGTGCAACACATTCTGCCATCAAATACGATTTATTCCTACATACTGCACTCTGCAATGTGTTCTCTTAAAAAGAAAGTGTGGCTCAGGCACCTAGATTCAGTTAAATTTGCATTGACACACTATATGTGCCCCTGTAGAGAGAGGAGGGGGAATTATAACAGACTTTACAGTCTTCACAAGTACAGGTAAGTAAAATTATTTTTATAAATCACTGTGTTCATTGAGTTAAGAGGCAGCCAGTTCCTTGGAAAGATCCCTGGAACACATTTAGCAAAACCACTGCCAAACCTCACTGTTTGTTAAGCTGGACTCAGACCAATCATTTTATTTGCACAATGACTTTTTCTACATAAAAGCCATAAAAATGTCAAAATTTCCAAATATTTAGTGAATCTGAAGACAGATTTGCTACCAGCAATGAATACATTACATAAATGCAATCTTCTCTGCCACCATGGACTAATCCATACCAAATATCTTCTCAATAGGAATACCCAGTGCATTTATTTTTATTAAAACACATAAAAGGCAGGCAAGAACGTCCAAATTTCGGCTACAATGAAACTTGTGTTCTATTTGCTTTTAAAATACATTTTTGCAGAGATAATAGGGAGTCGTCTGACACCTACTGTCAATTAAGGCAGAACAAAGGAAACCGATTAAACATGAACACAGTCATACCATCTTTGTTTTTAAATAAAAAAATTTAAAATGAACACTACAGCGTTAGAAATACAAACATGTAGTAAACTACATAGAATTTTTTTTTTCTGTTTGTTGGTTTTGTGGGACTTATTTTTTATGACTGCTGTTGAGTAAACCGACTGTAATGGTTCTATTGTCAGCATCCCCCTGGCACTTTCTCCTGGTTATGTGCATACTCTATGTCCAACATCTTGCTAATGTGAAAGTTACATTTGAATTCTATCCTTCTTCAGCCATCATTCACTGACTGAGCACATCAGCTGAAAAGCTTAGACCAGGAATCCAGGTACCGGTCCAAACCTGGTCTAAATTGCTATTGTTAATGTAGACGTGCAACATCCCCATTGGCAACATGGACCGGGAGAAGCCAGCCCATGGGTATCGGAGGTTCCTCTGTGCCACACCATGCAGAAACAGGTTGACAAATAACCATGGGACAGCTTCATGGGCAAGCAGGCACTATAACCCCTACAGCAGTTGTGGGGATAAGAGTGACTTATTTGTTTTGCAGGCTGATTTCAAGCACAAGAGAGATGCAAGGTTGTGTGCGTGGGTTGAGAGCGAGAAATGTGATCTGATTTGAGAGTCTGATTTGAGAAAAAAACAGTAGCAAATAAACTTTGTTTCTCTGCAATGTGAACAATTCACCTTGAATTTGATTTTGTCTTTTGTGTGCAGCAGGGATATTGTTCTGTCTTTCAATGCAGCTTTTGTGTGTCTAATATGAGCTGGTGTGGTCTACATTGTCTCCTTAAAGGGACACTATAGGCACACAGTGCTTTCCTATGGGGAAGACTAATGCGCGCATGGCATTCGTCGAGCAAGCACATTAGCACCTGCTCATCGCGGGATGTCAGTGGCGACGGAGCCACTAAGATTAGATAAGTAATTCCTGGCACTATAATATCCCTTTAAGTAGACAAACTCTATTCTAGACTATAGCTAATTTCAGAATATTATAAAATAGAACAATTAGGTTGCGCCACAATTTTTTAAAATGATGTGTTAAGACAGGGCTCGACAAATTCCAGGCGCCAGGTCTCCGGCGACTAAGAATTTTGCCCTGGCGTCTGGGTAGGCCTGTTCCCTCCTTCCTCCCACAGGGAAATTGCAAGCTTGAAGGGCAGCATTTAAAGACTGACAGCTTGCTGCCCGCCCGCATTCTTCCGAGCCTGCCCACCCCCACTGAGCAAAGCTGGACCTCCGAGCCGGCCCGGCCATCCGCATCCCTCAAAGCCGGCCCTCCAGCCCGCCCCTTTAAGTAGAGCCAGCTGCCCGCCCTTTCCGTGTCTGGGTATGTGTGTATCTGTGTGTTGTGTCTTTCTGGGTGTGTGTGTGCGTTGTGTCTGTGCGTTTAGGTCACCAGCCCCTCTGATCGCATGGGAATGGTTTTCTTACTCACCTTTTTTCCAACGCAACGCTGGTCTCGCTGCAGCTGGCCAGCCTCCATAGCTAAGATTATTAATTACGAATCATCATCTCCTCATAGAGATGCAATAAATCAATGCATCTATATGGGGAACGTTCAGCAGCTCCATGCAGAGCGTGAAGATGCTGAATGTAGGTAGAAGACACTTTAGTGGCCGTTTGAGTGACGGCTTCTAGAGGTGTTACTAGATAGCAATGTAAACACTGTCTTTTCTCTGAGAAGACTGAGTTTACTTTGAAAAGCCTGCAGGGACAATCTATAGACACCAGACCACTATATTAAGCTGTAGTAGTTCTTTTTTGTACCTGGCTCCTAGATTGAAAGCAAATTTGTCAAGCCCTGTGTTAAGAAAATTTGAAAGTATTATTTAAAAAAATTTACTTACACTAAACAGCCAATCAAATGTTTACAGTCTGAAATATAAGATATACAAATTAGTAGAAAGGCCAATTTTGAGGTACAGAGATGATAAGGCGTAGACCTTTACGTTGTTAATTCGTGGAAGTCTTGAGATAGCAGTTTCTCTTGATCCTGTTAAAACAGACGGCAAAAGAAAAAAAAACTAAAATGGTATAGTATGTCACCGGCACATGATGGGAAATATGTAATCCGTAGTGGTCCTACTCACCTATTTTAGGGCTAGTACAAGCTCAGGATATAGGTGATGGTATTATAAGTTTCTCAGGGTCTAGATGTCCCGGCAAGAACAAAAAAAGACAAGGTGAAAATAGTGCTTAAGACAGCTCTTGTGTATTGCGCATGCAGTGGTATAGATCCCCCACTGATAGGATATCGATGAAAGGTGGGAGTAGTCTCCGGATGATATTAGGACCGAAAACAGGAAGAAGAAAAAAAAAACAATAGTGCTTACTGTGTTTAAAAGAACCTGGAGTAATATGATCAATTTATGGAGTAAGTTTTATCCCATATTACTCCAAGGATCCCATTCTGATTATTACTGATCACAAGAACCTGGCATATATTGGGGATGCCAAATTACTGTCTTCTAGACGAGCTAGATGGTCATAATTTTTGTCTTGCTTTAACTTCATTATCACCTACAGACCCGGTTCTAAGAACGTTGAAGCTGATGCCTTGTCTAGACAATTTGACGTTGAATTGGATCTAGAACAAGAGAAATCCCCTATTATTTCTCCTGAGTGTATATTGCATCCACTGTCCTTTCTTTCTTGTCCTCTTTCCTCCGTACTATCATGGCGGCTCAGCCCCAGGCACCTTGCAACAAACCTCAAGAAAAATGGTTTATTCCATTGCCTGACAGGAAAGAAGTGATGAAAGGTATCCACCATTAAAACTGTATCCACCATTTCCAGGTCATTTTGGTGGGAGGCACTCAGGAGGAATATTAAAGATTATGTAGAAGCCTGCTCTGTCTGTGCAGTTTCGAAGGTTCCTCATAAACTTCCGTGTGGATTGTTACAGCCACTTCCTATACCCAGTATCCCATGGTCTCATTTATCGAAGGATTTCATTGCTGAACTGCCTAGTTCCAATGGGCATACAACCATCCTCATGGTGTTGACAGTTTTCCCAAAATGGCACACTTTACTCCACTTAAAAAAGTGCCATGGTCTCAGGACCTGGTGCACATATTTATACGCGATATTGTCAGGATACATGGTATTTCTCAAAATATTGTGTCTGACAGAGGTTCCCAATTTGTGTCGAGGTTCGGAAGGGCATTCAATAAACAGTTGGGCACTGAATTGTCATTTTCCTCTGCTTACCATCCCAAAACTAATGGTACGGCTGAAAGAGCTAACCAATCACTTGAGCTGTATTTACGTTGCTTTGTGAATAGTACATAGGCTAACTGGGCTGCTTTATTGCCCTGGGCCAAATTTGCAAGGAATAACGCTACCCATAACTCATCTGGGCATAGTCCGTTTTTTGTCAATACAGGTCATCATCCTGCTGTTCTTCCTGCTATGTTTTCGGATACGGCTATCCCTACTCTGGATGATCACCTTACCTCTATTCGTGATCCCTGGACTAAGGTTCACTCTGCTCTTGAAACTGCAGCTGCTCGCTTTAAGTTTCATGAGGATAAACAGCAGAGTGCCAATCCAATTTGCCAGGTGGGCGATCGGGGTTATCCTCAAGCAACATCAAGTTGAAGGTTCCCAGCATGAAGTTTGCTCCGAGTTTCCTTGGTCCTTTTCGTGTGGTTAGGAGAATCAACCCGGTTTCTTATTCTCTGGCCCTTCCAGCGTCCTTATGTATACCTAATACTTTTCATGTGTCCTTGCTCAAACCACTTGTTTGCAATCGGTACACAAGTCCGGTTGTTCCCCCTCCTCCTTTGGTTGTTTCTGGACAGGAGGAGTATGAAGTCTCCTCCATCATTGATTTCATTATTTGGTTGATTAGAGGGAGTATGGGCCTGCTGACCTTTCTTGGGTTTCGGCTTCTGATATCCATGCTGGCCGTAAAAAAATAAATAAAAAAATAAAAAAAATTCACGCCATGTTTCTTTTGGGGTCAAAGGCCGGTCATGGCCAATCAGATCCACAGGAGGGTTTGTGCTGAGCATGGAAACCTGGTAATTGCTTTTGGGGTCAAAGGCTGGTTACGGCCAATCGGATCCACAAGAGGGGTATTTAAACCCAATTCTCCTTTTGTTCATTGCCCTGTCGTGGTTTTAACCTGATGGTAATCTGAGAGTGCGTTGTGATCTTGATTTTCTGGTATTTGAATTTGACTTCGTTTTGACTTCCCTGAATTCTGGTATCCTTGACTTTTGGCTTTCCCTCATCGTTGTGTCTGATTCTATGTTCCTGACCTCGGCAAGTATTTGGACTATTCTTGGATACGTTAAGTCCGGCCATTCTAAGGTCCGGTTATACGTTATCCTTTGTCCTAGGTGTGACACAGTTCTGCGTGATGGATCAACTTGTAATCTTTACAGTGGATTGCACAATGCATATAGAATTACTTCATGATGAGATGGAAAATAAAATGGTGCTTGCCTATTCTACACTGTACAGCTAGTAGTGATCAACACACCTCACTGTTTGCTCTTCTCCAGAATTGAAAACCAAAACTTCCTTTCATTACAGATCAAACACAGCTGAAGTAAGTCACCAAGGTCATTTGATCTTTGGGAGAGAAATGAATAAAAAGCAATTTTAAGGCAATGAATCATCACTAATCCGCTCTTCAATTAAGTGTGAAATAGTGTAAGGCAGCACGCCGACCAGTCAAGTGAACATTGTATGCTGCAAAACAGAACATAGTCCCAGTTCTGCAACATACATTTTAAACTATTCATATGCACTGAAAAGAATGGAGATATAAGGTTGTCAGATGCTCTAGCTTTGGCAGTTCTAAAAAATAAAAATAATTTTTGCTATTCACTTCACCAAGCAAGAGAGAATGTTCCTATGTACTGCCCCGTAAACATGGCCTGTCAATCACATTCTAGGTTAAAAGTTCTAAGACTGTTGGGACAGATGATTAAAACAGGTTGAGAGACTAGGAGAACTGCATATGAACACAGACTACATAAAGGAGAAATTCTAGAATTCCTAGTGCAACATGCGCGCTATTGTCAACATATGCACGCTATTGTCCTTTTATGTAGAGCCCACAGCGGTTAGTTTGGTGCATTAATCATTCATTTAGCATTTATGCAACAATTTTTTTCTTTGTTGCAAGATACATCCCACCTACCCACACAAACTTTGAAGGAGCAATTCAACCACTATATAACTATGTAGTAGCTGTGTTGGTATGAGTGCCCTGGCACCCCTCCCCCTCCACCCCAACACCCCCCCAAGGTTGGTTTGACTTCCTACCTAGTAGATCAGCCAAAGAGCCAGAGGTTTCTGCTGAGAAGCTTACGTTTGCTATTCTGAGCTAAACCCTGAAGTGCAGGAGCTAGCTCATTGGCTGAAACAGTCAGCTGATAGGTCTCAGACAATCAACCAAGGTCTGCACCACTGGGCTGAGCTCAGAGAGCTTCTGGCTCTCTGGCTGATGTAGTGGAGACAGGGAACAGAGCCCTTTGGACTCCAGTTAAGAAGCCAAACTGTTCTACAACTACTTACTTCAGGGACTGCCAGCACACTCTTGGCACCATAACCACTAAAGTGTACAATTGTGGTTATGGTACTTGGGGGTGTACATTCAATCATTGTTTAAAGATAAAGATAATGATTGTTTTTAGCTCCTGGCGCTCATCTTCAGATGGGTCAATAACTCAGGGTCCTCCATAGATCAACTTGTAGCTGCTGATGACTGTGGGAATTCACAGCAAAAGATCTGCTCCCTTTATGCAAACTGGACTTTGCCCATAAGACAAAGCTATCTTTATATTATGAACGATTTTGAGTATGTCTGAATTTTAATAAAATGCCAGCAGTCAACATACAGTAACCTGAGGTGACAGACACTATATATAAAAGACCTACTGACACAAGTTAACAGAGTCTAGCCCATGGCTGCAATCTAACATCGCTAAGTAAGTGCTAGGGAAGACAGCCCATAAACTGACAAGAGTTGTGGCAGACTATTTGGCTGTCAAAAAGCATCACAATTCAATTTGGTTAAGTGAACAAATCTTGCTCAGTTCTTCCTTTAAATATGGGGTGGGGAGGGGAGTGAAAACATGCATGCATGCAATTAGTCATTTTTTTTCTTTTGAGAGTACATATTTAAAAACAGCTTTCAAACACTGCAGATATATATACCGTATATACTCTAGTATAAGTCGACCTGAATATAAGCAGAGGCACCTAATTTTAGCACAAAAAAACTGGGAAAACTTATTGACTCGAGCATAAGCCTAGAGTGGGAAATGCAGCAGCTACTGGTAAATTTCTAAATAAAATTAGATCCCAATAAAATTACATTATCTGAATTTTTATTTACAGTGTGTGTATATAATGAATGCAAAGTGTGTGTGTGTGTATATATAATGAATGCAGAATGTGTGTGTTTGTGTGAATGCAGTGTGTGTATATAATGAATGCAGTGTGTGTTTGTATTAATGCAGTGTGTATATAATGAGTGCAGTGTGTGTTTGTATTAATGCAGTGTGTATATAATTAATGCAGTGTGTATATAATGAGTGCAGTGTGTGTGTTTGTATGAGTGTGTGTGTGTGTATATAATGCAGAGTGTGTGTTATTATATGCACACACACACACTGTGTGTGTGTGTGTATATATATATATATATATATATATATATATATATATATATATAAAATGCAGAGTGTGTGTTTGTGTGAATGCAGAGTGTGTGTAAACTGGGTGGGAGGAGGGCATTTTTATTATTTTAATATTATTTTTATTATTTAATTTCATTTTTTAGCTAGACTATTAACTTGTGTGAGTAGGTCTTTTATATATATCTCCTTGTACAGTGCTACGGAATTTGCTGGCGCTATACAAATAATAATAAATTTGTTGTATGTAGCATTTGCAAAGTCGTCCTCTTGCTTCCTCAGCCCACACTTTGTGGCTGTCCAATTACAGACTTTCCAATGCAGCTCAATGAGAAGTCTTTGTTAGGCAGGTGCTCTGAGCCACACTTCAAACAAAGCACTTCAAGGGACACACTAGTCATCAAAACTGATTTAGCTTAAAGAAGCAGTTTTGGTGTATAGATCATGCCCATGCATTCTCACTGCTCAATTCACTGCAACTTGGAGTTAAATCACTTTGTTTATACAGCCATAGTCACACCTCCCTGTATGTGACTTGCACTAGCTTCATAAACACTTCCTGTAAAGTCATCTAATGTTTACACTTCCTTTATTGCAAACTGTTTGATTTAGAATTTCTTATCTTCTGCTCTGTTAATATCTTGCTAGACCCCACAGTATGCAATTAAAGTTAAATTTACAGAGCAGGAGATACAAACTTTTAAAGTTACATCTGATTGAAAAAGAAACCATACTCACCCACCATCACATTGTTGTAACAATGACACGTTTTAATGTGTAACAAAATACGTCTTGAGATCCTTCCCATGTTTGTGGGAGGACACACAATTGTTACTGTCCAACTTCTATAAGGCATGATGTGTCCTATTCCCATCATATGTATGACAGCCAATTGTGTTTTGCTATATTCATTTTGTGTCAATTCTGTAAAAATCAATAGAAATGGTCAAATTAAAAAAGGAAACCATTTTGCTATCATGCAGGCTGTCACAGCCAGGAGAGGTGTGGCTACTGCTGCATAAACAGAAACAAAAGTGATTTAACTCCTAAATGGAAGTGAATTGAGCAGTGAGCGGGACGGCTGTCCGCCATCATGTATACTTAACTGGCTGCAACACAATGACTCACACTTCTCACAAGCCCCCACCCCCCCAATGCCAGAGGCATACAGTGGGGCCTACTAGGAGTACTCCAACATCTCGGAATCGAAGATGGCTGCTGCAGAGGCTCCCGCAAGGCAGACTCCACTACAAGATCCACAGGAGGGCCTATCGTGAGGTTTCATTGCAACCCTATAACAACAACAACAACCCTAGCAGTTTCGCCACAAAGTCCCAGAGAGTCTGTAAAGGCTTCCTGCCTCATCATCCGGCACACACACAGCACGTGTGTCTATCAGCCACTTATCACTTACCCATGTCTTAAGCTCAGTGGAGCTGATCTCTCCATTGCAGCTGACACTGGGACGGCGATGTGAGCCTCACTGTGGACACCGATCACAGTTCATTGGAGGACCAGATCCGAGGGCATCAGATGTTGGCTTGTAGATCGCTCTGGGGTTGGTGATGCGGACTAAGCTGGATATGGTAGAGAGGTGGGCCTTTTCTCAAACAATCTTTGCCAGCTGTACCGGGGGTATGAGTGAGCAGTAGGGTCTCTCGTAGGAACTGTTTTACCAAAGTACCGGGCTGCATTTTAGGGCTTTATATCCTACTCCCATTTCTCTTAGCATCTCACTAGTGGCCACTCATCCTGTCTGGGTTTTGTGTGATATTGCTCTCTGTGTTAGTGGAACATTTCTATCAGCTTGTTAAAATAAATAAATTTAAAAAAAAATGAGCTTAACTAGAAAGAACTACAAAATGAAGGAATCCTCCTGTAGTCGTAACAATGTAGATGACGGTGCTATGGTGCATGGAATCTTACGGTGAAGACCTTTACCTTTAAGTGTTAAACCACTCTAATACTAAAGATGTGTCCCCAGGTTCTCGCTTTCCTGTTCCGTTTGGGCTGTGGAAACAGCAGTGTGAGCAGTGAGACTGCAGCAGTGATGCTCTCAGCCTATTACTAGTTACCCACTGTGAGTAAATGCTAGCTAGAACATACATAGATTTCCTTACAATGAACAGCCAGTAAGACTGCACCAGGGGACTCTTGGTGCTATAGATTAAGTTGTTCTGGTGCACAGAGTATTTCTTTCATACAATTCAAAATATTAGAAAGCATTTTACTTCAAAGGGGAAAAAAAGCCAATCCACAATCTCTCAAACAGTATCAAGAATCTAGACATTATCTATTCTGCATTATTGCCTGAAATATACGCAGGGAACAATGAGCTTGAGGCTTTATTTATTCAGATACTGAACAATCTGCCAAGGGTGAAGCTCCACTCTGAAAAAGAAAATTCCAATTGTTCGCATACAACATGCCTTTTCCCTTCCTTTACTGATGTTCACAAAAATCTGTACAACTGCTTACATCTAAGTTTTGCTAAGGGAAAACAAACCAACCATAAATTACTGCTGTCTGACAAACCTCAATTAACATTTGAAAACTGTAAAAGAATCCAATCCTCAAACCAGAACGTTTTAATAGAAATGGAGTGAAATTACATTAAGATTTGTTTCCTTCTGAACAGAAAGGAGCTAGAACTGTGATGGTGGGGACACATCTTTAGCATTAAAGTGGTTTAACACTTAAAGGGACACAACATGCACCCAGACCACTTCAGTTCATTGAAGTGGTCTGGGTGCATATTCCAGGTCCCTTAACCAAGCAAAGAGAATTACAGTATTGCAGTGTTCAATAAACGGCAATTATTATGTTATTATTTATTTAGCGCCAACAAATTCTGCAGCGCTTTACAGTTGGTGGATGAACAAACATGTAGTTGTAACCAGGCAAGGCTTCTTCAGCAGAGAGCAAGGGCCTAGACGGGACATACTTGTGTATTAGGGAGGATAGATAGGTGGGAGCAGTATTATGTAGAGATTTGAAAGCAAGAACCAGAATTTTAAATTTAGCCCTATATCGTCCAGGAAGCCAATGCAGGGACTGACAGAAGGGTGAGGCGGTTTGAGGTGCGGTTGGACAGGAAGATGAGCCTCATCACTGCATTCTTTTTTGGCTGTAACAGTGCAAGTTGGGAACATGTAAGACCACTGAGAAGCGGATTACAGTAGTCAAGGCGAGAAAGGACAGTGGAATGGACCAGCACCTTAGTCGCATCTGACGTGGAAGCGCGCAATATTTTTGATATGGAAACAGCAGGATTTGGCAATAGACTGAACATGTGTGGTGGAGCTGATGGCAGCACTGTAGACTTGGAGGGAGACAGACACAGGTGTAGCAACACTTGAGGCAGGAAAGAACAAAATTTCACTTTTGGTCAAGTTGACTTTAAGGAAGTGGGCAGCAATCCAGTTAGAAATAGCAGAAAGGCTGTCAGAGACACTAGTCAAGAGGGACGGGGAGAGATCTGGAGAGGACAGAGATGTGCGTGTCATCTGCATAGAAATTACATTGGAAGCCAAAGGAGCTAATGAGTTTACCAAAGGAGGCAATATAGATTGAGAACAGTAGGGGACCAAGAACTGAACCCTGGGGGACACCAACAGAGAGGAGTTGGGGAGAAGAAGCAGAGCCAGAGAAACAATAGTTACCTTTGAGGGTTAACACCACCTCTTGTGGCGGTCTACCAGACAGCCACTAGGTGACTTCTGGGTCGCCTAACTGATGCTGGATGTCCTTGCGCTGTGCATGATGACATCCAGCTTCACCAGAAACTCCATAGAAAAGCATTGTCTAAATCTTTCCTATGGGGGAATTCCTAATACGAGTGCGGCTATTGACACGCACATGCATTTGGTCACCCCTGCCGGCTGACACTGGTGGGGGAGAAGCGGAGGCAGACTGAGCCAGCACCGAGGGTCATCAGTGATGGACTCAGTTAAGTCACAGAAAAGGTTTTTAACCCCTTCTACACCACGAGGAGGGTAAGAACTCATTTTCCCTATAGGTTCCCTTTAAAAAGGTAAGACTGCGCCCTAAAACCTCAGGGGATTACCAGCTATACTCACACTTTAGGCTGGATGGACATTATGGGATATATAGTACAGCTGCAGTATCAATGCTACCCAGAACGGTGGAACAGCAGACAGTGAAATCACCAGTGACACCGCACCGCATGTGACTAATTAGCCACATCTGAATAATTTAATTAAGAGGAGTACTTGACCTCTTCAAGCATGGCAATTGTGCTTAGAGTCTCAACAAGGACACTTCGGACATCTGCCGCAAGCAAGAAGTGTGACTACTCACAATAATCAACACGGAGACTGATAAGCAGAGCTGCTGAGCTGCCAGAGCATTCACAATAACCATGTAGTAACCCATTAAAAAGATTAGCTACTTATCAATCACAGAAACCAAATAGTTAGCAGAATAACAGGATCATTTCTCAATCTACTTTTGTTCTTTGCAGAATGAGCTGTTCAGGACTAAACTAAGACACCATAGAAAGTAAGGAGTATATTTCTGGACCATTCAAGTTTGTGAGAGCAAATGTTTAACATGAAGATGCAAAAACAGGCTGCACCAGTGATGCAACTCTGGTAACATTGTTAAACATATTATGGCAAAATGTTCCAATACTTTGTAACAAGACACTCCTTGTTCCAACTGCCCACTTGTTCACAACTGTTTGTGACCAGCACCTACAGCTCAATAAGGAATTTAGCACAATACCTTATGTACATATGACACCACGGCAGTAAACTCAGATGACATGTCATGTCAGTTGAAAGATACTGGAGGAATACTAGAAACAAGTGTAGAAAATGTAAGAGTTGTAGTTTATTTTTTTGTTTGTTTGTTTTAAAAATAGAAATCAAGATCATATATTGGCTAAACAAGGTCACTTTATTGTGAACATGCACAGAGCATATCTATGGAGACCCTCCAAGCACAAAACATTTAATCTTAAAGGACCACTATAAGCACCCAGACCACTTCAGCTCAATTAAGTGGTCTGGGTGCTAGGTCCCCCTAGTTTTAACCGTGCAGCTAAAAACAGCAGTTTCAGAGAAACTGCTATGTTTACACTGCAGGGATAATCCAGCCTCTAGTGCAGGGATAGGCAACCTTCGGCACTCCAGATGTTGTGGACTACATCCCCCGTAATGCTGGCAAAGCATCATGGGAGGTGTAGTCCAAAACATCTGCAGTGCCGAAGGTTGCCTATGCCTGCTCTAGTGGCTGTCTTCCCGACAGCCGCTAGAGGCGCTTCCGTGATTTACACAGAGTAACTCGCACTTATTTGACGCTGGATGTCCTCACGGAGTCCAGTGTCAAAAAATATCCCCATTGAGTAATGCTTTCCTATGGGCAGGTTTGAATATGCACGTGCCTCTGGCCTCTGCAGTAGTGTTTACATTTGACTGAAGCTGTTCATACTGACAGGCCATTCCTCCTTAAAGGGTCACACCAATCTAAAAACAGTGCCCTGGTAAAACAGTTATCTGTTGTAAGTCTTGCCGCCATTGTTCCACACTCTCTTAAAAATAAAACACCTGCAATTTAGTGTTGGACCAAGTTCTCCCTGCAGCCCAATATTTCTCTGAGGACATAACTCGCCCTCACTTAACGGATGTCACTAAGGATGGGTGGATAGGAGGACTGTACTGCCATGGGGCATCTGTCACCAGCATGCTATGCGTGCTGCTGACAGATGCTGCAATTGGCAGCAAAGTGCCTCTAAATGCTTAATTTCTCATCGACAGCCTCCAAAGCACCTTAACCACTTCAAACCTTATGATGCCTGGAGTAACAATTCATGAACTTCGAAAACAGGAGGGCTTCACTTGAGTGTCATCACGCTCCGCATGATGCCGCCAAACATTTATAATGTAGCAAAAGATATACAAAAGTTATAACTAATGATGTCATGAGAGGACATCTGCGGAGAGCAGAAAAACCTGTTGCTGGATTAAAAATAAATTTGACAGATTAAATAACCCCCTCCCCCCACCCCATAAAAAAACCTTAACAGTGGGTAGTAATCGAAACAGTAACAGGAACACTGAAACATTAATAGTAAATATACCTATATTTAATGTTAGTGTTCCTTTAATAGTCAGTGTAGAACATGCAGATTATCAACACTGTAAGCGACTGGATATTAAATTGCATAATTGTTGCAGCACGATTTGTATGCATGGTAAACGTGTATTGGGTAGAAAAATATTTGTGTGTTTAGCACTGCATTATTGGCAGGAATTCTTGAAGACTATTAAATTTGCAACGCTTCTGGATGTTCAACAAAAATTATCGGTGAATGCAATATGAAAGATATTTTATGGATTTTGTTATACAGCTGGAAATGTATATTCACAATGAATGTTTCAATCTTCTATAGATTCTGAACATGTACAAACACAAAATTATTTATCAATAGTGGTCATAGCTAATTCTATGATCCAGTTAACTGAGCAACATCACATTAATACAAAAGGAATGGGACGTATGAAGCCATGGACTGGAGCATTAAAGCCATTAATAATACATTTATACGGTGGAAAATATTGCCGCTTTATTTATCAGTTCACCTCAAATCTATTTCTGTAGACAGCAAAATTATGTTATATCAATATATACACACACTATATATATATATATATATATATATATATATATATATATATATAATACAATACACATTATATATAACTATATATATTACACATACATACACACACACACTTTGCATTTCTTTTATTTCCAAAGCAAAAAAATCTTTTTTTAAATAAAAAAAGGAGTTGAAGGGACACTATAGCCACCAGAACAGCTACAGCTTAATATAGTTGTTCTGGTGAGTATAATCATTGCCTTCAGGCATATTCATGTAAACACTGCCTTTTCAGAGAAACAGCAGTGTCTACATTGCCCCTAGGGACACCTCCAAGTAGCCACTCCTCAGATGGCCACTGGAGGGGCTTCCTGGCTCAGTAAGCAGCCCTGCCGTTGCTGAATTTTCCTCATAGAGATGCATTGATTCAATGCATCTCTATGAGGAGGTGCTGATTGGCCAAACATTGTTTGGCCCCGCCCCCATGCATTGGATTGGCTAAAAATCGGCACTGTTGATTATGTCACCAAGGGGGCGGGGCCAGCACCGGCGGACCCGTGGAGAGCTGGAAATAAGGTGAGTTTTAACCCATTCTGAGGGGGCAAGCCACCTAAATGGTGGGTTTTCACTATAGGGTCAGGAATACATGTTTGTGTTCTTGACCCTATTGTGATCCTTTAATGTATTATCAGTCCCTGCAGGCATTTTAATATAAACATGTTCTTTTCAAACATGCTGTCTAGGGATACCTCCAGTAACGGTCACTTAGACAGCCACTAGGGGTGTTTCCTGGGTCAGTGCTGCCCAACCTGCAGTACTGAGGATCAGCGCCTCCACGCTCTGCATGGAGAGACTGACATTTTCTCATTAAGATGCATTGACTCACTGCATTTCTATGAAGAAATGCTGATTGGTCGGCATGATGTTTGGCTCCTCCTTGGCTGAGATCATCAGAATTGACTCAGATCAGGGGTGGAGCCAGCGCCTATAGACCCGCGACGCTGGAATAAAAGCGTAGTTTTACAAGGTTTTTTTTTTTTTTTAAAGAGACAAGTTGGGATGGCCACCTAAAAAGTGTTAACACATTTTATTTCTGACACCAGAGTGTTCCTTTAAAAGGGACACTCCAGATCCCTAAAGCAATTTAGGTTACTGAAGGGCTTTATATATGAAGTATGTCCTAACCCGATCTCCATTTTACAATAAGTGCAGCTTTCAATAGAAACTGGCACTTTTATAAATTAACCGATCCCTGGGAATGCATTTGCCCAGAATGCCTGCCTTGCAAACACTTCTCATTGAGCTGCATTGGGAAGTCTGTAATTAGACAGCCACAGATGGGGAATAAATTGATGACTTACAAAGACTGCAGAAAAGAGATTTTCTAATTTTGCAAGCTGTTTTTAGATGTAACACCAATATGAAAAAAATATATTGCATGTATGTTTTCATTGGGGTATATCTACTAAATAGTGATTTTGGTTGTTTGTTTTTCCTGCAGTGCAGTGCCCATTCCAATGGAGAACAAAAAGAGAATCTGTTCCCACTACCAATATCGGGTACACACAAACAGTTAAAAATCTACAAGATACTTTATTAATGAAGAAACACCAATCTGAAAAAAACAAAACCCAGCAATGGCTGCCTGACTAAACGAAAGTCAATTTCGGCAGTCAAAGAAAAGAGCACGAAAATAAATAAAGGATAAGAGAAGTAAATAAAGATTAACATAAGCAAATAAAACAATGGATTGAGTTTATAAACGTCGCATATAGCGATAAAAATAGGTGACTAAAGTGGAATTAATGCATAGAAGGTACTCCAACTATATAGCCTGAATAGGCTTATCGAAAAGGATCCCACTAGGTGGAGCTGCACAATATCATTAGATATAATTGTGTCTAAGTGTCAGAAATAAGATACAATACAGAGGATCCCACTAAGTGGAACTGCACAATATTGTATCTATGTGTCAGAAATAAGATACAATAGAAAGTATCAGTGAATTTCAGCTACAGGGCATTCTTCTACAGTCAGTATAAACTCAGTCTAGATATAATTTGTATCTATGTGTCAGAGATAAGATGCAATACAAAGGATCCCACTAAGTGGAACTGCATAATATCGTTCAATGTAATTGTATCTGTGTCAGAAATAAGATACAATGCAAAGTATCAGTGCAGTTCAGCTACAGGGGATTCTTCTACAGTCAAATAAAAAAACTCAGTCTGTAATAGTAATAGCGAATGAACGTGTTCAATTGCAATCTCTACAATAGTTCTTGTGTAAATATATGAACAGATATTGCTAAGTGTAAGCCATATCAGCATACTGAATTCGTATTAAAACGATCATAGGTAAATCTGCTTGATCATGGAGGTTGAAATACAGCGTTTTCTAATACATGCCTAATCTTGATCAAAGATCTAAATGCTGGTAATCAGGTGTAGACAAAATAAAGACAGGTAAGAATAGTGCCTTCATGGGCACCCGGTATAGGATAGGCAATGAAGAAACAGAGTGCTGATGCTGGTAAGTAACGAACTGAAGCAATAGATGGAGAGATACTGCACGTTCAAACACTAATTGCTACTAATACCCTGGTCGATATACAAGTCTGTTGTGTCCCAGGCGGTTGTTTGCCATCTAAGTCCTGAATAAATAATTAATAATGTCCGCTCTAAGGGGAAAAGATGCCAAGGGACACGAAAGACGAAGCTTGGTAATATCAGTAATGTCAGATTGTCGGGCCCCATGCGCGTTTCGCCTAACTTCAAGGCTCATCAGGGGGAACGGATTTCCCGGTATTCAGGGGTTTAATAAGCCCGCCCTTGAGTCTGATTGGTCACATCTAGGCTCAAGGGATAAGGGCAAGTACGGTGGCCGAAATGGCTCAAACAAGTGATAATGATGATGATAATGTCCATAAGTTTAATATGTGGTTACCGAAAATTCAATAACTGTGAATATAGAAATACACATATGGGAATCAACTAAGAGTTTTATATAATAATATGATACAAAAGGGGAGAGAAGTAGAGGAGGGAAAGACATGGAAAAAGGAAACTTTCCCATCTTTTTTTTATCAATCCAAATAACCACATTAGCGATATAATCCAAATAACCAATAAAGGAATGGGCTGAAAAGTGTCTGTAGACCAATAAGTCGGTTAGAATGTCCTTATGAGATAAAGTTTGTAATTTAACAGTAATATACTATAGTGTCATAATTAATGTTATGTCAAGTCTGACAGAACAGTGTAAGCTTGTAAGAGAAAATTGTTAAAGTATAGTATTTGTCTTACAATCGTGCCAATTTAAGAAGTAGTCAAATTATAATAAAAATTGATACCACAAATCTGTATTAATCAGATCCTAGAAAGATTGTGAAAAAAATTCTTTAACTGATGATTCTATATGGGTATGAATTTACTTGTGTATAAATGGTGTATAGTTAAATTCCTCGTTAAGACCTGAAGGAGCTAATGTCTTGAACGAGAAAATCCACTGTGATTCTTTTCTGAGCAAGGTTTTATTAAAGTCACCTTTCCTCGGGTTTGGTAGCAATTTCTCAATTGCCTGGAACCTCAGATTGTCAGGATTCCCATCGTGGAAATTGAGAATATGTCTTGCAACCGGAGTGGGAGTGACAGTATTGTTGACAGATGTTACGTGTTGCAAAATCCTGCGTCTGAACTGCTGAAAAGTTTTGCCAATATATTGAGTTCCACAACTACTAGTGATCAAATAAATCACTTGTGTAGAACTACAGTTAACTAAGGCATTAGCCTCAATCCTAATCTGGGTTTGGGTGGATGTGGTAAATTTTGAGGGCAAAATGTGTTGGCAGGCCTTACAGTGCCCACACTTATAAGTCCCCTTAGCCAATTGGTTGGTGGTAAGGGGGATGCCAAATGGCTGTGAACAAGTTGGTCTTGTAGACTGATTGGTCTCCGTGCTGTTAAAGGTGGGTACTCTGGTAACATTTTGGAGTTCTGGGTTATGTAGAAGTATTGGCCAGTTTTTCTTGAGGACTTGCAACATAGGCCCCCAGCCCTGATCAAATGTCACAATGCATCGTGGGGCCTTACAAACTTGTTTTGGTTTAGAAAAATGGAGGCTGGTGTTTCTATCAATACTACATACCCGATGAAAGGCACGTTTTAGGACACGGTTGGGGTACCCTAGTTCCCTGAATCGGGATTTCAGTACTTTACATTCATTGTAGAATGTTTGGTCTATCGAGCAATTTCGTCTAGCCCTCAAGTACTGGCTGAAAGGGATGGAAGCTTTTAATCTACAGGGATGATGACTCTCCCAATGTAACAGAATGTTGGCTGATGTTGCCTTTTTAAACAGTTCTGTTTGAATAGTTCCATCCTGTTCCAGCAAAATTTTCAGGTCTAAAAATATCAATTCATGTTCATCTATCACGTGTGTTAGTTTTAAGTTGAAGTCATTATCGTTGAGGGCTTTGACGAAATCCTCAAACATGGGGATGGACCCTGTCCAAAGGAGCAACATGTCGTCAATATATCTATGCCAGCTTAGGATGTATTCTTGAAAGCAGCTGTATCTAGGTGTCATGACGACATGTTGCTCCCACCACGCCAAGAACAGGTTGGCATAAGTGGGTGCACAGGCCGTCCCCATGGCAGTACCAGAAATTTGCTACCAAACCCGAGGAAAGGTGACTTTAATAAAACCTTGCTCAGAAAAGAATCACAGTGGATATTCTCGTTTAAGACCTTAAATTCCTTGTTAAGACCTGAAGGAGCTAACTATACACCATTTATACACAAGTAAATTGATACTCATATAGAATCATCATTTAAAGAATTTTTTCACAATCTTTCTAGGATCTGATTAATACAGATTTGTGGTATCAATGTTTACTATAATTTGACTACTTCTTAAATTGGCACGATTGTAAGACAAATAATACTATACTTTAACAATTTTCTCTTACAAGCTTACACTGTCCTGTCAGACTTGACATGACAGTAATTATGACACTATAGTATATTACTGTTAAATTACAAACTTTATCTCATAAGGACATTCTAACCGACTTATTGGTCTACAGACACTTTTCAGCCCATTCCTTTATGGGTTATTTGGATTGATAAAAAAAAGATGGGAAAGTTTCCTTTTTCCATGTCTTTCCCTCCTCTACTTCTCTCCCCTTTTGTATCATATTATTATATAAAACTCGTAGTTGTTTCCCATATGTGTATTTCTATATTCACAGTTATTGAATTTTCGGTAACCACATATTAAACTTATGGACATTATCATCATCATCATCATCATCACTTGTTTGAGCCATTTCGGCCACCGTACTTGCCCTTATCCCTTGAGCCTAGATGTGACCAATCAGACTCAAGGGCGGGCTTTTTAAACCCCTGCATACCGGGAAATCCGTTCCCCCTGATGAGCCTTGAAGTTAGGCGAAACACGCGTCGGGGCGTGACAATCTGACATTACTGATATTACCAAGCTTCGTCTTTCGTGTCCCTTGGCATCTTTTCCCCTTAGAGCAGACATTATTAATTATTTATTCAGGACTTAGATGGCAAACAACCGCCTGGGACACAACAGACTCGTATATCGACCAGGGTATTAGTAGCAATTAGTGTTTGAACGTGCAGTATCTCTCCATCTATTACTGCTTCAATTCGTTACTTACCAGCATCAGCACTCTGTTTCTTCATTGCCTATCCTATACCGGGTGCCCTTGAAGGCACTATTCTTACCTGTCTTTATTTTGTCTACACCTGATTACCAGCATTTAGATCTTTGATCAAGATTATTGGGCATGTATTAGAAAACGCTGTATTTCAACCTTTACGATCAAGCAGATTTACCTATGATCGTTTTAATACGAATTCAGTATGCTGATATGGCTTACACTTAGCAATATCTGTTCATATATTTACACAAGAACTATTGTAGAGATTGCAATTTAACACGTTCATTCGCTATTACTATTATAGACTGAGTTTTTATTTGACTGTAGAAGAAACCCCTGTAGCTGAACTGCACTGATACTTTGCATTGTATCTTATTTCTGACACAGATACAATTACATTGAACGATATTATGCAGTTCCACTTAGTGGGATCCTTTGTATTGTATCTTATCTCTGACACATAGATACAAATTACATCTAGACTGAGTTTATACTGACTGTAGAAGAATGCCCTGTAGCTGAAATGCACTGATACTTTGCATTGTATCTTATTTCTGACACATAGATACACTTATATTGAACGATATTGTCGATAAGCCTATTCAGGCTACATAGTTGGAGTACCTTCTATGCATTAATTCCACTTTAGTCACCTATTTTTATCGCTATATGCAACGTTTATAAACTCAATCTATTGTTTTATTCGCTTATGTTAATCTTTATTTACTTCTCTTATCCTTTATTTATTTTCGTGCTCTTTGCTTTGACAGCCAAAATTGACTTTTGTTTAGTCAGGCAGCCATTGCTGTTTTTTTTTTTTCAGATTGGTGTTTCTTATTCATTAATAAAGTATCTTCTAGATTTTTAACTGTTTGTGTGTACCCGATATTGGAAATGGGAACAGATTTTCTTTTCTCTTTTTGTTCTCTATTCTCTGAGAGTTACCCCCTATTCTGTTCCCATATACGCTAGGACATCGATCTTTTGGCCAATTTTCATCATCTATTACTTGCCCATTCCAATGGTTTCTCCAACCACCATGACCACTTAAGCTTTTAGAAGTGGTCATGGTGGTAGCAATCTGTCTGTGCAGTGTTGCATGATACCTTGATTGTATTAAAAAAATTTAAAATACTCCTATTACCAGTGTAACGGTGCTGGGAAAAAGAAAACTATAGTTGTACCAGAAGGTAGCATTCCTTTAAAATCATGCAGATCACTTCAGCTTAATGAAGTTGTCTTGGTGCTGCGGTCCTGTCTTTTTAAATCGTATATAAGAGCGACGTGGGAGGATGCACGGGCGACAGCGCCAAATGTGAGTAAAAATCCTTTTCATCTTTTCTTTACTCCAAACTGCAGCTTGAGCACTATAGTGTAAAGATATCCTATCACTACAAAGGGAAACTAAAGGAAAAAGGATAAAAAGTATACTACCACCACCAACACCGGGTCAGGAGGTGTGAATTAAAAGTATAAAATAAAACAGAAATACAAGGACAGCAGGAGAGGATGGATGATGTTGGCAATGGATTGTTAGATATAACCAACAACATACAGATCGCGTGGTGGTGAAGCATGGGAAGAGAGCAGCAATACAATATCATAATTTCTACATTTATAATGTCTAAAGAGGTGTTGTGATCTCTGCTCATTTTTACCCTCCTGCTAAAATATCGCCAGCAAGTCAAAGTAAAAAAAAATTGGATATCATTTAACACTGTGATAAATGAACAACAAAATGAACATTTTCAAAGGGATACTCTTCTGCTGTCCCCGTCCAAAGAACAAAATGGTTATTTATCCCTTGCACAGAAAGACTAGAAGGCCTTATTGCTTCACTGAGCAGGGAGCACAGCGAGGGCTAACACAGATTGATTCAAGGAAGTCTTGGAATGTACTCTGGCTCATGCAGAGAGGAAGCTACCAGATTCAGACACTATTAAAGAAACACAATTGTGTTACGAATACAAAAAAACTGTATTGCTAACACTATAGTGCTCCTCTGCCCCCCCTCCCCACTTTCCTATGGGGGATTCGAAGATACTGGATGTCCTCATGCAAAGTGTGAGGACGTGCAGTGTCGGTTTTTTTTTATGGAGTTCATTTCTATGAAGCAGCAGGAAGTGCCCCTAGTGGCAGTTTGGTAGACAGACACTAGAGGCAGACTTTACCTACAATGTAGACATTGCAATTTCTCTAAAACTGCAGAGGCCCCCACAGAAAAGCATTGATACAATGTTTTCCAATGAGCAAATTTGAGTGTGTGTTGCGCTCGCTGCACATGCGCATTAGGCCTCCTCTATGAGAAGTATTTGATTGGACATGGGCAGGAAGCAGATGTTATTGCAAACAATGGGGGATCCATTGCTGACTAAGGACAGGGACACTATAGCGCGATAGTCATTCTTTAACAACAACTTCCGTATATATCTGCAAGGTTTAAAGGGCTTGTTCTCACTCATATAAAAAAACTCAGGAACTTTATATGTTCAATTAGAAGTTGTTTCCCCTCCCCCCCCCCAATTATCAATGATACACATATTGTATAATTAAAAAGGAATAAAAAAATAAAAATATACATGGCTAAACACCAGTCTGAAGTGCCCCTTAAAGAGTTACGCCAGTTTTTTGGTTTTAATCATACATATATCTTTATACCTTATGCCATGTTGGGCACTATATATCCACCCTCCTTTTTTAGTACCAAACCCCTGAAAAATAAAGGATTGCAGGGTTCTTCCATGCCCTGTCCGTAATAACGCTGCATCACCCCTTTCTTCTCTATGGTCATAGAGAAGCCACTGAGTGGACCAATCTCCAGACTCAAAGTAGATACACATGCTCTGAACCAGAGAGGGAGGGGATACAAAAAAAAACAAAAAAACGCTACATGAATAATTGTGCCCTCCTTTCCCACCTGCATTTCCAGAGTGTGTGATGATGTAGGCTTCATGGGGGGTTCATAGGGGAGCAAGAATAGAAATTCACTATATGTGTTGTCAGTGCGTTCTAACTACAGACGTATTTGTTGCACCAACCTTGACAGACAGTCCAGAACAGAATTCCAGGCTTCCAGAGTCACGTGTGCTGGGGTATATCTAGCCCCCTGGCACACAAGTGCATGTTTCTATGTGAAGTGTTTAAAGAGAAAAAAAAGAAGAAGTGGTCATGGAGGTTGGAATAACCCTTTATAGAGCTTTTGCTTACATCATCCACATTGAACTTTTAATCACTTGCATTGCTCATTTATCTAGTAATGAAACAGTTACATACAGTTAATCTCTAAACTCTTGACAAGATTCAAAGTATCACTACACAAAAACATCTGGAACTTTTATATGATTACAGAAAATTCTCTAATGGGACTATTAATCTAAACATATCAAACCTTTCATATAAAATACCTTAATCTATGCATCATATCCGGATTTAAAAAAATAAAAAAATAAAAAAAATTAAAAATAATTTTTATTTTTTATTTTTTTTAAATTAGCTCATTCCACTTGGGAAGAGTTACAGTAATCAAGCCACTATTAACCCACTCAGGAGCAGGGTTGGGCAAACCTCATGTTATCAATGCAGGCCTGGCATGTCATCAGCCATGACTGCGTTAATCATCCAATTTCAGGCTTTTAAAATGTTCAAATGTTAAAAGCGAACAGGAGTAGTGTACATTTTTTAAAATTAATAATAAAGACTATTCTATTCAAACACACCGATTACCAATGAAAAGAACATATTTCTTTATTACTGTACTAGACTGGTATGATCTTGTCACACTAAAAACACCCACAACCCATCTACTATACACGTGTACAGCATATGAACACGTAAAGCAAGCCATTAACCCAGCTCCAGGAGTCACGTAAACCTGGGGTCTTACAAAATTCTGACCACACCCCTTATAGTATTTTTTCTGATGTGAACAGGCTAGTGATGAGGAACACATCTGCAAATGAATTTAGTGTTCACACACACACACACGGAAATCCTTAAATAAGAATGCTTTTTATTCTTATATAAAATCAGGTGATAAAGAATAGAGACACAGAAACCAGTGCTCTCATCTGGTCATTTTTGTACTATCAAGATCAATACTACTGCAGCTATGTACCCAGTAGGGTACTTCTGCATGTATCAGTCATACACAAGACTGGTTTTGCAATAAAAAAAAAAAAAAAAAATAGAAAGCACGCACAATAGGTTAGCATCACATTAATTTTGAGTAATGAGTTTTTGATAAATAATAAAAATAAAAAAAAAGCATTATAGGGGAACAAGGAACGTTATATTTCCGCCAATGGGGTTGTAAAAGCTGGATTTAATACATTTTCATTAAGGAAAAAAAAGAAGAAAAAAAAAGTAAAATAGCTAAGCAGATATCAACTTCAAATTAAAACTACGAAAAGTAATTTGTTTACTATTAAATAATTAACACAATTGACAATAAACCACAACTTAAGAAAAACACACTGCCCCCTTTGGAGACATAAGACCAATTGGAGTATTGAGAAATAATTGAGAAGAAAAAAAAAAAAAGAAAAAAAGGACACGGGCTGTGTACCAAAAGGGAAGCATTTCCTAAAAATTTGAGCAAAAGCAAATAAAGTAGCAGAAACAGCTTGTTTAAAGAAGTTTTTGGCCTGAATTTGAAAGGTTGGTGCTGGAATGTGTTGCCACGTATATATACCCCTCCCCCAGCAGGGGAATGTCATCCTGACAAATCTCCCCCCAGACATACACACACACATACTCTATTCTCCAGAAGGAGGATAGAACTATATAAAATTGCTTCAGACATTGTTGGTCTCCTTCAGAGCACGTCAGCTCCCAATCCCCTCAGCACTGATTTCGGTTTCCTCCATCCCAACACTTGGCAAATTGAGCATGATCTCTCAAAAAAAAAAAAAAAATACTGCCCCTTTTTCCATATAAGTCACACAGAAGAAACGTAACGATTCAGCTAGAATTTTCTATCAAATTAAACCATCTTCCGGAGGAAAAAAAGAAGAACTGCTTCTGGTATTGAACTAGAATTCTTACTAACAGCACAGAGTAACTGCTTTTGCATTCACAAAGTATTACTTTACTGAGAGGGTAGTGGATGCATGGAATAGCCTTCCAGCTGAAGTGGTAGAGGTTAACACAGTAAAGGAGTTTAAACATGCGTGGGATAGGCATAAGGCTATCCTAACTATAAGATAAGGCTAGGGACTAATGAAAGTATTTAGAAAATTGGGCAGACTAGATGGGCCGAATGGTTCTTATCTGCCGTCACATTCTATGTTTCTATGTTTTGCAAGGTAAATAATGCCAATATGAAAAGTTTGTTAAACCAGTACCCTTAATATCAACATTTATTATTACAAACCATTAAGACTGAATCAAACTATTATTGGTGCACCCTCAGGTAAATTTAGAAGTATTCTGTACCATTCAATATTAAAGAGAATAAACAGATTTGAAAAGGGTTTAATGAATTAAACGGTCTGGTGCCATGGGTACCCACACACAAGTTAGAAAAAATAAAAACCACCACAACTTGTTGCTTAGTAAATAACCAAATATTAAACACAGCTTGTAATAACATTGTTTCACTCAACTTTAAGAGATTAGGATGAAGGGGAAAAAAAAAAAAAAAAAAGATTTAGCATTTCCTGGAAATATTTATGTCAAGAAAAGCCAATATTGGAGTGAGCTGCTCTTGAGAATCCTTGAGTGAAATGCCTCAGAAGAAAGCAAATATGAGGTCAATAGGAAAGAATACACTAGTCACCTTTTTGGTGTTAAAGAGGTGCCAGAGGTTAAACTATGGGAGTACAAAGCAACAGAAGAGAAGTCAAGTTTACACATACCAGGTAGAATTCAGACAGGTAAAATCAAATAAAGGTTTTATTCTGATCTGCTTTTCTCTATAGTAAGGAGGGGGGGACTAATGAAAGATGGCCATGTATAAACTCCTCTAGAAAACAGAACAATTACAATTACACTTTGAAGCCAATGTTATGTCGTATCAACATGACGAACACATATTTACATATAACGGATTTAACATAAAATCTAGTTTTATTTGGGGTTAAGGATTTATTCAAGACACACATGTACACCTCAATGCAAAGCTATGGATTAAGCAGGAAAAACAATAACAAAAAATTATATATCAAGGTGCAGGCTTCTGGTCACGGTTAATTAAGGGCACCTAATAAAAGAGCTGCAGACTCATTAAGTACTAAGTCTGCTGAAAAGCACTTGGTGCAACTTGCAAACTAAGTTTTCCTAGCAACCCGCATGGGGAGAAGGAGAATGTCTCCTGCAGGGACTAGAAGCACTCACCTCCCTCCCTGTGTGTTAATCAGAGCAGATTCAGTCCAGCACCTCTCCACATCAAGTAAAGAATCTCTGTGCCCAGTCCCAGCGGAGTGTGAGCCCCAGGCTCTGGCCCGTACTTTATAACACCCCTTTCTTCTCCTCTCCACCCCCTCTAAATCTCAGCCTACAGTCCCAGCGCTCTACGTGATCCTTCAGACTCAGGCAGGAGAAGGCGGCGCATGCGCGGAAGGGAGGCTGCAGCTCAATGATCACATGCGCTTAGAACGTTCTTTCGAGCGTTGACGGGAATTGCCGAAGTAACAGCTATTTGAAATGCGTTGGGACCTTTGGGTTTTTCTTACAGGAGAAATGAACTTAAAGGCTACATTGGTGTCTAGTTGTGCCAGGCTGAAAGTAGTCTGAGTAGTATATTGGAAATGTAACATAGATCACTGTGATGTTTAATATGGAATTATATCATTACAGCTGTTGCTTTTGATCACTCTATGGTTTGCTTTTATTAAAGATGCATACACACGAATCATCCTACAGTGAAGCAATTATTTCAGTGCAGTCCTAAAGTTTATTATTGCATAGACAGCCATAGGAAATAACACGTGGTCACTACTACTGACTTAATACCAGTACTGCTGAATTCAACACAAGAGGAGGTAGCAAATGCTATATCCCTCCTAAAATTGGCAGTAGTGTAAATTGAGATACACATACCTAGATAAAATTAAACCAATTTCCAGAGAATGATTAAAGGGTTGCTCCAACGTCCATTACCATGTTTTGAAGTGGTCATGGATGAAGGAATCTGTCTGTGCAGTGTTTCAGCTTGATTGAAACACTGCACATCCAGAGTTATTTGCACTTTTGTAACATGGACTAGTTACGCCCCCAGCACTCGTGACTTTTGCAGCCCGGAACTGTGTTCCCTACTGCTTAATGTCAATTCTAATTATACTTTAATGATCTGAGATGTGATGGTAATAATAATAATAATAATAATAATAATAATAATAATAATAATAATAATAATAATAATGTGACAGAATATCTATGGAATCCTATTTGTCATTAAAGGTTTACTCCAAGCACCATGACAATTCGAGTGTTTTGAAGTGGTGATAGTGCTTGGAGTCTGTATGTGCAGTGTTTCAGTATAAAAACGCTGCATATACTGGGATATATAGTCTGCAAGTGGTGTAACTCCACCTTCGGCAGCATCATTAGTACATTATTAGCCAGCCCAGGACAAGAGTTCCAGGCTCACTAATGTAAATTATTTTCATATTCAATAGTTGAGTGCAAAGAGCTGACACTCTCAGCCAATGAAACAATAGCAGGATTATCTTGCGGCTTTTGCAGCTCTGCAACCCTAGGCACCTCCTGGAGTGACTGTTGCTAATCTGTTTGCCCGCTTGCTGGGAAACAACACCAGGAAACTCATCTCATAACTATTACAAACTCCTTTCATAAGCAAACATTATAGTGGGCTGTAGTGGTTATGATGCTTTGAGTAACCCTTTAATTGTCTTCAACCAATGTCTAGCAGAATTATTCATTAAATTGTAATTCTCAAATGTTAGCCTACAAAAGTCAAATTTTAAAAAATTAAATAAATACCCAAATCAGATATGATTTCAGTTGAATTATTTTGTCTTAAAATCTGAAATACCCTCTTCACTGAATTGCAAAGTGCAATATGGGGGAAGTCCTAATGCGAGCGTTGTGCTTGCCGCGCATGCGCATTAGGTCTCCCTGCTGGCTGACATAGGAGGCAGTTGGTAGAAGGGGGTGTTTCCCTTTAAGGAAGGTGTTAAGGTCACCTCCAATTATGGGAGTGAGCTAAGACACAATGAGAATCTTGCTCTCAGGGCAGATTATATTAGTTTAAGCTTGGTTTTAAAGAAAAAAAAAAAAAAAAACATTAAAGGGACACTATACTCACCAGAACAACTACGGCTTATTGAATTTGTTCTAGTGAGTAGAATCATTACCTTCAGGCTTTTTGCTGTAAACACTGTCTTTTCAGAGAAGAAATATTTTAGAGACATAAAGGAATATAAGTCAAATCAAGTGAGATCTTTAATAATAAGAGAGAGACAGAAAGAAAAGCGCATTATGAAGGAAGGAACAGAACTCGCACTCAAAGTAATCTTGTATATGAAAAGGACATCATGAGAAAAGTACCCCGTAAACCACAGGAAAAAAAAAAAAAATCACAAGGAAGATGGAACTCCCCTAGAAGATATGAAAGACCAGATCATGCAAGTAGAGATAGAAGACACTCCTTTGGAAGAGGTAAAGCAAGAACAGACTCAACCAGATATCCAAGAAGTGGAAAATGGTCAAAACAAGATGGACGGAAATATCAACAGAAGGAGGTTGGAGAGAAAGAAAATCTAACGCCAAGACCACCTATAGACCCCTTTAAACAAACAGAAGTACAGAGACCACCAACACTATATAACCGTTATCTCCCATTAGAACAGGAAAGTGGAGAACAGGTTTTTGGAAAGAACAAGAAAAACACCGATTGGAATCCACCAACCAACACCAAAAGAAGGAGATCCCTGGGCAGAGAGGAAAGAGAGGAGGATTACAAACAAAGCAGGGGGAAAAGAGAATGCCACTGATGAATCCAACCCAAAGTGGGATCTTCAATCTAAGTGGCAGAAAGTGTTGAACAAATGCCTCAAGTTTGCACCAAGTAAAAGTTTAAATAAATCTCAACAGATCTAATCAGATTTAAAGGAACTTTTGTCTTAATTATTTTTTTTAATTCAAAAAAGAGAACAAACACATGTAACCCAATATAAACAAACAGGATTATAGGAAATGTATTCCTTCTTTCCACTAAATATGATTTCAGACCCAAATGATTGCATTTGAAACCATCGTTATGTCCAAATTTAATAAATTAAAAGATACTGATAAATTTAATAAACAATCTGAACATAAAAGAAAGGAAGTCATTAAAAATATCTAAAAAAAGAGGATAAAAAACATTTGGTAATTAAACCAGCTGATAAGGGAAATTTTACCAGCCCAGATGGAATTTTTAATTGAAGGTATCTATCTTATACTGCAAAATAATTATAATGGTATGGAGACGACTATTTTTTGTACAGGTTAAGAGTACGGCCATGGGGACCAAGTTTGCTCCCAGTTATGCGAATTTGTTTGTGTCATATTGGGAAGAGTCTTATATTTATGGCCAACATGACTGGGAGCAAAACTTGGTCACCTATGGCCGATACATTGATGATATTTTTTTTGTATGGAATGGCGCTGAATTTAGTTGAGTTCCTAGCATTTTTAAATAATAATTCATCGGGTATAGAACTCAACAGTGTATGGAGGTAAGAGGTGATATTTTTAGATTTAAATATTTTTAAAGAAAAATGATTTTTAAAAATGAAGAACCACTTCAAACCGGTCAACACAAACAGTTTTACTGAAAGAGACAGCTGTCACTACTCACCTTGGCTGGAAAATGCACCAAAAGGGCAGTTTATAAGGATTAGGAGGAACTGCATGGATAAAAGTACTTATGAAAAACAGTCACTCAGAATAAAACTTTATACAGAAGGGGTACGAAGAAAATAACCTTGAGAAATCAAGAACAGAAGTAAGAGAAAGAGATAGGAGAGAATTGTTGAAGCACAACTCCAAAAGTAACGAGAAGGCAAAAATAAACCACGTACCCTTTATGTGTGATTTTAGCAGTAATAATAGAAAAGTGATAAGTATTATCAAACAAAACTGGCACATATTACAACAGGATCCTGTCTTAAAAGAGGTTTTAACGCATCAACCTAAAATTATACATAGAGGGGTCATTAATATTAAGAGCCATGTGGTAAGAAGTCACCTAAAAGAGGAAACAGGCACATATCAATTTAGTGAAAATGTATGGTTTTATGGTTGCAGACAAATGTACGTTATGCAACAGCACAAATAATCATAGGCGTATAATAAAAGATTTTAATTCGGAGACTCAGAATTTTAAGATAAGAGAGAGTTTAACAGACAGACTAGAAAACATATCTATAGGCACCTTATTAATAGCCGGAGATTTTAACTGTGTTTTTGACACAGAGATTGATAAAAATATCCATCTCCAGTGGAAACCAAATAATCACATTTTTAAACAAGCTAAGAAACTAATATTTGCGCCATGTATGATTTATACGATGCCTGGCATGTGTTTCATCCAGATCTACGTGACTACACTCACTTGTCTAAAGTCCATAATTTGTATTCAGGAATAGATCTATGTTTAGTTAATGCTAACACACAGAGAAATTAACACAATTCAAATTAAGGACAATACTTGGTCTGATCACAGTTTTATAATACTCCAAATAGGTAAACCCTACTTCAGACCTTTCAACGCCTGGAGAATAAATGATTCTCTGTTTAAACTTAAAGCAAATCAGGACCACATAATTGAGTTGTCAAGATTTTTCTGGCTTGAAAATTCTAGTCCGGATATTATTATTATTGCCATTTATATAGCGCCAACAAATTCCGTAGCGCTTTACAATATTATGAGAGGGGGGATGTAACTATAAATAGGACAATTACAAGAAAACTTACAGGAACAATAGGTTAAAGGGGACCCTGCTCAAACAAGCTTACAGACTATAGGATTCCACCCTGTGGGCCACGTATAAAGTAGTTATAAGAGGTTCTCACATTAAGATAGAAAAACAAACAAAAATACAATAGATAAAGATTTGATTGAATTAAATATACAATATTTTAACGTGGCTACATTAAATAAAGATAAACTGATGGATCAACTTAAAGTTATTTGAACTCCAAAAACAGATCAATATGAAAAAATAAAAAAAGATAAAAAAAAAATTAAAATAATAAACTTAGAGTAAATACCTATCATCAAGGGAATAGAGTTAATAAGAATTTAACTAAGAGAATAAAGAAACAAAATACTCTTAACAGGGTTGATAAATTGATCGACAACCAAATTACATACTCCTCTCCGGAAGATATCGGTCAAATTTTCAATAAACAACTTGTACAATCTTGAGACATTCTCAGACAAAAAAAAGTTAATAAGTATTTAATAGATACAGAAATACCAAGAATTACTGGTCTGGATTACTCGCTATTTGAAAGTATCCAATTATAATTTAAATATAACCAAATCAAATGCTGTAACTATTAAGGTTGACGATTATAACTTAGCTGACTTAAGACATAATCATGATTTTGGATGGTCTAGGACCACGCTTATCTACTTGGGTATTTCAATCACAACCCAAGTTAAAAACACAATGGAAATAAATGTTCTCAACCTTATAAAATACACAAATATAAAGCTAAAAGAATGGCGTTCACTAGAATCCTCCTGGTCCAGCAGGATTAATATAATTAATGCTTACATTCTCCCTAAGTGGTCATATCTATTCAGGATGATTCCTCTTCAGATCTCGGAGAGTTGGCTAGTAATGATACAATCTAGCTTTCAGTCCTTTAAATGGAAATCTAAAAAAAACCTAGAATTAGCGCTAAGGTTTTATCTAGGAAATACCAACAAGGGGGCATGAACTTCCCAGATATTAGAAATTGCTATTCTGCGAATGTTATTGGGCATGTTCATAAACTCCAGATCGAATCATCTAAAAACGAGATATGGTATAGAATAGAATCGGAGGCGGTTGTCATTGACAGGTTGGAAATATATTTATGGTTTAAGAGTAACAAAAAAGGTGACAGATGAATTAAGTAAACAATCACTACTCTTGTCACAAACTATCAGAGCATGGGATATAATAAAAAGGCGATTACAAATATCTAATAAAATCATTAAGACAGCCCATTTGGCCGTACTGGAAGACAATATGCAAGATATCTCTTTACAACATTGAACAAACTAATTAATAAACCCTCCACTTCAGAGAAGACTATTGCTTGATATTTTTCAGCACTACCATTTTGCTGACTTGGGACGCCGAGCATTTCAAATAAGGTCTGGACTTTTCATGGCTTAATTTGTGATTCCTAATAGACAAATTATTTTTGATATATGGAAAGTTTATTTTTATATTTATTTTTTATAATGATAAATAAAATGGATTTTTAATACTAATCTTTAGTGTGTTAATAAGGCCATTGACTTATCTATTAGAAGAGAATGGTCTATTAGTTTGTTCAATATTGTATAGGTTGTTAGGTTCCCTATTTTTTGCACAATATTCTCATCTCTCTCTATTTTTAATCAGAGCTCCACTATCTTTGCTTTTTCTTTACAACATTGGTCTAAATTTCATTGGACCATTAAAGATATCCTCCATGACGATCACATACTACCTTTTACCGATATTAAAACTAAATTACATCTCCCGAATAAATAACTTTTTTTCTTATTTAAGGATTAAAAATTTCCTGAATACAGCATTATTGAAACCCACTTCAAAAATTAGCTCTTTGGGGGGCGTGGTCTGACTGTCGATGAGACCAGACGTGTTCTACTAGAGCTCCGTTCCACCGGCGCCTTAAGCTACAAAAGCGACCTTAAATTGCAGCATTTTCTACCCTCACATACCCTATCATGGATAGGAGACCCCCCAAGAAGCAGCCCAAGAGGGCCACGGAGTCCGGGGGCTCCGTTTTGGACCTTCTTACAGCATCTCGGCACAGCCGCGCCGACAGCCAAGATGGCGACGGGGGCTCCCCACACGCATCGCCTGGCACGGATAGAGAGGCACTCTCTGCGGAACAGAACACTGTTCTAGCAAAACTGGCAGAAGTCAGATCTTTCCTTGCAGGGGAGATCGCCAAATCAACGGCGGTACTACAGGCGGATATTTGCGCTCTGGGAGAGCGTACTGCTAAATTGGAGGAACGCATGGAAGCGACAAATCAGGCCCACAATGAAGTTGCCGATAGAGTGAATCGCATGGCGGCTCACGTTATTGATATGGACCTGGCTCTGGAAGACATGGCCAATCGTTCTAGGAGGAATAACATTCGCCTGAGAGGCTTACCAGAAGGGCCAGATGAAGACTTACAAGGGCTGTTAATGTCGATCTTCCAGCCTCTCCTCCCACACATTTCGGAGGAACATTGGCATATGGAGAGAGCCCATAGGGCGCTAAAGGCGCAAAGAGCGGAGACCAACACCCCGAGGGACGTCATTATAAACTTTCTATACTACAAAACCAAAGAGGCTTTGATGAAGAAGGGTAGAGATGGTCCTATCCGACATGACGGAGCCCTTATATCATTCTACCAAGATCTGGCCCCTTCGACGCTACAGAGGAGAAGGGACTGGCGGCCCATTACTGGGGCTCTGAGAGGGGCAGGCCTGAAATATGCCTGGGGCTTCCCCTTTAAATTGATGGTCTTCCGTGAAGGCCGTGCGCACATCCTGTCGCCGGGGGGAGACCCGAAGCGCCTGTTCCAGGGCCTGGGGCTACAGCCTCCCCCGGATCTGCTTAACTTGGCGATGGGACCGGAGGAGCTGCCACAGATGCAAGCGGAGTGGCGCGGAGTGGGACCTAGAAGCCAACGCTGAACCTAGCGGTATCGTATACTCCTCTTCTACCAGCAAGAGATATTATTGTTTTTTCCCTTATTGCGGGCAGCCGAGACTTCTCTTTTTTGTTGGGCGGGGGATGGGGCAGGGGGACTCAGAAGCGCACGTTGCGCTTGGGCCTTATCTCTGTGTTTGCCGTTTGTGACTGTTTTTGCCAGGGAGATCGGGGCCACCTGTTTTTGACCCCCGGTTGACCCTTGTTTATACTACAGGTGTTCCCTGCAACGATAGGGGCTAAGTTGGGGTGGCCCCCCCCCCCCAGTGCAGATGCTGATGCTACTCCCCCCGGACTTGGACCACAGCACCACTGCACCTCACGTGTTTGATTTTTATTGTTGTTTTTCACTCTGGGCCGGTGTGGGGGAGGAAGATCGAACATGGGACTTTAAAAATCCGGATTATACAATGTAGATTGTGTGTGCTAGTGCCCCATTGATGTAACTGTCCGGGTACATTTATGCAGCTCGGGGCCCGCAGGGCAAGTCGCCCGTATATCCCCCCTCTTAGTGTTTTTGTCCCGTGTTTCTGTTTGCTTATTGTCCAGTGCCCCGAGACCTTCCCCCTAAACAGGAAGATAAGTTTTAATTTACGAAAAAACAAAAAAGCAAAAAGAAAAAATTATAAAAGCAGTAATTAGGAAGGGGTGGGGTTGGTGGACACTGTATGCGTAAATTGCAGGTGTTCGGTAATACTGGGGAATGTGGGTGGAATCTGGTAATTTATTGTTTAGATTCATTTTATGGCGGTGGTAGTTGTAGATGCATAGGTTGGAATGATAGAGCCGTACGATTTAACTGCGGATACCGCTATCTTAGGGATCTCCCTATTTAAAGATGAGGGGTCCCAAACAATATGCATATGGAGTGGAGGTCCTTGCGGGAATGGGGGTGCAAGGGGCGATATGGGGGTGTGGTTGGAAAGTGAATAGAAATTTCCCCCCCCGCAACACAAAAGGGTGATTTGGATAATGAAGGGTAGGGCATAATGTGAGTCGACCACTGAAGTCAGGAAATAACAAGGGATAGCATTTCGAACCTGGTGAAGCCTTATTTAGTTTTACCACTGAAATGGAGCTGGTATACTTAATCACGAAACAGTGCGCCTGACCTGTGCACCAGTATGTGTAGCTATTCTCCCCCCTCGGGCTGTTGGCCCCAACTTATGGCTTACGACGGTGGGCCTGGCCCCTGGCGTTCACGGACCCGCCTGGCGTTCCGAGGTGGGCGGGGTGGGCCGCGTTCACCTGGGGACGGCTACTATAGCTGGGATAACATGGGGGCCGCTGCCTCCTGTGCGGCTGCTTGCCCCCTCCGGCTGGCCCTGCACTGGTTCCGGGGGGTCGGCTGGGGGGGGGCGACCGTCCGGTCGGGTGGGCGGTGGTTCCTGGGGTGAGGAGGAGGGGTCCATTCGATTCAGCAGGTGGAGGGAAGGTGCCATGGAGGTAAATGCACATATTTCATTTTTGTCAGTTCCCTATCTAGTTTTTAAGTTTTTGTGGTAATAATTATAGATAAGTATGCTGGACCACGGTGGCCCCAGATTTGATTGCAAACACATTCACCGTGAGGCCTCCCTTGGTATGTTTGATGATAGAGGGCCGCGGAAATAACGAGCTCAAAGTCACCATACTAGCACCTCATGCTGATCATAAGGAGAATACCAGTCCATGACGCTATTAAATTTGGAGGGGAGGCAGAATATCTACCACACCAAGGGGTCAGTGGAGGGCGGGGACTGACACAGAGTTCCCCGAGTGGAGCCGGCCCGGGGGCGGGGGGGGGGCAAGGAGTGCCAGTGGGTTATATTTGATAAGCGAAGGTTTTTTGACGTAAAGGTCCAAGTATCTTACAATTGGCGCCTAAATGGTAGGAGCTCAGTATCCCGATGTTCCTCCCAACGTTGATCGTGGCAGGGAAACGGGACGACGTTCCCCAAAATATTCTGGCGGATGGTAAGACCAGAATTTCAGTGCATCGGACTGTGTCCAGGTGCAGCTTTTCTTTCTATTCTGTATTCTATTCCCTCCTTTCTTTTCTTCTACCCCCTTTTTTTCTTTCCAGGGGGGGCTGCGGGGTCGGGGGGCTGGCAGAGGGCTTGCTTCAGGGACCCGATAGGGAGTCTGATAGGACAAAGAACATGAGATCATTATACAGAGCCTTAGCTGACTCGCCTGATGGAGATTAAAATCATTTCCCTGAATGTTAAGGGTTTAAACGCTCCTAGGAAGCGCAGACTCCTGTTACGGGAACTAAAAAGAATGAACTCGGACATTGCTTTTGTCCAAGAGACCCATTTGCCAGCACAGGCCAAGTTTAGGTTGAAAGATCACGCGTATGCAGGCTCTTTTGAAGCCAGGTCCCATTGCAAACAAAATGGAGTAGCGATCCTCATTAGAAGTAGCTGCCCCTTACGTAAAACTCATTTTGAAGCAAACCCGGAAGGTCGAATGGTTATCGTCTCAGGCGTTCTACATTCACATACGGTCCATTTGATTAACATCTACGCGCCGAACCAGCCAGACCCATTGTTTTGGGAGGTGCTTAAGGAGAAAATTAGGGGGTTGCCCCATGGAATGTTATTTTTGGGGGGCGATTTCAATGCGGCCCCGTGCCCGGCGGTGGACAGGAGCTCGCGGTCAGGTGCTCCTAGGTCACAGGGTAGGGGGGGACAGGACCGTCTGCTTAAAGATTTTATAGCCGCCACAGGACTTGTAGACATCTGGAGAGCCCACCACCCAGGTGATAAGGACTACTCTTTTTACTCAGCTCCCCACGGAACGTACTCAAGGATAGATCTATTCTTGACTAACGCAGCAGGCATGTCCCGAACTGTAGGATCCCGGGTAGGCAACATCTCATGGTCGGATCATGCTGATATCTCCATCACGCTGGGTAACTTATGTATCAAATGCAAAAGAATAATAAGCACTCTCTTCTCAGGGGTGAGCTGCAGTTCACCAACAAGGTGTTCCTCTACCTTGTGATAAATGGACAGATAAAATAGAAAGGTGAACAGCGCTAAAAATCAGAAAATGTACATACGTTTTGTAGAAATACTGGCCAGCAGAGTAACTTAAAAAAAGAGAGAAACAAAAATACAAATAATGGTACAGTATGTATGAACGATATAATTCCACAAGAACAAAGGTGTTATATTCACACTCACACTTTGAGGAGCTATATCAGCTCGGTGTTAAGAGCCTGGACGGAATAATCCCCGTCTATGGATTTCTTGAGGTTCAAGACCGTTGGTGAATTTATAGGTGTAAATATTCGTTACATGAAAAACAAGAGTAAAATACACCACATGGTATAGTACGTAAATATAAAATATTGTGAAAAAAAAAGTGGATGATCCTACTTACATATACTAGAGCATAATCTTTTGTAAAAATCCTCAAAAATCTCAGCTATCTCAACTGGTCTTGTTCTCTTCGTACCATCTGAGTGTTTAAGCACCGTTATGTGGGATCTCTCTTGCCTCTGCCTAAGCGTTCTAGCTAATAGGGTGTCCATTTTGTTCGCCTTCTAGAAAAATGTCCGTTTTGACCAGGTCATAGATCGAGCCGCATCATCCAATAATAAAGTGCGAATGTCCCGTCTCACTGCTCCCAATTGCCTGAGGGTGTCCTCTGTCGGCACCGCTTGATGTCTTTGTTCCAAGGATCTCAGGTTCCCCAGCAACTTCTCCAGCTGTTGGTATTTCAATTTCTTTTTTCTGGTGGCTAGCTTGATCAAGGTCCCTCTGATAACTACCTTGTGGGCCGCCCAAATCGTGCATGCGTTCACCTCGGGGGTGGTGTTCAATTCAAAATATTCTGTGATTCCTCTCCTGGTTTGCTCCAGTATCTCTGGGTCTTGAAGTAGGGACGTGTTCAATTTCCACGTCCATGGTGAGGCGATACACAAGTTAGATAAAATAGAAAGGTGAACAGCGCTAAAAATCAGAAAATGTACATACGTTTTGTAGAAATACTGGCCAGCAGAGTAACTTAAAAAAAGAGAGAAACAAAAATACAAATAATGGTACAGTATGTATGAACGATATAATTCCACAAGAACAAAGGTGTTATATTCAGTTCAAAAATAGGAAATCTAAAAAGGTTACTGTATGATTACTAAAATTGGAAGTTAAAATTATACCTTCATTATTCTGGTTTAAGTAATTAATGAAGGATTCCGCTGAAGACATGGGTCCTTCCCATATAAAGAGGAGATCATCGATATAGCGATGATATGAGACCAGGTTCGCGCACCAGCTATGCCCCTCCCATATCCATCTGTTTTCCCATTCCGTCATGAATAGGTTGGCATAGCTGGGCGCAAACCTGGTCCCCATGGCTGTCCCTGTTATCGGAAGGTAAAAAGCGTCTGCGAACCAAAAATAGTTGTGGTGTAAAATAAGATCGATTCCCTTTAAAATAAATTCGATTTGAGCAGAATCCATATCTTTATATTTTTCTAAAATTGATTTAACCGCTGAGATCCCTTTTTCATGTCCGGAGAACTTCCTGTCTATGCTATCTTGCTGAAAACAGGAAATGAGGAAATACACATAGTAGAATCGATTTCCACTATCATATACTCTATGTGTGCCCACATCTGTAATTATTCACGTTTTTATCTGATTCAATATGTTATTATGTTATTGTATACCTTTGATTCCTATTTTTGAACTTTCCAACAAATTGCCCACATCCAAGATGGTGTCCGGAGAACTTCCTGTCTATGCTATCTTGCTGAAAACAGGAAATGAGGAAATATGCACAGCAGAAATCGATTTTCATCATCAGAGAAGGTATATAATCTCAAGGACCCCAAGCAGCAAGCATTCACTTTTGAGAAAGCTTCGGCGAAAAGCGTCAAGTGAGGAAGAATTTTGGACTTTTATACAGGACTGGTTTTATAGTTTATTATTCACTTTTCACTTATTGTATTAAAGTATATATATTTTTTAAACTATCCAGTCATTCCTTTTGTCCTCCTTCCTATCCAATACTGCTTTGCTGCTATACCTGGGTCCACTATATCCCAAGGTGGGGATTATTCCACCTGAAATTCTCCAAACTAGAGCAGGTCGTTGCTCTAGTATATGTAAGTAGGATCATCCACTTTTTTTTTCACAATATTTTATATTTACGTACTATACCATGTGGTGTATTTTACTCTTGTTTTTCATGTAACGAATATTTACACCTATAAATTCACCAACGGTCTTGAACCTCAAGAAATCCATAGACGGGGATTATTCCGTCCAGGCTCTTAACACCGAGCTGATATAGCTCCTCAAAGTGTGAGTGTGAATATAACACCTTTGTTCTTGTGGAATTATATCGTTCATACATACTGTACCATTATTTGTATTTTTGTTTCTCTCTTTTTTTAAGTTACTCTGCTGGCCAGTATTTCTACAAAACGTATGTACATTTTCTGATTTTTAGCGCTGTTCACCTTTCTATTTTATCTAACTTATGTATCGCCTCACCATGGACGTGGAAATTGAACACGTCCCTACTTCAAGACCCAGAGATACTGGAGCAAACCAGGAGAGGAATCACAGAATATTTTGAATTGAACACCACCCCCGAGGTGAACGCATGCACGATTTGGGCGGCCCACAAGGTAGTTATCAGAGGGACCTTGATCAAGCTAGCCACCAGAAAAAAGAAATTGAAATACCAACAGCTGGAGAAGTTGCTGGGGAACCTGAGATCCTTGGAACAAAGACATCAAACGGTGCCGACAGAGGACACCCTCAGGCAATTGGGAGCAGTGAGACGGGACGTTCGCACTTTATTATTGGATGATGTGGCTCGATCTATGACCTGGTCAAAACGGACATTTTTCGAGAAGGCGAACAAAATGGACACCCTATTAGCTAGAACGCTTAGGCAGAGGCAAGAGAGATCCCACATAACGGTGCTTAAACACTCAGATGGTACGAAGAGAACAAGACCAGTTGAGATAGCTGAGATTTTTGAGGATTTTTACAAAAGATTATACAACCACACCCCGGACGGAAGCCCTCACGGAGAACATGAAGAAGAGTATATTTTGCAATATCTAGACAAGCAGGGGATGACTAGATTGACTGGGGAGGCAACACACACGCTGGCGGCGGATATTTCGGAAGAGGACGTGGACAAAGCTATCTCGAGCTTGAAAGGCAGTAAAGCACCGGGGCCAGATGGGTTCGATGGCTCATATTACAAAACCTTTAGAAAAGAGCTAACGCCACATTTAGTCCAACTATTCGATAACCTACGGCAGGGTAGACATTTGGACCCAGACATGTCATTGGCGACCATAGTGCTCTTGCCCAAGCCCGGGAAGGATCCATTATATCCTGAAAACTATAGGCCCATTTCGCTGATCAACCACGATCTGAAAATATTAGCGAAAATACTGGCTGACAGGCTGAACCCTTTGCTGAATTCTCTCATCCATGCAGATCAAGTCGGTTTCATCAGGAGTAGACAATTGTTCGAAAACACTAGACGGAATATAGATTTGATTTGGAGGCAGGTGGCATTGGGGACCCCTACATTAGTAGTCTCCATTGATGCAGAGAAAGCTTTCGATAGAGTCCGGTGGCAATTTCTGTTCCCAGTTTTAAAGAACATGGGCTTCCCAGAAGAATTCCTAACAATGACGAGAGCAATGTATCACAACGTACGGGCACAAGTGCAGATATCGGGAGCCCCACTACATCCCTTCCAGCTGCATAACGGAACAAGACAGGGATGCCCACTCTCTCCCCTTCTTTTCATTTTGGCCCTGGAGCCCCTACTCCAGGCAGTCCGACGACACCCGAACATCGCTGGTGTACGGGTGGGGGACAAGGAATTTAGGGTTTCAGCTTATGCGGACGACGTCCTCTTGACCATCACGAACCCTCTGGAATCAATGGCAGCAATACAAGAAGTCATAGCAGAGTACGGTACGTTATCAGGTTATAAGGCAAATATTCAGAAATCCAGTGCCCTACCACTGTGCTTGTCGCAAGCTGATACGGTTAGGTTACAGGAGATTTACCAGATCCGCATGGAAACGGACTCTCTGAAGTATCTGGGAATTAATATGACAGCTGATCCCGAACGCTTATACTTAGCTTACACCTCTATTTTACGAGACCTGATGAGAGACTTAGACAACTGGACTGAAAAACCCATATCCTGGGTCGGTAGGATAAATTCAGTGAAGATGAACATCCTTCCATGTATATTATTCCTCTTTCAGGCGCTACCTATAAGAGTAACGAAGATGCAATTGCTACCGCTGCAAAGATCGATTGGAGATTTTATTTGGCAGAACAAGAGACACCGAATTGCTAAACAAGTATTATACCGTCGCAAGGACAGAGGGGGATTGGGCCTTCCGAACCTCTATTTCTACTACTTAGCGGCTCAACTGGCGCAGATAGCCATGTGGCATTCCACAATGGATGAGAGAAGGTGGGTGGAAATAGAGTCTATGATGGTGGGTGTTGACGTACCCCAGTTTACGATATGGGTCCCGCCGGAACACAGACCGGCGATACGAAACACATGCCAGGCAATCCTCAACTCGATCCGAATATGGGACACTTGTAGCACAAAATACGGACTGGCATCATCCCCTTCCCCACTGACTCCTTTTTTGAGAAACAGGGAATTCCCACCTGGTATGACCCCCAGAGATTTCAGGAACATCGAAAGGACTGGGCTACAACGGATTCATCAATTATATCACAATGGAGAGGTAGTACAATTTGCAGATCTTCAAGCAGGAAACCACCTAACCCCTGCGGATTTCTTTAGGTATGTTCAAATACGTGACTTCGCCAAAAAGCCACATATCAAATCGGCTGCCTCCGGGAAGCCCACTTTTTATGAGAGGATTTGCTCGGAGGGGGTAACCCCCAAGGGGTTGATTACTCTCTTATACGCACACCTTAGCGGAGAAAATAAAGAATGGGGAAAGTTAACTTACATTGACCAATGGGAGAATGATCTCGGGGAGATTTTGGAAGGGGTCGAGTGGCAGGAGATATGGGACGCAAGCGCTAAGGTCTCCATTTGTGTCACCCTTCAGGAGCAGGCATGGAAAACTATGTTCAGATGGTATACTACCCCAGTCAAACTTCATAGAATGCACAAACGGGAGACAGATGAATGTTGGCGAGGATGTGGAGCACGAGGGACTTATATTCATATGTGGTGGGGGTGTCCAAGGCTACTAGGTTTCTGAAAGTCTGTTGAAGACCTGTTGAGACAGACGTTTGATAGACCCCTGAAAATGGACCCGTGGATTTATTTGTTGAATAGATCAATTGATGGATGGACCAAAAGGGAGCAGAAGTTGGTACACAAAATCACACTGTGTGCGCGCAGAGCAATAGCGTCAGCATGGCTTACATTAGAGGGCCCGGAATTCGCGGGGGTTATATCTAGAATTAAAGAATGTAGAGTGATGGATGACCTAACGGCAAGGGTGAGAGGAAATGTCTCGACGTTCCATAAAATTTGGGAACCTTGGGACAATAGTGTAGTTGGCTCGAGAGGAGAATGAGAGCCCCCCCCCCGCCCAAGTACGATTCGTAACGGAAATCATCACTGCTAGCGGGGTCTCCTGTGCCGGCGGGGTTGCTGCTTTTTGACCCTTCCCCGTTTGCCCCCCCCCTTTTCTCCCTCTTCTAAACCTCCCTCTAATTTACTGCACACTTTTTCCTATCTATCTCCTTTTTTTTTCCTCTTTTCTTTCCTTTTTCTTTGTTTTTATTTTTTTATTTTTTTCCAGGCTAGGTCATACGGTGGGAGGAAAATGTAACAATGACACGACACTGATTAGCACATCTGATTGATAGCTGTCATTTGTACCTACTTGTTTCATGATATGCATATATCCTCTCCATAGTTGGCAAACGCCTAACGTACAATGAGAAATGGGTTGGCACTGATAGAGCGGAGTGGTACTTGATTGCTCCTATCTGGCATAGCAGTTATTTAGCTTATACATAGGCCCAGCTGGGATCACATGCCTGTTATAGATAAGGAGCTCATAGACTACAAGATATCTACTTAACCGGCAGATGCCAGCAGTATGGCAAGGTTGGAGCTTATTCAGTGTGACCAAAGGAATTGTACCTTAATTGACTTATTTATCAGCCTTAAAAGGGATTGGGCAAAAGACGTTTTTTCTGTGAATATATTGTTTAAAATTGCATAAAAATAAAAATCCTCAGTAGACGGCAAGTGCCGATGGCTCAATTACGAATGGGCATATACTGTAATTGTCAAGCTGTATTATGTATACTATTATTATTACACTGGCTTATGCATAAGCCCAAAGTCGTTAATAACTTGCTATGTCTGTTGAGTAAAAATAAAGAATTTAAAAACAAAAACAAAAATTAACTCTTTTATTCAGGAGATATTTGATTATAATAAAGTTAAAACAATCCTTTCTAAAGCTTCCAATTTGATACTTATATCTGACCGACAACCCTTAAATATTATAGATAAATGGAAAATGGAACTAAATATAGACATCACCGATGTTGAATGGTGCGTCACCCTTAGAGACATCCGAAAAAACTTTCATTGTTTGAACTTAATAGAGTGTCAATATAAAATCATGTATAAATGGTACCTAACTCCATATAGACTAAGCAAGATGTATCCGGACCAGAACCCTCATTGTTGGCGTTGTGGTTGTCTTGACGGATCTCTTGTCCATATATGGTGGTATTGCAAATTAGTTAAACCTCTCTCGAGGTGGTCTTTCGAACTGCTTAAATCTTTATTCCACATCTCAATTCATCCGGGCCCTGATATCGCCTTACTACACCTAAATTGGAACTTATCTTTTACATCCAAATGTATTATAATTCATTGTTTTTTGGCTACCAAGATTGTAATAGCGAGAAAATGGAAGTCATACCACCCCTTTGAGAAGAGGAATCTTACCGACCAATTGTTATTCCAACTTCGGATGGAAAAAGATCTTCCGGTCTCCTTCATCCATTTGTTAAGTAAACAATATCAATCTAACAAATGGATCCAAATTATAGAGGGAAATTGTACTAGACCAAATTCTTAAGGATATATAATAAATCTTAGAGACTGATTTTGGCCCGCGCTTGCAGCCTTGGTAGATAGAAGTTATAATTAAATTAAGGTTTTCTATCTCTTTAAGGGCTTTTGAATTGTACACAAATCTTTTGTTTGGTATTGTCTTTGTGTCTATGTTTTTGTATATTTGTTATGTCATTTTAATTTATTGTATGTATGAAATTATTTAAAAGTAATAAAAAAAAAAAAAAAAAATGATGAGAGAGTTTATAACTTTCTACACGAAGAATGTGATCTATTTGCTTATATGCCCATGTGGATTAGAATACGTAGGAAGAACAACAAGACCGTTACATATAAGAATAGGGGGAACACATACGAAATACATAGCACATCACGATAACCCCAGGGATATGAAATTTATGATAATAAAAATAAAAAAAAAGTTAAAAATAAAGGATTGGAGAGGAGGAGATTTTAATAAAGCTATAGGAAAAATAGAAATGGAGTGGATCTATACTTTAAATACAATGATCCCTCAAGGTCTTAATAGCGACTTTGAAATATGCCATTTTTTAAAATAAAAATAATTTAGTAGAATTGATCATTCTAAAGTACAGACCTTTAGCCCACCACCTGTGGATAGCATAGGAAAAATAGTTGTCAGTAGAAGGTGTAGTCTCCTAAATTATTAATTGTATGCCACAGTATTATAACACTTCATAATGTTGTAATACTACGTTGATCGCTATTTATCGCTGGAAATGAAATAAAAGAAAGCTAAAAATCAGTGTAAAAAAAATAAAAAAATTATATAATATATATACACACACACACACACAGTGTCTAGGTGTATTTTACTATTAATATCAAATTACACGGTAGACTGATACGGATTAAATTATATATATACATATATATAAAAAAATATGTAAATACGTTAAAATTAAAAAAATTCAATATATGTGTTTTCGTTCTAACTGTATTGTGAGATATATATATATATATATATATCAAAATACATGTGTGTGTGTGTGTATATATATATATATATATATACATACACACACACACAAATATTTAAAAATTATATACACACATATTAATTGTACATATATATTTATGTAATATTTTTACATAATTAGGTATTTTAATTACCGTATATACTCAAGTATAAGTCGACCCGAATATAAGTCGAGACCCCTTATTTTAACCCCCAAAACTGGGAAAGCTTATTGACTAGGGTGGTACTACTGGTAAATTTCTAAATAAAATTAGATCCCCATAAAATTATATTAATTGAATATTTATTTACAGTGTGTGTATATAATGAATGCAGTGTGTGTATGAATGTATGTATATGAATGCTGTGTGTGTATGAATGCAGTGCCTTGGTGGGGGGGTGGGCATTATTATTATTATTATTTTTTTATATTATTAATATTTTTATTTTGATATTATTTATTTTCGTCCCCCCTCCCTGCTTGTTAGCTGGCCAGGGAGGGGGACTCTCATTCCCTGGTGGTCCAGTGGATGGGCTGTGTAGGAGGGGGGCTGGCAGGAAGCTGTAACTTACCTTTCCTGCAGCTCCTGTCAGCTCCCTTCTCCTCCACTGTAAGTCTCGCGGTGTGACTGCCGCACGGAGCGTTGCCACGGTAACCCGTGGCAACGCTCTGACCCGCAGGCTCTCCCGAGATTTACAGTGGAGCTGATCGGAACACAGGAGTAGGGAGCTGACAGGAGCTGCTGTAAAGGTAAGTAACAGCTTCCTGCCGGCCCCAAACAGGACCGCCGGGCTCATTACAAGTCCGTATTATAGCAATATAAGTGGCAATAATACAGACATTGACTCGAGTATAAGTCGAGTGGGGGTTTTTCAGCAAAAAAAAAAAAAAAGTGCCGAAAAACTTGACTTATACTCAAGTATATACAGTAATTACAATTAGCGGGACTTGCAGGACAACCCATGCCGAAAGTATAGGGAATTTAATTTGCTAGCACTATATTTAACACTATAACTTTCCAAGACACCATAAAACCTGTAGCTGGGGGGTACTGTTTTACTCGGGAGACTTCGCTGAACACAAATATTAGTGTTTCAAAACAGTAAAATGTATTACAACGATGATATTGCCAGTAAAAGTGACTTTTTTTGCATTTTACACACACAAACAGCACTTACACGGACAATATTATTGCTGTGATACTTTTTACTGTTTTGAAACACAAATATTTGTGATCAGCGAAGTCTCCCAAGTACAACAGTACCCCTCATGTACAGGTTTTATGGCGTTTTCAAAAGTTACGTCATATATAAGGCTTGTGTTTCATTTTTTTTCACATTAAAATTCGCCAGATTGGTTACATTGCCTTTGAGACCCAATGGTGGCCCACGGATGAAAATTACCCCTATGATGGCATACCATTTGCAATAGTAGACAACCCAAGGTATTGCAAATGGGGTATGTCCAGTGGTATGTCCAGTATTTTTTAGTAGCCACTTGTCACAAACACTGGCCATAATTGGTGTTTTTTGCATTTTTCACACACAAACAAATATTAACGCTAACTTTGGCCAGTATTGGTGACCAAATGGCTACTAAAAAAAACTGGACATACCCCATTTGTAATACCTTGGGTTGTCTACTATTGCAAATGGTATGCCATTATGGGTGTAAATTTCATTCCTGGGCTACTATACAGTCTCAAATGCAACGTAACCAATCTGGCGAATTTCAATTTCAAATGTAACATGCTATATTTGACCCTGTAACTTCCCAAAACACCATAAAACCTGTACATAGGGGGTACTGTTGTACACGTGAGACTTTGCTGAATACAAATATGTGTATTTTATTGCAGTAAAGCAAACAGTATTATGACATTGACAGTTAAAATGTCATGTAGAAATTAAAAAAAAATAAAAAAAAAAATCTTATTTTCTCCCATATTTTTACATATTAAATTATGTTTCATAGCTAAATATTTGATATTAAATTAAAGCCCTGTTTCCTCTGAATAAAATGATATTTAATAAGGGTGGGTGCATTTAATATGAAAGAGGTGAATTACGGTTGGAAAGACATGTAGCGCAAATGCCAGGTTTTGTTTACAACGTGTACATTTGGCTCAGTCCTTAACCCCTTAAGGACACATGACATGTGTGACATGTCATGATTCCCTTTTATTCCAGAAGTTTGGTCCTTAAGGGGTAAAAGGAACACACACACACACACACTTGAACTAAGGGTTCCTCAAAATAAAATAAAAAATAAAATAAATTAAGCTAAGTGTTTCCCAGTATATATGTGCACATGAATTGTCTATATATTAAACTAAGATAGCGCTCCACTATTTTTCGTATATGCAATAAGTTGTGTGGTTTTGGGAGAATTACACATTTAGTGTAGCAGCTTTGTTTTATATAAAAAAAAAAAAAAAAAACTCCACATTGGTATACTGACAGAGTACGCGGTTATATCTCTTGATCAAAGCACACACAAATTTAAGTTTGTTTTATATTGCTATAATAAGTTATCTATTGTCCATGCAATGGACGTAACCTTAAGGCGTATAAATGTAGTCAAGCCGGTTTCAAATAGGGCTGCAAGGTCTACCACAGAGTTTGTTCAATAAATTGCTAAGTTTTATGCTAAAATAACCAAGCTGCGATTATATCGGAGACTGCGATGCATGAAAAGTGCTGCATTGAAGGATGCAGTGTTAATAAGCTGATGAGAGGGAAATGCATTACTTTATCTGGGAAGGATCCCAAAGGAACAGCCACAATTAACTCATTTAATTGCCTTTTGCACCATACCTATGTTATTTACTGCTGGCCATCACAATTTACAAGCTACTCACCATCGTGCTGTAGTTATATAATCCAAGGTAACCTGGTGTACAAAAAAAAAAATAAAAAATAAAAAATATATATATATATTTTTTTTTTTGTGCATTACCTTCTGCAACAAATTACTTGCTAAACTTACTAAAGTGACCAAGCCTGAATTAAACCACATACCAGCATGAAGCTTACCTCTCTTCTGTGACTAAATTATAGTCCACGACGATATACCTTGAAACTAACCAGACAGGACATGTGAATGGGTTGTAAACACAACACAAACAAGCAACCTCCTCAACATACAATGCCTAGTTAGCACTTTCATACACAGCTGGAGCGGTCTGCCGAACTGCTCGATGGAGAATGTAGTTCTACTAGGGTTCATTCTACCAGCACACAAAACGCAGCATGTCTCTTGTATGGACTACATTTCCCGTGAACCCTTGCAAGCGGAACTCTTTTAAAGTCGCACAGTACTTGGCTTGACCTGCAAAAAGTACAACTCGTGAAAGGAAAGTAAGTGATTATAAAACGTGTCCAGGCTCAATATCAGGACAAGACGAATACCTTATAAATACAGTTATTATTAATGTCGATCTATTGATTGCCATCTCTCTATGATTATAAGCCAATGGCTTCTGGTTTCCTATGTAATACATTACCCTGTAAGTGTGTTGTCTTCTGAAAACCTTGTGATTCATTTGTTTTGTATTTTTAAATTAATATTAAGAGGTACATTTACACTGATCAAACATTGTGGCAGATTTTATTATTTGAATATAAATGTAAGAAAATTGTTAATTTATATTAGCGCGATGCACCATGTCAGTACTACGTCATGCACTTTAAATGATCATTACTAAAAACGTAACTGTAGCATCTTTTTTTCCCTTCATGTCTCCTAATCGTTGGATGTAGGGATAGACCGATCATCGGTTCTGCTGATTTATTAGAGCCGATATTCAGCATATTTATGATTATCGGGATCGACCCTCTAATTTCCCAGTATTACCGGTAACTTACTTACCTCTCCCAGTCACTGCTGCCAACCAATGTGGATCTACGTTGCAACCTCACGCCACCACTTGCAGAGCTCCGCTGAAGGCATTGAGGTCAGACAGTGAATAATCTACTGTAATGTACTGGGCAGCCTGTCTGAGAGTTATAAGAGTGTGATTCCTAACACTATAGTGCCCTCTGCCCCCTCCTCCTTCACGGCCTCCCTCCGACACATAAAGGGTTAAAAAAAAAAAAAACCTTAAGTGACATTCCAGCGCCGATGCCGCTCAGCGCTAGGTTGCCGCTCCGCCTATGTCATGCGACGGGGGGACCTAATGCACATGCACGGCATGTGCCGCAAGAGCATTAAGCCTTCCACATAGGAAAGTAATGTTTTCCTATGGGATTTTCACGGACATTGGATAGTCTCATGCAGTGCGTGAGCACCTCCAGCGTCCTTTCAGGGACACAGAATCCCTTAAAATCACCAAAGAACCTTTAGTGACTGTCTAACAGACAGCAACTGAAGGCAGTTTTAGTCCTGCAAACATAGTTATTGCAGTTTCTCAAAAACTGCAATGTTTTACATTACATGACTAAGTGAGACAGGGACACTGCACCTAGGCCACTTCAATGAGATGAAGTAGTCTGGGTGTCCCTTAAATGCCAGATTTGTGTTGCCTATGTCTGGAATCTAAAAAAATGATCTAGCTTCCCAGAGTAGTGAAACAAGCATTCTTAGATTTCATTGAGGTGCTACAAAGAGCAATGTTTTGTTCTAACGAAAAAGGTACACATGTTGCGTGTGCATGCTGAGAGATCCTGAGGATGAGAACAGGATACTGTTGGTTCAGTGATGGCACGGGGACTTTAATAAAATAACAGAAAAATCCAAGGCAAGGTATGCAAAGAAGGGTCAGGCAGAAATCAGAGTCAGACGGTCCAGAGGTCAGGGAAGGCGGCAATCGGCAAAATCCAGAGATCCAGCAAGGACAGGAAACAAACCAACAACCAAGCACTGACTGACAAGTGTGCTCTGCTTATAAAGGAGTGGCTCAATCGCATAACCTGGTCTCATTTGTAGAAGGGGTTACCTGAGGTCAATCTGACTGACTGTGGAACTCAGCCCCATCTTGGAAGATTCATTGTCCTGGCTTCGCCCCTCAGCCACACCTCCTCCAACCTCTGACCTGCAGACCAATCTCCTCATGCAGCGGCTGCCATCTTGGAATGCTGGAGCAATCACTCTGTTTCCTGGCAGTGAATCGAGGTCCAGAGTATGCAGACTGGGGTGCAGCAGCCACAGGCACTATAACCACTGCAGACTGACCTCCAAGGCGTTGTGGACGTCCTGGGACAGGGGAGTACCGTTGGCGAATGTGACAGCCAAACCGTGAACTTGTTTACATTTTTTTCTGGTAGCATCTGCAGCAAGGCATTAATGAGGTTTTTTTTTGAGCAGTTCCACTAATTCTATCATTCTGCTTTTGGCCTTAAACTAATTATTATTTAAACCCATGCTCTGCAGATACAAGTTTCTTCCCGACAAGGAATAGATCTGCCTGCAGCAAAGCACCATGGGAAATTTTCATGGTGGGTGACTTTGTTTTTAAATTTACTTTTCACATTATTTTTAATGCATTATCTAAGAGTTTTTGTTTCCCAGCTCGGAGTCCGAGGCTTTAAATACTAACTCCACAATTCCATAGTTCCATAGATGGAAAAACATCAAGTTCAGCCTTTCTCACTTTTGTTTTTGCTATTGATCCAAAAGAAGTAAAAAAAACAACAACAAAAAAAAACCCTTTTGAAGTGCTTACAATTTTGCAACAAACCAGGAACAAATTCCTTCTTGACCCCAGAATGGCAGTCAGATATCTCCTTGGATCAAGAAGCGATTACCTCACTAATTTTATAACATGACAGGAGGCTTCGTATTTGCTTTAGTCTCTCTTTACTAGAACTCCACAGCAGCACAGAAAAACAACCAATCAGAGAAAAGTTAGGTACTATAAAACTCCCTTCCCATTGCATCATTCCCTCTTTCTTTGCTGCTCCGCATCAGTACAGGTCAGAGTACCACTGCCTCCTGCTTATAGTGTGTGGCTTTGGGATTTAGTGTGATTTATTTAGGATTGTTTTTAATTATGCTTGGTTGTGAGATTTATGTGCCTTTTTGGCTCTTTTCTTTTCTTTGGGGAATGTTTCCTTTACATTGTGTTGGTTTTAGGTTTTTTTTTTTTTTCTGGGGATCCTATCGGTTTTCTTCCCCTTTGATTTCACCCTTCCCCCCCTAACCCCTCTCTCTACACGTTTATACTATTTTTCTGCCCCTATATCCGGGCTTCATGTGCTTCCCTCGGGGTATCAGGAGACTAGCCGTCTGGCTGCCTCTTCTGATTCCCCGAGCTCCCTGGTGAGTTTACCGCTATCTGGGGTGCTCGCGAGACGCACGTGGCCACCTCGCCGCGTCTGGCTCCTTCTGAGAGCCGCGGGCGTCCGACCGGGTGGAGGAGGGTACACCTGCTCGCGGCCCCTCCTCCGCCCACAGTGGTCGGGTCTCGGCTATTGTTGCTTTGCCGGGTTGCTCCGGCTGATTTTCATCGTGTTCTCCATATTGGCTCAGATATGCCAGTTAGCTCTAACTACTCAGACTACTATGACCCAGGACATACTTGAAAACGAGAGAAATCTCAATGTATCTTTCATGGTAATATATTTTATAAATAAATATAAATAAATAATGAGTTTCCACCATGGGATTATATATACAGATTACTGTTTGTTTCCTTGTGATTATATATACAGATTACTGTTAGTTCCCATGTGTTTATATATACAGATTACTGTTTGTTTCCTTGTGATTATTATACTGATTACTGTTAGTTTTCCAGGTGTATATGTCACAGATTACTGTGAGTTTTCAGGTAGATATAGCACAGATTACTGTGAGTTTTCATGTGTAGATATATCACAGATTACTGTGAGTTTTCATGTGTAGATATATCACAGATTACTGTGAGTTTTCATGTGTAGATATATCACAGATTACTGTGAATTTCCATGTCTATATATCACAGTCCACTGTGAGTTTCCATGTTTATATATACCACAAATTACTGTGAGTTTCCACGTCTATATACCACAAATTACTGTGAATTTCCATGTAGATATGTCACAGACTACGGTGAGTTTCCATCTAGATATAGCACAGATTTCTGTGGGTTTCCATGTGTATATATATCACAGATTACTGTGAGGTTCCAGGTATATATATATATATCACAGATTACTGTGAGTTTCCTTGTATATATATCACAGATTGCTGTGAGTTTCCATGTATATATATCACAGATTACTGTGAGTTTCCATGTGTAGATATATCACAGATTTATGTGGGTCCTATGGCAGTGTACACATATATCACAGATTTCTGCGAGTTCTATGACAGTGTATATATATCTCGCAGATTCCTGTGAGTTCTAGGCCAGTGTGTGTGTATGTGTATATGTGTGTATATATATATATATATATATATATATATATATCTATCTATCTCTATCACAGATTACTGTGGGTTCTATGACTATGTATATATGTATATATCACAGATTACTGTGAGTTCTCCGATTACTGTGAATTCTATGTCAGTGTATATAGCACGGCTTGTTGTGAGTCTTTAGAGCCATAGATATCACGGATTGCTGTGAGTTTCACTGACGGTAGATATCAGTCCTGTCTATGCCGATACTATTCTATCTTATCAGGTTTCTTGGGGAGATTCATTGAGTTGGCAATTGTTTTGCCCTGCTCCTGGAGAGACCATGAGTACAATACCCTTCAGGCGGTATGATGATGATGACCTACAATAAAGATAAGATATCTCATACGGATCTGTATGTACATGTGCATTCCAATTTGCACTTTAAAGAAGGTATTGCTCAGCAGAGGTTGATTTTATGGACACTATATCACTGGAACAAATCCCGCTTAAACCCAATACAACTGACTTTTACCTCTAGGTTGCCTGCTGGGCACTTAGGGACTGCCAGTCCCGGTTACGATTTATTCACACAGTAATACGCTGTCTAAGATTAGTGTCTAAGGGTCCTAGGTCACAGGATACCCGGAGGAGTTACAGATATTTCGGGGACTCTGCCAAACTCAGAGGTCCCCATTTCACATTTAATATGGAACCCAGGATTGGCCTGCTATGTCTGTGCCCCATTGATTGGCCTGCTATGTCTGTGCCCCATCGATTGGCCTGCTGTGTCTGTGTCCATTTGATTGACCGACTATATCTATGCCCTTCAGTCTGGCCTGATCTAATTGGGCCCATCGTTGACCTGCTCTATCTGTGCCCAAACCCCCCTTTGGACCGCAAACCTGGGGGAATATCACTGAGGAAAGTTCAGTACCCTCTAGGTGGGTGTGCGGACAGGCACTGCTGCCATATTATCCAAGAGGACACCAGGATATGGGCATCTAACTGTGATTGGAGGGGTGAAGACCCTACACCTCATGCCCTGAAGGGCAAAGTTTTTATGAGGATTCCCGGGCACGCAACTACGTGTTATACCCAACGACGACAGATCTCCAATGGGAATTTTGCACAAACAGGGAACAGTGCTCAGACGACATATTAGGTATTGGTAGTGTTTTTCTTTTTTTTTTCTTTTTTTTTTTTTCTTTTTCCTTCTTGACATAAGTGGCATGCAAAACAGTTGGCTTGCGCAGAAGCCCATCGTATTACAAACGCTTAAGACAAAGAACAATGTATATCGGTAGACATAGTATACAAACACATCCATGTGTAATTAACATTGGGCACGTATGGTCTCTTGTCAAGGAATTATATAATTAAATTTTTCGAAAACTAATCTTAGCATATGTACTGATATCTCCTTCTAGTCTAATTTCATTTAGTGTGGATTAGTTGAATTCAATATAAGGTACTCCACCCCTTGCACGTCTTCCTCTGGAGGAGGGTATTCCGCTTTGGTTTTTTTATCCCTATACCAGGCAATGGTGGGTGGTGCCTGTGTACTTTTTGCCTAGTCTAGCTTGAGTTGGCAAAAAAAAAAAGAGTGGGGGAGGTGTGGGGTGGTACATCTAGTCGGTGATGTCAGGTATTGTATGGAGTCCTCTGGCGGGTGTTTTCCCTTTCTTTTATTTTTTTTTTGTTTCCTTTCTCTTCCCTTTCTTTCCTTTCCTTTTCCCCTGTTCTTTCCCTCTCTGTCCCTTTCCTTTCCGTTTCCCTTTTTCTTTCCCTTCCCTTCCATTATCTACTTCATTGGTTGTTTTTTTATTTTTCGTGCCTTCTATTGTCCTATCACTCGGGTCGTCGAGAGGCCTGACTTGACCTCCTCCGACCTCCCGGGCGCTCGTGGATTGTGGAGAACGTCTCCAGCTTTCCTCAGACTACCGACGGTCATCCAGGAGCCCGCGCACACGCACGGGATCCGGGCGGTCCGTTGATAGTTACCATCTTCGGCTCCGAAACTTACTTTTCTCATCACCCCTTTCTCTTATTAAGGTCGGACACGGCCCGAGGTTGTATACTATGCTGATATTAAATAAGGCTGTAACCCCAGGTTTGGTCACCCTGAGTCTCTACTGGACTCTGGTTTGGATTACAGAGGGTGCGGCCCTCCTTCACCTCGGCCCGAGACTGATATTTTTATTTTCAAGGGTAGAGGGCGAACCCCTCTCATTTACCGAACCGGACACTGATTCATTATTAGAGGCGCGGCCCTCCCTCAACCTCTCTCCGATACTGAGCTGGATATAGAGGACATGCTCCGAGTGACTCATTCTCATAGAAAGAACCGGACACAGAGGTAGACTCTTTGTTTGACTTCTAACGGGTGCGGTCCGCTCATACCACCAGCCGTGCGCGGACTCCGAGTTCGATCACATTTTAGAGTGCGACTCTCTCATACACTCAACGCACTACGGTGCCGTCCATTTGTTCCTCACACAGGCTTGTACCTGTACAGGACAACTATGACCGCATAGAGGAGTGTCCCTCCTACATTCAATTTAGATATGATGACCGCGCTACTGATTTCGTTCTAGAGGGCTACCTGATCGGGCAAGGTATACATAGTTTGACTGGATCCATCTTGTAACCCACACGAGAAATACCCTCAGAGGTATTGGTGGGGGAGGTTTCCCACTTATGTACACACGTTCCGGGAGACAGTACGGCTAAGGAGGAGCCTCAGTTTTTACAAGAGTACAGGTTTTGGTATAACCTGTGCTATATCAAACAGACATTGCACTCTGTTTAAGATATTCATTGCGTACAAACTGTGCAGACAATTTTCCCGTGTCAGGGGGACATGAGATCCTGAGGCATGCATAGGGCAAACGGGCACTGCCTTGCTCGAGTAACAAGACTAGAAAATGCACCGTATGCATGGATCGCATGGAGAAACCGAAATTCTCAGGACTTGGCTTCCTTTGTCCTTACAATCTTGAGATAAATTGGCAGGACTGCTCCTACAACTCTGAACACATATCTTGAGAACAGTGTTCGGACTCTATATCCATCACGGGAACCATCTTGGTTTGGGTTCTCCCTAGCCTTCCTATTCATCAAGGAAACCTACACTGGGAGATACATGCTTGGACAGTCTAGGAGACAGGAACCTAGGGGTCTCACTTTATTATTCCCTATCTTGTAGGCGGCGTGTAGGCCAGGAACCCCTACACGAATATTGACAGGTCGGGAATGGAACAGGATTGTACAAGCGGTATTGGAGTATTTCACACTCTCACTACAACACGTAAGGGCTCTTCTGTGTTATACGAGTCCTAAGCACTATTGTATCCGGCCATCTTAGCACTCTTAGAGGATGATGTATTTGGATGGAAGTCTCAACCCCGGTTTCCGGTCCCATCCTGTTGAACTTTCCAGGATTCACAATTCCCAGAATAGTTGACCACCGTTTTACCACACGAGTTCAGTTTGAGACCTTGATTGGACGTCCTTTGGGTGTCTTTTCTATACTGCAGCCGTAGATTACGCAGTCCAGTTGGTAGACTGGAGTCACTGGACCAAACTATTATCTGCATATAAATTTATTTTCGGAGGAGACAATTCACCGGGTAGGTCATAAAGGAACAAATAGACACTACTCGGTTCTATTCGAGTATTGACGGTGGACTTAGGCGCAGGCCTGAGGTTGGAGTTTTGCATGCAAGGCCACATCGTCTGGTGAACCTGACACGATCGGAGGAATCACCTCCCACATCAAGAGTCGAGACACGGTGGAAGTCTCTTCTCGCGGCCCCTCGGCACTTTACACCTACAGGAAAATGGCTAATAGGTCAACTTGGCAGCTCATGGACCGACTGCTAGGGAACAGGTCGTAACCCCACGTACAATGGATCTATCAACGGAGGTTACTTCTCGCAGTTGGAAGGTCTGTTTAGGATTGCTCTAATATTCATGGAATGGGTTCCAGCGAAACAAGCAGCATTGGATTTGTTGGCTGAGCGTTAAAACAGCAAATACGAAGCCTCCTGTCATGTTATAAAATTGTAGATTATGCTAGCTTTAGTGTTCCTATAATCTTAATTTTATTAATGACAGGAGGCGAGTATTTCCCACCCGTTCTTATCCCTCCCTTGTTTTGTTTTTATAGTTGGACTAATCAGGTACGTATACAACTCTGCTTGTTGTCTATGCTACCTGTCACCTGTCCTTATGTCTGTTTTTCATAGTAGGGTTGGGATATATACATATTAAGGTAATTTTGTTTGCTACATTGGGTATCTACAAGTTTATTCAAAATACATTTCATTGGATAATCAACCTGTTCGATTCTGTTTTTCTCTCGTTTCAGTTTTCAGTCCATCAACGCTATCTGGTGTGGCGCTTCTTCATGGATGGTGGACATTGACTTATTTATTTTCAGTCCATCAACGCTATCCGGCTGACAGTTCTTCTCAGACGTTGGACATTGCTGTATTCATTGTATCTGGACTTTGTTTCTTCCCATAATTTTTTCTGCCTTTGTTCTGTTTTGTCACAGCTTGAAAGAGGAAATGATGCAGTGGGAAGGGAGTTTTATAGTACCTAACTTTTCTCTGATTGGTTGTTTTTCTGTGCTGCTGTGGAGTTCTAGTAAAGAGAGACTAAAGCCTCCTGTCATTAATAAAATTAAGATTATAGGTACACTAAAGCTAGCATAATCTACAATTATATAGTATATCCCTGTATAGTCTCTGCTGGTGGTTTGGAGTTGAAAAGCCATTTTGGGTTACTGAATTCGATACCATAAATTGAGTCAAAGGTTTTGTGTACCAACTACAGAGATGCTCTGTTCTCCGTTCTGAGGAATGTATTTAGAGGTAGAAAATGCCTTTAAAGGTTTTTCCTGTCCTGTTTATTATGATATCACAGACCCCTTCCATGGTTTTATTTTCCCGTAATACATGCTCTGTTATGTATTTTCATTGCCTGTCTTTCATTCTAAAGTTCAGGTGGATTTATTTGTGATTGTAAGTGACTGACAGGGTTTTTCTGTCTGCTCGATCATCTATGATGCAAGTTGATCTTGTTTCCAGTTTTCTTGAGTAGAAGCTGCAGGAGATTCAGTTGACCTATGAAATGGCTTTACATGCTTTGTGCGGTCACAAAAAGATTGTGAAATGCATGCGCCATTTTCCTGATCAATTTACTTAAAAATCTGCAAACATCAAAGTTTGCCAACGTTTCGACCCATTTAGGTCTTTCTCAAGGACCTTGAGAAAGACCCGAATGGGTCGAAACGTCGGCAAACTTTGATGTTATACCTGCTGGAATAAATGATCTACTTTTCATTGCTCAAGCCCTAAGAGTGCATCTCTTCATTTCTCATATATATTTTCTCAACATGGGATTGCACCTAGGCAATATTGTACTATATACATGAAAGGGTGAGTGCCAAGAAAGACATTTTGTGTGTGTGTGTGTGTGTGTGTATGTATGTGTATATGTATATGTGTGTATATATATATATATATATATATATATATATATATATATATATATATATATATATATATATATATATATATATATATATATATATATATATATATATATATAAATATTCATATAATCTTCTTCTGCAGAAAAGAATAGTTTTTCCAAACATGTATATATTTAAAGAGTCGCCTCCTTAATATCTGCTGCCACAGCCTTGGAAATAATGTCTGCTAAATTAGCCTGAGTGGAAGTAGATGAGCCTTCATAAGATATTATCCGGAAGCAGTCTTAACAAAAGTTCTTCCTTTTAAATGCAGTTGCTGAGCAGGCAGGTCACCTTTTTCCTTTTCTCTTTTCTTACAAGATGTGCTCAGATGCATCATATAAGGACCACCTTTTATAGCAGGTATAACTAAAGGCATTCTTTACTTAAAGAATTTCAAAAGCTCACACGCTGAAAAATTATTATTTTTATATTTGCTCGCTATGATACCATCGGCTATCTTGGAAGGGAAGCATGTCATAGATATACCCGAGAGCACTTGCTCATGCGCAAAGCTCTCTCAATGCAGCCGGTGGCTGTCTTGGTACACCTCTCAGCAAAAGGAAGAAAATAAAGGAAATGTTGAGAGTACCCATGCATGTGCGCTGCACTCCCAGCATGCCGATTGACACAATGAGCTGGAAAATCCAGGAAAATATAATTCTAATTAATTAAAAAAATAAGCTATCCAAAATTCTGGAACACAGGAATGGGAGTCACACACACTTAATGCATCAGGGTTCCTTACCACCTCAAGATAGAATACATAAGTAGAAACATAGAATGTGACGGCAGATAAGAACCATTCGGCCCATCTAGTCTGCCCAATTTTCTAAATACTTTCATTAGTCCCTAGCCTTATCTTATAGTTAGGATAGCCTTATGCCTATCTCATGCATGCTTAAACTCCTTTACTGTGTTAACCTCTACCACTTCAGCTGGAAGGCTATTCCATGCATCCACTACCCTCTCAGTAAAGTAATACTTCCTGATATTATTTTTAAACATTTGTCCCTCTAATTTAAGACTATGTCCTCTTGTTGTGGTAGTTTTTCTTCTTTTAAATATAGTCTCCTCCTTTACTGTGTTGATTCCCTTTATATATTTAAATGTTTCTATCATATCCCCCCTGTCTCGTCTTTCCTCCAAGCTATACATGTTAAGATCCTTTAACCTTTCCTGGTAAGTTTTATCCCGCAATCCATGAACCAGTTTAGTAGCCCTTCTCTGAACCCTCTCTAAGGTATCAATATCCTTCTGAAGATACGGTCTCCAGTACTGTGTACAATACTCCAAGTGAGGTCTCACCAGTGTTCTGTACAATGGCATGAGCACTTCCCTCTTTCTACTGCTAATACCTCTCCCTATACAACCAAGCATTCTGCTAGCATTTCCTGCTGCTCTATTACATTGTCTGCTTACCTTTAAGTCATCAGAAATAATCACCCCTAAATCCCTTTCCTCATATGTTGAGGTTAGGACTCTATCAAATATTCTGTACTCTGCCCTTGGGTTTTTACGTCCAAGATGCATTATCTTGCACTTATCCACATTAAATGTCAGTTGCCACAATTCTGACCATTTTTCTAGTTTACCTAAAACATTTGTCATTTGGCTTAGAAATGATTTATTGGATATCAGGATTTTCAGTCACCATAAGCTAATATAGTGACTTTAACCCTGCGAGTCCCAAACAGCCTGGGCTGTATCTAGGTTCCTCCATAGGGAAAGAGGCCGAACTGCCTATAGGTGCTATAATGAAAAAACTATTTTAGGTGAGCTTTAAAAGAAAAATGTTATGCTGCTTAATAGCTGGAGGACAGGAAAAAGACTGCTGTTGTAGGGGAGGAGATTCTTCTTAAAGCTTCCATATAATTTTCATTTGTATATTCTTGTCCCAATAGGGAGGGAGACGCTTACCTCATAAGTGATGCTGACATGGATTAGCCAGACAAAGCAATGTAAGCAAAAGGGTTATTCTGAACTGGATTGGAATGTGTAACGAATTCATCCACTTATGGTAAAGTTGTTAATGGTATTTACTGTCCTGACAGGAATAGTTGTGCCCATTTACAGCCGTGCGCCCGGATACCTGATAATCCCAGCATGTCTAGGGATGCCGGCTGCTGACATTGATTAGCCAAAAAAGGAATGTAAGCAAAAGGGTTAATTTGAACTGGATTGGAATGTGTAACAAATTCATCCACTTATGGTAAAGTGGTTAATGATATTTACCGTCCTGACAGGAATAGTTGTGCCCATTTACAGCCGTGCGCCAAGATACCTGATAATCCCAGCATGTTTAGGGATGCCGGCCGCTGCGGATCTATGCTACCTTATAGCCCCATGACCGCTCACGTTGAGAATGACGTTGGCGTGTGCGTGACGTTGGGGTCAAAGGCCGATTACAGCCAATCGGAATAACAGGAGGGTTAGTTAAACTTATTTTTACATTCTCTCATTGCCCTGTCGTGGTTTCTGTCTGATGGTGCGAGAGTGCGTTCCTGATCTTGATTTTTTTGATATTTGATTTTGGCTTTGTTTTGACTTCCCTGATTTCTGGTATCCTTGACTTTTCCTCATCGCTGTGTCTCATTCTCTATCCCTGACCTCGGCAAGTATTCTGACTATTCTTGGATACGTTAAGTCCGGCCATTATAAGGTCCAGTGAGACGTTCTATTTAGTCCTAGGTGTGATACAATTCTTCGTGCGGGATCAATTAGGAATCCTGACAGAATGGAATACAAACAGCATTTTCTCGTTATGTGGTAAAATGATCAATCCTTACCGATTATATGTGCCATGACCACATGTACTGCCTTTCTAATGGTGGAAAAGTACAATTTTGTAAAGGTCTGGAGAGCTGTTTCCCACTTCCATGTCTTGTACATGTGTCAACTTGCTTGGGTATTTTGAATCCATCAAATATTTAGTAAATCTACTTTTGTTTAATAATCATTCAACCTATTAATTTACAATTCTGAAAATAGGACTAATTCCTGAACATCTCAGATCTCCAACATAGGCCCCGATTTAATAATTTTGGATAAACTTTTCAAATGATAATCTAATGAAACAAATGTTTCAAATTATTTATCTACAAAAATCCCATAGACATTAATGGTGACTTCTGTAGATAAATGATTATAAAAGGTTTTTCTTACAAATTGTGATCCTTTGAAAAGCTTATCCAAAATGATTAAATCAAAACCACAAATAGGCATATTACCTTTAGCCATACCTATGGAGTTATACTAAGCCTGGTATGTGTCAGCGCTACGGAATTTGTTGGCGCTATATAAATAATAATAAAATAATAATATAATAATAATAATAATAATAATGTGCTGTGTTCCTGTGATTCTGCAAATGAGCAAAACCACAGCCAGTGACCAATATTAGGCACACCTGCTTGGTATCACAAGAACAGATTACTAATCAGGGACCTGCAGGACGTGATAAAGAGGTTTAATTGATTTTGTTTTAACATTAGATCAGAGATGAATGTGGCATGAAAAATTTACAAATAATCTTGTGACAAACATGCAGTGAGGGAAAAAAATATTAAATCCCCTGCTGATTTTGAACGTTTGTCCACTGACAAATGATCAATCTATCGGTTTAATGGTAGGTGTATTTTAACAGTGAAAAAAAAATAAAAACAGAAAAATGCATGTCAAAAAAGTTATAAATTGAACCCCCCCTTGTTAGAGAGAGACCTGTGCAAGATAGGGAGGACATAAAACCTCACATTACCCATATAATATAGACGTGGGTACCAGTTCATGAAAACATTTAATTTTTGGAATAGAGAATAATTTTTCCCCCATTCATGTAAAATTTTAAACCTTACTGTTGGTCTTTGATCGATCTTTACTGCTGTTTTATAATTACCTACATAGTCCGTGTTGTTGATGACTAACAGCAGGGGGAAGTACAAGTAATTCACTAAACTCAAAGTGAAACCTTTACAAAGACCTTCACAGTAAATAATAATAAGGGGTCACTTAAAGGCCTTCCTGCATATGAGGTATTTGGGTGGTCTTGTTTTTTAGATTCTTGTCGAAATGTTCACTAGCTAGCATTCATTGTGCAAATAAGCATTTACAGTTCTGCCCTGTTCTAATTTGAATAATTTGGGCTAGTGTGTGTTTTTGTTTTGTGCTACCACATATGGTCACTAGAGTGAAATGACTAATTTTAAGAACTATATGACTTGTATATGCCTATGTAGTTCTTATATTTTACATTTGATTACTAGAGTGCCAATTTAGAGAAGCCAGCAGGGTATTTATTGCTCCCAGAGTCTTTGTGATCAGAGCTACTGCTGGGGTATAAGGCACAGATATCATATCCTCCATGTTGCCAGTACTTGGAAAAACTCTGCACTATGCAGCCACCAGCGCTCATGGGAAATAAATGACTGGGGTCCACATTTTATAAACAATGTGGGAAGTGGAAGTGAGATGGATGGGAAGAGGGACAGTGAGATGGGGTATGGAGAAAGGGGGACAATGACATAAGTAGGAGAAAGTAGTCTAAATACATCCCAACATTCACACATGCATTGACACTACTTAAATGTACACACCTTCTTTCAGACATAGTGACGCTCCACACAAATGTACACCAACATTTTCACAAGACATAACGTTGTGGTTAAAACATGATTTAAAAAACCCAAAATGTAATTCCCATGTATTTACACTGGTGCGTAACAGTTAGCCTGGTTTACAACTTGAAACTTTAGTCCTGATAAATGTATCTCATTATAATGTTTGGTATTATCCTGCCTTGCTTCTTTTTAGGAGCTGATTCTTCTGCCCAATTTGTTTGCGTAGAACACATTTGGTAACGAGTTGTAAACAATTTAAGCATTATGTGATTACTTATGCAAATAATATTGCTTCCTGTTGTTTGGGCAGGTGGGCTGAGACCGTAAAAGAACAGATGCTGTTTGCACATCTCGCCAAGAAGACTTACATCTGGCTCATTTTGGAATTTTCAAAAGTAAGACATAAACAAGATGAATCACTATGAGTATTTGGGGATAAACAGTACATGATACTTGGTATATATGCCTAAATAAATGCAATCAATTCGTTTTAGAACTACAATAACATTTAAAGAGACATTTCTAGATTTTCATACAAATCATTTATGTTACCATTATATTTAGAAAATAGACACAATGTCCTACATGTTACCTCTTCCATGCTAATGGAGGGTTGCAATTTGCAATAATACTGTCCCACTCCCTGTTCCTATATACTTGCAATCAATCTCAGACTGCCCATCCTTAATTAGATCCACAACTTTAAAGGAACACTCAAAGAACCATATCCACTACAGTGTGCTATAGTGGCTATGGTGCCAGGAGTGCCCTGGCTGCCCAGTCGTAACTAGTCAAACAGTTTGAATTCTTACCTGGGGTACACGGGTGTGTGACAGCCTAAAGCACTCTGCCTGAACGAAGCCTGGCTTAAAGGGACACTTCAGACCTGCTAATGTACTTTAGCTTGCTGTAAAGCTATGTGTGAAGTGTTCTTTTTTTATCTTACACAAAGTGCAGATTTCAATAGAAATTGGCACTTTTATAAATTATCCTGGATACACCCCCTTGGTTTTCAAGCAGACAAAGAGTCGTGTTACTTCCTGATTTGGTTATCTCAGTGGAGCTAAACTCAAGAGGCAGCAGTTGCTCAGAGCACTTACCTTGCAAAGACTTCTCATTGAGCTGCATTAGGAAGTCTATGATTAGATATTGTAGCGATTTTTTCATTGCAGTCTGGGGAGGGTTGGCAAAAGCAGCAGACAAGAGAAATGCAGTTATTGCAAGAGGTTTTTAGACATAACCCCTCCATGAAAAAAAATGATAATTAAAAGCATGCATGTTCTCATTTGGGTTATATCTACTAAACAGTGATTTTTATTTGAGGAGTGGAGTGCCCCTTTAAGAGCTTCTGTTAGTAATTCTTAGTCATGCAGTGCAGTAGCAGTACATTGGCTGAGAGCATCAGCTGATTGGTCACAGCCAATGAGCAAAGTCCTACATCCAGCTCTGTATTTAGCATGAGGCTGACAAGGCATTTGCACTGGGCGGCACTTTCAGGGGGCGGCAAAAAATGCTGCCCCCAAACGCCCTGGCAGATGCCTTGTCAGCCTCTTGTCCTGGGGGCCTAAGAGGTAGCCGTTTGGCCACCTTGTGGCCCTGCGAGGCTGGCATTTGCACTGTTGGTAGGCGGGCGGCTAGGCGCGCCGCAGTGATGCCAGAGCTGGAATATGACATCACTCTGGGTCCGGCATCACTAAGCGTGAGGGAGCTAAGCAGGAGGATTACAGGATTACCGTTTTTCTGTCTGACCGCCCACCTGTGCCTGCCAAGCTGCGGCCAGCCCCACTGGACCCCAGGGAAGAATTAACTTCAGCACCCCCAAAGGTAAGGAGGCTGGATTGATTAAAAATATTAAAATTGTGAGTCTGCCAGTGTGTGTGTGTATCTGTCACTGAGAGTGTGTGTCTGTCAGTGTATGTATGCATGTTTCGGAGTATGTATGTCATTAAATGTGTGTGTCTGTCAGCTAGTGTATGTATCTGTCAGTAAATGTGTGTGTCAGACACTGAGTGTATATATGTCTGTCAGTGAGTGTGTTTGTCAGTGTGTACTTGTCGATGAATGTGAGTGTGTATGTCTGTGAATGTGAATGTGTATGTTTCAGTGAAAGTGTGTGTTGGTTAAACTGTGTGTGTGACAATGACTGTGTATCTGTCAGTGAGCGTATGTCGGTGCGTGTGTCTGTCAGGAAGAGAAATTTGGAAGGCGGGTGGGAGGGTGCCAGAGTTTGTCATGCCTAGGGCTGCACAAGACCACTGGCTTAGCTCAAGCAGAGAACTTCTGGCTCAAACTTAGACTATTGTAGAGATAAGGGGTGCTGGCCAGAATCTCTGACTTGGCTTTATTAGCTTAAATGTTGCAAATGAGTTTTAAGCTCACAAATTTCTTTTACTATCTTTTGTTTTGGATTATGCTTTTTTTTCTTCTTTTTTCTTTTTCTTTGTTGTGCTCAGTTAACAAACAGGCCTGCATTGCCACAACAGCAAAGGCAGGGTCCGTGAAACACATATCAAAACAGTGTAGCAGTCGAAATATTAATACAATTTTTGTATGTAGACAGAAATGTAACACGATAATGCATATGTCAGTGATCCTCATAGCTGTATCAGGCTAAGCTTTAAGTACTAAAGCTGGCATCTTAAGAGTTATAAGTGGTGTAAACATGTCAGGTTACTCTGCTTGAGAGAAGACCTAATAAATCAAAGGAAAATAAAGCAAATACTTATATCTGATAAAGTCACTGGCCCGGCAACACCGCCAGATCGCTGCACCACACCAGTTGTGCATATAAAGTGGAGAGGGTAGAGAAAAACACAATGATCATTAAACAATGGCATGGGTGACATCAACTATATACAAAGCATAGAGAGCTAGTACGTGGTGTCTGCTGATGTTGGGAGAGGGCCCTATGGGGCAAGAGGCCAGAGAACAGAGTCAGCCAACTCCCTGAGGTAGCAGGATTAATGTGCAGCTAGATAGCGAGCCCTCTTACAGAGGGCTCGCTATCTAGGCATGAGCATTGTTAGTTGCTAAACAATAATATGAAATCATTAGCAGGCTAGGGTAGTTGCAGATCAAACAGCTGAGACTAAAGAAAGCACTGTTCCCTAGTACTAATCATTAGTGATGTCCCGAACGGTTTGCCGCGAATGGTTCGCCGCGGACTCATCATGGAGTAAACTTTGACCCTGTACCTCACAGTCAGCAGAGACATTCCAGCCAATCAGCAGCAGACCCTCCCGCCCAGACCCTCCCACCTCCTGGACAGCTCATTAAGAATGCAGCTTCACAATGAATGTAAAATGGATGCTGTCCAGGAGGTGGGAGGGTCTGCAGGGTCAAAGTTTACTCAATGATGAGTCCGCAGCGAACCGTTCGGGACATCACTACTAATCATGTTTGAAATACAAAGAATAAAGGGATAGTAACTCCAAGCTACGTAATTCACGGCAACAGCCAGCGTCAATTAAGCTCCTAGCTCTGACGGTAAGCCTTTTGCCGGGTTCAGCCTACTCCCAACTGTTGTGTCTCTGGGCAAGTCCATTAGGATAGGTACATGAACCAGGTGGGAGCCAGCGAAGTTAGACACAGAGGGAACAAATTGAGGGGTTAGCCGCAGAGCTGTAGTGAGGCAGGTGTTCTTCACAGCCCCATGTCCGCTTGAAGGCCCGCATCGTTGTGTCACAGATTCGAAACTGCGCAAAGTGGTCTTTGGACCGCCATCTGTATGTGATCCTCCTTTTGCATGGTCGATGCGGTAGGCAAAGCCCCGTGGTGGTTTTCGGCCCAGGTAGGTCAGTAGAGTGGGTATGTGCTGCTTGGGTTTAAGGCCTTCCATCATTCTGCCTCTCGCTTCTCCGATCACCGCCCAGAGGCTGCATCTGAGTCACCACTGTCTTAGCTTCAAAAGTAGCCTAGAAGGTGTTGAAGTGTGCATCCAATTTCTGCAGAAATTTCTTAATATAGTCTCTTAGGTCTTGGTGTGGCGGCTGTTGTATGCGCCCTTGTTGTAGGCGGCTCTCAGCCATCTTGTGGACAGAGGCGCTGTCCGCCATTCAGTATTGGTGGCAGTTAGTCAGCTTAACAACAACGCTGGTGTGAGTGTTCGACTGGGATGACCCCCGCCGATCCAAAGGGGGTGGAGGAGGAAGGACAGGGCAACCTTGAACCTTGCACACGGAACTGGAAAGCGGACGTTTCTTCCGCCCAATAGCTTCACTAGGCCCCACTGGAAGCACCGGGAAAATCAACAGAGAGCATCTGGTTGGCATTCTCCCGGGTGTCTCTAACGGTTCCAGGGCCAGGTAGGTCTCAGTTGGTGGCGGATTGGCGTGCTAAGAGTTGTTTTTTTGGCTTTATTTTGTGGTCAGGCTTGAAGCGCTCAGGAAGCGCGTCCAGCTGCCATGCGGTGCATGCCCTGCCCTCCGGATTACGCTCCTTTTTAACAGTAATGACAATCTACTCGTCTCTGTTTTGCATTTAGTGCAGTTTAAGCCATTGACATGCAGTTGCTTGGGTAGCTTCTTTTAAATAAGACTGTACTTGGTATCTTGTCCATTTTTTTTCTTTGTAATCAGAATCAGTGGTTATAATATTAACATTATAACGCAGATTTTAATTTCAAATATCACCAAGTGTCATACTCCTGTCTGTACGATGCACTGTGAGGAGAGCAGTATGTATACACTGCAGCTGTTAAGAGAGCTCTGTTAGGAGAAAATGATGCAAGACGTTTTTCCTTTAGTGCACAAAGACCTATGTGTCGTGGAGCTGAAAGTGCAGTACTAATTACTGGTGTGTGAGGGAAAGATTTAAATACGGTTAGAAAAAAGGTTTCAAGGAGTTGATTTGAACCCTTTTCTCAATGTACCCAGGAGATAAAAAGATTCTAAATTTATATTAACTGTTAAATATATAGAGATACTCACAATTTAATTTCCATAGTTTTGTGCAAATAAACTGTATATGTCTGTCTCTTTGTAGAGTGTAAACCGAGCAATCTCTGGATTTGTATGTGGCGCAAAAACTGTGTTTCTGCAGACACTGGCAATGACTGTTATTTCTGCACTAATCCTTGGCTTCCAATGGTTTGGGTGACCAGAGTTTTTAGGTGATTTGTCATTCGATAATCATAATAAAATAGAGCATCTACAAGTAATTAAAGACTTCTTCAGTGTGAGAAGTTGCATGGTCAAGGAAACCATAGATTTCCCCTGTTCTATTAGAGAATTGGAGGGGGCATATGGCTGTAGCAGTTATGGCAAACTCTTGCAATATTCATTGAATCAAAGGACAGTACAGGTGAGCTATTGGCACCACAACCTGTGCAAGGGGCATACGTGCTTATAATGCTTAGACTCTAAGCATAAGCATGTATGCCCCTAGCACAGGTATATTTTATATATACAAAAACACAGGCTTAGAGTGTTGGTTTAAGTGGCTATACACTTGGATTTTCAAGCACAGAATACCAGATTTAACATCAACCTATTGAATTTATTTGTACATCAACGCCACTTTACTCTATCTGGTTGATTGATATACATTCTTTATTTTGTGGCTAAATTCTCTTTCCAGTCCCCCCTTTATGTATTTTCTTTTGTCTGAAATTGCTGCACATTTATTTTTCAGATTTTTCTCATGACTTTGTTTCTTTTACTCCAAACTCAATAAGCATAATAATGTAAACCATAGAACAGGGGTCTGCAACCTACGGCACTAGTGCCATGCACGGCACTCAAGGTGTCTTTCCACGGCACTCAAGGCTGCTAGAGCCAAACAGGCTGTGGCCTATCAGAAGTCCCAGTGAAACTTTAGATATCTGCTAATACGAAAAGGTGGTGAAGGACAATCCTCAATTTATGCATTGCAGCACATAGAGGAAGTGATCTCAGATCACTTCCTCCCAGCACTTGTGTATGGGAATCCACACTGTAGTAGAGCAGCCTGCAGCTGCTGTTCCTGCTCCTGTACTTGGCCAGCCTGGTCCCCATTGGAACCCAGGGAAGCCACCCACACTGCTAGATATACACAGAAATGCAGAATAACCCTCCCCTCATACAAATAATACGAACAGCCCACAAACAAACATACACACAATCCGCACAAACGTAACCCGCTAACAATCCACATACATGCACACAACCCCACATGCAGCCTCTCACATGCAATACCCCAAACAGCCCACACACACTACCAAACACACAATGTGACATATCCATCCACACACAATTCCACAAGCAGCCCTCATACACAGCCCATTTATATGTATCATACACAATACCATAAACTACTAATGAACATATTCAATATAATAGCTCATTTACACACAAATACAATGATACAAAGCAATTACAGTATAAATAACACAAGCAGAATACAGCAACATACACACGTCAATGTAAAAAAAAAAATAGGATTGACACGCTATGGGACATCACAATCCTATATCGGCACAGTGCTGCTAAAAGGTTGCCTACCCCTGCCATAGAACATAAATGACATTGTCTAAGAAGGATAGGAAACATGTCAAATCAGCTTGTTACGCACGCAGTATTGCATTTTCCATATGCATCCTGGGAGATGAAGTTCAGAATAGCTGCAGCGACAAGGATTTCTTATTCCTATATATGAACTTACTTCTCAAATGCCCTCATCTAGAAGGAACAGTCCCTTTTTGGGGGCAAATTTCTCTTTCCCAATTTTCTGTTTAAATGTTCATTTTTTGTAAAAGCTTCGTTATGTTGCTGTGTCTGAGACAATAAAAGAGCTCCACAGCAATAATTCTAACCGTATTGTGTCTTTAAACTACAATAAACGTCTTTAGAAATCAGTGTGTGTAAATAACATACACTGTTCTTGTTCTAAATTACATTTTTGTAGCATTAAAGGGACTCTCCAGTGCCAGGAAAACATATCCATTTTCTTGGAACTGCAGGACCCTGCAGTGCCCCTCTCCCTCCTACCCCCCGACCACCAGAAGCACCCGAATAAGGCAGACAAGGGGCGGAAGAAACTCTCACCTGAGCACGGAACCGGCACTTTGCACCCGAGGTACCCTACCCACATGATGCCAGCACACTTACTCCGGCACAAGACCGTGATGGGGAAGCAGAACCCAAGTGAACTCTCAATGTACACACTGCACCTGCTGACTAGTGGGGTAGGCTGACCACGCTCCCCTCGCTGCAAATGGGTCCACATGCTGAAAACTATCAGAGATTAATAGACGCCATTTGCCATGCAAAACATATCCATATACCAAGGGTAAAGTCTGCTCCCTATTCGTGATGGGGGAACCCAGTGGCAACAAAGCCCTGTAACCTAAGTTTATGACTCTATAATAATCTCTTACAATAAGCCTGGTTGTTTACTTTATCTGCCTCTAGTTTAAGCTACTTGCATTTTGCATGTTTCTATGACATTACTATTAATGTACTGGCCTAATGTGAATAAGCTTGTTTTCTTTAAAAAAAAAAAAAAAAAAGCGCAGTACATCTTGACCTTACTTGTTTAAACATTGTCTTCACACCTCTTGTTATAAGTCATAAAGTCAATACGAAAGCTTGTACTTAACACTGCACGGCTAAAATAAAAAATAAAAAAAAACAAAAAAAAAACCCTTCAGTGACTTACCTGAACCCAGCGCCGATGTCCCTCGGCGCTGGGTCAGGCTCCGCCCACGCTCCTCGGCAGGGAGAGACCTCCCCATAGGATAGCATTTTTCAATGCTTTCCTATGGGGATTCCAGCGATGCTGGAGGTCCTCATGCATAGCATGAGGACGTCCAGTGTAGTTTAAAACACTTTTCGTGTTCTAAGAACACGGAAGTCCCTCTAGTGGCTGTCTAATAGACAGCCACTAGAGGAGGACTTAACCCTGCAAGGTAATTATTGCAGTTTATAAAAACTGCAATTATTACACTTGCAGGGCTAAGGGTGGTGGGAGTTGGCACCCAGACAACTCCAATGGGCAGAAGTGGTCTGGGTGCCTGGAGTGTCCCTTTAATTATTAGTAAGTCACCTACATACCCCGTCCCTTGCCACACCACCAACACCCCTAAAATCAAAGTGTTCTTGTGAAATGTTGGGAGATATGTGTGAGCAATGATTGATTTAGGAAGTATGGGGCATTTTTCTTTCTTGTCTTCTCATTCTCATTTGCACCAGATAACCAGTCACGTGCATGAAATCTACCGGGACAATAAGGTTTGTTTTATGTGCTGTTCTAACCAACTTTAACATGCTCAGAAACTGTCCGAAAGGTATATCGGGTATTATAGAAAACGTGTCAGTCAGTGAAAGGTTTGTGGAAATTGAACACATGGAATAATTATTACTGCAGAAATTTAAAAACAAAGATATTGGACACAGTGTGTAGTTAGCGTTCTCATGACTTATATAATATTACTGCTTTGCTTCTCTTGGTCTGTATCTGTAGCTGGCCAAACTATTATGTAATAGAAAAGGAATCTGGTTGTTGCAGCTAGTTCACATGCAAAGTTTTATAAGAAGATACAGTCAAAACACTTTTAATTGGTGATATGTATTTTTAATGGACATGGGAAATTTCTATAAACTCATAGGAATAATCAATATTATGTGATGAGGTCACACAAACTTGTCATGGAGACTGAGCCATTTTCAATATTTACTTTATTTTATGGCATTGAGCCCAATTGTAGTTCATGAACTTTCACTTTATTGATGTCACACAAAAAGAAGAAATGTCTTTCTCTACTTGATTGTCAGCCCATTTCCAAATGGACCTTTGGTGGTGGACGATTGGGGGAACTTGACCACTTGATTTATGTGTAATGTGAATTTTGTTACTCACATGTGTCTATTCCGAGCTCTTTAAAAAAACTTATTTTTTTTTGATGGCTGAGAGGATGTAGTAGGAGAGATTTATAAAAGTGTCTCCAAAAGTACAGATTTATAAAAGTGGAGCCATCACTAAGGAAACAAGAGGAATGTTCCTGCTGAACACATTGGTTTCCATCGTGATTGCTCCACTTGTAGAACATTTAGGGAGATTATCAATGTTCTGAAAAGTGATTGTTATATTCGTCATTATTTTGGTTGTATTTATTAACGTTTTCTAAATGTGGTCTAAAAAGTAACTATTTTCTTCATAATAGATTCTGACCATTTTTGCTAAACAAAAAATTCCATTTCAGAAGACCACCAAATTTGGCGTGGTTATTTAGTTTGGAGTGTTGCTACAACACAACATTTAAGAGTTATTTAATAAAGAATTGTCAGGAATTCAAAGTGAATTTAACATTTAAGGCCAAATTAGCAAAACTAAAGATTAGCATTTTCCAGTTTGGCAAAATTTTCCTTAAATTTGAAATTCACTTTGAATGCCAAACAATTGCACAGGCCACTTTGCATATTTATTTGGATTTAATGAACATCTAAACTAGAAGACACCAGATTTGATGGAGAAAGGGGCAACCAATATATATACTTTAATCTTAACCTAATCTTGTTTAAAAATGTTATATTCATTCTGTGTTTAATACCTTAAGTAAAGTGTTGTAACATACACACATTCTCGTTTTAGGCAAGTTTACCGCTGGAGTAGTCATTTCAAAAGATGTTTAGAGGAATTATTAACCTGCGTTTGATTGCACCTGTTTGTGCTAGACGAAGCTCTTCATATGTCAAACAAAAACGGTAAGTACATTTTGAATTAACTTTACTTTGGTATAAACAAACCTCACCCCTGCAGAAACATAGTATCTCATGCATATTAAAAAAAAAAAAAAAAAATTGTGAAATTTAGCAGTCTCTCGATGTACTTGTGGCTAAATAAGATACATTTCATTGACATGGTTCTCTTCCCTCCTCCACCGACTCCTAGTGAGAGTAATATTGTTTTGTGTAGTTATTACATATAGCTGTGTCACGGCTCTCGGCTCTCCTGTCGGTGTGGCTGCACATAAAGGCTGACAGGTTTCAAATTTACCTTGGTCACGGTGGGCAGCTGCCCGGTCTCCCTCCGTTCCGGTCCCCAGCGGGTGTGACGTTCTCAGGAACGCCGGCCGCTGTGGTTCAGGATTTTATAATAAACTCACCTTCGCCCACATTAAAGATGGCACCAACGTGCATGCGACGTCATGTCATAGACGTGCACGCACGTTTTGGGGTCAGAGGTCGGAGACAGCCAATTACAGCCTAAAGAGGGTTATTTATAACCAAATTACCTTTTTGCCAGTGCCCTGTCATGGTTTCCACTAGCTGGTTATCCGAGAGTGTGTTCCTGATTGTTTTTCCTGGTATTTGACTTTGGCTTTGTTTTGACTTCCCTGATTTCTGGTATCCTTGACTTCTGGCTTTCCTCATCGTTGCATTTCATTCTCTGCCCCTGACCTCGGCGAGTATTTTGACTATTCTCGGGTACGTTAAGTCAAGGTCCGGATACACGTTATCCTTAGTCTTTAGGTGAGATACAATTCTGCGTGATGGATCAACTATAATCCTGACAAGTTGTACCTGTTTAATGCCAAACGAGTGAAGAGGAAAAAAAAATAAAGAAAATTATCCTAGAAATAAGTGAATCTCTTCAGCCTGAAGCATTCCAGAATATTGGAACACTCCTACCAACCCTCCCCCTTGGACCAATGGATGATATTCCGGTTCCCACCAATTTACCCTTGGTTAAAACTACTGCTCCAAACTTTACCCTCCAGCGGTGACCCAGATCCGGTAGCACAGCGCCCATGCTGAACGCTCAATATGGCGGGTACCTCTTTGCCAGAAGCTCAAGGCCTCACTTCACAGGACTCAGCATAACAACCTGAATATTATGGCTAGACTCAATATTCCAGGTTTTCTGGCTAAAAAAAATACGACGACGCACGCAAACTACTCTGACTGAGCAGAGGACAGGGTTCGAAAGACGCAAGTTGCTGAAGTGCAAAAAACGGCACTTTAACTGACGATATGGAATGAGCTCCCTCTGGGCGATCTTACCATGCACACACCTATATAGCCTGCTGAGAGCCTCTTGAGGTGCTGCCTCTCCACCACGACCCTCTGCTTACCCTGGAAACAGGAAGGACTTGGTCCTAAGGGGCACCCAAGTCAACGGGTTTGAGATACTGACCCTCACACGAGCCTTTTGCCGGAGCAAAGCCCTACCCCGTTTGTGCGGATACTCGCCCGAACTATTCCAACACTTCACATACTCATCCATCCTGTAGATCAACAGATCCCAAAGAAATCTGCCTGATTGGCATGGGCAGAACCCTGACGAACAGACGAACGGCCTGAACTTTAAGTCTGTGCCACTCTACCTTACTTGTGCTATGTTTATACCTGATTGCATATGCAGTTTCTGTTTTTTCCGCTACCACCCTAATTACTCGCTCTCTGCATTCATATCTAGGCATTCCCATGCCTAGATAGAGTGGCATATGCATGCTTTATTCTGATTAAATTGATAGGCATGTACACCTACCTCATGTTCTCTTTCTTTTTTAGAATATACATTCTCTACATATCTTATTTTCTCTTGAGGATGTGTTTGTAGCGGAACGCCAATAATAAATCCACGAATTCCGCTGGTTCAGAAACGAATCCACAGTCAAGCGCTGAAACAACAAGGCAATATCCCCAACCTCCCAATAACCGGACGAGACACAGTTTTGGGAGTCAACTGAAATCCTTTTAATCGGCAGGACAATTTATACAAGTCCCCATGCAAGGGGTTTCCTGAGTCCCTCCCCAGGGGCACTCCCAGAGGGGACTATGTGGGGGACTTACATGACAACATATTTCTCCCATCAGGCACCGCTGCACGAGAGGGATCATCCTCCCAGAATGCACTGTTAAGGGGATTATCCCCTCGTGCAGCAGAACCGGCAATTCACACAAAAATCCATAACTGGTTAAATACATGGTGGATTTACACGAATGGACGTTCGGTAGATAGCTGGGGTCTGAGCGCATCATTCGTGAGATTACCGCTCAGATCCCAGCTAAAATAACCGAACGCCGCACAAAAAACCCATTTCTTTTAAAACATACGAAAAGGACCGATTACTTCTAGTGAACACGATCCTGAAACTCCCGAACGTCCTGGAGGCTCAGCGGTGTTCGTGCCGTCGAATAACCATTGGTAGTACTATGGGTTCGACAACCCGGTCCCGCTGAGGAACAAAGGATCCAAGATGGCCGACCGCCCCATGGTCGGTAGTCGAACGACGGCCACCCAGGAGAGCCTCTAATAACCGATTGCAACAATGTTGCAATCGGTTAACTAGCGCCACACGCCTCTAAGTGTGTGGGCTATTAGGTGGTATCGCGTTCGGTTCACGAACGGCTCTCTAAAGTGCCGTTCGTGAAACGAAAGAAAATCCCCATACAAAACTGCCATTTGCATTCGGCAGAAACAGCAGTACAGGCAATACAGAAAATACATTACGCATATACATAAGTGTAAAGTGCATATCTCGCCAGACCTATTGGCAACCCTTAAAGGTACAGTCTCCAGTTATAGTCCAAGTGGCTAGGTTTGCCACAGTGTTCATCTATGCTTGCCTGTTATCCATTGCACAACGAAAATAATGAATGTAAAAAATAAATAAATATATCGTTGTAGCGGTTACCCCGGAGAGTAGAGGGGTTCCAACCGCCAGAGGGTGTCCTTCTCCCGATGGGTGAGGGGGTATTCGCAGCATCCAGTAGTCTTCCAGGTGAGAGAGCTCTTAAAAGAGCTAGTGTGATTAGCTGTATAGCAGGTTACCCCCAATAAGAGACAAAACTCTAGATTGAGAGTGAAGAAGAACTCTATTACTTGGCACCAAAGGGCCTTCTTTTATGCAGGTTTTCCACACATAGTACCACCCACAGGGTTTTTCAGAACAACCAATAAACACATTACAACACATACAATGCAAGTACAGCAGCCAATCAGACACAATGGGACAATAGAAACACACCATTGTGACGAAGTGCCCTTCGCCACTTGGTCCTGGAGAGGCCTGCTTGACTATGACTCTTTGATGTATTTGGATTTAAAGCCCCTATTCTACCTTTAGACAGACTATGTAGGTTGCTTTATTTCTCTTATGTTTTAGTCACCCTGTACCCATTATAGGTGCAGGGTGTGTGTAATGTAATTGTTTATAGTGTGTGTGTGTGTACTGTGTAATGTATTGCCTGCTCTCCTGCTGAGGTTTGCTACCAACTAGGTGGGTTTGGCTTGGAGCTTGTCTAGTGCCCTCTGTTGGTAGCAACAGCAATATGCACTACCTGAATAGCAAGACTGGTTCATTTGCATATTCGGGTAGATTTGCATATTGCTAATTCTAAAGACACTTGAGTTATTTTCTGTTAAATATAGTCTCCCCACCCCTTTAAAAATGTGCCATTGTGTTGTGACAAGTCACTGTGTGCTGTCTGCTATGGTTTGATTGTTTGTGATTCTATTGAGATTTCACAGCAATGTTAATGTTGTGACCCTATGGGCTGGTCCCAAGGGAAATAAAGGTTTAGACAGTTCTTCTTGATCCCTCTAAACGTAGCCTTGTCTCGTTATTGGAGGGAGCTGGTATAAACACACTGGGGATTGCTATGCTCTGCATACTCTCCTGAGCTTGAATCACTTAGCTCTTTAAAGAGCTTGTTCCTGACACGCTCTCCTTGGAGGAGAGGTCTTCCCCACACAGTCCTGAATGCTGGAGGTCTTTCCCACACGGTCCTGGAGAACAGAAGCTGATCCAGGGTGGAAGGAAGACAGCGAGACTCCAGTGAAGCTACGGCGGTTGTGGAGTCTGCGGTGGTTGTGGTGTCTGCTGCAGTGTTTGGAGTCCTCAGGAAGCGCTAGGAGCATCCATTAAAGGACCACTATAGTGCCAGGAAAACATACTTGTTTTCCTGGCACTATAGTGCCCTGAGGGTGCCCCCACCCTCAGGGTCCCCCTCCCGCCCGGCTTTGGAAGGGGGAAAGGGGTTAAAACTTACCTTTTTCCAGCGCTGGGCGGGGAGCTCTCCTCCTCCGATCCTCCTCTTCTCCCCGTCGGCTGAATGCGCACGCGCGGCAAGAGCTGCGCGCGCATTCAGCCGGTCACATAGGAAAGCATTATCACAGTGAGTGATTTTCACAGTGAGAAGCACGCAAGCGCCTCTAGCGGCTGTCAATGAGACAGCCACTAGAGGAAATAGGGTAAGGCTTAACCCATTCATAAACATAGCAGTTTCTCTGAAACTGCTATGTTTATGAAAAAATGGGTTAACCCTAGAAGGACCTGGCACCCAGAAGTGGTCTGGGTGCCTAGAGTGGTCCTTTAACGGAGGGTACTCGGTCGGAGTACAGGGAGCTCCGTTACACCCATCATATTCCTCCCCTCTGCTTAGGAGGTAATTGAGTCAATTACTGTATCTACTCAATTATATCCAAGCTGAAAAGTTACACTTTTTATACATTTTTATAACTTTGTGAGTTTACATCGTACATACATAAAACTTATATTATTTTAACCAGTATAACTTGGGGACAAACCTATCCAAAATTCACTTAAATAGGTTCAGGGGTTTAAAAGTTAGGTCAACGTCCTTTTGTTATCACTTGCAAGCATGGCTTTTCTACTGGTCTGCAGTGGCGTACATACCGCCCTGCGACCCGGTATGTATGCCACTGTGGCCAACCTCTTCTCCTGGGTGGCCCAGGAGCTGGCCACCTCAGGGTCCCCCGAGGCTGGCCCTGCTGTCACCCGGCGGGCAGGCTGGTGTGTGCACGAGGGAGCACTCTCCCCTATGTGCTCCCTCTTCAGCTCCCTTGCGCACCGCACTGATACCGGAAGCGGAAGATGACGTCATCTTCCGGCTCTGGCATCAGTACGCGGCGCGCGAGGGAGCTGAACAGGAAGCACTCAGGGGAGAGTGCTACCTCGCGCGCCCGCCGGGTGACCGGCCACCGGGCAGCCCCACTGGACCCCAGGGAATCCCCTCAGCACTCCCAAAGGTAAGGAGGCTGGGGGGATTACATTTTTTATTTTTTTTTAAAGTGTGTGTGTGTTTGTTACGGAGTGTGTGAGTGTGTGTTTTGTGAGTGTCTGGCTGTCTGTCTGTCAGTGTGTGTATGTCTGTCAGTAAATGTATGTGTCTGTTAGCTAGTGTGTATGCGTCTGTTCATGAGTGTGTGTGTCTTAAGCACTTACCTTTCTTCAGCGCCGGACTCCCATGGCGCTGGGGATGTCTCCACCCGATCCGCCTCTCCGCTCCGAATGCGCATGCGTGGCAAGAGCCGCATGTGCATTCAAACCGCCCATAGGAAAGCATTACTCAATGCTTTCCTATGGACGTTCAGCGTCTTCTCACTGTGATTTTTACAGTGAGAATCGCGGAAGCTCCTCTAGCGGCTGTCAATGAGACAGCCACTAAAGGCTCGATTAACCCTCAGTGAAACTGTTTTCAGCTGCAGGGTTAAAACTAGAGGGACCTGGCACCCAGACCACTTCATTGAGTTGATGTGATCTGGGTGTCTGTAGTGGTCCTTTAAGTGTATGCGTATCTGCATGCACTGGCGTATATAGACCAGGTGCCCGCCACCATGTGTTGCGGCCCCAGCCCGCGCAGAGTAAGCACGCGGGGAGGTGGGGGGCCCACGGGTCAGTTTTCGCACCGGGGCCCCATGGGTTGTGTGTACGCCACTGCTGGTCTGGCAGTGTCCCTGGGACAACTCCCTGCTGGAGAACAATGGAGCTGGGGGAGGGGAAGAGGCACACCTTCCCATGAATTCAAAGAGGCAGAAAAAGTGTCTAAAAAGTTTCAATATGTCCATACACTGTTTTTAAAGGGCCAGCACTAGTCCAAATAAAAGTCCATAAGACCAACTAATGGTTTTTAAAGATCCATACAGGAGTTTTGTTACAATCGTTTATTAATAAAATTTCATGTACACAGTTATTAATATTTTGGGTGATAGAATTTGGTTGCTAAACTTTCCAATTGTATTAGACACATGGCTAGTCTACCTCCCCCCCCCTCTTTGCTATCCTCCTCCCAGCTGTAAATACCTTCATATAACTGTTCAATCTCCTTCTCTGTTCTTCAGGCCTCGCTTCACACTCAAACTCAGTGAAGAACTGCACTTTTTCTCACCGCCTCTTTTAGATTGTAAGCTCATGTGCCATCTAGCTAAGCACTTTGTATATAAGAGCTCCAATGGCTAGATATCATTTTACGGGCAGGGCTCTCTCTACCTCCTTATATTTGTCTGTGTATATTGTACGTTCTCCACTAATTGTACAGCACTGCGGAATCTGTTGGCACTTTGTAAATACCAGTAATAATAATATTTATAATTACAAAAGTGATAGGAGTATAAAACCATATACCTTATCCTTCAAAATAGTAAGTAAAAGTTTGCACACCCAGGCTAAAATTGTGAAAGGTTCATTTCCCACACCTGTGGCTTTTTAACGCCTTAAGGACGGCGGGCGTTCTATGCCGTCCTTGGGGACTTGGTCCTAAATGCCAGTAGGCGGCATATAACGTCCTCGCCGTCCTGTTCAGTTACCCGGTCACTGGTCGTCTCACCTGACATCCTAGGGAGTCCCCCATGCTTCCATTCCGGCCCTCCTGGGCCATGTGATGGTGAGGATATTTCGAGAACCTCACAATCACATGGACGGCATAGCCGTCCATAGCAATGCCAGCAGGGGACTGCATGTAATAACAGGTACTTCCCCTACTGCCTGTAATTGGTAAACAAAAAGTTAAAACCCTGTTTAAAATAAAATATATATTTAGATTTTATATATATATATATCTCAAAATACACGTACAATGTTATTGATTAACTATATACAGTTGCAAGAAAAAGTATGTGAACCCTTTGAAATGATATGGATTTCTGCACAAATTGGTCATAAAATGTGATCTGATCATCATCTAAGTCACAACAATAGACAATCACAGTCTGCTTAAACTAATAACACACAAAGAATGAAATGTTGCTATGTTTTTATTGAACACATCATGTAAACATTCACAGTGCAGGTGGAAAAAGTATGTGAACCCCTAGACTAATGACATCTCCAAGAGCTAATTGGAGTGAGATGTAAGCCAACTGGAGTCCAATCAATGAGATGAGATTGGAGGTGTTGGTTACAGCTGCCCTGCCCTATAAAAAACACATGCCAGTTCTGGGTTTGCTTTTCACAAGAAGCATTGCCTGATGTGAATGATGTCTCACACAAAAGAGCTCTCATAAGAACTATGATTAAGAATTGTTGACTTGCATAAAGCTGGAAAGGGTTATAAAAGTATCTCCAAAAGCCTTGCTGTTCATCAGTGCACGGTAAGACAAACTGTCTATAAATGGAGAAAGTTCAGCACTGCTGCTACTCTTCCTAGGAGTGGCCGTCCTGTAAAGATGACTGCAAGAGCACAGCGCAGACTGCTCAATGAGGTGAAGAAGAATCCTACAGTGTCAGCTAAAGACTTACAAAAGTCACTGGCAAATGCTAACATCCCTGTTAGCAAATCTACAATACGTAAAACACTAAACAAGAATGGATTTCATGGGAGGATACCACAGAGGAAGCCGCTGCTGTCCAAACAAAACATTGCTGCACGTTTACAGTTTGCACAAGAGCACCTGGATGTTCCACAGCAGTACTGGCAAAATATTCTGTGGACAGATGAAAAGTTGAGTTGTTTGGAAGAAACACACAACACTATGTGTGGCGAAAAAAAAGGCACAGCACACCAACATCAAAACCTCATCCCACCTGTAAAGTATGGTGGTGGGGGCATCATGGTTTGGGGTTGCTTTGCTGTGTCAGGGCCTGGACGGATTGCTATCATCGAAAGAAAAATGAATTTCCAAGTCTATCATGATATTTTGCAGGAGAACTTAAGGCCATCTGTCTACCAGCTGAAGCTCAACAGAAGATGGGTGTTGCAACAGGACAATGACCCAAAACTTAGAAGTAAATCAACAACAGAATGGCTTAAACAGAAGAAAATACACCTTCTGAAGTGGCCCAGTCAGAGTCCTGACCTCAACCCGATTGAGATGCTGTGGCAATACCTCAAGAAAGCGATTCACACCAGACATCCCAAGAATATTGCTGAACTGAAACAGTTCTGTAAAGAGGAATGGTCAAGAATTACTGCAACTACAGGAAACGTTTGGTTGAAGTTATTGCTGCCAAAGGAGGTCCAACCAGTTATTAAATCCAAGGGTTCACATACTTTTTCCACCTGCACTATGAATGTTTACATGGTGTGTTCAATAAAAACATGGCAACATTTCATTCTTTGTGTGTTATTAGTTTAAGCAGACTGTGATTGTCTATTGTTGTGACTTAGATGATGATCAGATCACATTTTATGACCAATTTGTGCAGAAATCCATATCATTCCAAAGAGTTCACATACTTTTTCTTTCAACTGTATATAATTATAATTGTGTGTGTGTGTGTGTGTGTGTGTGTGTGTATATATATATATATATATTTATATATATTTTTTAATATAAAAAAAGTTAATCTGTAAATACATTAAAAAAATGATTTAAAAATGTGTAATTTCGTTCTAACTGTATTTTGATATTAAAATATTTTGATATCAAAATACAAGTAGAAAGAAATAATATATATATCTATATACATAAGTATATACGTATATATCACTATATATAGATATACCTATATATCAGTGATGACGAACCTATGGCACGCGTGCCACAGGTGGCACGCCGAGCCCACTCTGTGGGCACGCGGCCATAGGTCGCCGTAGGGAGGGAGGGTGCGCTCCGCCGGCGCATCCATAAGGCGGCACAAGTGGCCGCCTTAGGGTGCACCGGCCCGGCGGGCGCAAGGCCGGAGTGACCGGCAGGAGGTGAGCGCACAGCGCTCCCTCCTGCCAGGCACTCTGTGTAGCGTGGCCGAGCGCACCGCGGTACAGGATCTTATGTTTCCTGTACCCGGGCGGACGGAAATGAAGTGCTCACAGAGAGAGCACTTCCTGTCCGCCGGGTACAGGAAACTGAGCTCTGCGCTCGGCCATGCTTCAAGGTAGGAGACTGAGGGAGAGATGGGGGGGCGGTAAACCGAGGGAGGTATGGGGGGAGGGGGTGGGGGGGGGATAAAACTGAGGGAGAAAATGGGGAGGGGGGAATAAAACCGGGAGGGAGAAATGGGAGGGGGGAAACTGAGGGAGAAAATGGGAGGGGGGAAACTGAGGGAGGTATAAAACCTCTGAGGGAGAAATGGGGAGGAGGAATAAAACTGAGGGAGGTATGGGTAATAAACCGAGGGAGAAAATGGGATGGGGAAAAAACTGAGGGAGCAAAATGGGAGGGGAATAAACTGAGGGAGGTATGGGGGATAAAACTGAGGGAGAAATGGGAGGGAAACCGAGGGAGAAATGGGAGTGGGGAAACTGAGGGAGAAATGGAGGGGAATAAAACTGAGGGAGAAATGGAGGGGGGACAAAAACTGAGGGGAGAAATGGGATGGGAATAAAACCGAGGGGAGAAAATGGAGGGGGGAAATACAACTGAGGGAGAAATGGGGAGGAATACAACTGAGGGAGAAATGGGAGGGGGGAATAAAACTGAGGAAGATATGGGGGGATAAAACTGAGGGATAAATGGGAGGTGGAAAACTGAGGGAGAAATGGGAGGGGGGAATAAAACTGAGGGAGGTATGGGGGGATAAAACTGAGGAGAAATGGGAGGGGGAAAACTGAGGGAGAAATGGGAGGGGGGAAACTGAGGGAGGTATGAGGGGGAGAAAACTGAGGGAGAGATGGGAGGGGGAAACTGAGGGAGAGATGGGGGAGAGAAAACAGTGGGGAGGGAGGGCGGACGACATACAGCACCCCTGCCCTACACACATCACCCCACATCACCCCACACACACCCCACATCACCCCACACACAAACACACACATCACCACACACACACCACCACCCCTGCACACCACACCACCCCACACACACATCACCCCACACACACATCACCCCACACACACACACACATCACCCCACACACACACATCACCCCACACACAAACACATACACTGTAGCCCTCAATGCAGTGTGTGTGTACACTCAGCAGTCTGTGTGTGTGTGTACACTCAGCAGTCTGTGTGTGCGTGAGTACTCAGCAGTCTGTGTGTGTGTATTTAGCAGACTGTGTGTACTCAGCAGTCTACTAAATACAGACAGACTGCTAAATACACACACAGACAGACAGACTGCCGAGCACACACACAAACTGCTTAATACACAGAGATGTTAATTCGGACAACTGTAGGAGTTGTTTTTTCTAAACTTAAACCTCAGTATTCAGGTTTAATTGCCGTTTTGGCACTTTGAGGAAAAAAAAATTGGCATGTATTACGGTTTGGGCACTCGGGCTCAAAAAGGTTCGCCATCACTGCTATATATGAATGAAAATAATTTAAAAAATGATATATTTATATACATATTGTGACGGTAGTCACCATCTCTGGGGATGGAAGACAGACACTATGGGTGGGCTCCCAAATTCCTTTTGTGTTTTGTCACATTGTGCCTATTATTTTTGCAGGGTATGTTGAATGTATTGCTGGTCTGTGCATCTCCCCCTCCCCCCTTTTTCCTGTCCTATTGTTTCCCCAGCAGGGCGTTGTCCCAGGGACACTGCTAGACCATTTTAAACTAGCTGTTCTGTCCCTCCTCAATCTCCATCAGCCCTTGCTATTGTCTGACCCCACCCTTCCTTGTACTATAGTAATCTATGTAACCTATTGTATGTAAATGAGGCTGTTGGGGATTTAAAACTATGTGTGCTGTATTCATTAAAGAGTTGCTGTTTAACCTTCACCATGTGTCGTCTGGTGTTTGGTCCAGGGTGGAAAAGGCCCTAAGTGATCCCAGTCAAGCCTCAGCGTCTGGGTCTGAAGTGTTTCAGGGTCCCTGATAGCTACAAGGAAGCCGACTTGGCGGAGGTACTCGGTCGGAGTACTGGAGCTCCGTTACACATATTAATTCTACTTATATATTTATGTAATATTTTGGGGTATGTCCAGTCTTTTTTAGTAGCCACTTAGTCACAAACACTGGCCAAAATTGGGCATTCAAATGAATTTTTTTGAATTTTTCACACACAAACAAATATTAATGCTAACTTTGACTAGTGTTTGTGACCAAGTTGTTACTAAAAAAGACTGGACATACCCCATTTGAAATACCTTGGGTTGTCTACTATTGCAAATGGGGGTAATTCTCATTCCTGGGCTACCATACAGTCTCAAAGGCAACGTAACCAATCTGGTGAATTTCAATGTGAAAAAAACTGAAAAATGTAACACGCTATATTTGACCCTGTAACTTCCCAAAACACCATAAAAACTGTACATAGGGGTACTGTTTTACATGTGAGACATCGCTGAATACAAATATGTGTATTTTATTGCAGTAAAAGCAAACAGTATTATGACATTCACAGTTAAAATGTCACTTATTTTCTCCCATTTTTTTTATATTTTATTCATATTAAATTATGTTTCATTGCTAAATATGATGTTAAATGAAAGACCTGTTTCCCCTGAATAAAATTATATATATTAAGTGTGGGTGCATTTAATATGAAAGAGGTGAATTACGGTTGGACAGACTTATAGCGCAAATGCCAGATTTTGTTTACATTTTGTTTTGATCACAACGTGTATATTTGGCTCAGTCCTTAAAGGGTTAAATTGCAATTAGTGTCAGTGTATAAATAGTCAAAGAGTTTGTTAGTTCTCACGTGGATGCACTGAGCAGGCTAAAGACTTGAGCCATGGAGAGCAGAAAAGAACTGTCAAAAGACCTGAGTAACAAGGTAATGGGACTTTATAAAGATGGAAAAAGATATCCAAAGCCTTGACAATGCCAGTCATAACTGGTCAATCACTTATTAAGAAGTGGAAAATTCAGGGATCACTTGATACCAAGCCAAGGTCAGGTAGACCAAGAAAGATTCCAGCCATAACTGCCAGAGAATTGTTCGGGATACAAAGAAAAAAACACAGGTAGCCTCAGGAGAAATACGGGCTGCTCTGGAAAGAGACGGTGTGGTTGTTACAAGGAGCACAATACGACAAAACTTGAACAAAAATAAGCTGCACAGTCGAGTTCCCAGAAAAAAGCCTTTTCTGCACCAATGCGACAAAAAAAGCCCAGTTACAATATGCCCGACAACACCTTGACATACCTCATAGCTTTGGGCACACTGTAATTTGGAGTGACTATCTCAAGTGCCATGTTTGGAGAAGGGTCAACAGGGCCTATAGTGAAAAGACGACAATCCCCACTGTGAAGCATGATAGTGGCTCACTAATGTTTTGGCGGTTTGTGAGCTCTAAAGGCACGGGGAATCTTGTGAAAATTGATGGCAAGATAATGCAGCATGTTATCAGAAAATACTGGCAGACAATTTGCATTCTTCCTCACGAAAGCTGCGCATGGGACACTCTTGGACATTCCAGCATGACAATGACCCTAACCTCAAGGCCAAGTTGACCCTCCATTGGTTACAGCAGAAAAAGGTGAAGGTTCTAGACTGGCCATCACAGTCTCCTGACCTTAATATCATCGAGCCACTCTGGGAAGATCTCAAAAGTGCAGTTCATACAAGACGACCAAAGACTTTGCAGGACCTGGAGGCATTTTGCCAAGACAAATGGGCAGCTGTACCACCTGCAAGAATTAGGGGTCTCATCGACAACTATTACAAAAGACTGCATGTTGTCATTGATGCTAAAGGAGGCAATATACAGTATTACGAACTAAGGGTATGCAGACTTTTAAACCGGGGTCATTTCATTTTTTTCTTTGTTGCCATGTTTTGTTTTATGATTGTGCCATTCTGTTATAACCTACATTTGAATATGAATCTCATAAGAAATAAAAGAAATGTGTATTATGGTGTATACCAATTCTCCAAAGCTATGCAAACTTTTGAGCACAACTGTATACTCTATTCCCTAACAGGTTGGTTCAAAACTAATGTGTACTATAACTACATTTATCAAAGAAACAAACTCCAAAAAGTAACAATCTGCAGTGAAGGGAGTATGTAATACTAACAAAGTGAATCAATTAACGTTGATTCTAAATATCAAGGTGTAACCACTGTCTTTAACAAATTGTAAAGATAAGCAATGTATAATAGTATGTCACTGAGTAAAACATGCAGGGAATACCTTGAAACAAATAAATATATAGCAGTAGAACAGCTGAGTCTAGATAGCCATAGCGATGGCACCTATCCATAATTACTGAGGATGCAATCTATCTGCTATAATGAACTATCCCTGTACTAAATACAGAGAGGAAAAAGCAGAGAATGGTAAATAATACAAACACAATGAAATAAAAGGAAACAATAAATCTAGCTGTGCCAAGAAAAATAAACCCACTATTCTCTCAAATCCGCTCTGATAAGCAATAAATAGAATAAATGAGAGCCCCTGACGCGCGTTTCACCAATCTCATCAGATACATATTTGTTCCCTGGTATTCCCTGCACTATTAAGTCTGTGACATGCTTCTCTATGGGTAGCATTTGGAATCACTTTACAGACGAACGAACGTTAGTTTTACAAAGATTGCTGGACCACAGCCAGAAATGGCTTTCTGAGTGGTTGTCTTTTCTCAAAGTTATTGCAGGGAAAATCCTTTTGTCCAGAATCATTACTTTCTGGTTCTGTTTTCTGGTTCTGGTGCTTAGAGTACATCTTTGATAAGACTTTCTCAAACTAGGCTATCAACACGTCATCTTTTTTTCCAATGAAAAAATTACGCTATCTTATCTTTGACTTCACCAAATCCTATTCATGAGTTAATGTGCTTGGCTGTCTGAACCCTCCAATCACACTCCAGCTTTAATTTCTTATATACTAAAATGCATATTAAAGGGGAACACTAAACACTTACCACTGCAGCTAATTTGAGTGTTTATGGTGCTATGAGTCGGTGAGTGCTGTCTTCCTGTTTTCATTTTGAAATGGTTAGACAAATGAGCTACAGTGTTAATGGAATATTCCAAGCACCATAACCACTACAGTGCGCTGTAGTGACAATAGTGCTAGATGTGCCCTAGTGCTGCCCCCCTCAATGTAAGCAGTCAATCCATATTCTAAAGCATTGACTTCTAAACTGGGGTCTGCTGAGGGCTGTTCCCTGTCTCCTTACAGCCATTAACACTCTTCTCTTGTGGTGCAAGACTTAGCTGGAGCTTCCAGATCTAACTTACTGATGTAAAGAGATGGGACATGGCACCTGGGGGATTTCAGGTAAGAAGTCAAATTGTCAGGAATCTGCTTCACTACTTGCATTAGGTGGGCCTTCCTGGCACCATAACCACTACAGTGGGTTGTAATGGTTATAGTGGTTGGAGTGTTCCTTTAAGCAGCATCCAGCAAGTCAAAGTAATATAAATACTTGTTGGACTGGATGAATGTAAGGAGGAATAATGCCAACATCTTGGAAATGTTAGGCGCCAAATATTATACAGCATTCTTTATAGAACCACAGGATTTAAAAAAATAAAAAAGATGTTTGTGAGCTACTTCTTTGATATAACATATTGAATAGAATATTACATATTAAATAGCATATAACAGAAAAATGTCACAAAAGTTTTATCCATTAGGATAACCTCATGCCAATGTTTTATTTGATCTTGTGAGGGAACGCCCATTCGCTTTTACATAGTGTGCGGAATTTGACATTTGGCTGCTGAGACTCATTCATGCAGTCAAATGATGTGGCTCAGGAAATCTGGTAAAACGTATTTATTTTTGGTAATCCTGTGCCTTATTCTGGTATTTTAAAACATAATTATAGTCTTTATGGGAGTGTCGGTGGAAGACCATATGTAAATGTCTGTGTCCTGTAATCTGATAGTCCAGAGCAGCAGCTGGAACAAATTAAGGACAAACTTAAATCTTTCTCATTCCCTCATAGACAGCATACATTATCTGTTCTCATCTTAAGGAAATCATAGTTAGGGGTGGATCCAGAGCCTGAATTCAGGAGGGGCAATGCTAGAATTTGTGTGAGATTTTTATCTTTGGAAAACGGACATATTCATTTCCACAAATACAGATACGCACACTTGCATACATAGATAAAGTGACCAATACACGCTCGTACACACATGTCCAAACGTAGATAACTATACCTACAGAGAGATACCAGAGGTTGGTCATTCATTCAGCGGAGGAGGAAGAACATGTGCCCTGGTGTAATCCCCACTCCTTTCTCAGATTCCCCACCGATTTTAGTATATATATCACAGGTGTAAGAGGAATAATGCATGACACTGAAACTGGAATTCACAAAAATAATTGGCAATTCATGTGAATACTTTACTGCAGCGCTGTGTAACGTTTCAATAAAAGGGACTATATCTGTGCTCTTCTGGGCCCTATGGATGTAGAGCCTTTGGATTGTAAAATGTATTAATCTATCCCCTTACAGCTGCAATTAAACATCCGTTATAGTGCGATTATATTAACAGAAGCATCTCTTTTTAACATGCACTAATCTGTGTTTGTAGGTGGGGTGAATTACAAACCTGATCATTTTGTTGTCTTTCTTTTTCTTTGTCTATGTGACACAACCTCAAACCTCCCATTAGAATTATTGTGGAGGGGGGGGGGCATATCTCAGGGACATAAACCATTATAGAGCACTGTCACTCCAACTGTTTATGTACTAAATGTCTTATGATATTCCGATCTTATACTACTGACTAAGCATTATCAGGATGGTAGTTCGGAAATGAGCAAGTGGGTAAGAAAAGGAAAATTATAACAGCCAGTGCCAAGAAGCCTACTGCATAACAGTATACAAACAACATAGGTCAGCTTGCAAAATAAACTTTTTAAGAGATTTGCCATGCAATTTAGATGTCCAGAGTGTGCATCATACCTTCTAGAACAGCATCACTACAGCTTAAAATGAGCACTTCAAACATGCTGAAGTGCTTTATGTGTGAAGAGTGTCCTTCTTTTCATTTTACAAAAAGTGCAGATTTTAATATCAATTGGCAAATTTATAAATTAAACTGAGTGTAAGTCAGAAAGTTACTTCCAGGTAATTTAACTCAGTGGTGCTAAACTCAAGAGGCAGCAATTGCACAGGGCAGCTACCTGTCTTGCAAAGACTTCTCATTGAGCTGCATTGGGCAGCCATAGAAAGACCTGGCCGGGGAAGAAATAGAAGGTTTCTAAAGGCTGCAGACAATAGATCTGCAGCTTTTACAAGCGGGTTTTAACTAGAACTGTGGAAGTGCCCATGAGACTCAAAAAATGTAAGCATAACCTTGGTTGTGCCTCCCCCTCCCCCCACCACAGAATATAAAGGTGCCCCCCCCCCCCATGCTATATTAGATTTGTCACACAGGTTCAGATTTTGTGTTAGCTCAAGTGCAGTGTCACTTAAAATATTCCACTGGAAGACTGACAAGCATACCACGTTACTAAAGGAGAGGTTGGAGAGTGGGAAAGGCTTGGTGCCAGCCTTCATAGGTAGCCATCAATTAGATTATTCTAGGTATCTTCATCAGGTACCAGGTAATTGTAACGTGAGAAGTAGCCAGAAACAATTTTAGGAAATAATAGCACAGCGGAAAACAAAAATCTGTCAAACCTGTAAGACTTTTTGCCATCATTTTGCAAGTTGGTTGAGTCACCATCATTTGTCTGTCTAGAGAATAGACTCCAGCACAAAATTTGGACCGACACAGCCTGCGACCTATGTGGCTCTAAACTTAATTTGTTTATGAAGATATGAGATTAATTTTGTAATCTCTATAAATAATAAATATAAGAATTGCCTAAATGTTTAGATCTAAGATTTGCAAAAATAATCCACCCTGCATTAAGAAAATGAGTTTGCATTATTCAATCTATTTAACATCTAGAGGAGCAGATGTATACAATAGCCACATTATTCCTGAAAACTCAAATCTTTCTCTCATCACATTATTGTTACACATATCTATGTGAAAAGCAATTCCAGTAATTGCTTTGCTGTTTCTTCTTATTTCTCTATATAAATAATTTAACACGTGGTTTTTTTTTTTGGTGGTTTTTTTTTTTTTATTGAGGAAAGCAGCATTTTACAACATTTTAATTTGTGAGTATTACATTATACAATTTGTAATAAAAACAGGTGAGTAATAGACATTTTACACAGCCTAAACAAAGCTTAAATAGGCTTTGATTTAATATTTTTGGGATAAGCTTTTCATTTGATTAAATCATTTTTGAAATAATTTTTCTAAATATTAAAGGAACACTGTAGGGTCAGGAACACAACCATGTATTACTGACCCTTGTCAGGATTACTGTAGATGCCCAACACGCAGAACTTAAGTAGATAATGGGAAAATACCTAAGATGTATTACCGGGCCTTAGAATGGCCGGATTTAACGTATAAAGGTAAAAAAACCACAAAAGAGGGTAAAGACAAGACGTAGGAATAACGTAAACGATGAAAAAGCCACGGCTTAAGGAATGGAGATATCGGAATAGTTAGGAGCCAAGTCAAAGGTCAAGGAATACAGAAAAAGGGAAGCCAAGGTCAAATACACAAGAATCAATACAAGGAACGTACTCAGGATAACCACAATGGAAACCACGACAGGGCACAGAGAAATGGACAAAACAGGCTTAAATAGTCTAAGGTGCTCCTTGATTGGCTACAAGAAAGCATGTGATTATGAGTGTGTGAGAGTATCACACTCACAAACCTATAATCACATGCTTTCTTCATTATGAAACTAATGATCTGGCCCTTTAAGGGTTAAACAAAAAACCCGTAAAACATTCAAAGTTGCAGCGGCCGGCGTCTCTAATGTTTACAGACGCGGCTGCTGTGAGAGGTGGAGGAGCCACTACCAGGATCAGGTGAGTGATTGGCGGTATTTCCATTGCCTTGTGGGAATGCCACAAGACCGAGTGTCTGCTGGATAGGTAAGTATTCGGCGGCATTCCCCTTAGCGGACCCCGCGGCATGACACCCTATAGTGTTAAAACCACCGTTTAGGTGGCTTGGCACCCGCTTAGCCCCCTTAAAAGGTAATATAACTTACCTTATTTTCAACACGCGCGTGTCCAAAGGCATTTGCCCTGCCTTGAGCTGCCTCCTTGGTTAAAAATCATAAATTCTGATGATTTCAACATACAGGAAAGCATTGGATTGGCTGAAACCGGCAAGGGGACGGGGCAGGGCCAAACACCATCTTGGCCAATCCGCACCACCTCATACAATTAATGCATCTCTAGGAGTAAAATTCAGCGTCTCCATTAAGAGCGTGGAGAAGCTGAACGGCAGTGCTGCCTAAAGTGCAGCACTGCTCCAGGAAGCACCTCCAGTGGCCATCTGAGGAGTGGATACTGCAGGTGTCCCTAGAGGGCAATGTAAACACTGCCTTTTCACTGTAAAAGTCTGGGGGAGTAGTCTGGCGCCCCGCCATCTTAAAACGTTACTAGTCGCCACTGGCCATAAGTGTCTCTGTTAAAAATAATAAAAATGTAAGAGAATAAAAATGGTGGTGTTATGAAGAATCAAAGAGGGTTTTGGATCATCTGTTTACAGCTGAAATTAACCCATGGAGTAGCTGACATGTTTCATGACAGCAGCAATATTTGAAATAAAACTATAAAGTTACTATATAAGATGAGATCATGAGAGGAAGAACTAAGAGAGGTCTAGGAAGATAGAGAGAGAGCTGGAACATTATAGACATGCACTGTTTGGGGATCTCTGTATTGCAGCTCTGCGTAATCCATCACACTGATCCTGGCTATGTGGGATAATAATCTAATCTCCTTATTGTGCCCAGTTCTATATATAATTTCTTTGTATTTTACTCAGCTCTACATATGGTTGTATGGGGATCTCTGTAGTCTTCCCAGCTTTGTGTATTATGTAGGTATCTCTGTATTCTACTCAACTCAATGTATTTAATAGATATCTTTGTTATGCCCAGTTTCCTTATTGTACGAGCATCTCTGTATTATGCTCAGCTCTCTCTTCAGTTTGCTTTTGAGAGGTCACAGGAGAGGTACGCCTGACACTCATGAAGTATTTTAATCTGCATAGAACATTTCGACTGCACTCCAGAGCTGACAAAGGGTGACGTACCCACAACACACACTGGGTACAGATTGCACACTCCAGTTTACCTGTTTGTTTTTGTTATCCTGTTTTACTGATGCAATACATCATGTTTTGTTCTGTTTCTTGTCATGACACCAATGTGATATCTAGAACTGCTGCAGATCAGTATGTCATCGCGTCATTGAGTGGATTGTTACATTATTGCCATGACATTCCTCGTTATATATTCATACCACGTCTGTGTTTAAATTAAAATATAAAATATAAATAAAAGTATGTTTTGAATGCAGTTTCCCCATATGCTTTTAATTTCATCATTTATATTTAAACTCTGAGAAGTGACATTGGTTATCGAGCAACTGACGACCATCTCATGATAAAGGTCCCTAGACTTACTACTCATGTGCTTGACATATGCTTTTGATACTTTACCTAAGATTTTGCTTTACACGATCAGGTATGACATCATACATCCAGACTGATGCTCATCTAATAACTGATAGTCACGTACATTTGCGCTATGCTGAATATCGATAAATAGCTGTCAGTGTGAAGAAGTAGGAAAGACTGAGGTAGTTAATGCTTACAACTAAATAGCCAACTATATTTATCTTTTTGTATGTTAACCTGCTAGAATGTAAAATCTCTAAATTAATAGTTTGCAGGTCACTCCGAATATATATATATATATCCAACCCCCACATCTATTGGCTCCCTCATGATTAAGTAAATTTGACCTTTTAGCTTCCTACCCCTAGAACAATCCCCCTCTCCACATTCTATCTGCCACCTCTTTATCATTTTTCCACAGACTTTTAAAGGCACACCTCTTCATTGAAGCCTTCCCCGTCGCTTCCTAACCCAATCCCTCATTTGTCTTTACAATATATCTTCTTCATACTCACGGTGTACAGTAGTACTCCTTATATTGGCACAATCATGGATACATTTCTGTTACTTCACAATTTTATTTTCTCCCCACAACCTTTTTTCTCAATGTACAATTCCCCTCTAGAATTCTCTTCTCTTTTAATTTCATACATCCAATTATTTATTCCCTGATTACAACATACAGGGGCCACTAGGACTAAACTTCGAAATTATATAGTACTAAATGAAATGAAATCACCGTTAATTCGTTGCGTTGGGGAACACATTTTTTTTTACCATTCGCTTCCACGTTTCCCCCGTGTGCCAGCTAATCAGGAAGAATTGGCGCTCCTTCGTGTTAGTTCAGGCAGTATCCAGTCAATCTCCGGGTGTGTTGCACCGTGATACTGATCTTAACTTTAGTAGTGTTTGAGCAGTTCTCAGTAACATTTCGGGGTGCATCTCACCATGCACGTTGATCTGCGTTCCACTTTTCTAATTTTGGTGCCATCACTAATCTTGTACCAAGATTGTTCTAATATTGTACAGTTGTATATATGCAACTTATGTTGGTTTGTCTGTAGAGACTCATATTTTTTAGCCCTCTTGTAACTTAAGAACTTTCAGGTGGTGCCAGGAATTACTCAGTGCTTGTAATATGACTATTTTGTAGCTCTGTGTGCTCTGTGCAGTTGACCCCAAGGCTGGTGGTTCTGGTACTTTATTTTACCTGAGCATTTTCATACCTTGTCAAGTGACTGCAATTGTAGGGGTTTAGGCTTGTATATGCACACATGTCCATACATACCATAAATTAAACATAAAATTATATTAATCATACAATGTTGCTATTTTTTTTATTATTTTTTTAAAGCTATCTGTTTGACCTAAAAGAAAATGATGATGTTTGTCGTCAGGCTCTGAAATCCGGATCATTCTACCTCTTTCACGATCTGTTGCCATTACTCAGGAAATCTGGCAGTGGCTTTTCTGTACCAACAGTAAGCGCTCAAGGTGAGATCTATTCTCTTATTGATTGAAAAGAGAGTATGCATGATATAAAGTATAAAGAATATTGTTACTGTCACATAGTGCTTCCTTTGTATTTGTCATAAGTGACAGTTTAATAGCAGTAATTTTCCTGCAATTTGTGCTAGCTCAACTGTTACATGTAATACAAATTAAAGCATTCAAATAGTGCTTAGTAACAGTCCATAAATGGTTTAGTTATTCAAATGACTTCCACCACTTCCATGTCCTCAGAAATGGTACTGATAACTCTATTCATGTGTTATCATATAGTTATGTGAAGAAGTCTCTTACAGGTGGTTTTGACCAGTATGGCTTTGAACCACCAATCACAATATACTATTTCTGTGTATATACCTAAATGAACACTCCAAGTACAATTGCCAATAGAGCTTGCTGAAGTGGTTACGATGCTTAAAGTGCTTTGGCGACCACCACCATTGTAAGGAATTAAACCATTTTAAACCGATTGACTTCGTACTAGGGGTCCTCCAGGCGATGCTTCCCGCCACCAATACCATCTCCTGATGGTTCCTCAGCAGAAACTTCTGTTGGCTCTCGTAAGCTAAGCACTGAAATGCATGGGGATGCCAGGGCGCACCTGGCATCCTAAACACCACAGTGAGCTATAGCGTTCCTTTTAAACATGTATATAGGAAAATGGCAATATATTTAATGTTTACAAATTAACAACAGCTCATCAGCTGCTGATGAGCTGCGAACAATGTCGACTTATTCCTGATCCATTATTGGATCAGTGAAAATTGTCCCTCTGTTTCACCAATTGCTGTCCTACTAATAGTGGAGTTATTGACGCATCAATGGAACCATCACTAACACATTTAACGCATCAAAACAAAAAGTGCCTCACTAAAATGGGATTTGGAGTGTGGTTAAGTTGAAGGCCAAAGCCTGTTTTACACTTTCTTATGTAGGGGGACAAGTCAGTTGTGTTATTGTGTTAAATTTGAATGTTAGCCTTTTAGACCTAAATCACCACTAAGATTTATTTTTTGACACAGAGTTACAAAGAACAATCAATAAGCATGGACAGGATGAACAGAAAATTGAAGATGCGGTTTTAGTTGGCTGTTCCAAATCATGTGTTGCAGAATTTGCATTGGATCTTGGTAAATAAATGCTATCTTTGTTTTCTGACTATTTGTATTTGAAAACTTTGTTACACTATTAGACATGTCATTATAATTATTTTTTTATTTGTTGGAATTTATGTGTCAATGCCATTTTATTGATTTTCTCTACTTTGTTCACAAAGAGGATGAATTCCATTGTGGTGAAACTATCTCTTAAACATTATGTATTTCACTATGTTCATGCAGCTTCAAATCATTCTCAATATGTATAGATCAAAAGGGAAAATTTATTTAGTTTTGTCCTCCTGTGATATCATCACCCTACCTTCTGATTTCACCAAGAGTCCCTGTATTTGACATTTAAATCCTGAATGTTTGGGCAGTGTTGAAATCTAAATACTGTGAACTGGTTCTGCCCCTTAATGTGGCAATCATGAGTGTGCTGGCAAAAGGGTTAGGGGTGCAAATGTCCCATGGCCCACTACCATAAACCATTAATCTGAAAATTAAATATTGGGAAGTGTGTTTAGGATGTCTTTTTTGCAGGAATAAGTCAGCAAGCAGGAATTGTGCAAGGCCTTTGCTAGCCTGGAACGTTTGGGTTTGTGAATGGACTGGGGGTCTGTGCTCTGCAGGCATGGCCTATCCCACTAGAATATTTTAAGGTGGACTGCAGTATCTGAGACTGATTAGGTTGCAAGGCTACAGTAAGCATGTATGATGTTCATGGAGGTGTTTGACAGTGAGCACAGGGTAAGATGAGACAGACTCTGCAAATGTGTCTGTGAGAAACAGAATCTGCCATAAATGCTCCTTCATACTGTGCAGGGCATACTGATGGAGGTTACAGGAAAATGATGGCACGCTGTGTAAGTCCAATGACCTCCATCTGGGTGGTCTGTCATATGTTCCATATGAGTAGGACCATCCACACTGAGATCTGAGAGTATGGAGCACATAAAATGGCCATTTATTTGTACTTGCCCCCCAGGGTGATAAGTTGCCAGCCCTCCCTGGGTGCAGTTACATTTTTCTATTTGGTTGGAGGTGGAGAAATCAGCTAATTGCCCCAGTATTTTATTTCTCATACTAGGCAGCATGCTCATCCAGAGAAGCTCATGAGCCATCTTGCTGTGTACTTGAAATGCTGAGCTCATCTTCTGATTATTTTTGTGTGGTTATATCTATGTTGTACTGTATATATTTCCCTAATTATACAACATCAGGAATATGTTTGTGCTTTGTAATTTTATTATGGAGCATGTAGGAGTATTGACGTGGGTAACCCATAGCCATGCACTCTTCTCTCACGGTCAGCAATACATTGCTTTAGACAATATCTAATGTGCACTATGAGAAATCTGTTTCTGCTTTGACTGGCCTGAGAATGAGTTGTCTATTGATAATGTTAATGCTTTTTCCTAATAAATCTTGTATGCAGTGATAGTGATCTTCTATTGGGATTTCAGCTTTGTTGTCGTTTTAATAACTTCTATTTCCTGGTATTTGTTCACACATGAAAATCACGCAGACTGATTTTGACTGTTTTTCTGTATTGCCCTTTATGGTTTAGGATGCCTTGAAAAATCCAGTTTGGAAGCCGACTTAGATGGGACCTTCACCTTCCTACCCAAAGCACTCCTGCTTCTAGAAGGGAAATGTGCTCCACTAGTGGCTCAGGTATAACTGCATGCTCTTTATTGACCTAACTTCCACATTATGCTGTCCTAGTGACCTCATGTACAGTACTTGTCCTTCCAAATTTAATGGGTTGGCTGGGATATATTAACCTCATCCTAAATTTAGTCTTAGAACAATGAACTTAGATTTTCATGCATTTGTTTTGTAATCTATTTATGGAAATAGATGGCTGCATTAAACAATATGTAGGAATATCTAAAGGACTCATTGTGGCTAGAGGGGTTTCCGCTAGCCCTTGCTGACACTGCCAAAAGATCGTCCGGGGTTGCTGTATCTCTCATGCAGAGAGAACATGTTTACGGACTGCCCTCATGGGTTGGATCAGTCGGATATGAAAATGGTATAGGTTCTCTTTGAAATGGCAAAGTGAGCAAAAACATTTTTGAGACCTGAGCAGGGACTAACTGAAGTACAAGCTACTGAGTTTTTGACTTTTCTTAGAACTCATAGTTGGGTTTGTTGCACTAAAAAAAGATTGCAAGCACCATAATCATACTAGCTATTGAGACCATGTCACTGCCTCTGCACTTTCACTTTTGAAATGTTTTTTTTTTTCTTCATATATTAAAAAATATATTCAATAATGTTTAGTGCAGTAGCTCCACCCTCTGGCTTCTTATATAATTTTAAAATTTTTACTTCCTCATTCAACCATCCAACAATTTTGAACACATGGAGTGCTCACTGCATGTTCACGCTAAGCAAATCACCTTCAGCATCGCTGGGAGCTGTGCTGGTAGTGCACACACGTGCATACAGTTTTCCTGTGTGACTTCCTGTAATAGTGTTAAATCGGATATTCATTCATGCTTTGTTTGTGTATTTTTGTCTGTCAGTGTATTTGTCTGTCTAATCATTTGCCTAAACATTTATTCACAAGAAAGTGCAGTGAATGTCTGCTTAGAGTTTGTGACAGTCAGAACCTTGGTGGTACTGTGTATACTCAGATGGAAGGTTTATGTCATTTCCTCGAACATGCAAGCTGAACTGACGAGCAGTCATGCCGGCTTACCTGTGCTTCACCTTTGAAGGGTTCTAAGGAGCATTGTCAGTTGAGTAGAAATAAAAACACACAGAAATAAATTCTGCACTCAGCTTTCCATTACCCATGGGCAGCAGCAATGGCTACAGCATCCATCAGTCCAAATAGCACTGTATTTTTTCTGGTATGTTTAGAGACCATGAAAATACCCAGGTTGGTGGGGCACAAACTGGGAATGTCCTGCCAGGTTCAATGAGAAGTATGCTTGACATATTTAACATTGTATGTGCAAGGGGCAGACATTACAGTGGGGGTCCCTGTGTCACTTGTTATTGCTCAGAATTGGACTCGAGCAACTGGTCATTGTAGGCAACTGGGTTTATAGTTGCTGTTGGCATAGGTTAATTATCCCATCAGATTTAACTGAAAATATATATATAGAGAAATATATACAGAGAGATTAATCTCTCTAAAAACTCACATATTTTTGTAATTTGTTCTTTATTAAAAGCTTATGCTCATTCCATGCATTGCTATGTTTCTTTGATATGTTGGCATTTACAAATTCTGCTGTCTTTCCCAGGTGCCTGCTAATGTCTCTGTGAAGCACAATATTTGCACATGCCTTCCTTTACCTCTTCTAACAGATGTTGATGTATCGCACACAGTTCTGTGTATTGTGTTTAAAGAGTGTAACTAACTAGCAGTCATTTCTAGGCTTGTGGAAACCTATTTGGTAGAGCTATGCAATGGTTCATTTTGCAAGCCCCAGCAAAGAGGACCTTCACATTTATAAACATGCCCCTAGGACATACTTAAGGGCACTATACCACCAGTTACTTTTCTGTCATTCCTGCCAGAGAACTGAGAGCTTGTTGGAACACAGAACAGTTTATGGCTTCAAGCTGATCTGTCTACCGTTGATTCTACGAGATTTGTTCTGTGTTTGTTTCTGCTTGCCCAGGCTTGTGTCAGCTCTGCCGGCTAAGTTTAACAGCGATCGCCTGTTGTAATACATAAAATACTGCTGGAGAGAGTTGCAATGCATTCTGTTATTTACAGACATAGTTTTCTTTAAGATGTTCTGTGCAAAATATTGCAAAGCATTTGCATCATTCAAGTAATTCAAATACAATACAGCGAAGAATGGTTTACGTGCTATACTACACGTGCTGTACTCTGCTGACCTCTCTGGCAGCAATAGAGAATGTGAAATCCTATTTTATATTTTAGCACAGCTGGTTGACTTATGCAACCCTTCAGTGGAATTTAGACAGGGAATCTGTAACTATTTTCAAGTCTCAGTGCAGCACATTTCGAAACCAATTTAATATGAGATGTGCAGGGTATAATAAAACTGTACGTGTAAAATTCAGACATTTTAAATAAACAATAATTCTGTGTGCCTATGTTGTTTTTCATCAAATATACAAGCAAATGTGATAAATTTCCGCAATGATCCCTCTTTATAAACGACTTACTGAAAATAATAAAAATTGGGAAATGCATAATGACTTCACAAAATGTTTTCACATCATTCACAAGACTCACTTGATGTTTTTTCATATCTTTATTTTGATTTTGTGTGTGTAGCATAAGACATAACGGCCATTTGATTGTAGTTATGTTTTATTTGCTATTTTCAAATTGAAAACATGATTGCTTAATCTGTAAAAGTTATGCTTGCTTATTTTTTGGATTTTGTTCTGTAAAGTTTTCTATGGTTTGTATATAAAAGTGCGCAGAGCTAAACTTGGTTGGAGTAGAACTACATTCGAGTTGACGCGAAGCCAGACTTGGCTAGCAGCAGAGCTAGATTTGTGTAGGGGAGCTAGCCTTGAGTTGAATAAAAAAACATTGTGACATCCTAATTAAGTATAACAGCCACATTTGCTGAGAATCATGGCAACCATACTTGTCTAACAATGTCTGTTGCTGTTTTTCCAATATTATACAGATTTTTTTTTTTTTTACCTTGATGCAATTTGTTGGTTTTTTTTCAGGCGCAAGCTCTTCTACGCTGGCACGAGACCCACCAATTCTGCAGTAAAACTGGGAATCCTACAAAAAAGAATCTATCTGGAAGTAAACGAATCTGCAGCACAAATGGGCTGATTTATTACCCACAAGTGAGTTAAAGGCTACAGTAGCATCAGGGGATAATTTACAAGCGTACAGTGTTTTATCACCTGTCTTTCATATGGCAGGGATCACATTTTAATGTACAGTACACAGGGCCGGTGCAAGGATTTTTGCTGCCCCACACGCTCCACTAATGATGTAACATCACACAAACCACACTCACATATGCTTTAAATTGGTGGGGCATCTTAATGTCCCATCCATACAAACACAATTTCACTGGCACAAACACACACAAGCAAGCTCATACACATAAGCTTTCTGACACACAAAAGCTCACTACATACAATTTCACTATAGACAATTTCACTTATGCGATCACACACAAGCTCACTATAGACAAGCTCACTGTCATATACACAGACAAGCACACTACACAATAGCTCACTGACCTACACATGCAGACAAACTCAAGATCACTATAGACAAGTTCACAATGACACACACTAAAGCTCACCATACCCAAGCTCACTATAGACGAGCTCAAAGTGAAAAGTGACACACACCAAAGCTCATTATAGACAAGTTCACACTGATACACAGCTACGCTCACTATAGACAAGTTCACACTGATACACATTCAAGCTCACTATAGGCAAGCTTACACTTGACATACACCTAAGCTCACTACAGACAAGCCGCTGACGCCTCGCTGCCATACTGATCCCATCCTGAAATTTACTGCCTTTTTAAATCCGTAAAACAGTTTTACAATCCCTTACTGGGTCTGCCTGGGCGGCCAAATCACCCGGTCAGACCCAGACAACATTGCAGCTGCAGTTTTGCCTCTGGTGCCCTAGGCCACCGCCTAAGTGGCCTAAGGAAATTGCCAGCCCCAACAATACAGATAATCTGTGGCTGAAAGCACTGTACATATAATACTCTAGATACTCAGTTCTTTCTTAAGGCACTTAAAGACTGGTTCACGCTATGTCTGGAGTTTGCACTGCAGGCTCCAAATGAGAGTAAATTTAGTCTGGATTTCAACCGGATCAAACGCTCAAGCATGGCTGAAATCCAGAACTGGATTTTTACAATCTGGGCCTGGCTTTTAAACCTCCCAACATATTGCCCGCTGGCAGTGCTTGCAGTCAGAGTTCCATTTGGACAAAGTCCAGGGTTTTTAGTGAAGAACCCTGCATATTTGTCCAGCTCAACTTATATATTTCTTGAGAAAAGTGTTAAGAAGCCACTAAAAAAAAACCGGACCGCTTCATCTGAATGCTGTTTAGTAGATATGGAAATGTTATAATTGCAGGGTTAGCATACCTCCAGTAGCTGTCTTCCTGTGTGAACCGAGACAGACTCTATTCCCAATCAAATGTAAAACTATGGCATTTTGGAATACTAAAGAACAATTTTAAAGCAATATAATTTGCCTGGAATTTCATCAGTTTTACCTGGATAAATATGTTCCTAAATGCAGAGGTGTAATATAAGCCTGATATATACAAAATCCACAAGTTTAGTTATTTATTAAACTAAGAATTGTATAAACTTCATCTGGAAATTGCAGGATTTAGGCAAGAGTAGACAAATTGCAAACAAAACCAATATATCCAACTGCTATATTGTCCTAGAATTATTAGACAAAAGTATAATTGTTTGATCCTGTATTTTCTCATTTTATGCCAATACATATAAATAATCTTTGCAACATATGAACAGCAGACCACACACACACAATATGTTTGTCTCTGATGTATGATCAGGCAGGGCCTCCTGTGTTTGAAATTCAATGTACACGTTATAATTCATTGAAACCTGGGTTCTTTTCATTGGAAAGTCTATATTGTTAAAGAGGTTTTACTAATTATATTGTAATAGCATCTAGACCAGGGGTGCCCAAAAAGTAGATCCCTAGACGGTTTAAAACTACAACTTCCATGATGCTTTGTCATTCTAAAAGGGAGTTGTAGTTCTACAACATCTGGGGATCCACTTTTTGGGCACGCCAGATCTAGCCTATGTGCAAATGCGTTTAAGCTCATGCGAACGAATCACATGCGGTTTTGTTGGATTGATTGTATGTTGCTTAAGAACTATTTTTTATGCTAGGAGTCTTTATGCTGATCTAAATAATATTTATAAATATAGACATAGAGGCACGGTGTCATATTACACTAAATTAACGTTAAGAAGGCTTTTCACTTAATGTTGAAGGGCATTCTAAAACTATTTCCCACCCCTATTTCCTATAACATTCTGTAATAACCAATGCTGGATATATGAATATATAGTGGCTGGATACTGAAGTTTAACTTCTGTGAATATTGTCTCTAGGTTTTGGGAGTGTTGGAGTGTTAAGCCTTATTTCTGTTTTTATTTGTTTCCTCTGTCCTCTTCTATATAAGCTGTTATTTTTGCCTTTTTTATTTAAAATTTTTTATGCATCCAAAAGGTTACATGACATTTTATATGTAGGTTGTTCACATAATTCAGATGCATCAACATTATCGACATTTGGGATATGCACACAATCGTTTTAGCTAAAAATCTTACAATCCTCACCATTGATACATTCATTGTATCTACATGAGCATGCATTAGTCTATAGACATGTAGAAGGATGAAATTCGTAGTGTGGTCTGGTTTGTATACATGTCTTAGTTGTATTGTTCTTGCCCCTCTGAATTGTGTTCAGTGTCTGTGTGCTGTCTGACATAGCTAAAGTTAAAATCAGTGTGGCAAGAATGCCTCATTTAAGCAGTATCTCTATCGTGGGTTACCATTTGTAGTGTGGAGCATTTACGTTGGTGCCCCTGGTAGTTGCACTGATTGTAAATTATTATTAGAGAGTGATTTTACAAGAGCCATATTATGGGGTCTTAGTGCACAACCCAGGAGATGTGATCGCTAAAACATAGAAAACTAACTGGAAATAGGTCCAGAATAGGCCAATTGCTGCCAGGGGGAGGGGAGACAAGTCAAGATATCCATATATAGTAAAGTACTGTGGCCTCAAAACTATCCGTATTTTATCTGTACTGTCCTCCAGTATGGGTAGACAGTCCATATTGCTCATATTCCGTTTCTGGCATGGTTAAAGGCCCAGAATCTCTGGTATCATGGTAGTGAGTTATGTGTTGGTGATATGGCCATACCGTATGCCTAATACGCTCATGTTAAGTTCCTAACTTCAAGTTTATTCTGTATGAACTTCAGCAATGGTTCCAATATTTTTGTATATAGGGCGTAATTGTCAGTAGAATAGTAGTGGAGTTCTTCCATCACTTACGTTTTCAATTTTCTGAAACCATTCCCTTATCGTTGGAGCAGTGTTTTGTCTCCATTTAGTTGGTATAAGTTTATTTGCTGCTGTGAGCAGATGGTTTATGAGAAGACATTGTGGTTTGGGGAGTGTGGATGGGTGTAGTAGGAATAGCATAATCTTGGCTGTGCAAAGGATGCGTGTATCTGTTGCGATGTATATCATTAGGGATATTCGCTTCTAATATTCTTGGATAACAGGGCATGACCTATGCCCAGGGCATGATATGTGCAGATGTACCTGTCCTTTGGGAGCATCTCCAAAATACATCAGAGGCAGTCGTGAATAATGATTGTAGCTTGTCTGGTGAGTAATGCCAGCGAGAGATTCTCTTGTAATTTGCTTCCATAATGCTACAGCTAATGGTGGTGTGTATTTGTGTGAAAATGGTGGTTTATTCAGCGGCTGTTAGTGTGATTTCTAAGTCTGTGGCCCAAGAAGTTGTAAATGTAGGTTCTAAGTGTTTGTGTTCTAACTGTAGGATTTTATAGAAAATGGAAAGGCGCTTTGTCTTCACCGTGCAGTTTTGGCATTTTGAAGATGCTGAGAGGGCGATTGCCTGTCAGTAGAAGTGCTTCCAAGTGAACAAAGTGCGTGAGTTGGATATAGAAAAAGAATTCTAGAGGAGTTGGTGGTTTGTTATGCGCCAGTTAAGAAAGCAGTTTTAAGGAGTTGGCTTCTAAGATTGAGTCCCGAGTAAGATACTTTGAGTTGTGTAGTGGATGAAATGTGGCGACCCAAAAACCAGGAGGAAAGAGGGGGTTATGCATTTTTGGATAATACGGGTGTAGCCTTAATGGGCCGGACTTGTAACATATATAACACTTTAGGTAGATTGTTAATTTTTAGTATACTGATTCTGCTTGTCCAACTGAAGTGTGGTTTATTTCAAGAGGTTAGATCTTTTGTTATGCTTTGGAGAAGTGGTAGATGGTTTAGTTCGTACATTTTAGAGAAGTGTTTCGCTAGATGAACTCCTAGATATTTCACGTCTGTGGTTGCCCACGTGAATGAATATGAATTCTGTATTGTGGCTACTGTTAGGTCATTTGTGTGAAGAGGCAGGATTTCACTTTTGAAGAAGTTTACCCGGAAATTGGATACATGATGGTATAGGGGTAACTCCTCTACAAGAGGGGCCATTGAGATTAATGGATCAGAGATCGTGAAGAGCAAATCGTCTGCAAAGGCCGACACCATATACTCATGGTGATTGCTGCTTATTCCGTGAATTAGTGGGTGGTCTCGGATGCTCTGCAAAAAGGGCTAAAAGGTTAAGATATAGAGCAGTGTGGAGTATTTTTGTCTTTTGTGATGGTTCTTGTATGCTATTACTTCATTTTGTTATATAATTTGATGCTTGCCCAGATTCCCAGGACTTGACGGATTAATTTCAGTCTTCTTCACTGCAGGTGATTTGGGGCATTCTTTAAAATGTAAAGAAGTATGGTGGGCAATGAGCTCAAACTTATTACTATGTGCATGTCTTTGCACAAAACGCGTTAAGTTGAGGTTGAGACGGTCTGTACGAGGAGATTTTTTGTTAGCTACATAATAAAGTTTTTCATTAGGTTGGAGGTTGCAGTATTATCATTCCTTTAGAGAGAAATTTATTGATCCTAGTTAGATCATTCGTATGCCCTATAACAATACCCTGTCCTTAAATAGTTTCCAAACCGTACCCATGTGGCATCTTATTAATTTTTATTATAGAAAATGTAGCTGCTTTTGGTAACTTATTGCTTTATGTGAAAATGTCAGGTACCCATTTGGCTTGACGTGACTTCAGTTTCAAAGCTAATAAAATGAACCACTGATGAATTGTGTCTGTCACCTTCAACAGAGCAGTATTTTTGGAACAAAAAAGTGACTGCATTTGCTATAGTTATTTTGAACCCTATTATATTATAAAGTACCCTGTATCTCTTTCATTGCGGTATGAAATCAGTTTTTTTCAATTGTTATCACATTCTAGATGTCCCCAGTAGTAATCAGTTTGGTGTCTTACAAAGATCGCTGTCTACTCGCTCGTCAAGAGGGCTTTCCCGCAGGAATGTACACCGCCCTCTCAGGCTTTTGTGATATTGGTAAGCAGTTTGTGTGTTATTTACTTTGTTTGGGGGTAGCAATGACAAATCCAGATGTTTGTGTACATGTTTCTCATGGGAAATAGGAAAGACTGGTTGAGCGTTTGTTTTCAGTAACCTGGAGTGCCAAGATTAGCCATTACTGGTTTTTGGAAAGGTAATTAAATAATATTAAAAGTAATAATAAAAATAATATAAAAAAATAATTAAAAATAAGTAATGTAGTAGTAAGTAACAAAAATATCCATTTAAATTGATTTTCTTAACTTATATTTATTTAATTACTTCTTTAGGGCTGCAGTTTGTTAAGAAGTAGTAAATAGGAATTGGGGATCTATTTAAAAAAAATAAAACAGATCACAATATAAGTTCCTGTACAGCATCTGCCCACGGTAGAGCCCTAAGCCTCTGGATTTCTCAGTACATAACTGCTACAGGGAATGAGATGAGATGCACCTAAGCCAAGATCAAGGTAGCAAACATGCTGCAGCATCATTTAACAATTCTGATGATCAGAATCACAGGCAGAAAAAACTGTAATTTTACTTACCGTAAATTGCTTTTTTCTTAGTATAGTGGCAGTACTTACAAGTGGGATGTTCCTTCCGGTTTTGGACAAGAAGCTCCCCCTTCTTTGAAGATAATTGTTGTGCTCCACCTGCTGCCTCCATATAACCTGTGACCAAACGGAAACTGAATAATGCAAAAGTTATTTAATCCATATAAAAGTGGAGGGAAAGCCAGTACTACCACTATACTAAGAAAAAAGGAATTTACGGTAAGTAAAATTACTTTTTTCCTCTCGTATAGTGGCAGTACTTACAAGTGGGATATAGCAAGATCCCTGCAAACAAAAAGGGTGGTGACTCAGAAAGCCACTGCCTGTAGCACCTTACGCCCAAAAGCCGCTTCAGAGGATGAGAATATGTCCAGCCTATAATGTTTAATAAAGGTATGCAACGACGACCAAGTAGCTGCTTTGCAGATGTCTTCAGGTGAGGCAGCTGCTCTTTCAGCCGAGGAGGTTGCCATAGCCCTAGTGGAATGAGCCTTTAATGGAAATATAAGTGGAATCCCTTTGGATTGATAAGACAACCTGATGGGATTGGTCAGCCATCTGGCTAAAGAGGGTCTGGAGACAGCATAAACCTTGTTAGTGCCTTGAAAGGAGACAAAGAGATGATCTGAGGTCCTAAACCCCTGAGTCTTCTGAAGGTAGACCTTCAGGGCTCTTCTGACATCAAGGAGATGCCACTTTCTTTCAAAATCAGATGCAAGAGACTGGCAAAAAGCAGGCAGAATAATAGGTTGGTTCATAGAAGCACTTGAGATAACCTTGGGCAAAAAAGGCGGCCTGGGGTGCAGGACAACTTTATCTTGATGAAAAACGGTGAACTCAGGAGAGGAAGATAGAGCCCGGATCTCACCTATCCTCCTAGCTAAGGTGATAGCCACCAGGAATGCCGTCTTGAAGGTAAGCAGTTTAATGGGAACCTCCAGTAATGGTTCAAAAGGTGGTTCACAAAGGGCTTGAAGCACCAAGGACAAATCCCAGGTAGGGAAAGGGACTAACATGGGAGGCCTCTTCAGCCGCACGGACTTAACAAACCTTCAGATAAGCAAGTCTGAGACAATGTCACGAACCAGGAAGTGACTTACAGCTGAAATCTGGCCCTTGAGAGTAGAGACCCCTAGGCTAACTTCAAACCCATACTGCAAAAAAGAAAGAATTTCCAGGACTGATGCAGGATCCGACCTCGAACGGAACACGAGGCTCTGAACTTCATCTAAACCCTGAAATAGTTCTTGTTGTGGACAAGTGGACTGAAGACAGCAGAACGTCACATAATCGGTTTGAAAGACCATGTCCATGGAGGATCAACCTTGCAGCAACCATGCCGTCAGGTGGAACATTTCCAGGGTTTCTATGGGAAGAGTCACACGCTCTATCATGTTGGAATAGTTTGGGAGAGACCAACGTGAGATGGTCATGTTTTCCACTTCTGAAAACCAACTCCTGTTCGGCGAGAAGGGCAGGACGGCTAGAATTCTTGCCTTCTCCCATCTTATCTTCTGAACTATTCGTGGAATAAGAGCTACAGGAGGGAAAACATAAGCCATGTCGAAGTTCCAAGTGATCGAAAGACCGCCTAAAATATCTGGGTAATCTCGTGCTTGGAGAGAAGCAAATCTCTGCACTTTTCTGTTTCTGCTTGTGGCCATCAGGTCTATATCCGGCCTGCCGAAGCGGGTAACCAGCTCCAAGAAAACTTGGTTTGATAGTGACCAGTCTGCCTGAGACCAATGACACCTGCTGAGGTCATCTGCAATAATGTTTAGAGAATCTGAAATGGGTAGCTGAGATTGCGAGAAGTTTCGCTTAGGCCCAAGACTTGATGCGATAGCAGAGGTCTTGTAGAGCTTTCACCCTTGTGCCTCCTTGGCGATTTAAATAAGCCACTGTAGTGGCGTTGTCTGACTGAATCCCCACTGCCTGATTGGTGATGACTGAACTGAAGGATTTTAGTGCCTTCCATACCGCTTTCAACTCCCTGAAGTTTGAGGAAGCATTTGCCTCTTCACTGTTCCAAAGACCTTGATGGAACTGAGATCCTAGATGGGCGCCCCAACTCGTCTGGGAAACATCTGTGGTTATCGTAATCCACTGTTTTTGTGCAAACAAGAGGCCTTTTGAAATGTTGCTTCTTTCTTTCCACCAGTTCAGTTGTTTTTTTTACCACTTTGGATAGGTGAAAGGCAGAGTCTAGATCCTCCTGTCTTCTTGACCACTGTGAAAGAATGTCCCATTGCAATGGTTTTGATTCTGCCTTTGCCCAAGCTACTGCTGGGATTGCAGAAGTGAGGAGGCCCAGTAACCTCATAGCATCTCTGATGGAGCTTGGGTTTTCCTGCAGACTTGACACATATTTGAAAATCCTTCTTTGTTTCTCTATTGGAAGAAAAAGAGACAGGGACTGTGATTCTACCCGAAGACCCAAGAATTCCAGACTCAATGAAGGAATCAACTTGGATTTTTTTTTAGGTTTAGGAGCCAACCGTGTTCTTTCAAACCTTCATAGCGATCTTGAGATGATAGCTTAGAAGCTGTTCTGATTGGGCTTTCAAGAACCAATCGTCCAGGTACGGAACAATTGAGATACCTTTCAGGCGTAAAGCTGCTGCTATGGGTGCCAGGATTTTCGTAAATACCAGAGGAGCCGATGACAGGCCAAAGGGTAGAGCCTTGAATTGAAAATTGAGAATTCTTCGCCTTCCTGTCAAGACTGCAAATCTGAGGAACTTCTGGGAAGATTCTGATACCGGAACATGTAGGTAAGCATCTTTTAGATCTAACTTTGCAATGCAACCCCCTTTTTGTAAGATGTGTGTGACAGACAGAATATTTTCCATACGAAACCTTTGATACGGTATGCAGGTGTTGACATGTTTTAGGTCTAGGATAGGCCGAAAGGATCCATCTGGTTTTTGAACCAGGAACAGGCGGGAGTACACTCCCTGAAATTTCCATCGTTTGGGTACCTTCTCTACTACATCTTTCCTTAAAAGGATAAGGGCTTCTGTTAGCAGTGTCTCTGATTTCTTTCTTGATGGATAGCTTGACAGTAGGAAGGATGGTTGTGGTTGCCGTAGCCCTAGTGGAAAACTTGATTCTGTAACCTTCTGAAACTGTTCTTAGAATCCAACCGTTTGATGTACTCTTTTCCCATTCGTGGGCGAAGAACCGAAGGCGTCGTCCTACTCTTTTGGCGTAAAAATTTTCTCTTTTTGTCTTGCCTGTTGGAATCCTGTCTAGACCACTGACTGCTATTTTCACCATATTTTTGAAATCTCCCACGTTTCGTAGGCTGCTTCTCCTGAATAGCCGGTTCTTTCTTTACAGCATCTTTAAAAGATTCAAATGTCTGGGACAAATTTTCCTGAAACCAGCACAGGAAGGATGACATCAGTCTGCTTGGCTTTTTCTAGCAATTCCGTAGAGCACTGATTGCATGTCTTTTTGCGACATCCGTCAGGTAGAGGCACAGCACATTCCAGACAACCTAAGTGTTTAGATTTGCTTGTGGCTTTTTTAGGAACAGATGCTGACATCTTGTCTTTATCTGCCTTATCTGGATATATAGGACTGGACATATCTGGCAAAAAGGAAAAAACACCAGTAATTATATATAGGAGCGTGCAATAGTGATAGGTGACAAAAGGAGAGTTTTAAAAGTTAAATCTCACCTCAAACCACCTTAGAACCGTGTAGGAGGGCTGGTGACATGGATAACCAAGACTGTACACACCCACCCTTGGGGTCATAAAGTCCTGCACAGCTTTATATGCCACCAATTTTTGAACTTGGCGCCAAAAACGCGAACACAGTTTTGTGCATGTGCAGTAGCGCGATTCGGTGCACGGTGAAACACACCGCCTCCCGGGCGTGCGTTCCACCACTGTGCGCATGTGTATTGCTCCATGGTGGAAGGTCCACCCGGGAACTCCCAGAGACGCCACAAATAGCGAGGTATCCAGTCGCATTCCGTAACGCCAACCTGGAAGTACTGTTGCCGCTCAGTTCCCGCCCGGGGAGCTATCATTTTTCACCTCCCCACCATTCTCCACCTGGACCTGTGGGGAACTTGTCCGTCCCATTGCCGGGACAAGAAGAACTGGAGTTATACTCTGGCTCACAGGTTATATGGAGGCAGCAGGCGGAGCACAACCGTTATCTTCAAAGAAGGGGGAGCTTCTTGTCCAAAACCGGAAGGAACATCCCACTTGTAAGTACTGCCACTATACGAGAGGAAAACATAGTATTTATGGATCACATATCTGGTACAATAAGATAAATTAGTTAGATGCTTATAAGGCAGTATGTCCAGTACTTGAGCCTAGCAGTGAAGATACACAGTACTGTACTGAGCAGACAATGCTACACAGATTGTGAAATCCATTGGAACCTTAAAAGAGGCTGAAAATGGTAAACGGTAAGCATTTCAATAACCACCAAAAGGTTTGTTGAAAGCAGTTAGGACCATTTTGTTGTACATGGGTACAACAAAATGGTTCTCAAAACTATTCCACCGTACCAGTATTTTTTTCCAGGAGGCAAAAAAAACTAGCAACCATGTAACAGAGAACGTGATCTAGAATTCAGAGTTTAATGTCATTGATTACCACTGGATACTCCGTTAAAAAAAAGAAGCTATTTTTGGGGAAAATAGGTGTAAAAGGCCTAATAGATATAGGTAGGAGGAACAGAAATTTAAGGTTGGAACTTCTCTTCTGCTTATATCTCCTAAATTGTTTTATGTACCCGTGTGATGTGCGGGAATCCGTGTCGGAATCCATGTTGATATTTGAGCTTATGTCACAAATAAGGATGGTATTAATTTTTCTATTGATGTATGAACCATATGATATGGAAATTCAGTATAAGGCAAGAGGCAGACCAATATAATGTCTGAAACATTAAAGCTTTGTAATTCAATGCAGCCAATCTAATATTTTGATAAAATCCTATTAGTCTAAGGAGTGATTACTTTTGGGTTAATTTGGGGGTTTTCACAGAGGGTTCCCCCCAGTGTTTAAGGTACAATTCGGGTGCCTTTTATGGAAACAGACAATCCATCCCATGAATGTATAGTCTGTTTCTTCTCTTGTGGTTACAGAGTGGGAAACAAATGTATACATTTAGCAAAAAAGCTGCAGAAGTCAGGTGCCGATCTTGTCAGCCGTTAATTTGCTGAGAGCATCAGCTGGGCACACTTTGCTAGTGAACGTCATTTTTTTGTATAGAAATATGCACAAAATTGACATTAGCTGGCCCGTACCTTTTGTTCCAGAATGGCTAATGACACTGTCAGAGTTGGAGGTACAACTCTGACAGCAAAGGGGTTAAACTCTACATGTGCAGAGTTTTGTAGCAAAAAGCTTCACATGCAGACTACAAGCACTGTGATCACTTCAAATCACGGCATAAGTCACAGTGCTTGGAGTAACCCTTTAACATAACTCCTATTCCAAGTAGTTATTGTATTTGGGTTGGCAGGACCAAAAGGACTATTTATGTGCCTCTTTTATGGTTTAAAATGCAGTTCCCATCTTATAGTTCTCTGATCAGGAAATCCTGGCCAGTGTGGCTGATGTTGAGTGTACCTTTTCCCACAGGAGAAACACACTGCTACACGTCCTGGAACTTTACTGCAGATAGGCTGTCTGGCTGTGAAGCACAAGAGCTGGCCGGCAATGTCAGGAGTGTCTGCTGTTGCTCCTTCCCCAGGTGACCATAATGTACGTACCTTGCAGGTTAGGTCAGCTTTTAGATGGTATCTTCAGACTTTCATATTTCTCCTTTGTTAGGTTAATCTCCAGTAATCATACAGTAATTTGTTTCCATCTCCCTCAGCAATTTTCTAAGTATAACAGAGTCCACCTCGCACCATGGCTGGGTGAATGCCCAACACTGTTTCTTACTGAGTCACTGTAGTCCTCATGTTTACTTCACCCTGTCTTTATGTAACATCTTGAATAAAGATCCTGCTTGTTGTTCAATAAGAGTTGTTTTACCCTTGTATTTAGGGTATGGGGTTGGGAGAGCTATTTATCATTCCATCCAGTGGTTCGCTGGTGTTTGTCAGATAGCTTTGAATGAGCTCAGGCTACCATGTGAGTAGCAATGACTGTTGTTGCAGTAGCTCCTGGAAGTCCCTGGTGGAACAGAAACAGTAGCATGTTCAGTTCTGCAACCAAAGTTAGGGACCAAGCACCCGGGTTGTGTTTGCCATGGATTCTACCTATTAGAAGCTTTAACATATTATATGTGATAGAAATGTTATATGGTGGTTGGTACCTTCAAGTAGATGTGTCTATTCTGGCAAAGATACTTTGACAATGGAAGGTCTTTTCAAGACAATTTTTCTACTATCTACATCAATGTTTCCCAAAAAATTCCTCAAAACCACCAACAGTCCAGGTTTTTACTCCATTGTAGTAAAACAGGGAAATACATAAATCCTGGATTGTTGGTGGGCCATAAGGACTGGTTTGGGAATCACTGATCTACACGATGGTTGCTTTGTGCATGAAATGTCTGAATATTATGCTACAGTGCATTTTTATGCAGGGAAGATGAATATTGTGTTGGAAAAGTTCCTTGGGCTAAAAAGTAGTTTTTGTTCGGGTAGTTAGAGGATATGAAATTAGGAAAAGGGAATTTAAGGAAGTCAAAAGTCTTCAGTGTATTTTTTTTTTAACCCCTTAAGGACACATGACATATGTGACATGTCATGATTCCCTTTTATTCCAGAAGTTTGGTCCTTAAGGGGTTAGATATATTTTGGTTAGGGTATTAATTGGAAAAATTGTCAGTGAAAGACTTTGTATGAATGTGGAATGTAAAATTGCAAAACATGAAAATTTGAATGTACGTTTTACAGGTGGTCCACCTCATTTTATTCATACAGTTAGAGACTATTCTGCCAATGTGACAAGCAAACAGTGTTCAGCTAATGAGGGTGACTATAAATTTCATCACATTATTATACATATATCCAGTATGTGTCATTAGTATTTAACTGGAAGGAACATAATTACAAAGAAAAAAATAGCTTAATGAGATATGTAATGGATACACGACATTATTCCATTTAATCTGTCATTAGTCTTGTCTAATTGTTAGATTATAAATTCAGCAAAAAATAATGTGAGGAAACTTTGAAAGAATGCCAATCAACAAAAAACCCTTAACTGTAACTATGGCATACTCAGCGCTACTTGATAGAGGAGGAAGGGATTACATCCAATGAGAACAAATGAGTTACCAAAAGTTATTCAGTTTGTTTAGTCACTGAACCTTTTTGTTAGCAATCCGTTCATTTGGAAGACTATATTGATACATGAAGGTGAATGGAATATTGTGTTCCTGAGAGGAACAAAATGAGCCCTTTTGAATACAGGAAACAATTGAGACCAGTTTTAAAAATCCTGTAGCACAAGGCACCATACTTTATGCCTGAACAATCACAAGGTGATCATTAACTAATGAGTTAGCTCCACCTACTCACAGCATAAAGGGTAGTAAATTAAACTCTGATGATTGTATAATTAGCTCGACCACTTTACTCTGTTGTTCACTGACAAATGGCCTATTTTCCCTATTTCCCTTTCTCAATTGGAGAACTTGCAGTGCCATATTGCTACCATTGCTATGCACGCAGGTGAATAACTAGTTTGTATGTATTATTATTATTATTGCCATTTATATAGCGCCAACAGATTCCGTAGCGCTTTACAATATTATGAGAGGGGATTTAACTATAAATAGGACAATTACAAATAAACTTACAGGAACAATAGGTTGAAGAGGACCCTGCTCAATCGAGCTTACATTCTATAGGAGGTGGGGTGAAAAACACATTAGGACAGGAATTTGCAATCAAATAAGGTGGGCTGCCCTTTAGGAGAGGGCAAGAGACGGGTATGTGAGGTAGGGGTTAGTCTTGGAGGCCATAAGCTTTCCTAAAGAGATGGGTTTTAAGGCACTTCTTAAAAGATGCAAGACTAGGGGAGAGTCGGATGGCGGTAGGCAGGCTATTCCATAGGAAGGGAGCCGCCCGCGAGAAGTCCTGCAAGCGCGAGTTGGCCGTACGGGTGCGGACAACGGACAGGAGGTGGTCACGGGCAGAGCGGAGAGACCGAGAAGGGACATACCTGTGGATCTGTGAGGAAATATAAGAGGGGCTAGAGTTGTTCAGTGCTTTGTAGGTGTGAGTTAGTGCCTTGAATTGACTCCTATAGCACACAGGAAGCCAATGTAAGGACTGGCAGAGGGGTGAGGTGAGAGAGAACCGACTAGAGAGGAAAATCAGTCTAGCAGCAGCATTCATTACAGACTGTAGGGGTGCAGTACGGCTTTTGGGAAGACCAAGCAGGAGAGAGTTACAATAATCCATGCGTGAAATTATTAGAGCATGGACAAGCTCCTTGGTAGTATCTGGTGCAAGAAAGGGGCGGATGCGGGCTATGTTTTTAAGATGGAATCTACAGGATTTGCCAACATGCTGGATGTGAGGCTCAAAGGTGAGACCAGAGTCAAGTATGACGCCAAGACAGCGCGCTTGCAAGGATGGGCTGATGTTGGTACCACAAACTTGAAGGGAGAGCGAAAGAGGAGGATCAGTATTAGGAGGAGGAAAGACAAGGAGCTCAGTTTTTGAGAGATTGAGTTTCAGAAAGCGGGAGGACATCCAGTCAGAGATGGAAGAAAGGCAAGCAGTGACACGTTGCAGGACAGCAGGGGAGAGGTCCGGGGAGGAGAGATATAACTGGGTGTCATCAGCGTACAGGTGGTAGTGGAATCCAAATGAGGCAATAAGTTTGCCAAGAGAGGCAGTGTAAAGAGAAAATAGAAGGGGACCAAGGACGGAGCCTTGGGGGACTCCAACCGAGACAGGGCATAATACCTCTGATCTGAAGATTCAGCAGGACTTGGTTGCTTGGGAGTGCTGGGTGTTAATGCTGTTTTAAGGGGCCCAGTCTCTGCTCTGAAGATTCAGCAGGACTTGGTTGCTTGGGAGTGCTGGGTGTTAATGCTGTTTTAAGGGGCCCAGTCTGAAATATAAGGTCTGGGTTAGAAAAAAAATATGAAATAAAACACACTGTTATGGGTGGGGAGACATGGGGCTATTGAGGTAATTAATTAGAGATGAAAAACTAAAAGGAGAGAACATTTGGGATAAAAAGATAGGAAGGATCAGATAGGTGAAAGTCATAAACCATGAACATAAATTTACTATATTATCAGTGAGAGTAGTAACACTAGCTAAACAAACAAACAATTAACAAAGTCTAAGAGAATGAACATAAAATGACATGATCATACCAGCCTTAAGAAAAACAAAAACAGAAGATCAGGATGGGCGATATAGTTATCAATTGAGTAGTGATAGTATAGGGAGGGAGATGGAATAGAACACCGTTTGAAAATAAGAGTTTAAAGGAAACAGTAATGCAGGTATTCTTGAGTTGATCTTCCAGAGAAGATACCTCTGCTCTGAAGATTCAGCAGGACTTGGTTGCTTGGGAGTGCTGGGTGTTAATGCTGTTTTAAGGGGCCCAGTCTCTGCTCTGAAGATTCATGTAGTTCATAATGCCACTACCCAGGCCCGCAGAAGCAGGTCAGACTTATGATGATCTCAGAACAGTGTTACATTGTAGATCCGTGTTCTAAATGATTAGGATTACGAGAGGGAAATGGAACAGCTATGCAAGTTATTGTAAAGTGCTGTGGAATAAGTTGCCTCTATATAAACAATAATAGTGCATGTGTTATGTTTTCAGTTACTCTTAATCTCAACTGGCCTCACCTTGATGCCAGGCTGTCTGATGGGATTAAAAAAATATACCTAGCAAGCCATTGTAAGGTGTTTAACCAGCACAGTGGGAGGTGGGATTGAGTTAACAGTGTCACATCCTGCCTATTGTAAGCTTAAAGGACCACTACAGTGCCAGGAAAACGCTTGTTTTCCTGGCACTATAGTGCCCGCCAGGCTCTGGGGAGAGGAAGGGGTTAAAATCTTACCTTTCGCCAGCGCCAGGCGCCCTCCTCCTCCTCTTTGGCTGAATGCGTGGCATTCATAATGCTTTTCTATGGACGCTTGCATCTTCTCACTGTGATTTTCACAGTGAGAAGCACTCAAACGCCTCTAGCGGCTGTCAATGAGACAGCCACTAGAGGCTTTAGAGGCTGGATTAACCCAATTATAAACATAGCAGTTTCTCTGAAACTATGTTTATTAAAAAAATTTTTAAAAAAGGGTTAACCCTAGCTGGACCAGGCACCCAGACCACTTCATTAGGCTGAAGTGGTCTGGGTGCCTAGAGTGGTCCTTTAAAGTCAAGGAGACCCATGGTATTGCAAGAGCTGGCTCTGACTATTTTCCCACTGTAATTACTGAACTTGAATACTCCTCCCTGTTTTATGCAAACAATTGTCTTGCCTGTTTATGTAGAAAAGGCTGTCGTGCTCATATAGTAAAGCAGTACATTGGAGTTCAGTTTTACATCAAGAAATAGCGTGCTTTTTTATTTTATTTTTTTTTATTTTTATTTTTTTTACTATTTACGGTCTGCTATAGTGCAATCGCTCATAGGAGAATCACTAGTAATTTTTAGTTAGATAAAATATCCTGTATTACTCTGAGTAACTCTGCAGTGTATCCTGCTTTGCCGGGGGATTAGCAACTTAAGTAGCAGGGCCCTAGACCTCAGGGTAGAAATTCACCAGGTGAGCTAGCAGAAGTTTCCTCAGGCAATACAAGGTCTGAACTTTTATGCCTTTGGGAACATATGGCAGGACCGTATTGCTTCCAACTGAATTGCCAGCGATGAGAGACACTGCGATTGCTAGAGGAAAAAATACAGACTAATGCAAAAGATCCTATGGGCAATACTAGGCCTGAACTGGTTCACCTTCAGGGCCAGAGATGTATTGTCACATTCACATGTTCAAAGATGCTCATATTGTCTCTTGAATGAGATGGCTTTGGTTTTTAAGGTGCATTAGGAATCCTTTAGATTAGGTTGTTTATTTTTCAAAACCCCATTTCCTGGTGCAACACAGGTCTGCCTCAATCCGGCTGTTTAGCCAGACCGTTGCTCACTGCGGCTAGACTTCATTGACAAGATTTCAGATCTGGGCTGTTTTACAGTAGTTTAAGTTTGATATCCAAATGGTATAGATTATCTGTGTAATGACACTAGGCTATCGAAAACTAGCTTCAAAACGGCATAGGGAAGGGAAAGCTAATTTTTTTTTTTTTATTAGTATTCTTTTTTGCTTTGTTTTTATTTTTTCTATGCTCACTTATCCAGACCTTGCAATGTTTATATCGAGCAATGGTGTACAGGACTTAAAAATAAAAGCCGGAAGATTTTATATGACTACTACTAACAGTTTGCAGACTGTTGCTCTCAGTACATTCATTTTTACATACTACGGTTATTTTAGTCTTGCTAGCAATTTTCCATGTTTAATATCCTTACAGGTGAGACATTGGAGGAGACTGTTCGGAGAGAGGTGGCAGAGGAAGTTGGGTTAGAAGTAGACTCTCTTAGATACTACGGATCTCAGCACTGGCCATTCCCTAGCAGTTCTTTGATGGTGGCCTGCCAGGCAACCGTGCAGCAAGACAAGGTGAATATATTCTCACTTTCCAGGATTTCAAGGTTTACTTATCCTCTACATTTAACAAATATGTATTTGTGGAGTGTGAATAAAAATAAAAAAAAAGTTTAAATCTATACCGCTTTATCCTGCAACTTAGTACCTTTATCTTAGATTCTTTTCAATCATTGTTATAGAAAGACCTGTCCTTTTCACCTGGCAGATATTTGCAATGTTTGTCCAGGATGTGACAGACTGAACTAGATTGTTTTACAATTTGCCAAATGTTTAAAATAAATGTAGTGCTTACAGTGCCCCTCTAAAGGGACACTTATGGATAAGTTGACCATATTTGTAATGCACTATATAAATAACACACACCAAAAACATGCAACATACAATTTAAAGGGACACTATAGTCACCAGAACGTATAGAACAGCTTATTGTATTTGTTCTGGTGAGTAAATCATTCCCTTCAGGCTTTTTGCAGTAAACACTCTCGGTTCAGAAAAAACACAATGTTTACATTACAGCCTAGGAATACCTCAACTGGCTGCCTCTCAGATGGCTATTAGAGGTGCTTCCTGGTGCAGTGTGACTTACATTCACTGTCTCCACCCTCTGTATGGAGAAACTGAACTTTACTCAGAGATGCATTGATTCAATTCATCTCTGAGGAAATGCTGATTGGCCAGGGCTGTGTTTGACTTATGCTCACTCTGCCCCTGATCTGCCTCCTTGACAGTCTCAGCCAACCCTATGGTAAAGCATTGTGATGGTGGATTTAATAGTATAGGTCAGGAATACATGTTAATGTTCCTGGCCCTAGAGTATTCCTTTAAGTTAATAATAAGGAAAAAAATCCCACTCCTGTGGAAGTTCCTAGATATGGAATTCTGCAGTGCGCTCTCCTCACCCAGGAAGTGGTGAACCTTTGCGTTAATCCCTGTACATTGTTCTATTTGTGAGGATATTCATTTAAAGGAACACAATCATGTGTTAAAATCACTATGTAGGTGGCTTGCCCCCCCCCCCGCCCCCCATCCCCCACCCCTTAGAAGGGGTTAAAACTTTCCTTATTTCCAGCATATGCTGGCCCGGTCCCTGATCCATTTACTTGGTGACATCAGAATTTACAATTTTTAGCCAATTCAATGCTTTCCCATTGGGAGAGGACTGGCTCAAATCGACAAGGAGGCGGGGCTAAACATCATTTTGGCCAATCAGCACCTCCATGCAGTGCTGCCTACTATGCAGCACTGCCCCCAGGAAGCACGTCCAGTGGCCATCTAAGGAGTGGCCACAGGAGGTATTGGGGCAATGTAAGCAAGCAGTGTTTGCATGAAAATGCAAACAGGGACTGATTATACTCACCAGAACAAATACATTAAGCTGTCATTGTTCTGGTGACTATGGTGTCCCTTCAACACATGTTTAGCAGACCAGTCATAGTATATGTCATCATTGTTTTAAATATGAAATTGCTTTGCCAGCTACAACACTGCATTATCTGGTTAAACAGATTTATTCTTGTTTTTGTGAATATTACAAGACATTCATGTGCATCTCTGGTGCACATGCTTGCTTATAGAAAGCTATGAGAACACCTGCTAAAGGAGATGGTGACACTCCAATGAAGAAGCCTTGGCACCTTACCAGTGTAATTATCAAACCATTTAAGATGAGTTTGACAACTTGTATATGATCAACCAGGCACCTGCTGTTATTTCTTCTTCAAACTGAAGCTATATTACAAGTACTTGTGTGACCATGGGAAGCAGAATTTATATATTTGAGTGGGCCAATAGCTGCAGCAGTTGTTGCAAATCACAGATATAAGTTACAGATTGAAGGAAGACAGGGAGAGATGAGGAGCTTCTTGCACAATGACCTCTCTGGCAGAATGTTATAACAATATATCTGGTTCTATCTTTCCAGCTGAATGTGAACAAGTCAGAACTCGAAGATGCCAGGTGGTTCACATTGGAAGAAATAGAAGAGGCTCTACAGAGGGGCATTGTGCATTTGAAACCAGAAAGTGGCACTATACCAATTTGGGTGCCACCTAAGTGGGCAATCGCTCATGAATTGATCACTTCATGGGTACAGGAGCAGAAAGCTCATTCAAATGGATAATGAACAGATGGGCAAAGCTGCTCTTTTTAGCAAATAAAACGTTTTAACATCATTTAAAGTTCACAGTTGGGGTTCTTCAGTATTGATTTTACTTGTAAAGCTTTATTATATACATTTACTCATGCATAAACAATGATGGTAGATATTTAAGAATGGAGGACTCAATAACACCCAAGGCCAACGGCTTCACCAACAGCCAGATGTACTGTCAAAAAAAAAAAAAAAATTGTCCTTTACAGTCCTTGAAAAAGAATGACCATTATTAAGGTGCCAAAGAAATTGGTGACATTTCAGCCCCTCAAAATCTTTATTTGGCACCTTAATATAGGATTACTCTTTTCCAAGGACTGCGCTGGACAAACTTTTTTTTTGCGCTATGGGATGTACCATTTGCCCGTCCTTGCTAGGATATATTTGTGTGTCTGTGTGCATGAATGCATTTGTGGGCAGTGCTCACCTTTAAATGAAAGTGGTTCTGTTTATGAATTGAACCTGCATTCAAGTGCCAACACATTCCACATTGTTAGGGGATTAGAGGGGACTCCCCTTTTTTCAGCCTTGTACTTTTTATAAATATTTATTTTTTGTGGCAGCTTAGCGCAGACTCCTTTCTTTAATTTCAATTCACATATACACTACCACATATGAATTCAGTTCAAAGAGATACACTTACTAAAGTGAGAATTGCTGGGAATTCTGAATTTCAAAATTAAGGCCAAAATAGCTAAACTGGAAAAGCCCCATGTTAAATATGCTTTCATTTATATTATTTTTACCTTAAAATGTGAAATTCACTTTGAATTCTAAGCAATTCTCATCTTAATGAATAATCCTGTATGTCTCAGCCTCTGAGTCCACCTGTGTTCTGCATTGTGAATCACACTGCACATGTCTCTTTTGGGCGACAGTGAGACTGGCTACAAATGAGTGGCCAGCCTCTGTCTGATGCATGGTAAGAACTGGGGATTAGCCAAAGCTGGGTGTCCTCTCATGCAGAGTGTGATGATGTTCAGCATCAGGTGACCAAGAGTCACCTAGCAAGCAGGAAGTGCCTGTCGCAGTATTAGTCCTACAATTAAATTATTGCAGTTTCTGGTTTAATTTAGAGGTAACAAGAGCTTAAAGATTGACTCTGAATACTATAACCACTACAGCTCATTAAAGTGATTATAGTTCTATCCTAAGTTTGGAGTGTTTTAGACAAAGAAGAAAAAGGGGAAAAAAATTAGAGCTCTCCCAGGCACTCAGAGACCATCTCCCTCTTCAACTGACACTGCCTATGATTGCCTTTCAGGTTGGACAGAACTGCACTTAAAGCAGCACTGTCACAATCTGGGGACTTTATAGAATTCACAAAGATCTTTGGCAATGATATCGATGCTGGGGGTCTAATGGCCAGGAGTTCTACTTACCTGCACCCGTCCCTCGCAGGCCATTTTCTGTCCTCTTCAGTGCCGAGGTCACTGTACATGCCACAAGATCTTCCATAGACAGCAAATTCCTTGCGCCTGTCACAAGAGACAGCTGGGGTGATTGACACTTCTACACAGTAGTCCTGGAGTTAACAAAGCTTCCTGGGACTCATGCTCAGCCCTCTGCTTCAACATATACTACTACACCACAGCATGTATTTATTTAGATTTTATTGACTCACATATAAAAATATTACAAATAACAGGAAAATTATATTGAACCTTTTGCTTTTCTTGAGAAAATATATATGTTACCAGAAGAAATAGGATTAGGTGTCTAAAGCCTTTATACATAATCTGCACTAAATATATTTTACATACATAGCCATAGCTTTTAAAATGAGATGTTATTCAAGAACTAAGTGTATTCAATATTAAGCCCCAGAGAATCTTGCACATTTTCTCAGTGTGAAACTTCATATTTAAATCTTACCAGATTTAGGATCCCTTAAAAAGAAACGCACATAGGGGTCAGGTAACCAAGATGAAATCCTCTAGGAACATAAAAAGTGAGTTTGGATAGTATACATTTGAAGACTTTTCACCGGTTTCGTCTCACAAGTTTACATTGTTGTGAATAATACTGTGGTGTATGATTTGAGATAAGATGTGATAAATAAGGGCTTTTCATTTGAGGTTGATTGTGGAAAATGTTCACCTTGAAACTCTTAAATATTATACCTACAGTTTATGATTTAGATCAATCAGTGCAGGATAGTGTCTGCAGGTGTGTTGTGGTCCGTATTGTCAGGTAGATGGACTCCCATACTCTGTAAGAGATTTGATGCGGGGCCTGCCAGTCCAGCCTGGGAACTGTATGATTCAAGCAGATTTGTCACCAGATTTAAATCTACATCCACTGGGGCAAAGCATGGTTCTTCAGTAGAAAGGTCTTCCTCCGGGTTAACTTGGTCGGTTGTAGAGGTTCCTGCCTCTGCAGACTGTCTCTGTTCAAAAGAGAAAGTGTTTTAGGATATTTGCCATTTCATGGAATTAATACAGTTATTACTCCAATATTCCATTGTAATGGTGATCATAATGGTTCTCTCCAGGGATATTTATCAGAGAAAGTTTAAAATCCTGCAATGCCTTAAGTAGGTTCCCAGTTTGAGGGGGTTATGAAAATGCACACATAAAAGGTTAATGCATTCCAAAATTATCTGATACACACATGCATAGCTAAAATTCTTAGTGCCATCTAGTCAGGTTTTCCTGTTCACAGTGTAACTCACTGGCATGGTGTGTAATCTAAAAATAACAAGAACAAGGAAGGACACCCACCCAGACGGAGTAAGGATCAGCATACTTTAAAGGGACTCTCAAGTGCCAGGAAAACAAACCCGTTTTCCTTGCACTGCAGAATCCTGAAGTGTCCATCTCCCTACCACCCCCCAATCCCATGTTAAAAGCCCTTCAGTGACTTACCTGAATCCAGCACCGATGTCCCTCAGTGCTGGGTCAGGCTCCGCCCACGCTCCTCAATTATTTAATGCTTTCCTATGGGGGTTCAGACGACGCTGGAGGTCATCATGCATAGCGTGAGGATGTCCAGCACCATTCAAAACACTTTTCGTGTTTTAAGAACCCGGAAGTCCCTCTAGTGGCTGTCTTATTGACAGTCACTAGAGGAGGACTTAACCCTGCAAGGTAATCATTGCAGTTTATAAAAACTGCAATAATTACACTTGCAGGGTTAAGGGTGATGGGAGTTGGCACCCAGACCACTCCAATGGGCAGAAGTGGTCTGGGTACCTGGAGTGTCCCTTTAATGTAGGATAGATCCTTACTGTTAGGTGGATTCCCTTGTTATTGTTATTCTTAACTTATAGGGTCCAACCCAGGATAGTCTGATACCATCCATATGGACAAATCACCCTGCTGAACTCTTAGTTTCATATGAAAATATATTGTATCTCACCTTTGTCTTTGTTGTGAAACTTTTCCCAATATTTGTCTGAGCCAATTCTTGATCCATAACATCCATGTAGGACCGCAGACTACCTAAAGCTTCAGATGTAGGTGGTATTCCCTCGTCCTCATCACTATCCAACAATTCAAAGTCTTCTTCTGAGTCTAGATCATCTGAATCCAACTCCTCTGGACTAGACCCTATGAATTGGGATCAGTGCATTTGAAGAAGAACATGTAGATAAAGATTTAAAGTGAACTTTGTAAATATTACTTTTAAAACCATACATGAAATGATTAGTATAAACACAAGAAGACTATAGAATACATAAACACCACCTATTTAGATGTAAAACATTTAATTGGCAAAATCTATTGTCAAATCATTCAATCGACACCCCTGAAAATTGACACTAAAGCCATTCTAATACCACTTCAACGTACTGCTACCACTTCCAGAGGCTGAATACTGCAGAATGAAACTTCCACATTATTTGAACTGCAGAAGAGGGCCTGGTTCTTTTTGGACCCACCTAATGTGCTTGGGGGGAGGGAGAGAAACACAATGACAATTGCCTGCTTCAGTCTAAAGAAGAGAAAGGGCTTTGGTATCAATTAATTCAATGGAGGAACGGTTAAGCTTTGTTGCACTATATTTTGCACCACGGTGGATTTGATTTAAATCACTAGTCAGAAAGATTCAATTTAAATGGCTCATTCTTGCTGCTCATAATTTTAATATTTTCTCTGATGCATCTGACTTTTGCAGAGCTACATAAGGTAGATGTAGATTCCACTGGTCATTCATTTTTGCTGAGAGCGTCAGCTGAGTGTTCTCAGCCAATGAATGACCCTCTGTACAAACAATATGCATAGAATTGACATTAGCCAGCCCGGAACTCTTGTCTTAGCTCATGACAGATAAATGCTACAGCTGGAGGCGGAGTTAAACCCATGACAGCAATATAAAATATCTCAGAATGTGCAGAATTTCAAACTGAGAAGCTGCACATACAGAAGCACCATGACCACTTCAAATCACTGAAGTGGCCATGGTGGTTGGAGTAACCCTATACGGTGGTGTTCATTTTGTGTACATAGATTTGCAGAATAACAATGGGATTAAGGTATTTTTCTGAACTTTGTATGTTTATAACATTTCATTGTAAAAAAGGTGCATGTTTGCTCTACAGCCACAAGTTCAATTAACTTGTAATAATGTAATTTATTTGCATGAACATACAGCCTCATGCTACATAAATAGTCCCTGTTTCATGCTGAATAACTATTGGACTATATAACCTCCAAAAGCATTTTATTAAAATAAATCATTAAAACATTTAAAAAAAAAAAAAAAAATCTGAAATCTGATTTATTGGATTTTTGTTACAAAAAATAAATAGATTTGCATTCACCCTGTTTTTCATGCACTATTCTGGGGCAAGGCCATACAATTGCAGCAATGCTCCACTTTTATAATATATTATATCTCCCATACTAAAAGCATCAAATCCAAATTAAACAGTAAAAGTTCAACAATAGAAAATCTTAGAGAAAAGGAATCCATCAAAACTTACCCAAAATTTTTTGCAAGGCTCTTTTAAAAGAGTCTAGATCGAAAGTAATTGGAGTTTCAGGCAATTCCCTGGTTATAAAGGAAAAAATAAATAAATCGGAAGAATGAGGATTAAAAAGGAATAAAAAGCAAAAAATATATATATTAATAATAATAATAATAATAATATATATATACACACACACACACACACACACACAATATTTAGTAGCTTTGCACTCTCCTTACTGATGCAAAAACAAAACAAGGCCTAGGTGCTACCCGTGTTCAAAATATAAAGTCAGGGGTGATTATATATATATAAACACATTTTGGAAACTGGTAAAACAACCAGATGCAACGTCTCCAACAGTGTTATTCACAAACGTCAGAACACCCACAGTCTGGATTAGCAAAATATAATAGATTTATCAATGGCTATATTTTGCAAAGCAGCCAGATATCAGGCTGTCCAGATGCAATCCAACAGATAATATCTGGAACTGAATTATGGAAAAGTGTAACTGAATGGTCAAATTCAACAGAATTTGCCACTATCTGCCTGAAAGTCCAGTTCAACCAAATTTACAGAGTTTGGCAAAACCAAATCTGTAAGCAGATAGTGGCCAATTTAGATCATTCACTAGTGGGGCGGGAGTTAACTCCATAGATGGCATTATACTGTAATTCAAGCATCACATTTTGTTTCAAAATGCATTTAAAATCATATCATCAATATTATTCATTTAATATTTTAACCCTTTGCCTGCTTGTGACATACTGCAGATTATTTTACAAGTTTTGCAGGTGAATTTATTTATACAAAATTGCATTCTACAGGATTTTTTCAGAAGGAATGTAATTTAAATTCAGTGTTTGATAAATGTGCAAATCCTATAGTTTATATAGGCTCTATATGTGAGTATTTTATACCTGACATGAAATGGCACCAAGTGAGATATGCTCATTTAGGTGAAATGACCCAAATTCAACCGGACTTGCCCTCAGTAAATATGAAGAGCAAATCCAGATTAAATGTGTTTGTTTTTTTTGTGTTGTATTAGTATTATTATTATTATTATTATTATTATTATAAGTGATTAACATTTTTAATTTAAAAAAAAGAAAAAAAACACCCCAAATAAACTGGTTTCTAATGCGGCCCTATTTTTTTTAATTGACAAAGTACAGCAAAGATGTAATATAATATATAAAAAGTGTTATGTTTCTGATCATTTAAAACATACGTGATGTGTATATATAAAAACACACACACAAAAAACCTACCATGGTACCTCTGCTCCTTCATGTGATGAGACTTTTGATATGAATGCTTTCATGCTCTCTGTCACTTCGGATAAATCATATTTCTGCTCACTGATAGCGGAAGCAGGAACAGATTCCATGGGGCCTGCAGCCTCTTGTAAGATCTGCTCCAGTGTTTCCGGAGAAATATTCAACCAGCTGTCATCTTAAACAGACCAAATACATTAGCTCAGTGGGAATGTGATCAGGCAGACAGTACAGAAATTAGATAAATTGGCAATTTTATTGGATTTCATGCACCAACAGTGACCCTCTGCAGTGGGATTTCGTTCATATCTGATTAAGTCACATACTTTCCATACAACATTTGTTGCTGCTGAATCCATGGATGAGAAGGCTTGTGGAGAACAAAACTAATAAATGAAATTCTAGAGAATATAATGATTTTGGTTGCTATATTGTAAAGCGCTGCAGAACTAGTTGGCGCTATATAAATACCAATAATAATAATAATAATACATAGTTTCTAAAACATGTACATTGACTTATTAGCAAAGCGATACTGTGTTTAAGTGTACTAGTCATGGTACACACTAATTTAAAATAAGAGCAGAAAATGTAATCCGTATATTGTGTTGGCAAATGTACAGATTTTGATTTCAATAGCGGATGGTGACTTTTCACGTTGGTGGGGTGCCAGATTTGACACAGTCAAATACACATGTATTAAAATCTGTCCCTAAATATGTTACTCAAGTATAGGAATATGTGTATATGGCTCTTCTACCTCCAAATAAGTGCACAATACCATATATAGGGAATAAAACATATAGACCTTTTCCTATTTATGAGTAAAATAAATTGGCTATTTTGAGGCTAATCTCAAATTACAAGTGTAGAAGAGAGTTTAGCCACAAGATGCCACCAAAGGATTACTTTTAAAAAACATTTAACAGTAAAATGAAAATTTGATTTAATAGAAAAACATGTATATTGAAGCAGATAGCTCTGCATTCAGATTTTTAATTATACAATCTTCTAATGAGGAGGAGCAAGAGCTATCGACGGCAAGCCCCAGATGGTAAAGCGGTGCCCCCAGTCTTAAAGATAAGAATGCAGGAGGGAGCCAGTCCTTGGCTATGTAAGCATGGCGGCAGCACCTGGTAGTAAAGCAGTGCTTCCCACCAGCCTTTGTGTCTGTGCTGCTGCTGGAGGGGAAAAAGGGAGGGAGAGAGACACTTACTTCACAGTCCAACTGCACCAGAAGAAGTGGAGTCCTGACAACTCCAACTCCTGGTGTAAACAGCCAATCAGAGCCCGGTAGGCAGGCGCCTATTTAACGCCCTAATGAGCTCTATTACGATAGTGGTAATACTGTATTATGTATCCATCTGTCCTTTAAAACAATTATATGTGTTATGTATGGGTACATTCTAAAAGAAGGCATTACATTATGGTGTAATGTACACAAAGCTGCCAGCATCCCCACAGATATTTGGGATCGCAAACAGCTCTATTCTGCTAAATTTGCTGTTTTCAAAGTCCATCTGAGAGAAGACTATCATCTGGAGCTTTGGAAGTCTGATCCACCTGTAAAGGGAATTTAGCCCAGTAGGGGCTGACAAGCTTTTTAGCACAACTGAGATATATGTCTTTTTTGTGCCACTATATTTGTGAGTGTACCTATTTGTATTTATTATTTTTTAAACTGTGTTATTAAATACTTCACTATATGTTTTATTTTTTTATCATCTCTTTACATGGTTACACCTGTAACAAGTATGGTAACTATATTCACACGTTTGTGATTGTGGCGCCCCCATTGGAATATGTTTTTAACTATACTATATATCTATTTTTATTATATTATGGTGGTATGATAACAAAAGTCCCGAATGCATGGAATTTCAGAAAACCCTCAGATACTGAGGGGGGAAAAAAGCAATTATATATAGTCATGATTATTCACGAAAGTGTGATTTGTTAGGAATTCAAAGTCAAAGTTCAGATTTTCAGGCCAAAATAACCAAACTGAAAATACAGACTTTAAAAAAAATAAAAAAAAATAAAATAAAAAAATAAATATGATTTGACCAGATTGACTTTAATTTGAATTCTAGACACAATATACAAAATGCAGACGACTACTTCCTTAATGTTAATTAGTACGTTGCCTTCTTTTGCTACAATGGCCAACGTTAAAGGTCCACTAAAAGCACCCAGACCACTTGATCTCATTGAAGTGGTCTGGGTGAAATGTCCCTGTCCACCTTAGTCATGTAATGTTTACATTGCAGTGTTAAAGGGGTACTATAGTGTTATGAATACAAATCTGCAAACACATAAGGCCATTCCCATAGCAAAGCATGGCTTCACGGACAATGCTGGACGTCCTCACGCTTTGCATTAGGATGCCAAGTGTGTTGAAAAATCTCATAGGAAAGCACTGATTCAGTGCTTTCCAATGGGGAAGTGAAGTGATATTTTTCTATCGGGAAGGCCTAATGTATTGTGTTCCCCCACGGCGCTGATTTCTGAGGAGATGGAGCCAGTGGGGAGGGACTGTCGCTGGAATTGGGTAAGTGGGGGGGAAGAAGGGTTATTTAACCCTTTCATTGCTGGGGGCTGTGGAGGCAGAGAATACTTTAGTATTAGAGATACAATTTTGTTTTCATCTCGCCTCTAGGCAGTCTTGCAGACAGTTACCAGAGGTGCTTCCTCTGTTACAAAGAGTCAGACCTGGTTCTCAATTAAATGCTACTCCTAGAGAGCATGCTTGTCTGTATTAATAACGCTATAGTGTGCCTTTAATTCTATTTTTTTTAGAGGCCCTTTAAATATTTTAAAGTACAACAGTATGCACTCAGAAGTAAAAATGTTACCAGTTTTCCTCACTCATTTACCTTCATCTGGTGGCAGATTCCCCTCATTCCTCTTCATTTCTTCTATGTTAATGGATAGTGTATTCAGCAGGCACAGCACTTGTTCACCAGGGCTCTCAGTTACAGAGCTAGCAGTCCAACCAAGTATAGGGAAAACAACAAATAGCATTAACAGATCCTTCACTAACCATCATAAACAAACAGGTGGGATGGCCTTATAAAAAGCAGTCCTTAATCAACCCATACAAATTCATATTTGTTTGAAGACCGAGCAATCATTCAGGCATTATAGAATTATTATTTTTTTAGTAATCATTCTGGAGTTGCAGCCATTATAATCTCACAATTCAACTGTAAAACCCATTTGTAGGTTCTTTCACCGGCCTTGTAAATCTTCTTTTACTGGTCTTTTATGCTGTAGAGGTAAAGGATTCCAAGAATACTTTAAACGGACACTCCAGGTACCAATCCAACTTTAATGCATTCAATAGATTTTTGCCGTATTAATATGCAGTATTTGTATGCTAAAACCTTTACAGTTTGTACAAAAATAAATGTTTTACAGAATGCTGCACCATAACCCTGTCTGTTTAGCCACACCACCCTCATGCCAGAAATACTTTATCAAATGTATGCACACAGTCTTCAGCTCCAACAACACTGAGTGAGCTACTTTCATTTCACAAACTGACTGCAGACAGTCAGAGAAACTGTAAACAGGTAGTGATATGCTTACTATATGCCTTCCTGGGTGTCCTCTCTTAATGCAGGTTGCTTTGTAGTTCTGTAGGCTGAACTGTGTGCATACGTCTTCTAAGGAAGTCTTTTTCTGGAGTGAGGGGGTGTGGCTAAATAGACATGCTTATAGTGCAGCATTCTTTTTTTTTAATGCAATTAAATAATATATGTATAGCATATTAATGAGGCCAAAATGCAATAAAATAAGTTGTATTGTTGCCAGGAGTGTGCATTTAAGCAAAGTCTGGAAGTTTAGTATAGTACCAATCTCAAACAATAGCAAAAAGCTACAAGAAATATATTGTAAATGTCCAATTAGCACATATAAATTCAATACAACCAATTTAAAAAGTATATAAATGTATACACACCTTAATGTATAAAAGTATCATAATTACATGTATCAAAATCATATCTATTATTTCCAATGTTCACCATTTTTGCATATTTAAACACTATCACAAATAGTCATGGTTTTCATGCTTCCTGGGTTTATTCCGCAAACAGAATGTCAGGACAAAATGGATGATTTGACCAGTGAACAAATCACCATTTAATTTTTGATGGGGAAAAAACCTCACCAGAGGATCGTACCATAATTACAGATGTGAAGAAATGCTGCTTACCTTTCAGGCCTGAGCACTGATTGCTGGAAGTAAATTTCCGCCTTCTTAAGAAGTTCACAATACAAAGCAGAACCCTCCATTTCTCCCTGAAATAAACGTGACGTCATCAGTAAAAATGATCCATTATTTTTTACATTTAGGGCCCCTGTTTCATGAAAAAAATAAACTCGTCTTTCGTCTAGAGCTGAGACAGTCTCCTCAACACAGCCCGATCTGCTTTTGATCATCACTTTAACCCAGTGCTTCCCTAGAAGGAACACTGCCTTCCACTTTGAATGGGCATTCAAAATGAGTGAGGCAGGAAACCCTGCTATCTGGCTGACAGCTTGGAATGTGCCACTAAGAACTTTTATAGAAGTGCAGTTAACCCTCAAAGCACTTTACATAGCCCACGTGGGGTCAATACAGAAAGGATTTACTCACTAAACGCTGAATTCAAATCTGAATTGCAAAATGTAGGCAAAAATAGGCAATTCGGAAAGTTTTGCAACTTCAATACGGTCACAGCTTTGCTATCTAAGCCTCAATTCTTTCCAACAGGATTTGATTTCACAACTTTAGGAGTAAATCATATAGTCTATAGAAAAGTGAATTCTGTATCGGAGATTCCAAATGGGAATGTATTCATGCATTTTAAATGTATGCTTAAGGGATTCTCCAGTGCCAGGAAAACATTGAATAATGCTTTCCTATGGGGATTTCAGCGATGCTGGAGGTCCTCACATAGCGTGAGGACATCCAGCGTCGTTTTAAACCACTTTTCGTGTGGAAGTCTCCTCTAGTGGCTGTCTACTAGACAGCCTAGAGGAGGACTTAAGCCTGCAAGGTAAATATTGCAGTTTATGAAAACTGCAATAATTACACTTGCAGGGTTAAGGGTACTGGGAGTTGGCACCCAGACCACTCCAATGTGCAGAAGTGGTCTGGGTGCCTGGAGTGTCCCCTTTAAAAACTGCCCACCTGTCATTTAAAGGATTCAGTAAAAAAAAATAAAAAAATATTCCCATACATATGCCTTTTCAAAATAAACCACAACACAATGGACCAGAAATAACTTTTACATGTTTAACCTCTACCAAGTTCATACCTTAAAATAATCATTTTTCTTCAGGGTGTTTAAAAATCCAGTCCAGAGAGGACTCTGTAAGGGACAGCGTTTAGAGTCTGATGAAGGCCTGGGGCATTTCGAACAAAGAATCTCAAAACCATGAGCCTATGAAAGACAGGCAATAAATATGTTAACTATGCTAACTAATTCAGCAGGCAACATAATCAAGCAAAAATCTGACATACCCCTTTTAACTGATGCCATTTGCTTTCTACATTTTATTTATACTTTGTGTTCTTGCATTTGAGTTGGTACAGATTTATTTTTTATATCTCTGCCATATAGTGGACATTGCTGAGTAGATAAAAGCCTTGATCTGAAATGGGTCCTGTTTGTATAAACAGATCAATAAATGCTGACACTACTGCAGACACTCTTTGGGTCTGTCTAGTCTATGTTAATGAGAATACATAGCAGAGAATTTACTAGCTAAGCTTCTTCACTAGATCCTATGATAAACAGCCATTAGCCCATTATAAAGGGATAGTGTAAACACATTGAGAATTTCCATACAGACACACACATCCAGAGGAAAAAAATAAATATATATATATATATATATACACACATACACATATATACACACACACACACACACACACACACACACACATTTTTGTATTTATTTTTTTGTACTTCACCGAGTGCTACTATTATACAGTGATTTTTCTCTTGGTTCTCGAATGGCTAAAACAGAGGCGGATTCATGCATAAGACAAAGAAAGAACAAAATGTTACCAGCTTCATTCCCAGCTCATGTGCTTTGTACTGTGGGTGTGAGATGGCAGGAAGTGTATAACCACTCCGTCTGTCTGGCTGGAACTTCTGCTGCATCAGCTGGGCATACAAACACTTTGTGAATGTAACCTGTTAAACACAATTTGACACTTGGTTTTACAATTACTTTATAGTTTGTTATATCAGAATTATAAGAACATCAGTATTTTTAGACAAAACAGAATAATAATTAACAAATTACAACCAAATATGGGTGAATGGCGCATCTTTCTTTTTCAGCAAATAACACATCTGGTTTAAAGTTGGACACCAAATAGCAAGGTTCCCTCCCCCCCCCCCCCCCCATTCAAACCTCCACTGTATGGAGCACGCATTCAACCTCTTTTCTCACTAGATTTTGTGCAAAACCAGTGATGTTAATGGAGATATCTGATAGAAATGGATATATAGACCCCAACAGTGATATTTATATATTACTGATTTGTCATCCAGGGAAATGACTGCTCAGGGTTTAAGAGATTAAAAATGAACCTTCATAAAAATAAATTTCAAATTGTCACTATAGTCACCAAAACAACTTTTGCTTAATTAAGCAGTATTGGTGCATAGATCATGCTTCTTAAGTTTCACTGCTCAATTTTCTGAGATTTAGGGGTTAAATCACTTTTGTTTCTGTTTATACAGCCCTAGCCATATTTTCCCTGGCTGTGACTGACACAGCCTGCGTGAAAACAAAATGGTTTAAATTTCAATCAGGTGTCACTTAGTTTAAAAGTTTTTATATCCTGCTCAGTAAATTTAATTTTAATTGCATACAGGATGCTCTTGCAGCATTTAGCAAGCTAGTAAAGGACCACTGTAGTGCCAGGAAAACAAACTCGTTTTCCTGGCACTATAGTGACCTGAGGGTGCCCCCACGCTCAGGGCCCCACTCCCACTGGGCTGAAGTTGGAGGAAGGGGTTAAACACTTACCTTTCTCCAGCGCCGGGCTCCCTCGGCACTGGGGACTCTTCTCCTCCTTCTGACGTCATTGCCTGAATGCGCATGCGCGGCAAAAGCCGCGTGCGCAGTCAGTCCATAGGAAAGCATTCTCAATGCTTTCCTATGGACGCTGGCATCTTCTCACTGTGAAAATCACAGTGAGAAGCGCCTCTAGCGGCTGTCAATGAGACAGCCACTAGAGGCTGGATTAACCCATATGTAAACATAGCAGTTAACAGCAGGCAGGGTTAAGCCTAGAGGGACCTGGCACCCAGACCACTTCATTGAGCTGAAGTGGTCTGGGTGCCTATGGTGGTCCTTTAACAGAGCAGGACATGAACGCTAAATTAAACAGAATTTGCAATAAAGTAAGTGTAAACATTAGATTACTCTTTACAGGAAGTGTAAGTCACATAAAGTGAGGTGTGACTAGGGCTGCATAAACAAAGTGATTTAACTTCTAAAACGGCGGAAAATTGAGCTGTAAAACTGCAGGGATTCACTCTATACACCAAAACCGCTTCATTAAGCTAAAAGTTGTTTGAGTGACACAAGCGTCCTTTAGATGTGTAGGGGATCAAATAAATGGGATACATTTCTGTGTAAATTAGAACCATATGAGTCTGAAAGTTTAGAGATCTGAAAAAAAAAAAAAAAAAAGAAAAAAAAAAAAAAACACATCACTAATTTCTTCTCCTTAAAAATATTTAACGTTTGTTTTACACTTGGCACAACTGTACCCATTTTTTTTGTTTTAAACCAATGAGCAGTTCCAAATTTGTTTAAAAAAACTAGTTACACATTATTGTTCTATTGGAAAAAAAAAACAAAAAAACACCAAGTATCCTTACTAATGTAAGAACTCGTGTTTCAGAAGGAAAATTATGAAAAACACGACAGGCTTTCAGGTCAATGGGATCTCGGAGATAAAAAGCTTGAATGGCTGCGGATATCAGATGTGGACGCTCTCTTAGAACAGCTGCAATTCCAGCTGGAACAAAGCAATGGGCTCGGTGCAGAGAATCCTTAATTTTATCCGGGTACCTAGAGGAAACATTTTTAAAAATATTTAAAAATTAAAAAAATAAAATGTTTCTTTCCATTTTTTTTTAATCCCTGCTGAAGCCACAAGAAATGGTCACAACTATGAACTGATACAAGGGGCATATACCGGTAAATAATAATAATTTAAAAAAAAAACTGTAGAGCTGAATAAATAGCTGGCTTGGAGAATTTTTCAATTATGAGTATTCAACCCACATTTGAATGTGATATTCATCCTGGACTAGGGTGGGTTAACTATAAACCTATATATTTGGTTTTGCAGTAGACAAACATTAAGAACTAAACAGGGTTCATAGAAGGATTGAGAAGGGATTCAATAATTTTATTCCTAAAGTACTACACAACCATAACACCTCTAGTTTTTAGCACACCGTATTTTTCCTGCAGGTTTATCTGAGATTTTAATGGTAGCTAATACGCTAAATTTCTTTGGCCCGAGGTTTGCCATTTCCTCCAAGGCTTCTCTAAAAGTGTTAGAGGGAGGATATTTTATATAAAACACAGGTTTCCAATAAATTTATTCATTTCAGAATTTTTCTATGATTGGAACACCTCCTAACACCACTATCAAACGGCTTGTGGTTCACACTTCTTGCTATAATTTTAAAGAAACAGTTTGGACACCACAACAACTTACAACTACAAAGCTGTATTCCTCGCACTATAGCACCCTCTGCCACTCCCTCCGCTTCCAGTAACTAAAGGACTTAAAACCCTCTATTTACTTACCTGATCCTAGCGCTAATGTCCCTTGGAGTTTGGTCTCGGCTCCGCCTTTTCCAACGTCTTAACGAGCTGGCACTAATGTACATGCGCGGTGAGTGCCATGGGTTCATTAGGCCTCACCATATTAAAGCACTGATTCAATGATATCCTTTGGAGAAATAGTGGACACTGGATGTCCTCAAGCAAATTGTGAGGACTTTAGCATCAGTAACCAGACCAAAAGTCCGTAAGGATCCAGGAAGCGCCTCCAGTGACTCTGGTAGACAGCCACTGGAGGCAGACTTAGTGCTGCAATATAAACATTGCAGTTTATCTGGTACTGCAATGTTTTAGATTGCACCCAGACCACTTCAATGAGCTGAAATGGTCCGGGTGCCATAGTGTCCCTATAAACAAAATGTAGCTGTTATCATGCTAGGAGGTCACTGTTGCTTCCTAACCATTAAACTGTTAAACTGTTTGTTGCTTCAGCCCCGGAACATCTTGCCCCCCATACGCACATTTTTCAAGCAGTTTATATGAAAGGGAGCTACTGATTGCTTGGTGCATCAGCTGACTGTAAAATGGAAATTACAAACTCTAGGCAATAATAGTTATTCTGTCAAATTTTAACCTAAGACACAGTTCCAATTTTAATTAGCTACAATAAAGACTTAAGTGAATAAATACACTTATACCTTATACCTGACTTCCATCAGCTGTATGTGAAACATTTTGTTTAGTAGATTTCCATATTTTTTTGTATATTTCAGATTGTACAAAATAGTAATATAAAAAAATAAAAATAAAAACAATTAAAAGATAAAAAAAAAAAAAAAATCAAATGTAGATGGATCATGAAAGAAGACTATGTATAAAACTAAATAATATTGCAAAATAGTTAAAAACAAAAGATACCCTTCTAGCCTTCTCCGGACAGCTTTTGAAACAGAATCAGCAGCCAAGAATTTGTCTGAATGGGCAGATAATAATGCCAGAGCTTGCGTTAGGTCTATATTGGTTGCTGAGTGGTTTCGTTTTTCATCAGTCTGGCGCAATGGGATGATGCATAGTTTTCCATGGTAAAAAAAAACCTGATGAGACAGAATGATAAATGTTACAATGTCTGTTATGAAATGTGGACGCAAGATACAGCTCAGCAGCCATATTCCTTCTAAGCACTTTTTGGAGAGCCATTTAGAGCTAATCTTTTCAGCTTGTATAATAATAAGTACTCGATTCAAACCCCAGGGTATTGTTATAAAGATTATTTTGTTTCAGAACAGAACACCTATAAGAAAGGGGATGCAGTTGGGCAGTACACCGCAGTGAAAGATGCTTTGCTCTCTTACCCGATTTGAACTGTTTTCTGGATTTAGCCATTTAGGCAGGAAATCAGCAGCTTCTATTAACAAAAACTCTCCATCGTTGTCCTCAATCCTGTGCAATAAAAAGACAATTCCATGTTATGGTTCCTTTGTTAAACAATTTGCAAAAGGATTGTACTTGTTCCATTTACCTAGAACATGAGAAATTAGCCAATAATTTAGACACAATTGGTTCCGCTTCACGTTTTAGCAGGTTTGCACTTAGAAGTGATCCCTAACTTTACCAACACACACATTATGTCCAAGTCTATCTTTAGTGCAAATTATATTATCATCTAGAGCTTCAGAGGACAGAATATATTAGTGCTGTACTCTGGAGGGTGCAAGACAGCACAACACTGAGGTCTATGGAGGATCCAGCAAAACCATTTGAAACCTCCATAGATCTTGTCTCGCGATGAGCTGGAAGAGATAAAACTCTACAAGTTTTGTCAAGCAAAGGAAAAATACACAAGGCAAAGTAGTCACTAAGGTAATTAGAAAATTGTTCTGCCGTACTTACCTCGTACTTGTAGACTTGCCATTACCTTTAGAAACTGCTGTATTGTCTTTACCAGTATATCTGAGTTATCTTTGCATGAGCCTGATAGCAACAAACTTATTTAAAAGTACATTGGAAGGGGGGGATGGCGGCAGGGCCGGACTGCCATGATGAAAAGTTGCATAAAAGAGCAGCTCCTGCAATCTTTCACCTTTTAAGCCCATAAACACTGAATTTGTACTGATCTGATGACTGGCTGCTGATGCCCTTTGCATTAAGGCACACCGAGGCGAGGCTTGCAAATTGTGTTCAAGTCCCTTGGAGGGGTATTTCTCGTTGTCCGAGATGAGGCCTACTCAGGCAGTGAGTAGGGGTAATCCCAGTCCTCACCCTGTGACCCCTATTAATACTGAGACTCCAAGACTCCATGATACTGTCATGGCGACCCACATCTAAAATGGCAGAGACGCGTGTCAAGCTGCCCATGTCAGAGGGATGGCAGACGTTCCGTTCCCACAACGCAATCTTTCGAATTTCTGGCACGGCTGCAGCCTTCTAAGCAGAAACAAAATAGATCCCCAGTAAGTCGCTTACCAAATCCAATCCAATGCAGAGCCTTGGCACCCTGGTTCTGGGACAGGCCCAGACCGAGCGGATGAGCCGGAGACATATTAAGTCTGAATATGCAGCACAGAAACAGCCATCGGGTATCAACCCTTGCAAATCTACCCTGGTGTCTGCCCGGGGAGTTGGTTCCCAACATGAGACATTGCTCCCGTTTCCCGGCTTAGCCTGCCGCATCTCCTGGATAGTAGCGACGCTTAAAGAAAGCCAGATTGCAGAAGGACGATGCTAAACCCCTACAGGATATCAGCTGAGCCTATGCTCATTTGGACGCTCTGATTATCCTATAAATGCCTCATTTACGACCAGCTTGCATTATGCTTACCATGTTTTAGGTCGCTATTCAAACACAACTCTCTTGAGTGTGTCCATAATCTTCTGAGCTCTACCTGGAGTCTTACTATTTAACTACAGGGGGCTCTTGGGTGAAATGACTCTTTATTGCAACCCAGCTCATTGCAAGTAACTAGTTTTTACCCACTTATACCTCTTAGAGCTGGAAAGTTTAATCCATTCTACTCTTTGTATTAAAATAATTAGTGAGGTGTAAGTGATAAAAGACTTATACCAGTAAGTGGAGTGCTTTTAGTACATATAGCTTACCAAATGGTTTCTCATTCAATAGTAGAGTACAAAGTGCATGTCAAAAGAGAAATATAAAAAATACAATATAGTGCAGACGGTTTTAAAATGAAATAAAATAAGAGTATAATGGTGGTGTCTTGATAAATGGAACACTCACGTTTTAGGGAGCCTGTATGTAGAAACACTGGCTCCGTATTTTGGCGTGTGTGCTTATTTTGGGGGTAGCACCACCCGTCTCCTTCGGTGTGGGGTATTTCTCAAAGATAAAAATAGGAGAAGCAGACCAATGTGTAGATGGTGTTTATAAGAACACTGTATTATTTAAAAATAAGTGGTGTGCTCACCTGGTCCTGAGCCTGTGGGTCCCAGCTCTAGGTATATAAGTGTTGTGCCAATTTGAGTGGGGATGACACTACCCCTGGGAAGATACTCTTGAGGTTTCCTGAAGAAAGGACTTAAAAGGATCTTAAAGTAATACATTTATTCAAATATAAAACAAAAATAAAAACAATAGTAATAAAAAAAGTCCTTAATAAAAAGTCCTTTAAATATATTTTGTTTTATATTTCTCTTTTGACATGCACTTTGTACTCTACTATTGAATGAGAAACCATTTGGTAAGCTATATGTACTAAAAGCGCTCCACTTACTGGTATAAGTCTTTTATCACTTACACCTCACTAATTATTTCAATTTTGTTTTGTGGAATAGAGGATACTTCCACATAAGTGTATTGAGCAGCTTGGAAATCACTGTTAAAACTCTCTGTTATACACACTCCTCTGTAAAAGGAGGTATTCTTTGATTGGTATTCATACTCTTTGTATTACTTTAGCTCCTTAAGGACACAACTTCTGAAATAAAAGGGAATCATGACGGAATATTTCCATTATGTGTCCTTAAGGGGTTAAGCAATTATCACTTCAGTTTTCAGAGGGTTACTTTCATTGTTGTCTTCAGACGCAGTCCCACTGCGCTAACCCCTGTGACTTAACGCTACATCATACCTTAAAAAATGAGCAATCTGTTATGCCATACAAATGTAATTCTGTGCCTGTTAAAATGCTTTCTATAGCTGTTGTGGCTCACAAAGTCAGCTTGTAATCCTACAACAAAAATACAAATATATAAAAAAAAAAAAAGTAGATTGGCAGAACAAAAAAAAAAATGCCGAAAAAACCCACTAGTATTCTTTCTCCCTTGGTCATAAAAAAAATAAAAAAATCTCCTCTCTTTATTATCGGGAACATGGAAAACAACTCTACATGAAAAAGTTAACACAAGTTATATATTCTTTTCAATTTTTTTTTTTTTTAATTCAGTGGTGTAATCTCCAGAGATGTGATGGTTCCCCTTTAACCCCTTAAGGACACGACATGTGTGACATGTCATGATTCCCTTTTATTCCAGAAGTTTGGTCCTTAAGGGGTTAATATGCTTTTGTCACAAAGTCCCCACTCTAAAAAGAAAACAAAAAACAACAAAGTAAACCAGTGTTCAGACAATATAACGAACAGGAAACTTTACCTTGCTGCCAGTTCTGGGAATTGCTTGGTAATCTCTTGGATAAGGTACACAATGAACCACTCGTCCTCAATATTATCCCCAAAGTAGGTTATTCCTCCAATATGAGCTGGAGTATTACCTGAGTAACAATAAAACAGAATAAAACAGTTTGAACCAAATAAATAAAAAGTGGTTTCTGCAGCAGGACTGCTTATCCCAGTACAAGTGAGACTCCCTGACATTGGTAAGAGCCTAATGACGTTTTATTTTGTTTTTTTTAATTGCGAGAATTAATATTAGCTATTTCACAGATAAAGAATGCGTTACGACTTAAATTTCCAATTGAAGAATGAGTTGCCTACCTCAGTGGTTTTCAAGCCACTTCAAAGTGTACGACACACATATTGAGTTCAGGGCTGTGACATTTTGAATGTAATATTTAAAGGGTAACTGTAGTGCCCAAAACTACTTCTGCTCTTTTAAAGAGCACACAATGCTATCTATACATTGTGCTAGCAGTTCTTGAACTAGGTTTTTCTCCGACTTGTCAATCAATTCGTCGGTATACACTCCATGCGGAAAAACCAATTGATAAAGGAGAGCAGAAGAGGCCACCCACAGGCACCATAGCAACCTGGGTGAATGCACTGTAGTTTCTATATAACTCTCTAGCCAGAACTGCTAGCACTGGATAGGGAGTGCAGAAACAGAGGGATTTCATTAACAAAGCCAGTGTTTTGAGGTCATTGAGGAAGTGAATCAGTGAAGAGAGCGGGTGGAGAGAGGTGGGTGTTAGAGCAGTGTAGCACACGCCTCTGTAAGGAGATTGCACTGGGGATGCATGCATTAGAGGTATATCTACTAGACAATGATTTGTACTTTTTTTTCCATTAGGGCAGTGAAGTGTCCCTTTAACTTATCGTGCATCCAACCCGTACTGCTTTGTCCATGGCTGGTCGTGCCTCCTTGGCTATCAGATTGATGATCTCAACCAACCCAATGCTTTGCCATAGGAAAGCATTCAGATGCTAGTGCAAAAGGCTGCATTGTGCAGATCAGATGGTTACTCCATTATATTGCCAAAAAAAAAAAAGGCCTCTATTGGCTATCAGTATGGCAATCATCTGAGGCAGTTAAACCTTGCAATTAAGCTGCAGGATTAAAATGGGGGAGACATGGTACACTTAATTGAGAAGTGGTTGGGATGCCTATAGTGTCCCTTGAAATTAAACATGTTTGTGTTTCAAATTTGCAGATTAAAGGAACACTATAGGGTCAGGAACACAAACATGTATTCATAACCCTATAATGTTAAAAACACCATTTAACCCCCCTTGCCCCCATAAATAGAGTAAACTTTTACCTTTACTCCAGTCTGCTGCTGCTTGACCTCTGATCTGCCTGCTTGGCTGACATCATCACAAGAGATTCTCTGAGCCATTCACAATGCTTTCCAATATGATTGGCTGAGACTGTCAAGGAGGCAGATCAGGGGTAGAGTAGGCACAAGTCAAACACAGCATTGGCCAATCAGCATCTCATCATAGAGATGCACTGAATCAATTAATGTCTATGAGGAAAGTTCATGGAGACACTGAAATGTGCAGCACTGCCCCAGGAAGGACCTCTAGTAGCCATTTAAGGAGTTGCCAGTGGAGGTATCCATAGGCTATAATGTAAACCCTGCATTTTCTCTGAAAAGACAGTGTTTACTGCAAAAAGCCTGAATGGAACGATTCTACTCACCGGAACAAATACAATAAGCTGTAGTTGTCTTAGTAACTATATTGTCCCTTTAAGGGTATTTTGGAAACCTACAATTACATGAGAGAATAATGGCAGATTGGAATAGTGGTACAGCTAAGATTAGTTTTGACACAAGAGTGGGGGAAAAAAATTACGATGGGGAGAAATACATAGAAATCAATAGTCAGCATGTGATACTCTTTTCAGGCGGCGAACTCATGTAGAACTTAACTACCAGTTCGCTGTGGAGAGCAGATATGTTGTACATAGCACCCTCAAGAACACATACAATAAGATGTAGCTGTCTGGTGACTATAGTGTCCCTTTAACAATGGGATTACAGTTTTTTTCTGTACTGAGCATTACATGTTTATTTTATAATGTTTTTGCTGTGAAAAAGTGCATGTTTCTGCAGGCACAAGTTCAATTTATTTGGATTAATGGAATTAAATTTACAAAAAAATTAAATATTGCATGAATTTACATACTCATAATATATAACAAATCACCATGTCATTCTGAATAACATTTGGATTATAATGTATTTTATACAGAAAACCATCTATGCATTTTTTCAACATGGATTCTGTACACAGTGTCATGTTACCAACAACTTTTAAGTACCTTTTTTGCTTTTATATCTGAGATTAAATGGTTGGTTTTGCCAAATATATGGTGCTAAAAAAGGTGCAAACGTAGCCAGTATGCGCTCTATGTATTGTTTAAGGATTTGCTTTCGTTGCTCTGGATCACTGGGCTCTTCAGACACTAAGAAAAGATGATATTCCACAAAATTTTCCACAACTACCATTTTCTTCTCCCCATCCATGTTGTGATAGATTTCTAAAAGGAAGCAGAAATAGGGTTTACTCAGGGTTCAACGCAGAGATATAGGGTCTATGGTGGCTTTGTGTAATTCATGAAAAGACAAAACATTACAATTGTTCTAGCTCCATCAAAATGGTCATCATCCAAGAAGTTTCTTATTGAGGTATTGTGGATTTCATTTTGTAACTCCTGCACATTGTCGATTATATTAAAGAATCTGGATGTCTAGTTTCAATATTCTGCTGATACGCAACACTTCCATCACTGACAAACTCACCAAAACAAACTGGACTGGAAATTGGCAAGCTAAGGAAACAGAGTAATTCATTACAAAACAGCATAGCAAAGTGTTTAGAAAAGAAATTGTCATATCTGAGTTAGATATTCTTCTAAATCATCTTACTCAGTCATATCCTGCATATTCACAAGTATTGAACAAGTAAACAAATTTAATAAAGTAGATCCCCTTCCCTGTCAACATCTTGGGATAGGTAGCATTTTGCTTATGATTATTTTTTGTTCACCTGTGTCCTTTAGCCCTTATCCCAGGGACGCTCAGCCTTTCTATCTCTTAGGCATGACACTGAAGAGGGGTGACCCCTGAAAGCCTCATTAGCAATTGGGGGGTTACAGCTGCTGTGACCTTGTATGGTAGCAGCTATATGGTCCCTCCTTCCCTGGACTCATGAGGGGAAAGTTTATCCTATGTGCAGTGGTACTCAACCCTTTTTATTTATTTTAACTTTCCAAATGGGTGGGTTTTGTTTGTTTGTTTTCGCAGCATTTATAGCTACAGTGGCTAAGGTTTGGCTCCATAGGCTCTTATGGTGGCCATTTTAGTTCTAGGCTTGGCTCCATAGTTTCTGTGTGTGACGCATGGTTATGCCATAACACGTATGGAAGGAAATGTATATTCCCCCCTATTTTAAAGTGGCAGTATATTTTCTTAGATTTGCAGTATTTTATTTCTTTCTTGTTTATTGGACCTTATAGGTAAGGTATATTTTACTTTATGTTTGGCCTCTTCTTATTTCTTTGATATTCTTCATGTCTTCAGCTGCTGAAGAGGAGTTCACCATCTTGGTCTATAAAGAGCATGCACCACAAAAGGTTTTAGGTAAGCCAATAATTGTTGTATCCCTCACTATGCAATTTGAAAAGAGCAAGTGATGGGTTTGTTCTTCAGATTCTTAACGCAAAAGGAAGGATAAATATGTGTATTATGAAGCGTGCAACAACGCCTGTGAGGAAAGCATTTGTGTGCTGCTATGGGTACATCTAGTGTCTCTCCAGATGTCTGATGACATCAATAAGGCTGAATCACAATGAATAAAAGAAGCTGGCAAAGCAAGCAAAAAGGCCCAGGCTCTCTGATGGATCAGATTGGGTGGAGGACTGGTCGGAGACACTGGTCGGAGACACTGCCACATTATGGGGCTTCCAGATCATGGAGTCCCACAACAAATTTAAACTGGCTTCTGAATTTTCTTCTGAAGCACCAGTGGACCAGTTTGGTCCATCTACTGTTCCATAGTTCAATCTGTGTTGGTGAAGAGGACCATGTAGCTAAGGTCATGGGTAGCAGACGTGGCAACAAAGAACAGCCTGTGTGCAATGCCCTTCACAGAGAAATGCTCTTTTGCGAAGTATCTTAATGAAAGCATCAAGTAGGCGGATGGCCTTTTTGCCACAAGAGAGAGGACCATGTAAAGTCCCAACATTCGACAGGAGATCTTTATGGCACTCAGGATCTTACAGGGAGACAATCTAGCATTATCCAGGCAAAGATTTTCGACAATGGAAATAAGGCCAGTCTTCCTTGAAGACTGGACACTCCAAGCATGATAAGATCCTAGCTCATCCTCGAGTGTGTTTACAGAGGTCTGGTCGTGGTTTATTCAAGATGCCATAATTCTTTGTATTTTGGGAGATGGCTACTTGATGGACTTTCTCCAGTCCCTTTGCCTGCGATTCAGGATAGTGTGTAGCACTGACATATTTTGCCTCCACTCTGCTGAGTCAAAAAGTAATCTCAAAAGGTCTCTTTCTTTACCAAAATCAAGTGTTTTACTTCAGAATCTTCCTCACACCAAAAGTCTCCAGATATTCCTAGACATAGAGAGATTCAAGATGGAATCTGCGTTCTTGATCAAAGTGGTGGCATCATTGGACTGGATTATCTCCAAGATGCTTATTTCCAGGTCTCAATTAGACCTTTCTAGTTTTATGCTCTTTCTTTCTGGTTGAATGCAGCCCCACAAACCTTCTCAAAGATTCTAATGGCTTTGGTGTCAGGAATGAGGAAATAAAATGCTTTTCCATTATCTGGACAACATCCTAATTCTTTCCTCAGTAAGTCTCTACTGGAACAAAAACCGATATCACTGTAGATACTGATAAATCATCAAAAGATTGACCTGGGAGCCAGATTTGACACAATCATAGCTACAGAGTTCTTTTCCAGGGGGAGAGTTCTTTGGATCCAGAAGAAGTTAGGACAAGTTCTTTTCCTCCATCAGAGGTCAGACCAGATAGGCACAATAAAATATAAGAATTCCCCAGAAATACTTTCCTGTGTCATTTCAGTCAAGTATCCCTGGATCAGTATATGTTGGTGGAAGTACATATTTTTAAAGGCTTCAACAACAAGACTGGATGGGGAGCTAACCTAGATTTCATTTATGTCCAAGGTTGCTGGTCAAAAGTTACAGAGTTAGTCCTACGCCACTACAAGCACCTCCTGCAAAACCATGGAGTGAAAATTCATGTGGACAACACATAAGTTATCCCAATCATCAAGGAGGCACGAAGAGTAGCATCCCGATGTTTTAAAACAGTTTGACTTCTTACACTAGGAGGATGTGGACGCCATGTTATACAGCCCACCATAACTACTACATAGTACTGTACTGGTTATGCTGCTTAAGAGTGCTCCTTGAATAGAAAATGTAGCATCCCAGGAAAAATGTTAACACAAGGTAAAAGGTGATTTTTAAAAGTTTCCCTCAGTAGTGTAATGAGCAGAGTAGCCAAAAGTTTCATTTTAAGTTGTGGAATAAAAAAATAAAAATGGCAAAAAAAAAATAAAGTATATATATTTTTTATCACAACAAAAGCTAATGTAAATATCACCCCAATGTAGTAATTCTATAAAGTTACAAACATATCAGATACAATAACGTGAATATTTAGAGCTAACAGTTTAAAGAATTAACTCAAATTGCTCTCTGGCTTAAAACACACAGGTTGGGTATTGTAATACTAGACATGGTAATAATAACACTCTGTACTCTGTACTCTGTACTCTGTACTCTGTACTCATATAGCTCCCCTGGGTTCTACCTGTCTCACCTGACTGTCCTGCTGGCTCCCTGTCACACTCACACTCCCCCAGCAGATTGAGACCGCGCGGCTGACGTCATCAACGCGCGCCTGCCCTCCCGAGCAGTGTGGCACGGCGTCCATTCGGCGCACTATTGTGACGTACTAATGGGAGCCTTGACGACTACGCAGCGTCGCTACGGCGGCCTGGCAGCTGGCAGGAGGGAGTGAGGAAAACGCGAAGTAGATGTGAAAGAAGCGAGCCAAGAAACAGCGGATCGTAGAAGGACCCGCTAGGAGCGGTTAATGGAAGGCCTGCGGGATCGGAATAGCTTCGCTCAGGTATTCACGTATCGGGTATTCACTAAACTGCGAGTAGTGCATCGCACGGGGTGTGTTTACTAAACAATGATTTGTAGTGAGCTGATAAAACTAATTCTCCAAACTGGGCGTGTGCACTCAGCTCTCCATTAAAGTGTCAGCGCAAAGCGTCTAGACACCATAACAACTTAATGTGAATGGAGTTGTGAAGTGGTTATGGTGCCAGGTGGCCCCCAGGGGGTTAAATCGTTCTCCAGTGGTTTAACCCTAAAGTTGCTCTCAGCCAGTTATTATTATTATTATTATTATTATGAGATTCCGTTAGCGGCGACTCTGCTCGGCCGCGCTCTCCGCGTCCAGAAACTGAAATTTCAGAACCGATATGACCCCCTCGGGGGAGGTGAGAACGCCGCCGAAGGCATCTTTGGGATCAAGCCGTTCGAGAACAGTTTAACCTTTTTTGAGGTAAGAGTGCATCCGGGGCCTCTTGGCACCATACCAACTTAATTTAGATGAAGTTGCTATGGTGCCTAAACTGTCCCTTTGATATAATATTTCATCGAGTTTTGAAAGGAAATCTCTCTATTTTTTTTTTTTTTTAATTAAGTATACGTAAAAATAATTTAGAAAAAAGTGATTCCTAAAAAGGGTTTGAAAATGGACAGTAACAAGTTATTCACTAAAGTGAGAATTTAAAGTGAATTTCAAATGTAAGGACGGAGTGATGGAAATGCAAGCATAGTGACTGAGATCATTTTTTTCCCAGTTTGGCTATTTTTACTTTAATTATGAAATTCTCTCACTTTAGTGAATAAACTTGTTAGTCACCATGATTTCTCCAGCTTTACTCACAGAAACAGTGAATAAGTAAGCATAGGGATAAGGTTCTTATTTATTGCAGAGGCGTAGCTAGGTCACTTGTCATCTGTTATGAAAATCTAAGTTGGCTCCGCCTATTACACCCCCACCCCAAAATGTGTATCTCCTGACCCATCTTGTGTGTTTTTCCTAATCCTTCTTTCAACTTTGTGTGTCTCTTAAACCCTTTCACTTTCTTGTGTGTCTCGTAACCCATGTTACTTGTGACATGCATGCATGCATACATAGATATGCAATCATACATGCACTCACATACAAACATGGACACGCACAGTTACAGTCATACACAGTCACAACATAACTACCCGATTTTATACATACAGTCACTTATACATACATATATCTAGACACAAAGTCAAATACATGCACACACTGTCAAATAAACACAGATGGTCACACATCTTGATGCAGTCAGATAAAGTCACACAGTAATCAGGTGCACATAGTCAGACCCTTAAACTATGTAACATACAGTTACACACAGACACATGCACACAACGCACAGAGTCAATGGCACACAGTCATACAAATAGTTACAGGCACACACACAGTTAGTCACCACACATATATTCTCAAGCACCCAGTCACAAAGATAGTCACAGTCTCACAGACGCACACAGACACTCACAGTCAACAAATCTTTCTCCTGGGCCCTACCTTTATGGGCACTAGTGCCATAGTTGGAGCAAAGGCCAGAGCATTCCCTGATGTCTAGTGGACTGGTTTTCCCTCAGCAAGCAGTCATTTGCAGGAAAGCATGGCTGGGCCTAAGTCGGCGGAGCGAGTCTCCATGGCTGCTGCTTCTGTGTGGCTGGCGGAACAGACAAGGCACCCTTCTCCATCTGGCACCAAGGGCACATGCTATCCTACACAGCCTCCCCAGTTTCGCCACTGTCAAAGTGAATATAAAATTTTAGGACAAAATAGTAACATTGGGAAAATTCAACAGCTGCGTTTTCTTTTAATTTAGACTAAAATTTGAGATTCATTTTGAATTACCAGTAATTCACAATTAAGGTTATTTAGTAAATTCCTAGTGGCTAAAATAACTTATCTCGAAAATTCTCAAACACAGCTTGGCATAAAGTTTGTACTTGAGTGAATAAACCCAACAGACAAAGCTTGGCTATGTTAGCCTCAATTTTGTGATTTGGTTTTCAGTTCATTACAATTTACTGCTTAGTGAAAAAAACATTTGGGCCAATATAGCAGAATTTGAAAAACTCTAGGTCATATTTTCAGTTAGCCTAGAATTTTAAATTCAGATACAATGCCTAACAATACACACTTTATTATTAACAGCAATTAAATGACAAGGACATGCACTAATATTGATTGATAAGTAGAGGAATGGGGTAACGTGTAAGATTACCCACTAATAATGCATTGTAAATTGAAACTTACTGTTTGTTAGATGTAAAGCGCGGTGTCACGGGAGATGGGACTCCTCGTAAATGTTCCCTTAATTATACTTTGAATCATCTAATGTTTCCCTGTATTCAAATGGAATTGTTCCCTTCTGTTTGGTTACCGAACAGATTCTGTGAGGTGCCCTTGTTCGCAAATCAGGTTTAGGCTTGATTGGAAGATCGTGCTTGTCCCATTCTAAATATGATAAAAATTATGCTTGAGTAGTAATATGTGGATAGGTATTAATGTCTCTTTTGGATGTGATATTGGAACACAAGGCTTGTTCATATCAAAGGACTCCTTATCTGAGAGGGAATCAAGACATATGGCAAATGAGAGAGTTGGTTTATACTGAAACCAGACTTTCAGGCCACTAATGTGTGACTTCTCACACCTTACAGAGTAGCCTTCCAGGGGTCCCAGCTTCAAAGAGGGACAATTGACTATTATTATTATTATTATTATGATATTTATAGAGCGCCGTCAAATTCCGCAGCGCTTTACGATGGGTGGACGAACAGACATGTATTTGTACCCAGACAAGTTGGACACACAGGAACAGAGGGGTTGAGGGCCCTGCTCAATGAGCGTACATGCTAGAGGGAGTGGGGTAAAATTACACAAAAAGGTAAGGATAGTATTAGACTAATGACAGGTGCAGAAGAGGAATCAGTGAGGAGCTATTAACAGTTTAATTGATACGCTTTTATGAAGGAGTGGGTTTTTAACGATTTTTTTGAAGGAGTGGAGACTGGGACACTACCACCTCAACCAGGCAGCCAGTTCATCTATGCACGAACATAACTTTTTTGTTTTACCGAACCGATCAGAACGCTTTTTGGATATGTTGTGCGCTCAGATCGGGGCTATTCTTGAATATAATTTTTGTGTGGTTCCGATTCTGTTGTCATGTATTTTTGTGATATGTAAAAATTGTATGTAAGTTTTCCTATTTGAGAGATAATTGGATTATCTTAATTGGAGCTTAAAGGATCACTATAAGGTCAAGAACACAAACATGTATTCCTGACCCTATAGTGAAAACCTACCATTTAGGTGGCTTCCCCTTAGCACCCTCAGAATGGGTTAAAACTCACCTTATTTTCAGCTCTCCACGGGTCTGCCGGCACTGGCCCTGCCCCCTTGGTGACATCATCAAAATTGCCGATTTTTTAAATTTTTTTTAGCCAATGCAATGCTTTCCTAAATTTGGCACTGGGCGGGGCCAAATGCCGTTTTGGTCAATCAGTATCTCCTCATAGAGATGCATTGAATCAGTGCATCTCTATGAGGATAATTTAGCGTCTCCATGCAGAGCGTGGAGACGCAGAACGGCAGGGCTGCTTACTGTGCAGTCCTGAGCCAGGAAGCCTCTCCAGTAGCCATCTAAGGAGTGGCCACTTGGAGGTGTCCCTAGGGGCAATGTAAACACTGCCTTTTCTCTGAAAAGGCAGTGTTGGCTTAAAAATGCCTGAAGGGAGCTATTATACTCACCAGAACAACTACATTAAGCTGTAGTTGTTCTGGTGACTATAGTGTCGCTTTAATTATCTCTCAAACACAATGGCTTGTGGGAAAGAAAACCCTGTGATTTTGTATTAGAAACCCCATTCTAGGGGCACTGCATAAGAAGCTGAGTGTGGCCTAATAAAGTTTAAATTGCTGCTTTTACCCAATACGACTGGTTGCGTCCATTGTATTGGGGAAACTCTACACCAAGGGAATACTTTCACTGTATTAAGCACATCTGGAATTAGGACTAGTGGAGGATTGAAGGAATAACAGTAAATCATTATAGTGGTCATGGTAACAACTTTCCCTGGTGTTGTCCTGGTTCTGTGTCAAACTGTCTTTGAACAGAATGGCACAAACAGAGGGTCCCCTGGGCATCCGCATTCCATCCCTTCACTGTCCAAATTATTAATGTGACAGTTACACTTCTGTATCGGCAATATTAATTTTGTTCACGTTTGGAAGCCATTGATTAGTTTAGCATGTCTCTGATGCACTCAGCCAGTGAATGTTTTGCTAAAGTGGAAATGTAACTTTTGCTATGTGGATAGCACAGATAATTTAGAAAGGCATCAGGAGATGACTGCAATAAGCCAAATAATGATGGGGTGAAAAGAAATAGAAGGAGGAAAACAATAATGCCATTGACTCAAAAGAAAGTCTCATAGATTTTAATTAGGAAGAAAGAGATTAGTGGGAGTAGGCAGAAGCATAAGAAGAGAAATGTGAAAAAAGTGTTTTAATTTCATATTGTTTTTTTTACAGAAGACAGGAGGAGAAATGAATGTGTGACTTGATTCTTAGGATGATTTCCAGATACAAAAGGAAACCCGTATCTCAAAATCTACAAATGTAAGTTGTTGATGTAAATTGCACTGCATATCAATGTGGTTTACAACATTTTATTGGTGTATTTAAACATACAGTTGGGCTAACTATAAGCAATTTGTGTAACTATACAACATTGTTTTTGATTAATAAAGGAACATACAAACATGTGTTACTAATGTTAGAGTGATACAGGCGGGATCTTGTTAAATGCTCTGGACACACCAAGGCACCAAAACAACTTCATGTAAATAAAGTTGTTATGGTTCCAGCAGACCCCTGGAGGCATGCTTACCTCAAGGGCTTAGTTTAACCCCAGAGTTGCCTCCAGCAGTGATGTCCACTCCCCCGGCGCTAGGGATTGACCAATATAAATTTTTTAGAGCCTATATCGATAATCTGTGAACTTTCAGGGCAATAGCCGATAACTTACTGATATTCTGTACATTTACCATTTAAAAAAATAAAATACCGGTATTTCTACACAAATCTACTGTTAACTGAACATGTTTATTATTCATTTATTTTTGTTGCAAATCTATTTTTTTTTATTTTTTTTTATATATATTAACGTAAATGCACAAAATATACATGCCAGTCAGAATTCTGTATGTTTTCAAGAATGTGTGTGTGTAGTGGATGCAGTGTATGTTTGTGTAGTGTGTGCATGTGTGTATAGTGACAGGATATGCATTTGTCATGCTTCAGGGATGGGCTCTTTGCAGCAGAACCACTACATTAACCCTTTCACTACCAATCACATTTTGGTTAAAAAAAAAATGTATTTGAAGCAATTGATGCATAGCTAGAATATAAACATGTAACACAGCAATTTTGTGTATAGATTACTTTGCACTATGACTTAAAATTACAATTCTGTAAATGTACACATTTTTTATTGTTTACTTGTTTGTTAATCCTTTATAAAAAATATTTGGGAAATTAAAAGCTTTTGACAGTATACAGTGTCCTTTAGCTTTTCATTTCACACAGGATATAAAATGTTAGTAAAAAGGCAATTTTTCTCACATACAGTAGATGTGTCAAAAATAGATAAATAAAATGTCATGAAAACAGAAAATCGGAGAACTCTGAGGCAAAAGCTTAGAGAAACTCTGTAGCTTGCCCTTTTGGTTAGTTTCCATTTAGGTCTCAAAAATGTGTTTGCTCACTTGTGCCAGTAGAGAGAGAATTTATACCATTTGCATAACAGACTGCCACCCATAAGGGCAGTTTAGAAATGCCAGCAAGTTCTCTCTGCACGAGAGATACAGCAACCACAGACAATCACTTCAGCCTTTTTGGGCCTGTTCAGCGAGGTGTATCTGTTACCTCTCAAGGCACAGCGAACATAGAGACCACGTCTGGACCTTTTCACCTAGGGCGAGTCCAAACAAATGGATTGCAACAAAAAACAGATACTCTGTTTTTCTCTATGAGAAAGGATTGATTGCAGGGAGAGCAGATGGGACTTACCAAAGGCGCTCCTTCTGCTCTCCACCTATAGCAACCACAGAGCATGTGCTATGGTAGCTCACTAGCCAGCGCTGCTAGCACTGGGTAGGAAGTGTGCAAACTGAGTTACTGACGTCATACTGTTCAGGCGCTTGCATGCTGGCAACGAACCCAGCATGTTGGCATCATGAAGCAGGTTGAAGCGTTCCCAAGCAGGACAAATCAGGGCAGACCGGAGATGGGTGTTACAAAAATGTAACACCCACCTCTGTAAGGAGATATCAGAGGGTCAGATAAGTGCCTGAAAGATTCACTTTAAATTTATAACTGCTTTAAATGGCACACTATTTGTATTTGTTTTGTTTGGGATACTAATGCCAGCATTACATTGTCTATTTTAAGCAATCAGTTTCTCACTAAAGCAATAGAAAATCACCCTTTACCCGAAGAAGCAGATTCCTTCTCGATATCACACAGCAGTGACCAATATGAAATTGCCTCAAAATGGTCAAGGTAATGTTTTCTATTTATGTTGATGTAAATTTCAGAAATAATTAACTTAGTCCATAATGAACTCAAAGTGATGAAATCTGTATTGTATTGTACAAAACGTCTCAAATTGTTCTACCATTAACAAAACACACATTATTAATTAAAACTTGCTTATTTGCCTGTTTTAGTTTTTACATGCATTTTGATAAAATTTACAGAGAAATAAATCTGTGGTTATTATTAACATGATGCTGAAGTTTACTGTCTTTTAGTATTTTAAAGGGACATGCATCACTTTAAAACAACTTTCTCATTCAAAAGCGTGCTGCTTTAAAAAAACTGGTTTTCAAGTGATGGATATCCCTTTATTTAAGGAATGTATTTCTCTTTCACCTGGATTTTCACATCCTATAGATTCTAATTTTCGTGTGTTCCGATTTAAAGTTTTTGCTATGTAAATTTAGGGACTGTCAACAATACAAGGCTTTTCTATTTGACATCGGCCAACACACAAAGTACATAGTGAGGTCTGATACAACCCAGGAGAGAATATGTATGGGACCTAATTAACGTTTGGACCTTTGGAAGAGTCTTGCCTAAAATAGTCACTTCTTTACCGTAGAAATAATATTGAAATTGTGCTCGATTTGGGGGGGGGGGAGGGAGGGAATTACTCATGGAATGGTGTTATGCTAAAAAAAAAAAGTCACTGTATGCTTTGAAATTCATATTCATGTAGGAAGTGATTATAGTAAATCTATATTTATATAATTTCAGTGAGTCTGATGTTTCGGACACATCGCAGTTTTCTAGAGCGGATGCTCAGGATTCCTGGTCAGAATCTCAGAGAGGGACTGGGTTTTCCACTGATAATAGCTCAGTCATATCATGGGGTTTTGATGTAAGTACTCCAACTCTATAATTTCTGTTTAGAATCTGGGGATTCTTTGCTGTGCACAGTGCTACCATACTTGTAGTCAATAGAGTTGCATTTACATTAACTGATTACCGTATATACTCGTGTATAAGTCGATCTCATGTATAAATCGAGTGCAGTTTTGTGACCAACAATTGTGAAATATGCTATGCCTCGTGGATAAGTCGAGGGTAAAACTTGGGGCTATGAAATTCTGTGATTTTTATAATTATATACACACACACACTCATACAAACACACACTTTGCATTATATATACACACACTCATACAAACACACACTCTGCATTATATATACACACACACTCATACAAACACACATTCTGCATTATATACAAACACACACTCTGCATTATATACACAGATTGTGTATATAATGCAGTGTGTGTATATAATGAAGAGTGTGTGTTTGTGTATGAACTGGGTGGGGGGAGGGCATTTTTATTATTTTAATATTATTTTTTTAATTATTTTAAAAAAATTTTGTCCCCCCTCCCTGCTTGTTAACCGGTCAGGGAGGGGGGCTATCTTAATCCCTGGTGGTCCAGTGGCATGGGCTGTGAAGTGGGGGGGCCGGCAGGAAGCATTTACTTACCTTTCCTGCAGCTCCTGTCAGCTCCCTTCTCCTCCGTTACGGTCAGCTCCACTGTAAGTCTCGCGGTCTGGTTGCCGCGTGGATCGTTGCCACGGCTCTGACGGCCGCGGCTCTCTAAGTTGCCATAATACAGACAGTGACTCGAGTATAAGTCGAGTGGGTGTTTTTAAGCACAAAAAATGTGCTGAAAAACTAGACTTATACTCGAGTATATACTGTATATAATAATATATTATGTAAAGGCAACTGCTCCTATATCTTTATTTGATCTGACCAAGTAAGAGCCAGAGACTCAGTTACTGCATTTAGTGACATTTAGAACATAGAATGTAACAGTAAAATGATATACACACTAATAAGAATAAAAAAAATACGTAGAAGAGTGTGATCCCAAGTGTCCCTCATACACACGAAATACCAAGTTAAATACATAAAAGTGGGAAAACAACAATACATATAAAAATAAATATAACCACCTGGAAAAGGTAGGATATTAAAAAATCCTAGAAGTCACTGGGATCTATAAAAATCAATACGCGTAATACTGTATAAATATAAAATGTGAAGTATAGCAAAAAAACCTCACAAACATATGGTAAATTCAGGCTTGTCACCCTCCCGGGGGTACATACGTATGTAGTTGCAAGATGTCGCTCATATATGGGTAGTCTTCTAGGCAATGGGCATATCTCCATATGGAGTGGAACTTAGATGGAAGCGTGGTACTGGAAACCAGGTATAGATGGAAATAAACCAAAGTCAGAAAAAGTTAAAACAACATATAAAAGAAGTACAAAAGTCTTCAATATATCCAATGCGTTTCGTCCTACAGCTTGGACTTCCTCAGGGATATACATTCTTCTCACCAGGAATGCTTCTTAAATATGCTGGGATTGATGGGCGATGGAATCCACCTGAATTCGGCGTGTGTTCCACCCTGGAACGCATTCACGCATATCCTGTGCGTCTCCCAGTGGCGTGTGCCGATGATGAATTCATATGAATGAAATCCAAAGTTCTTGCGCATGCGTGGACTCTTCAAATTAATTCCAGCGTTTGTGTGCATGTGAGCGACCGATTCTGCATGTATAGTCGAACGCTGTGCGAAAACAGCTGAACGTACCTTAAAAAAAAAAAAAAAAGGGAAATAAAAACAACAGGCGAATGGTCGCCATAAACCGAACAAACAAATGAATGGCATATATATATATATATATATTTATTTGCTGGATGTCAAGTCAAAAGTGTTCTCAGCCTTTTTTTTTTTTTGTCATTTATAGTTGTATGGACTAATTTATCTTTTCACTTCCTCTTTAGCCAAGTAGCAAGAGAGATGCTGCGCAGTAGGTTTTGGAAAAGGCCCAATTTTATGTCAAACTGGCCCAATTGGTTAAACAAACCAGGGAGACAGCATGTACACACCCTTCTTTGCAATGCGTTGGAGATTAGAGTGCCCCTTATGTTTATTCAATAGGTTTATACAAATGTATTTGAAAATCAAATAACTATTGTGTATTTTCTTTAAATATTGTGGAATACATATGGACAGTACCTTTTAACTCTTTATTTGATCTCTATATTTGGCTATCCCCCATTAGAGTAATTTAACATTATACCACTACTCTTAATTACTCTGAATTGAGTGTTGTTTCTGCTTCCTACCAAAGATGCAGGATTGCTATAGGGCTGCTAGTGGTTTATTGGGAAACTTTCCACATATTTGGATATGATAACCCCCACAAGTTGTGTTTACTTTGTTATTCAGTCATTCAAGATTTATTTTATTGCATGTCCTATTGACTCTGATTTAAAAAAAAAATTAAAATAAAAGTGTATTACAAGATAACAAAAAAAATTTACAAAAATGTATTGATCTGCTATTTGTAGGAGTTTGACCAGGCTGCCACACGACAAGTACAGAGGATCTTCACACAGATAGATGAACTGCTGTATGAAAGGAAAACCAGCTCTCATGTGCAAGATCTCCAGGAAGAGTGTCAAGAATGGACAGCACACTTTCCACACTTACGGTATGCCGGGTCCCATGCTTCTTGAATTTTATTGAATGGAATTGAATTTTACACATATTGGGATGTTCTTTTCATAGTATAGTAAACATAAACATTGAAAACCCCTTACATCTCTCCACATAACATTTATATAGCACACTTTCAGTTCGTAATGCAAATATCACGCCAGGTATACAGAAACCTTTTATTTCCGTGTTGCCTATTCTGTAATGCTTTATTTTTGTTAACCTAATCACAGTGAAAAGTCACACGGTAAGATGACTGGTTTAGTACAGAAACACTTGTTAAGTTCATTTTACTAGGCCAAACACATCATTGTCTTTCTTTTCTGATTTGTAAAAATACTGATTTAGTTTAGAAGGTGTGTTTTATAAGACTACCTACATTAAGCCTTTTAGAGATGAAATGGTGAACAAGACATTTACTAACATACCTCTATGACAATGAACTGTACAGCGGAAATGTTATGATTTTAATATTTGTTATATTGACATTGCAGAATAAAAGGGATGCAAATAGTGACTCCTTTAGATGATGGCTACAGCTGGCATATCAGTCAGCCCTGTGACGTTTCTGAATCTGTGGTGGCACACAGTGGTACACATGAAAAGGATACAAGCGAGTGAGTACACATTTAGAGCATTTATACCTTCGTCATAGTAATCTGTATTCTACACTCAATATACTGTCGTTTCAACAATATCTAAGCTTTCTAGTTAATTCTTTATCCTGGTATTCTAATTTTTCCGTGATAACTTGTTTTGTCTCCTAGCTGCTTGCCTTGACATTACCTATCTAGCTCCAACTTTGTTTTGAGATTCAGTGAATTACTTGATATCCACTGCTCCTTTGGAGATACTTGATGGTTAGGGCTCTGCTATTGGGTATTAGGGTTAGGTCTCTGTAATTCTACAATGAATAGGAGAGGTGAAAATAAAACTCCATGGTGTATTTACAATTCATCGTACTTTCTATAGACTTTCCTCTAAGTACCATATCTTGTGAAGTTGTGTACTTTTGGTAATTCACCAGATGTGCTACGTGCCTCCAGTGGTGGTCATTTCATTGGCTCCGCTTGCATGTGTGCAGGTATGTTTTTTGGCATTCCTTATATGGAATATCCATACAGGGAGTGCAGAATTATTAGGCAAATGAGTATTTTGACCACATCATCCTCTTTATGCATGTTGTCTTACTCCAAGCTGTATAGGCTCGAAAGCCTACTACCAATTAAGCATATTAGGTGATGTGCATCTCTGTAATGAGAAGGGGTGTGGTCTAATGACATCAACACCCTATATCAGGTGTGCATAATTATTAGGCAACTTCCTTTCCTTTGGCAAAATGGGTCAAAAGAAGGACTTGACAGGCTCAGAAAAGTCAAAAATAGTGAGATATCTTGCAGAGGGATGCAGCACTCTTAAAATTGCAAAGCTTCTGAAGCGTGATCATCGAACAATCAAGCGTTTCATTCAAAATAGTCAACAGGGTCGCAAGAAGCGTGTGGAAAAACCAAGGCGCAAAATAACTGCCCATGAACTGAGAAAAGTCAAGCGTGCAGCTGCCACGATGCCACTTGCCACCAGTTTGGCCATATTTCAGAGCTGCAACATCACTGGAGTGCCCAAAAGCACAAGGTGTGCAATACTCAGAGACATGGCCAAGGTAAGAAAGGCTGAAAGACGACCACCACTGAACAAGACACACAAGCTGAAGCGTCAAGACTGGGCCAAGAAATATCTCAAGACTGATTTTTCTAAGGTTTTATGGACTGATGAAATGAGAGTGAGTCTTGATGGGCCAGATGGATGGGCCCGTGGCTGGATTGGTAAAGGGCAGAGAGCTCCAGTCCGACTCAGACGCCAGCAAGGTGGAGGTGGAGTACTGGTTTGGGCTGGTATCATCAAAGATGAGCTTGTGGGGCCTTTTCGGGTTGAGGATGGAGTCAAGCTCAACTCCCAGTCCTACTGCCAGTTCCTGGAAGACACCTTCTTCAAGCAGTGGTACAGGAAGAAGTCTGCATCCTTCAAGAAAAACATGATTTTCATGCAGGACAATGCTCCATCACACGCGTCCAAGTACTCCACAGCGTGGCTGGCAAGAAAGGGTATAAAAGAAGAAAATCTAATGACATGGCCTCCTTGTTCACCTGATCTGAACCCCATTGAGAACCTGTGGTCCATCACCAAATGTGAGATTTACAAGGAGGGAAAACAGTACACCTCTCTGAACAGTGTCTGGGAGGCTGTGGTTGCTGCTGCATGCAATGTTGATGGTGAACAGATCAAAACACTGACAGAATCCATGGATGGCAGGCTTTTGAGTGTCCTTGCAAAGAAAGGTGGCTATATTGGTCACTGATTTGTTTTTGTTTTGTTTTTGAATGTCAGAAATGTATATTTGTGAATGTTGAGATGTTATATTGGTTTCACTGGTAATAATAAATAATTGAAATGGGTATATATTTGTTTTTTGTTAAGTTGCCTAATAATTATGCACAGTAATAGTCACCTGCACACACAGATATCCCCCTAACATAGCTATAACTAAAAACAAACTAAAAACTACTTCCAAAAATATTCAGCTTTGATATTAATGAGTTTTTTGGGTTCATTGAGAACATGGTTGTTGTTCAATAATAAAATTAATCCTCAAAAATACAACTTGCCTAATAATTCTGCACTCCCTGTATATATCCATAATATCCAGCTCACCGGGAAATTAATCAGGCACCAAAACGTTAAATGGTATTCAGAATTAATACATTTTAATGCACTAAATGTAAATTCACAATGCAAAATAAGGTAGAAATTATACAAGTAACATGAGCAGTAATTACCGTGTGACTGATTTATATGAAACATGTATAATCCCAAGGTAGCAACAAGTATCATATCATAACAAGTAGCATACCATTAGAATACTGTAAATTGATGACGGTGGAATGTTGAAGGTTTTATTTGACATTGACCAGGCTCAAATCCTGTTGCATTTTGAACACCAATCCGCAAACTGCCTAATAGTTATTTGATCAATGACTCCTCAACGAGAATGTGAGGGGGGAGGGGAATTAAATCTGGGATTAAGAATTCCAAAAATTTTAAATGAACTTCTGGGCACTAGAAATAGATGAATGCATACCTGGCAGTTGGTATGAAGCCAAAATAGCTTCAGAATGACAAGAAGGATACAATAACTATGTGAAAACTAAATATAGCTGGTTAATTTGCTACATGTGTGAAAAAGAACATATAAAGTAACCATGTGTATATTTAGATTACTGGAGCCAAAATTTTTCTCCCTCTCTCTTTCCTATTTTTTTTCTTTCTAAGATTTGGTATTTTGGGCACAAAATTAAAATTTTCTTCTAAAAGTCATCCCAGTACTCCAGTTTACTTTTTCCTGAGTGGTGAAGAAGACCAGCAGGAAGATGATGTAGGAATCCTTCTCTCAGAAGGGATAATGGAGGAATATTTGGCGTTTGATAGCAGAGATATGTGAGTCATAGCTATTTATTCTCTTAAGATCTTAGCTTAAACTGACCAAACCAATAAGTGTCTATCAGTCAGAACTCTTTCTTCAAAATCTTTCTTCCAATCTCTATAAGTTAACAGAAAAAACATTGTCATGAAAGCTATGTCTTCAAGTGATTGATGACCAATAAATAAACACTATTAAATTAAAGGGACACTACAGCTTAATGTAGTAGTACTGGTGTCTATAGCATGTCCCTGCAGTCTTAGCACTGTAAACACTGGCTTTTCACATTGCAGCCTAGTAATACCTCTTGTGGCAGTCATTCAGACAGCCACTAGAGGTGCTTCCCATCTCAATGCATGCTGCATGAAGACAATTACCGCTCCCCATAGAGATACATTGATTCAGTACATCTCTATGAGGAGGTGCCGATTGGCGCAGTGTGCCGTCTTTATGCACATGCACAGTAGCCTTCCCTTACTTTTCCAGATTGAGCTCAGCCACTGAGGTGGGGCCAGCTGCGGCAAAACCAGGGCAGCAATGGAGAAAAGATAAGTAAACTACCTTTTTACTGCACAGAGAGTATAGTATCGTGTCCCTTTAAGACACAGTATGAATTATACATATTGTGTTCTTGGAGGATTTAACAAAATAACCAGTATTAAATTAAGCTTCCTGAAGTCATGAATTAATTATAGAATATGTTCAAAATGTATTTCCCCCTCACTTATGAAAAAGGCATACTCCACACATTTAAATCATTGTAGAACATGGTTTTATCTCTATAAATATAATGGGCACTAGAAGCCAAGTAAATTAAAGCAACTCTGTCACCATCTGGGTCTTTGCATAATTTCCAAAGACCCCCAACTGTGACTTTACTGCTTGGCATCTGGTATAGGGTAAGGTGAGCTATACTTTCCTGAATCTGTCCACCGTTGCCATGCTCTTCCTGCCCGTCCTTTTCAATTCCTGTTTTTCTAGTAAATGCAGCTTTTATAAAATCAACGAAAGACATTGTTGTTGGGTTTTTTTTTTTTTGTTTGTTTTTTTTTGTAGGGAAGATGAGCTCTTTGAAAAGACCAGAAATATGTCATTGGACAGTCTTAAGATGGGATATCCCCCCATTTCTCCAAAACACTGCAACAAGGAGGCAGTTCTTGCATATCTGTTTGATGATGTGTGGAGAGAAGTTGTGGGGTGCTTGGAGGAGCTTATTTGCAGGCATTGGGAAGAATCCTTTACAGGTAAGATGAAAAGTGATAGTCAAGCCTCATGACAATGCATAAAATGCCATCATCAAACTTTGCTCACAAGGAATGATGGGACCAAGTTCCATGTTAAAAATTCTGTCATGCTTTTCATATATATGTTAAATATTTTCAGCTGCTGAATTTTAAACGTATAGGAACACTATACAATTAAATTAAACAGTGTTGTAAAGAAATTAAGTTTCTGAACAATACTCTGTAAGACTGACTCGTACTGCACCCCCCACAGTAGTAGATACTATCTTGGGACTAACCCCATACCAGATGTTTGGTAAGAGAATGCACGCAAGACTTATGTGTTCACCAAGGTTGTAGACCACTGGGCTTACGAAAGTGCCAATGTTATTGGCGTTACTCTTTGCGCATGTTGTGCCCACGCCATGGTAGTTCAGATGCAGACTGAGGTCTACGAATCTCACCACAAGTTAGCGCATTACTACCTGATACTGTAAGGAATGTGCTTAGGAGTCCTGTTAGTAAGATAATGCATGTTATGTTGTGACCTGCGTGTCACCGATATATGACTGAGCGGACATCACTTCCTACTAAAATTGTTATGGTTTCATTTTGAAGGGACCTGCGTGTCCTAATTGTCGCACATTCATAGCTATTTGAGGATCTGAAAGATTGCACGTTCAATAAAAACGTATTTACAAAAAAAAAAAAAAAAAGTTTCTGAACAAGTAACATTGACATTCCTCCAATAGATGTCGGAGGGCTAAATACAGAGACTAGCTCTCTTTATACAGCACTTTGTTGTAAATCCTGCATGCAAAAGCTGAAGTGTCAACATGAGAAAAAGCTCACCTGAAAGATGGTCACACAAAACACAGACACACCATCATGTTTAGTGCCTGGGCACACATCATGATAGACCCAGGTTTTCTAGCACAGGGTTATGTACATAGATATAGGGTTAACCCAAGATAGTTTTCTAGCTGAGCCCAAGGAAATGGTGACCCCCCCATCCCCACTCTAAATATCATCGCATACTTCTTTTTTGTTAATCACACAAAGACATACACACACACACACACACACACACACGTGTATGTTTAGACAAACCTAGGTAAATAGGCAATCACACACTAAACACACCAACTTAGCAATAAATTCAGATAGCCACAATCATTTGTTATGCAAATCTTGTATAGACAATTCTGGTGTATGAGAGAAAACCATGAAAACATGTGTACATGATTCCAGTGGTGAAAGGATTAATTTTCCAACCATATAAAATGCTTTTGATAGATCTATTCTTTTATAGAGCAAAATATCTGATCCATGGTACATGCAAGTTGTTTTAATTTAGAAGTTAATTCAATTTATACATATTGCAAATGAATGTAAACAATGGGGGATAAAGAAACTTAAAAAAGGGGGGGGGGGAACCTTCCAACTCTTTGCCAAATGTTGATTAAAAAGGGAGCACAAGAGAACCACTGTAAGAGGTGGACTGTAGTTGCTGTGGTTCTTCTTCTAGCCATTGTTTCTTGTGCTGACTAGAAGGATATAGGGAAAGAGTGATTAGATGTTCAGATGCCTACCACCTGGCAGCAAAGCCACTGTTCTGGCATCATGGGGTAAATGCTCTGTTTTGAAATGTTTGCAAGCAAGCGCAGGCGGAACCAGAACATGGTGTGACAATATTGTAACACCCACAGAGCTGTAATCATGGTGGCTCTAGAGCAAGGCTGAGCTGTGTTAAAATCTCATAAATTTCTACTGGATATATCATTAATCTCTAAATAAATGATGAGATATTATATATATATATATATATATATATATATATTGCATATGGAGGGGCGTTCTTTTAACCCCTTAAGGACACGTGACCTGTCATGATTCCCTTTTATTCCAGAAGTTTGGTCCTTAAGGGGTTAAACTGAATCCGCCATCATAGATACACTTACTTTAAAATCAAAATGACTAAAAGTCTACTTAAATTTTACTTTCTAAAAGCTGGTAAGTACTAATTATATTTTTGAACTGACATATCTATCATTATCTGAAAGTGCATCCACAGATCAAATACATTTATTTGAGCAAACTAATTTTACTAGATTTTCCTCCTTACATGTGTTCATTTTCTTTCCCCCCTTTTAAGATGATGACTGCCACGGCATAGTTATTAAGACTACTAGAGTAGAAAGTGTTAATCCACATGCACAATTTCAGCTTCCTCCATTGACGCTTCCACCAGTTTTTCATGCCAAACCTTCTGCCATCTCCACAAATCTGGTAAGTAAAAATAAACTCATATTTGCTTCCTTCTCTCTACAGGTATTAAGGACATCCCTTCACTCTGGACTCTCTTTTAATTACTTTATATTGCAATGTTTAAAGGGTACCTGTCACCAAATATAAAATGGTGACACTCCATGGAATGGCCATCTTCATATACATGCCATGCCGAAATATATGTACTATAAAAACAATGGGTGTGCTTGCCTTAGGGTGCCTTCTCATTCATCTTTGTGGTAGTCCATCAATGTGTACTTAGGTCACTGTAAAGGACCAGATGCAAAGGTTACTCCAACCACCATGACCTCTTCAGTGACTTAAAGTGGTTATAATGCCTGTAGTCTGTATATACGGCTATGAAACGCAGCACATACAGATATTAACAACTCTGCTGCTAGATATGCAACCCCACTGATTACACACATACACAACAATTAGCCTAAGATAAAATGGGCCAGAAGAAATGACATTAAAGGGATACTATAGTGCCAGGAATACAAAGCTGTATTCGTGGCACTTTCGCTCCCTCTTCCTCCCCTCCCTTGCATCCTCCTTCCCTGCTGCGGTGAATAATGGGTTAAAACCCCTTTATTTACTTACCTGATCCCAGTGCTGATATCCCTCGGAGCTGGGTCGTGGCTTTGCCTCCTCCGATGAGGGGACGCTAAAGCACATGCACGGTGAGAGCTGCGTGCGCACTAGGCCCTCCCCGTAGGGAAACCTTGGTTTCATGTTTTCCTATGGGGAAGTAGCTGACGCTGGATATCTTCATGCAGAGCGTGAGGATGTCCAGCGTCAGTTACCGAACCAAAAGTAAGTTAACATCCAGGAAGCACATCCAGGAAGCACCTCCAGTAGCGGTCTAGTAGACATCCACTGGAGGCAGTCTTAGTGCTGCAAAGTAAACATTGCAGTGTCTCTAAAACTGCAATGTTTTACATTGCAGCACTAAGTGCACCCAGACCACTTCAATGAGCTGAAGTAGTCTGGGTGACCATAGTGTCCCTTTAATTGAGTAGAAAATCCCTTGTGTTTTGTTTATTTAGTTTCACATTGTTCTCAGATATACTGTGTCATGTTTAGAACATATGTCTCAGAATGCACGTGATCTGTTTGTTGTTCATACCATGAGTTCCTATATAGGTGCGTTGTTGTTGTTTGTTCTGGAATGAATGTTTAGATTAGTATCAATTACATTTTGACCTGCTTCTATTTAAATAAATATGCAATTAGAATAATATATAATGATGCTCTTAAATCATAAATATATTTAAATTTTGGTAAAAGTTATTATTCTGAATAACCACTCAGAATGTTTTTTAATTTATATAATTTAAAGTAAAGAGATTGTAAGGCATTGGTTTCAATTCAAGCAAGACCCCACACATATAATTCAAAATGTATTACTAAATTATCTTAAAACCAAAAGCGAGGTTGTTGGTTTTGGTCACTTAAATCTTGGTACGATCTAGGTGGCCATTCAGCTGGAGATTGCAAAGGAAGATGGACCTATGTGATTTTCTTTAAAAAGGTAGAATGATATAAGTGGGCTGTTAGGGGGTCAGTACGGGGCTCTAATGATACTTGCTGCACACTTTCACCCAAATGCGGCAAGTCCCCTGAACTTGAGTTAAACAAGGCAGGGATGCAATAGCACTTTGCATTGGACTCTAGATCCCAGGTAATGTATTCATGACCCAATTGATGTCTCACTGTGTTACCCCACGTTAAATGTCTGAATTAATTTAGTACCTGAGAATTCTAAACATGTAGGTTTAATTGATAACTAGCCCAACTTGTGTTTTTTTAAATCGATCATGAAGAACTTTGTGCTGGGTATATTAATTTAAAAATGTAAACTACTTTTTTTTTCTGTTTTGATTTCTACTTCTCATTGTAAGCTCCTATTCTGATCTTTTCTTTTTATTTATTCCTCTCACTTCTGTCCTTGCTTTGGCCTCATTAAACATTCTAGAATTCAAATGATAGATGCAAAACCAAAGTCAAAAAGAGTGGAAAACCCTCTCACGTATGTATGACCAAATACCTACCATCTAATGCTAAAGATTCTGTTATTCACAAATTCTAGTAATATTACTGATATCTGGCACCTCATCAAAATATAATTACATTTTCTTGTTTTGATGTTTAAAACATTACAGCTTTGTATTCTGTGGTGGTAAAAAAAAAAAAATAATAATAATAATAATAATAATGCAAGGATGCTTTATCATGTGCTGAAATCAATTTTCTTTTGCAGGCTAATCGTTCTCATGGGGGAAGCATCTCCAGTTCACGTAATCTGAACGACTTGATATTGATTCATGGATTCCCATTGCAACAGAGGAATCTACATCTGTGAGTCGTGACAATCTCAACAGTAAAGATATTTTGCATCTTTATGTTTTCGTATCGGGCATTTGACTTTGAAGTGTGTGTTCCTACAAATTAATCCTGTTTCAATGTATCTGAACATATTTTACTGTTGGTAAATGTAACTATACTTCTGTAAAGTAATTTCACAGTAGTGGACTTTAGTGGTGTGGCTGAATTATTCTAAAGAAGTGCTAACAAAAGACATAAGACTTTCGGCCTTTGGGGAAGCATTGGATTGGCTGAGATCATCAGGATTGATTATCTCAGTTGGTGAGGTGTGGCAGCCACAACAGGGCTGGCTCGCCGGGGGAGTAAAGGTTGAGTACATTTTAAAAAAGATCGTATTTTCTAATATGTGCACATGTATTGTAGAAGAAAAACAATAAAACAACCAATTGAATGTCCTACCCACATTACGCTATGCCAGGCTAGATGGAGTAGCTGATGGGAAGCAGGAGTTCTATGCACCCCTTCCTGCCAGTCACCCTGTCCCTGCACTGGGTGACAATTGGGATATAGACAAAGGCAGTTTGGTGTTTCTTTGGAGTAGGAAACCGTGTCCTATATTTTAAAAATACAGTATGTAGAGGTTATGTTTATACTTAAACATTGCTGTGTACAGGTTAACTGCATACACCAATATGGCAATATATGCCAGTTTAGGATCATTGTTATTTTTTATTTGCTTAATTAATTATTTCTACAGGGCCTCTGCCAACTTTGCTTTCAATGTTTTTTGTATAGATCTGCATGATTTGTCTTTATCCGGATATTTGTGCAGGGTAATTTTGGAGTACCATATTTTGGATTTTGAATTGTTGTTTTCTTTATCATTTTTAATGTCATGCAGCGATTCTGATGAGAAATCTCCTCTGAGGCCAACATCTGCTGCTCTAATCTCTGGCAAACCACGTTCTGTCCGCTTGTTAGAGCAGAGCTCCTCATCCTTGTCGTGTAACGTTTCATCAGCTAGGAGACGCAACCCTCCACGCACCCTGCATCCTATCAATAACAGTTCATCCAGAGCTGGGACACCAAAAATGGAAGACGTCATCAGAGGAACACGACTGTATGTCTGCAGACCTTTATTTTTCACAATGCAGAATGTACATATATATAGAGAGTCCTGCACTTCTAACTAGTACTAAAAGTTACTCACCACTGCAAGCATAGAGTGTTCATGGCACAATAACCAGGGGTGAATTTCTTCTTGCCAGGGCTTAATTTTCACACCATAATTCTATAATTATATTTAGCAGTAGTAGTAAATGGGGGTTTGAACTTATGCATGTGCAATAAAATACAGAGCAGATTAGAAGTGTGTATTCCATTTATAATTGAAAGGATCACTTTTAGTAATATGGCACATTTAAAGAGACACTATAGTCACCAAAACAACGTTTGCTTAATGAAGCAGTTTTGGTGTATCGATCATTCCCCTACCGTCTCATTGCTCAATTCTCTGCCATTTAGGAGCTAAAACACTTTGTTTATGCACCCTAGTCACACCTCCCTGCATGTGACACAGCCTTCCTAACACTTCCTGTAAAGAGTCATCTAATGTTCATACTTCCTTTATTGCAAATTGTGATTACTTTAACATTTCTTATTCCCTGCACTGATAATAGCTTGCTAGAACCTTCCAGAGCCTCCTGTGTGTGATTAAAGTTCAATTTAGAAAGCAGGAGGTAAAAACCTTTAAAGTAAGTTACAACTAAACTAAAAGTGAAACCATTTTTTTCATGCAGGCTGTGGAGAGGTGTGACTAGGGCTGCATGGACAGAATCAAGAGTGATTTAACTCCTAAATGATAGTGAATTGAGCACCGAACCTTCAGAGGCATGATCTATACACCAAAACTGCTTCATTAAGCTAAAGTTCCTTTGGTGACTATAGTGTCCCTTTAACCATGCTTTTCTTGCAGGTGTTTTTAAAAGGGGGTTATCTTTATGCTTAATCTTACTTTATGTTATATTTGATGTACTGTAACATGTTTTGTTTTCTTGTTGCTGCTTTATTTGTCAGACATGCTACAAATGACCAGCCATCAAGTTCTCCTGTATCTTTCACCAGAAACAATCTACTGCCACCTATTGCTACTTCAGATTTAGATCACCAGAGTATGCCTGGGTCACGAGGGCAGACGGTAAATATTAAACCATTAGAAAAATAAAGATCCAGCACTCCTTTTTATGAGAATGAAATACTTTGTGGCCTTTATGTCATGTTTTGACCCTGAAAGGCCTTGACAGTAGGCTAAAACATTGTCTTTCATTACATGCATATACTGGATTGTGGTTCTAGGCTTCTTTCACCCTACAACTTACCAGTTAAGAGTGCTCTTCACATAGATTGTATGGTATTATATATAAATTAATGTATTAAAGGCCTTGCTAATGTGAAAATTATTTAATAGATATCTATAATATAGATAGACATGTTTACTGCAAATAAACTACACATTTTCAAATATCCAATACATACTTTGACTGTTTATGCCTAATTACCTACTTTGTCATTTTGTGCTTTATGTTCTGATACAAAATATAAATTGTGTACATTTTACTGCAAAAGCAATGTTATTTGTCATAAATCAGCTACTCATAAATGTGCAGTATATAACAACAAAAGACCTTCAGTACATAATGTCCCCAACATAAATTGTACCCAATATTTCCTCATTACAACCTGCTTTTGAGTTAATGTATTTATTATTTTATATTGTGTAATTTAAACCACCCTGCAAATGGAATATTTTTCATGGGGAGACTAAATGTTGTTCATTCAATTATATCCACTTAAGTTCAGTTCATATAAAGAAGAAGTGCACTAAAGGTAGATCCTCCAAAGGATTTAAAACAAATTCTTCTGTCATGTTTTGCCATTCTAAAGCACAGCAAAACATCACGGGAGTGGTAGTTTGACACCATATATGGTTCTATATTTTTGGCACGCCTATAGAGCTTGAGGGGATTTAAAAATATGTGACTATTTATAATTTATTGTCCAAGAAGTTTGCTCTTTACAGCAGATTGGGGCAACCATTAATTTGTATCCTCCGTAGATTTGCTTTACTGACCTTACCTCCCTGACCATCATCTGACCTCAAACAGCCAATCAGGATACAGTTTTGATTTAAAAAGGTTGGCTGTTTTAGTCTTTCCATGCAGTCCCTCGTTTAAAATATAAGGCTAAGCAGTAAAAGTAAAAGGGAACATCTAACAATTCCCATTAGTTTCCTATATATATTTGAATGTATTTTGAGTATCACGTAAAAGCCTTTTACATTAAGGCATTACTGACACTTTAATAAGCATTCAAACACCAATATCTACTACTTTGAAAGTAATCTACTATTTTTCCAGCCAGATAACCAACTGGGGAGGTCCTTCATAGTCTATGATCACACAAATCTGCTTCGTAGGAGAGGATCTGATGGATTAGGTAGGATCCTGGTATACATATTTTCCCACTTTTAGCTTTTTGTCACAAATAACAAAGTGAATATTGAACTATTAAAGGGACAATGTAAGCACTATAACCATTTTATTTAAACAAATTGGCTATCATTCCTGGTCTCCCCTGGCACTATCCCTTCATTCGGTGTTAAACCATTTTAAAGCAGTTTAACATTGAATTCGGCTCACTAAGTTCCCATAGCCCCTTCCCCACTGAAGGTGTGGCTAAGGCAGAGCTTGCACACTTCTTCTAACCATTCCATTTCATACCTGAATGGTCACAGTGATAGGCTGAAAGTGGTCAGCTGACACTTTCAGCCAATCACAGCCACCCATTTGCTACTTGCGCTAATGCTTCCTTATTAGCTCAAGCAAAACAGAGGGGATGAGCTGCTGGGAGCTTTCATATAGCATTAACATATTAAAACGGTTTAACAATGAATGGAAGGATGATGCCAGGGGACTCCAGACACTATAATCACTTTCATGAGATGGAGCTTTTACAGGGCCTACACTATCCCTTTAATATAGCAGATAAAATGTAAGCAGCTATGCTGGTGTCTTAGCTATCTCTTTTTTTCGTTATCTTTGTAAATGTGCAGATAGGACTCTCAAATCATCTATTTATTTTTTTCACTTACCTGTTGTGTTCTGTTTTGCCTAAATAATATCATAAAATGCTGTATGCTTTGCACCATATAGGAAAATGTGATATTTGTGAAACAACTCTAGGGAAACCTCAACATGCAGACAATGGCTGCAAACTGTAGAAAGGGCTATTCACTAAGCTGGGATTTTGTATTTATTGGCCCTGCTTAAACGATCTTACAATCTATGAGGAATGATAATCTGTTTATGACATGGTGTCTATATATGGTGTCTAAGGCAAAGGAAAGGTTTTTTTACTGTAAGAACAATAAGGATGTGGAATTATCTGCCTGAAGAAGTGCTTTTATCAGAGTCCATACAGATGTTCAAACAGCTACTAGATGCATACTTGCAAAAACAGAATATTCAAGGATATAATCTTTCAATGTAGGGTAATAACTGCTTGATCCAAGGATAAATCTGACTGCCATTCTGGGGTCAAGAAGGAATTTTTTTCCTAGCTTGTTGCAAAATTGTGCTTCAAACTGGGTTTTTTTGCCTTCTTTTGGATCAACAGCAAAAATCAAATGTGAGGAAGGCTGAACTTGATGGACGCAAGTCTCTTTTCAGCTATGTAACTATGTAATATATTTGAAAAACACAGCGACAGTGAGAGAAAGAAAACTTTCACCGAAAGGGTGTAGGGTCTAGATTTTTGCCTAGATTAGGTGTTTTTAAAAAAACAAATAAAATCTTTCAATATTGAAGTTGCTGTTTAGTGGATAGGTGAGTGCGCTGGATCTTGTGTTTTGTATTATTTGGCCCCCAGCAGCACCCCCATTTATGCATGTTAAGGTGAGTGCAGCCAACCCCCTTTTGTTTTATATATATATATATATATATATATATATATATATATTTTTTTTTTTAACTTTCTTGTAAATAAGGCAATTTACCTTAAACTTGTAATTAGGGTATCTAGAGTGCTATTGGACCTACAGTCTTCCTTATTGTGTCTATATATTTAAAAATCTAATCTTTTCTAAAATGTATAAAGCATGAAAGAGTTTTATGAAAGACTTGATGTAAAATCTGAAAACATTGCAATTTATGTACCCTAAAGAAAGTCGAATTCTGGAATACAATTCAAATACTGAGGGTTCTGTTACTGAGAAATATGCATTTCTAGGGGAACTGCTGGCAAAAATATTTCCGTTTATTTAGCGTGTGCTCTATCTTGTTGGTTTAGTTGATTGTGTTGTTTCTGTCCTCTCAGTGAGGCCTTAATTGCTTAGTAATAGTTCAAACTCAGCTGAATTCTAAAAAACATTACCATATTTTAACTGCTTTTTATCTTCATAAAGACAAGGTTATTTACCAAGATGAATCTTAAAGGACCACTATAGTGCCAGGAAAATAAACTCGTTTTCTTGGCACTATAGAGTCTTTAGGTTCCCCCCCATCCTCAGGGTCCCAGTCCCCCTGGGCTGAAGGGGTTAAACACTTACCTTTCTCCAGCGCCAGGCTCCCTCGGCACTCGGGAACTCTCCTCCCTCCCCCGACGTCAGCTTTGAATGCGCATGCACGGCAAGAGCTGTGCGCGCATTCAAACAGTCCATAGGAAAGCATTTCTCAATGCTTTCCTATGGACGTTCGCATCTTCTCACTTTGATTTTCACAGTGAGAAGCTCGGAAGCGCCTCTAGCGGCTGTCAGTGAGACAGCCACTAGAGGCTGGATTAACCCTAGTGTAAACATAGGTTTAACACTGCAGGGTTAACACTAGATGGACCTGGCACCCAGACCACTTCATTGAGCTGAAGTGGTCTGGGTGCCTATAGTGGTCCTTTAAATCTTAGGCCAGAGTAGCCAAAATTAAAGCACTTCCATTTTGACCTTAAACTTGAAATTCACTTTTAATTCTCACTTTAGTAAATAGCCCTTTTAGTGTTTATCTGTAATCTGGCCACTAAACAGATTTTTTTTCCCTTCCTCTCCGTAAAATGGTGAGACCGTCTTCAAACTTTTAGTGTCCTAAAGACTGAAATTAAATGAGGAATAGACTGAAATTGGAAAATGATTCCATATAAGAAAACTCACTACTAGAGAACTATAGTTCTCTTGTACAGATAGAAGAAGCCATTGCGGGCTAAGCTTGACAGCAATGGGGTCATTTTCATTCTATTTTATTAAAGTGGCTTCTCATGAAATAAAACAGGAATAACTGTTGTACAGCCCTAACTCTCTTTAGCTTGTAAGAGCCTCAAGTGACTGTGTGTGGTACTATAAATCAGCAAGATTATTGGAGGAGCTAAAACAATGTTATTTTGGGGGTGTGGGGCAATTGAGTAGCCTCTTCTCATGTACTGGAAAAAGAGCTTCCTTATTGTTCACATATTTTTTAACATATCCAGACCTTCATTTAAAAATCATTAAAAAGCAAACTTAGTTTATTATTAGCCAAATAAGCGCTACTTTTATTTCCCACTTGATACTTTCATACACACTGCATTCTGTGTACCCAATGTAACAAATTTACTTTTTAAATTTGGACTTTATTTTATTTTCTTCTTCAATTGTTTTTGTTTGTTTCTGGGGGAAAAAATAGGTTATAGCAAGGTTCTATTGAAATCCAAAATGAATTGTTGTAGTCTGTTGATTCTGAACTGTTGGTTTTAACCAGGGCTGCGCGAATGTAATTCATCTAGCCATATGAAGATTAAAATACTGAAGAGACCACATGACTTGACACTTGTTTCATCGGTCTAATGCAGTGGTTTCCAAACCAGTCCTCAAGGCACGCTTACCAGTCCAGGATTTAGGGATTACGAAGGCGTTCTTGAGGACTGGTTTGGAAACCACTAGTCTAATAGCTGGCTTTGTCATGGTTCTCATCAGGTCACTAGAGTGGGTGATTTATCAAGATGAAAACAGGTGTTATCCTCCGACAGAGGGCTAAATAAGCAGCAATCACCATAAAAACCATTATAATATCTTTCAACATTTAGCACTTTGCACTCAAAATAGCACCTGCTTTTTCTTGATAAATACTTACCAGATGTTTTGCAATAATCATTTGACTGCAAATGTCTCCGTTTTGTATAAATGGCTGGTGTTGAGATGGAGTAATCACTGAAGTTTTCAAAGTTTTATATATGCTGAGCACAAATACCAATGAAACCCTAAGCAACCTTGTTTAATTTTGCGAATTGTTTTTCAGCCGCAGATTCCAGGAGGATTGGTGTGACTGGAGTAAATATAGGAGTTACTAGTTCTTCTTTAGCCAATTCTACTCAGTGGGGCCATTCATCTAATGTACTAAGGGAGGGGACAGAAACTCTTATTTCAGGTAAGAAATACAATACCACCATAAACCTGGTAGATTAGTTTAACTGTGGTGAAATGTATATTGTTTAATCCACGTTTGTGCTATTTGTTGGATTATTGTTCAGGAATAGCACCCTCTCCCCAAATTTCAGGCTGTTGATCGTGAGCTAAAGTTAAATATCTGAAATTCTTTCATGATACTATATGATGCAGTAATGACAATGGTGTTTTACCATAATATTATTTGTTATTTTAGCAGTATATTAACAGTTTGCATGTGAACAAAGTGCCATATATACTGCCAAATGATATGTCTTAAAGGACCACTCCACACCCATAAAGCACATCAGCACTTCCTTCATTTATGGGTAATGAGTGCCCTATTTCAGTAGCACTTCAGGTATCAGTCTGTGATGGTGGAAAGGGAAGGGCTTGCAAAGTTTTTGGGAAGAATATCTATTTGGTATACACCACATTACAACATGCTTATCCCCTTAAGGGCCAAACTTCTGGAATAAAAGGGAATCATGACATGTCACACGTCATGTGCCCTTAAGGGGTTAAATAAATGCATGTTTTCATTGAGATTTTGTCTGAAAATAGTGATTTTATTTTTATTTTTTTGTGTGTGGGCTGTTTCTTTCACATTTTTTTTCTTGTTGTTTCTTAGGGATTCCTTTGCATTTGTCACTAAAATCTTCTACCCGGGGAGGATTTCTTACAGGAAATAGACAAAGACTTTAGATTTTCTCCAAGACCTACAATATGAAATATTTGCATTTGACCCATTTTTATGAACATTTTTAAGATACAGCAGATGCCAAATGTTCTAGAGATGGCTGCCTATGGGAATGTCCCAATGGATCATGGGCTTTTGGCATTTCAAACCAAAGAGTAATGTGACTGAAGATGGACAACACCGAAGCTCTAATTGAGAAAATGTATTGGGTGCAGAACAGCGGCACACTACAAACAAAAAGCAATAAGCAAGTCTGCAAAAAATACTTTGTATAAACAAGCACTGAAAGCCATAAAATAACAAATCATTTCTATTCTCTCTTAAAGCTGTTTTGTGCAGCATGGCCAAACTTTTGATATCTCTGGGCAAGGGAAAATTACTTTACTTCAAGTTCAGCTGTGTCTGAAATCACAACACTGTTATTTATGAATTAGCACTGGTAATTTTCTACAATATCCATGTTTCTGACTAAATCTATTTTCAGTTTAAACAATTTAGCAATATAATGCATTTGAGGGTCTCTCAATAATAAAAAAATAAATGCAATTGTGTTTTAAAGGGTTACTAATGTTGCTTTACAAAAAGAGAGGCTTGTGGTGTGTTTTTTTTTTTTTTTTGCAAGCCTAATGTAATCTGATCAAATCACGTAATATGTTCTTTAATTGAGAAATGACATGACAGTTGCATTTGTGCCCGTACAACAGTTAAAAAACTAAGCAATGAAAGTACAAAGGTGAAGTAATGCATAGGTTTTCTTACAAAAAATATTTGCCTCATATTTCTGTTTTTATTTATTTAAATGCCTCTACCTGTCCATGCCATGGTTTAGATCAATGCTTCTATAATCTTAACTATAGCAAGGTTAAAGTGGCACTGTTAGCGTCTGGGGACTTTGCCGAATTTGCAAAGACTTCCAACAGTGACATCACTGCTGAGGGGCTGGTTGTCTAGTGGCAGGTAACAATGAGATTTTCCTACTTGAACCTGTCACTTGCGGGCGCCACCATCTTCTTCAGTCTGCTTTCTTCGGTTACAGGAGCCAAAGTCACTGCTATACTCTTGCGCATGTGCAAGAGTACAGTATTTAGGTCTATGAAGGAGACCGCAGGATCCTCCATAGACACAGACAATTCCCTGTTGGGATTGACACTTAGTCCGCCCTGAGTCTTAGAAAGTCAGGGGGAGGAGAAATACAGAGAAAAAGCAGTCCCTAATTTGTCTCTGTATATCTCTTGACTGGGTTAAAATTTCAACACAGCCAAAATTAGTATTTCATAAAGATTATCTTTTCAGGAGGGAGTAACAGTGTCGCTTTAAGCCAGAATTCATACAAAGCGCAAACTTTATCCTCTGTTCAGTGCACCCTGCAATTAGGCAATGTTTGTTTTTGGGGAGGGTGGGGGGAGAGGAGAGAAGAGAGGGGGGTCCACTAGTTAGAGAAGACTTAAAAGTAGTTTGCAGTGAGGATGTGATACTAAAACAGCTGACTAAATATTTAGTATGTTTTATTACTTATTTCAGCTGCATGAGACTCAATGTCTGATTCCCATTAAAGTTTTTCCATTTGTTAATTACATGATGGATTAATCGTTCAAGCGTAAATTAACAGGAATTTAATTACTTCATCACAGGTGAAAAGGATTTGTACACAAGTCAATTTTGAAGTTCCATTAAATCCTTCACTGCCAAAACAGAGTATACACATTTTTATTTAAATATTTTTTACAGGATGAAATTTAGTTCATAAAGCCTCATTAATGCTCATTTATACTTCAGGAATGGTTACCACCCTGTGGAGGAACACATTTCTCTGCAAGAAGCCACCGATTTAATACCTGAAAATTCTCAGAAAATGTCTGCATCTCCTATTATTCCTAGAGTCAGTGAAGGGGTGGAGTGAAAGGACTATCAATGAGTATTACTGGGGAAGGGGAATGTGGGTTGTAGTTGGCAAGGCTTGTGGGGAGCTGTTGCGTAGGGATGTGTCACGGTGTAATACCCCAACACGCAGAGTCTAGGATAGCAAGGGACAAGACTAGGAAATAACTTATTACTGGGACTTAGAATGGCAGGACTAAACGTTAGACAGAGAAAAAGCGTAATCAGAGACGAACCGAGGTCAAGCTAATGGAAAGAAGGTAGTAGTTAGGCGGCGCCAGAAATGGAGAGTAAAATTGATAAATGTTGTAGTATAGTCTATGGATTTGAAATTCAGTAGTAGAGTTCAGAAAAGTCTTTTGGGGGTCTGTATGTAGAAGCCAACGAAAATTTAGAAAATGGGATAACAGCTCTGTATGTTGAAGATGTTCCTACACTCCGTATGTGAAAATAAAAGAGACAACTAATGGTGCAATATATTCAACAATATGGTGTTAATCTGGTAAAAGTCTTAAATGATCCTACTCACGTTTTGTAGAGCTAAGGGACTAGCTCTAGTATGAAGTGCGTACAGTGGTATAATCCGCACTTATAGGATACGTGAGGTGATGTCTTGTCTGAGAGAAGGAATCAGGAAAGCAGAAAATAAAATATAAAGAGGGTACTCACGTTTACACGAGCAGGCGCACTGCTCAGTGTATAGGGCTTGAGTGGTATAATCCTCACCTAGGATTCTTTGGAGTAATGTCTCACTGGAACAGGATAAAACTCAGAAACTAGGTAACGTAGGTAAAATAAAATTAAAAAGTAAAATGGCAGCCCACAGTGAGGAAGTGACCATAATCCCTTTAATAAAATACAATACAGTTCAAAATGCCCACAATGCGTTTCGCCAGCAGGCTTTTTCAAGTGGATATGCAGAGAACATAACCTGGCAAGTCTGGGTTTATAAAGGGAGTGAAACAGCTTGTGTGTTTTAAACATGGTGCCAAAATGACAACATGATTGAAAATAGTCAGAAATTCATATATAAGAAGAAACAGTAAAATATAGATAGAACAAATAATTATGTGGTAGTGACAAAAAGAAGTAAGATTAGACCACATTTTGGTCATGTGATCAGCGGCTATTTATTTTAAGCATCATGGGGGTTATAGTATGGCTGGCGATATCGTCATTGTGACAAAATAGGTGGGCGTGGGCGCTTAGATGGGGCATCATAAGTGGCAGGGAATGAGTGATAGGCAGAGAGTGAACGGGTCACGTGATCGGCGGCCTTATTAACTGGGCAATATGGGGATTGTAGTGTGTAAAATCTAATTTTGAGATTGGTATAATGTAGATGAGATTAGATGGAACGGTGTTAATGTAGAATCTTCTTAATTTCTTCTTGTCTTCAGTTGATTGATATATATACGTCTTTTGTATATATATTCTTGGGCCAAATGCTCGCCACAATAATATATGTCTATATTATTGAAAAGTAGTAATACGCAATCTGACTTACGGTTTCTTCAGGTTTATTCTTTGTTACGGATACATAATAAAACATAATAAAGGATGTTACAGGATAGTAGACATTCAATAGCAGATGTTAATTGCTGTACTTCTGATGGGAGAGTTACATTGTTGTACAGAGCCAAGCTAAGCCAAGACAGGACTGAGAGACCTCGTGTCCCTCTGTTACTATATAGAAGTGCTAATACTAACGTCAGCATATAACTCTAGCCATATAAGGACAAAAACCCCGAATCCACATTCCAGAGCTCTCGGACAAAGAAAGCCTTGTGACTTATTGATACCATCTGTTACTTATGTCAATCCACACATCCATATATATAATCAATAGAAACATAGAATATGCAATATTCTACATTCCCTCTGTTTATGGTTTGTTTTAAAACCATAACACAATGTAATTAACCTGTCCATTCATACATCACTCGTATCACATTCATTGAGCATAGAACAAGATGTAGTCACAACTTTCTATTATATGAGAGTTCTTAGAAGGTCGAGTTTCTATCCCTCATACTGCTTACTTTACTTCAAAACTCCCTCTGTTTCAGCTATGTATTGATATCCATATCCCTGTTACATCATAACTACTTGAACATAATATATACATATATAACAATAATAAATGAATAAAATATTTACAAATGTTGATCCAATAAACAATAAAGCAATCAGAAATATCTACCTGCTATGGTACAGTCGTATCTTTGTAGATAACAAATCAAGATCGTAACTTTCTAAATAATAACTGTGTATCACTATCATATTCCTACAGATACATATAACATAGTATTTTCATTCTCAATACCTGATATTACTTAAGTACTAATACGTGTATTACTATAATATACGTCCAATTATATTTCCATGTATTTATATGGTTTCTAGCCACCTTAAACTCTTTAGGTCATTTGTATTCACGAATTACCTTCCTATACCATTAATACCACCTAGTGATGATTGTATCAGTACTTTACAATCATAGTATTTAATTTGTATATTCAGTAGGCTCTAACTACCTGAAATATATCAACACTACTTATAAGTCTCATTCAAAGGATGTGTTATCAACCATGAAGTTCTATAATAATTCTTCAAATAATGTTCATGGTGTTGACAATACTTATTATCCTAGAAATTCTTCACCCAGAAATCTTTCTATCATAGATTTGTTTTTGTTTACATAATTATAATTTTGACTACTATTCTACCTTGTAGTAACAAACTTTTCATTCAATAGAAACATAGTTTACTTTAAAATAACTTGGAAGGAATAATTTAAATTCATTAGCATCACTCTCTTCATTAGTATTGTGATGGCTTATTAATAATACATCTTAAAAGCAGGATTGTCCTAATGTTCTGACCAATCCTTATTCCTTTGTACACTTCAACTGACTAAATTAAAATAAAATAAACTTGGGGTCTTACTGCCCAGAAACTCTTATTCCTAGTCTGTGTCTAACAAACTCAGGGTAATCATAAAACAACTTAACAACGTATTCATTGGATACCATCATATCCAGAAACCTATTCTCCCTAGTCCATACCTTTTATAGACTTAGGTCAAATATAATTGTGTACTATACTCTTAACTAAACTTCAATTCAATTCCTCTTGGATCTCTGAACTCTTATATCCAAGGCCTTCTTAATGTATACCATTACTTAATATAAATCAATATAAATTATTCTTCCTTAGTTTTCTTCCTTATGTTACCATTGTTTGTTTTACTTCACCTCGATTATAAACAAAATATTATTATAATTAATCTATGAAATCCTATTGAACTCAATCTTTGCAGTATTAAGTAACCATGATCTTTATTTTATCGACTTCATATTTTATCTTCCTCTGATACTTCTCATTCTATGTATAGGTAATAATGTAATAGTTCTTCATAATACTATCCTAATTTTACTCCATGTGTTATATAGCTATAAGTACTCTCTTTTGGTATTAATACTCATAACTGTTAAATAACTTTTCATTGTCTGTTTTCTTCTTAATTAATATTTAGGAATATATATGTATGTTAGTGTCAATCTTTTATTTCTTTGTAAGTCTGTTAATCTTCTGTATCAAATCAACTCTGTAGAATCTTCCATCACAGTTTGCAGATCAGATGAAAAGTCTCTTTCCAACAGTCGATGTCCAGATGTCTAAAGGAATGCTTTTCTGATTTATTGCCACATGGATCTGTCACGCTTTACCAGATCAGTTATTTCTGTCTATTTCGTTGCTTCATCCACACAGCTGCGCAGTTCTTTGCTTGAATCTGGAAATTTGCCAATCTCTGCCACGTGCTTGCTTCTAGATTTCACGTTGTATCTTGTGCTTTTTGTCTCAGTTGTAGAAAATAGTCTTGTACAGTCTTTATAATTTGAAAACTTTCTTTTTCTTACAAATACAGTTCATCTATGACAGTCAGTCTAGATTCTTTTTTTCTCTTCAAGTTTGTTTTCCCAGTTCCAAAATAGCTTTGTAACTCGATTCTTCTCTCTCCCCCCTTGAAGTGGGAACAAAACTTGAATAGAAGACTGGCTGGCTAGCCAATGTAAAATGTAATTTTGAGATTGGTATAATGTAGATGAGATTAGATGGAACGGTGTTAATGTAGAATCTTCTTAATTTCTTCTTGTCTTCAGTTGATTGATATATATACGTCTTTTGTATATATATTCTTGGGCCAAATGCTCGCCACAATAATATATGTCTATATTATTGAAAAGTAGTAATACGCAATCTGACTTACGGTTTCTTCAGGTTTATTCTTTGTTACGGATACATAATAAAACATAATAAAGGATGTTACAGGATAGTAGACATTCAACAGCAGATGGTAATTGCTGTACTTCTGATGGGAGAGTTACATTGTTGTACAGAGCCAAGCTAAGCCAAGACAGGACTGAGAGACCTCGTGTCCCTCTGTTACTATATAGAAGTGCTAATACTAACGTCAGCATATAACTCTAGCCATATAAGGACAAAACCCCCGAATCCACATTCCAGAGCTCTCGGACAAAGAAAGCCTTGTGACTTATTGATACCATCTGTTACTTATGTCAATCCACACATCCATATATATAATCAATAGAAACATAGAATATGCAATATTCTACATAGTGCCGCCGTCGTCATAGTGGCATAACCCAGCTATGGTGGATGAGAATGATCTTAGATGGGAGGGCATATTATAATAATGTGGACTAAGATTTTGTGTTACCATGTGATGCAGGGGCATGATCTAGTGATGCGAGTCACTTGGGGAAAGGGAAAAAGAAATAAAAAAAAAAATATATATATATATATATACACTGCTCAAAAAAATAAAGGGAACACTTAAGCAACACAATGTAACTCCAATTCAATCACACTTCTGTGAAATCAAACTGTCCACTTAGGACGCAACACTGAGTGACAATCAATTTCACATGCTGTTGAGCAAATGGGATAGACAACAGGTGGAAATTATAGGCAATTAGCAAGACACCCCCAATAAAGGAGTTGTTCTGCAGGTGGTGACCACAGACCACTTCTCAGTTCCTATGCTTCCTGGCTGATGTTTTGGTCACTTTTGGATGCTGGCGTTGCTTTCACTCTAGTAGTAGCATGAGACGGAGTCTACAACCCACACAAGTGGCTCAGGTGGTGCAGCTCATCCAGGATGGCACATCAATGCGAGCTGTGGCAAGGTGGTTTGCTGTGTCTGTCAGCGTAGTGTGCAGAGCATGGTGGCGCTACCAGGAGACAGGCCAGTACATCAGGAGACGTGGAGGAGGGCAACAACCCAGCAGCAGGACCGCTACCTCCGCCTTTGTGCAAGGAGGAATAGGAGGAGCACTGCCAGAGCCCTGCAAAATGACCTTTCAGCAGGCCACAAATGTGCATGTGTTTGCGCAAACGGTCAGAAACAGACTCCATGAGGGCCCGATGTCCACAGGTGGGGGGTTGTGCTTACACCCCAACACCGTGCAGGACGTTTGGCATTTGCCAGAGAACACCAAGATTAGCAAATTTGTCACTGGCGCCCTGTGCTCTTCACAGATGAAAGAAGGTTCACACTGAGCACATGTGACAGACGTGACAGAGTCTGGAGACGCCGTGGAGAACGTTCTGCTGCCTGCAACATCCTCCAGCATGACCGGTTTGGCAGTGGGTGAGTAATGGTGTGGGGTGGCATTTCTTTGGGGGGCCGCACAGCCCTCCATGTGCGCGCCAGAGGTAGCCTGACTGCCATTAGGTACCGAGATGAGATCCTCAGACCCTTTGTGAGACCATATTCTGGTGCGGTTGGCCCTGGGTTCCTCCTTATGCAAAACAATGCTAGACCTCACGTGGCTGGAGTGTGTCAGCAGTTCCTGCAAGACGAAGGAATTGATTCTATGGACTGGCCCACCCGTTCCCCAGACCTGAATCCAATTGAGCACATCTGGGACATCATGTCTCGCTCCATGCACCGTCACGTTGCACCACAGACTGTCCAGGAGTTGGCAGATGCTTTAGTCCAGGTCTGGGAGGAGATCCCTCAGGAGACCATCCGCCACCTCATCAGGAGCATGCACAGGCATTGTACGGAGGTCATACAGGCACGTGGAGGCCACACACACTACTGAGCCTCATTTTCACTTGTTTTAAGGACATTACATCAAAGTTGTATCAGCCTGTAGTGTGTTTTTCCACTTTAATTTTGAGTGTGATTCCAAATCCAGACCTCCATGGGTTGAAAAATTTTATTTCTATTTTTTAATTTTTGTGTGATTTTGTTGTCAGCACATTCAACTATGTAAAGAACAAAGTATTTCATTCGAATATTTAATTCATTCAGATCTAGGATGTGTTATTTTTGTGTACCCTTTCTTTTTTTGAGCAGTGTATATATACAGTTGCAAGAAAAAGTATGTGAACCCTTTGGAATGATATGGATTTCTGCACAAATTGGTCATAAAATGTGATCTGATCATCATCTAAGTCACAACAATAGACAATCACAGTCTTCTTAAACTAATAACACACAAAGAATGAAATGTTGC